CTTCCGTCCAGTTCGGGTTGGGGGACTGGTACTCGGAGCAGCTCAGCGTAACACTCACCCACAAACCGTCATTCGGACGGCGAGTGATATATGGGTACTATCTAGTGTCGATCACGTGGTCTTCTGACTGTGTGCGCAAGTGCCAAGTGCAGGTCTTCGGGCCATGGGGTACCGTATCGAAGGGCTATTTGGAGAATCGTGCGGGGCGCATAGCTTACATACGGGTATCCGTTGCATCTACATATTACTGTGTACTGATGATATCCTTCCCACCTCGCAAAATTATGGCTTTACTTCGACGAGTTATTCACACCCAGTCCGCTCACCCCGTGTACGTGCAGCCGTAATCGTCGTGTTCCGTTCGATCACATCACCACATCACCACATCAGTCGCCCAGGTATGTCTCCAGACTCCCACACTCGTGAGTCGTGCGGACCCACCGCGCACATCACACGTGCTCCGCCTCCCTCTCCGCGCCCACCCATGCGCCCACCATCCATACTTATGCACAGAAGCGAAAGTCCAAACAGCCGAAGATGAAGATGAAGATGAAGAAACCCATAATTAAAAAATACATAGCGATCTATCTATCCCCCCTCGGCCACACAAGCAGTAGGGAACGAACGAAGAGGAGGAGCAGATGGAAGGAAGGAAAGAAAGCTTAGAGTATCATCAACCATGAGTCTAAGCCGAAATAAAAAAAAAGAACATAAACAAAAACTCCCCAACCACCACCGCCAACCAACCACCAACCACCGGCACCCGCATCCACGGACCACCGCCCTCTCGAAGAAAAGCAGAAACACCCCATCCTGTCTAAACCTCCCTTCCGCCTATTCCGCGGGAGTGCCCGGTCCCTAGACGTTGGTGGGCACGCTCGGTGGTGGTGGTGGCGGTCTAGCCTGGTACCCATTTTCCTGAGCGGCGGAGCCCTCCTTCGGCTCGGCACCGTCCTCGGCGGTCTGCTCATCTGCCTTCGCGATAGCCGAGAGGCGGGGTTGGGCGCGTAATCGGGGACGTTGCTTCTTGCCGAGGACGTGGGTGACCGGCCAGCAAGTCGCTGCTTCTTTTCCTCCAGCAGCTTTCGGCCTGCTTTATCCGCGCTTCGAGGAGCGCAAGCTCCGAGTTTTGGTACGAGACGCTTTGCTTTCTGCGCTTGTTAGCTAGGCGTGCGCAAAGAGGGATGGCGCGGGGGCGGGAAATTGCCGTGGAACGAGATGGCGGGAAACCAGTGACAGGGGGGAGATCGCGCGGCGGGGAGGACGCGGGGGAACAAAAAAAGGGGTATCTATGCGCTCCCATCGGCCGAGAGCTCGCCACAACACGAAAATCAAGAGAACTCGCGCAACTCACTTCCGACTAACACTCTGGTCGAGCTTGTCGAGCTGGTCGTCGAGCAGGAAAATATCATTGAGCTGATTCGCGAAAGCACGCGCAAGAGTCCTGGCTCCCGGCCTCCGTTAGCTCCACGATCGGGTAGGTACTCGGTAAGCGAGCGGGAGAGAGCAGGTAGACTCACGATGTTGGTCGAACTGATTTCGCGGCAGCCCGCTCGGTACTCGAGATCTAATTCATGGTCGGAAGCCATTGTTTGCGTGGTTGATGTTGGTGCTTGTCGACGGTGTAGGTCGGGGGAGGTAGGTTAAGTAGCGGCGACAAGGAGGACGGTAGCTGCAGCTGACCGAGACGCGGGAGGTGACTTGCGGATACGTGCGGACGCGAGGACGAGGAATGAGGTTCGTTAATCGATCGCGTGTCGTTCGTTTCTTTCTGTGTTTTGGCTGTGACGCGGTCAGCTCCTCGCTTGTTCCTGGCGATAAAGATAAGAAGGTGACAGGGAGGTGGAGGGATGACTTGCTGAGGGGAGGGATGGCTGGGAGGGATGACTTGCTGAGGGGAAGGAGAGAGGGAGACTCACTCTTTTTCAGATCACGGCCGTCGATGCACTCGTTTCTCTGTTTCCGTACAACAACCTGTACGCAGAGCGGATGACACAAGGGCTGAGACGGGAATGCAGAGAGGGGGAGAGGTGGTGGGATGGCGGTTGGTTTGCGAGTAGAATACCCGGGCGTTCGACAATTTTGCTGGGGGCGGTTGAAAAGGAGTCGATGAGATGCTGGATAGTTGGAAGAAGTTGAAAGGAGGGAAGAGAGAGGGAGTCCGTCTCACCATCCTTCTATGTAGAGTACCTACTCTATCTCCCGCACCAGGGCCTTGCTGTAACTGTCCAGCGTAGATGCAGTATTCTACTGCACCCTTCTGTACGCTCTGCCACCCATTTTGCGATAACCCCTGGCTGCTGCCGTTGTGCTAAAGGCTCAAAAGAAATTGTGTCTTTCGAGACGGGGGCTGTGGTTGGACCTCCCTGTGGCATTGATAGTCGTCATGCAGAGCCGAGTCCGAGCGGTTAGTGGATGGGGTTGCGGCCAAGCCCGCCATGGAAAGTGTGGAGAACAAATGAGGCAACCGCGGGCTGGCATGAGCTCGGTCTCAGGCATCTGTGGCGCGGCAGGATGAGACGAGAACCCTTGCCCATAGCCTGGAGATCTTGCGCCAGCGAGTGTATAGTAGACAGTACATATAGTACTGTACCCATCCCACCAGTGGCCTTCACCTTGGGAGCAGCACTTCCAGCCTTCAGTCGAATAAGTATCGTCCTCCTTGCCCACCGCGGAAGGCAGCTATTTCTCCGTCTCATAATTGTCCATTCTTCATACTGCTGTGTTGGTGGAGATGCTGACCAGCTGCTGAAATCCCTCAGCTGAGCCACAACGAAACAGCCGGTCATGTCCGCATGAGCTCGCGCACGCCGAAAAATCCACCGTTCGTTCGTCTCGAGGGCATGGCAGAAGTTGGCAGAGGCGTTTATACGGGAAACATTTTGATAACTCTCCATGAGTGACGAATTTGGATATCAGGTGCGCTGGTTCGGCCCATTTAGCTTGTTCCGTCCATTGATGATCGCGGTGCACAGTCAGCGGAAGACACACAGCCCCAGCCTCCAGCAGTGTCTATGTCAGTACATAGTCAGCGAAAGACACACAGTTCCAATAGTGTCGATGGTAGCGCATAGTTAGCGAAAGACACATAGCTCCAGCCTCTATCAGTGTCGATGGCAGCGCACAATCAGCGAAAGACACACAGCTTGAGCCTCCAGCAGTCTCGACGGCAGTATGGCAGTGCCGTCACTCAGAATCCAAGAATCCAAGAGCAGTGAGCCGACTGCAAGCCACCAATTGCACCGCGCGCGCGGATATACCGGCCAGAGAACCGTGGCCGCCTCAACACCAAAGCAGCGCCTTCACCTTCGCTTGGGAATTGGATGCGCGAGTCGCCGTCTGCTTCCGTCCATTGCGCAGCATTTCGTCAATCGTTGCCCTGGGAGCAAATGTGCCCCGCACGAATTCGAAACTCCGAGGGCCGGGCCGAAAATGCGCCCACTTCTTGCGAACTCAAGATTCGAGAGTGGCGCGGAAGAACTTGGCCCGCATCGGCTCGATGACCGGTGATTGCGAATGCGAATGCGAATGCGACGCACTTCCGGATCAGGTCGGACTTGGGCACCGGTGTGAAGGGTAGCGGAACTTGGTGCAGCTCGAAGCTCGAGTTTGTCGCTTCGGTGGTCGGTGGTTGATGGATGATATATCATCAATCTCAGGGAGCAGTGGGGTAAGTATCGGACCGCCGTCTGGTGCTGGGGGAGCAGTTGAAGGCGGATGGCTGGCTGGTGTTCAAAGAGCAGTTGAATACGGCTGGGTGCAGTTGTTTTCTTTAAGTGCGGGGTGCTGAATGGTGACAAGCAAAATATGGTTTGGGCGTTTGAGTTTCAACTTTCGAGAGTTCGATGACATTATCACTCGATTTCACGGGTCTTGGACGGCGAATAGGTACTCTACTGTACATATTATTCATTCAACCTCACAGTCTCCATTCAGTCTAGGTACTCTGTTGGACCGTCGATCTACTATGCCGGGTTCTGCTCGATACTGTACCGCTGCCACGGTTCTTTATTCGTAGCTGGAATTAGAAGAAGCTCGGCCGTGATCATGACGGGCAGCTGTCTGACGATAGCCATTAAGTTTTAGACGGCGGGGTGGCGGAGAGCGAAAGCTGGCCTGTACTCTGAATATCGGTCGGTAGGTGTGGTCACTGATCATCAGCCACCATAATATCATCTCCCCAGCCACAGTGGCATCGCGAGAGGTCTAGAGTACTAGTAGAGTATGCTCAACCTCAAAGTTCACTTTGGAGTACATCTAGATTCTAGGTACACATACCTCCTAGTTACACGATCCTCACCCAATCTCCACTGCCAAATACCTAGATTTAAAACTTCCATTCTACTTGCGACATCTAGGAAGGAATGATAGTTTGTGAATATGGGGCGCAGACACGTGCCTACCTGGAGTCTGGTACCTGGTCCCGGCATCGCCGTGAACCGCACAGAAACAAAATTACTCAGCAATCTCATTCTCACATCCATGATCCATCGGCTCGGAGCTGGGGCCTGGGGGGGATTCATCATTCGGAAATCTCGGCACACCGAATGAACCATGTCCCGGACTTGTGGTCTGGTCTCGGGGCCCCAGGTGGCACACCGTGGCAAGCTTTCGTTCCAAAAAGCCAGGACCAGACCCAGACGCGAGCGAAACAATGTGATGACGTTGCACATATAAAAGTTTGAGCCAAATCACCGAAGATTCCATAGCTTCAGCGGCAGAAAAGAAAGGAAAAGAAGAAGAAAGAAAGAAGTTTCGCCATTCTTCTTGAGCTTCAAGGTTTTCAGATACGTTACTCCTAGACATCTGGCAGATACTCTACTTGTTAAGCGCCACTGGAGCAAGGGGTGGGAGCCGAGCATCTCTTTTCTTTACGTAGCACCCCCCCTCGTCCAGAAGCCTCCGAGGAAACGAAACGAAACATCGTCTACCATACCCACACTCGTTAACTACCCCACACACACGGTCGCATCTCCCAGCTCCCAGCAGCACATCTGCGGGGTAACACCCAGTCCCACGCCGTCCACTTTCCGTATCCGACCTGCCAGCATCCAGCCGGGATCACGATCGCCTGTGTGTCCGCCCGTCTGTCTGTCTGTCCGTCAAACTGACTGCGTTCCTCCGCCCCCCAAGTCGTCGCAGATAACCCCCCTCCCACTACCACGATCCCCTCACTCTCACCCTCCTCCTAGCCATGCCTCGCGCGCCTTATCAGCCCGGCACCTCCGCCGAATCCGAGTACGTCCCATCGTCGGACAGCAGCGACGCCGTTCCGCGGACGACGCGCGCGCCGCCGGCGCCATGGAAGTACCACGAGAAGTGTTCGAACGACCACGTAGCGGCCGCGTGCAAGCAGCTCGGAGCCGCGGCGGCGGCGGCGGAGGCGGCGGCGGCGGCGGCGGCGGAGGGCAACAGCGAGTCGGAGGAGGAGGAGTGGCAGACGAGTCTGGCGGGGAACGTCGGCACGGTGGGGACGGGTGAGAGGGAGAGGGGTGGGAACGCTGGGAACGCTGGGAAGGGAAGTGTCATGGCGCCGAAGTGCATGAAGCGCGTGCTGGAGGAAGCGTGCGTTGCGCCCCCGTCCCCTCCCCACCCCGGACGCACACATCACATCCCATCCCACAACCCATCGCATCCCATCCATCCCATCCATCCCATCCCACAACCCACCCCTGCAAAACCCCGGAGCTATCTCGTTCACCAACTAGGTAACTAACGACAAGCGGCGTTTCCGCGTGTGTGTTTTTGCAGGAACTGGAAGCGAATGGCGATAATGCTGGCGATCAAGACGAGGCATAATGGCGTGCGGCGCCTAGACGGCGAGATCTCTTCGTTCTCGAAACCGAAGCCGGTCCACCGTGTCGATCCGCGCGACGAGCTGCTGCGCGAATTGGAGGCTATCAAGGCTGCTGGCGCGAGGAGGTAGATGGAGATGCCCGATGCCGATGTCGATTGCAATACCGGCGGTACATATTGTTTGGCGGTGGGCGGTACATATTGTTTGGCGGTGGGCGGTACATATTGTTTTTTGTTTCTTCTGTTCCTGATTCTTGGTTTTCGGCTACGGTGTACACAATTACATAGAGAAGCGCTGGGTTCTGGTTTTCTATTTTCTTTTTTGCTTGCTTGCGGTTGTTCTCCTAAGTAACTAGCAGGAGCGATGTGGATGGATGGCTTTGGATAGCGACATCTTGTGCGGGGTTATAGTTCGCGATAGTTAATGCCAATAAGTTATAACTACTAGTATTCTATGGCCTTATCGAACCTCGCTTCTTGCTTTTGCTGTGCCCGGCATGCCGTATTGCTACCGTACCTTAATTCACACCGTATCCGCCCCGCTGGATGATGGCACGAGGCAGATCGACAATCCATTCGGCGGTGGATAAGCTTCGGGTGCAGAATACCTACCATAATCATCAAATGCGGGGTCCCGGGAATCCCCTCATCGGATCCCCACGGTTCCTCACATACTTACCCACCCGCCCCCTGCTATCGGGTCCCGACTCCCGCCCTCGGGATGCGGCAGCATAAATAGTTAGGTATCTAGCTAGTAGCCAAATGCGTCCTTGCAAGTGTTTCCTTTTTCTTCCTTTGTTTTTCCCCCCGCACCGGATACGGCATCATACGGGATTTTCCAGGGATCCACTCCAGTCCAGGGCTACGGCCAAGACCTCCCGAGTCCCGACCGCACGCCGAGTCGCTGGCCCAGGTAGTCTAGTTAACGCCGATAGGCTCTACATAATTCAAATTCAAGCCTTGCAGAGCGACTCCAACTTCCAAGCCGCGGGGCTCAACGTCTGTATCTACTGTATATGCGTGAGCATGAACTCTCACTCGCTCATTATTGAAATCCGTTCAACTTCGCCAAGATTTCGAGCCCAGCCGTGTAGAAAGACCTTACATGGTAACGTGGAGATATTAGTGGTGGCTAAACTCTGCCGTGTCAGTCGGAAAAGCTGGGAAGATGGAGATGCTGGGCGAGTGATACCCTGTGCAAAGCTGCAGCCTGGTGAGCTTCACCAACCCTTGCCGGTAGCAGAGCTTCACTTCCGAAGTTCGAACACAGCGGAGTACGCAAGTCCACAGGTAGGTAGTGAATATACGACTGCTCTTCTCGAACCTCGAGTAGTTGCCAAGTATACATCGGAATTTTCCTTCCAGCGTGAAGTTCTATTCACTACGACTCTAGTGTCTACGACTCTACGAGACCAAAGTTCAACCGGATGCAAGCTCTAGCCTCTAGAAAGACGCGAATACTGTTTAGCGAGGATCCAGATCCATCATCCTACTATCCCACTATCCTACTATCCTATGATCTGAAGAGTTAGGAACTGCAAGGCTGTCTGATCGGAATGTCATCACTCACCATCTCCCGGCCCATCCGCTTGTGAATCGTGATATGTATGAAATTTGAATAATGACATCTTCCGCATCGGGTTTGACTACATACTGGGTACGACATTGCGAGGACTGGAGTCATTGGATGGGGGACGAATCACGAATTTCAACGAGACGAGAAGGCTCGGTGTCGAAGGTTGGACCAGTCGTGGAGTGGTGGGTGTGATAGAAGTAAGGGCGTAAGGCTCAGTACCGGTATGCTGTCAAACAGTCAAAGTGCTAGCGACTGGCGACTGGCGAGTGAGTGAGTGCTTTCGGTCATTAGGGCCTCTGAGGCTTGAGCTCCCTGGAACGTTGGGTGCGACAACTTACGGGCCAGCCTGTCAGGGGCTTCACGAGTTGCACTTGCATGATATCCTTACCGCTCACGTCTTGACTCTTGACTTTGTATATATCTGTGTAATAGTATCACATGCGACGTTCTAACTTCTTCTTTTACTTCCCCTTCACAGAAGATCCAGGACCGGAGGCTGGAGGCTGGAGGCTGGAGCACTGGGTGGTGAGTGATTAGCCATGAATCACGAATATCGTGCGGGCGGGACCAGTAATATATATACGGTTGGTACTTGGGTATCTGAAGGAGGCTGGCGACAGATCCAAACTTGCAGACTTTGGGCTTACCAAGTTACCGTCAAGGAGTATGATACGTGGCGGCCTCTGCTAGAGTCGGTGAATCGTTTCGCCGAAACTCAAGTCTCAAGACTTCCCCTCCCCACCCACGAACCTCCTCCACCGACCTTTACTACTTCAAGTCGAGAATGCCAATTTCCGCCCTACCTACATAGGTAAGTACTTACTACATAGTACATACGGGTACCGGAGCGTCACCCGCCCGCCTCAGTGCGGCAGTGCCTCACCTCACAGCCTACAGCCTACGGGCGAGCAGCTGGGACGAGGTACGACGACGATGTCGGAGACTCGGAGGGGATGTGATGGGGCGTGGGCGAGGGACGGGATTGATCATTGAAGGTACATACCTCGCTCTGCTTGCCGATTGGCCAGCTGCGAGCTGCTATGAATGGACCTGTGCAGTGGTAAGAACAAACAAACAAAAGGAGCAATAGGTTTAATGTTGAGCTGATTATCAAACTGAAACTGCAGTGGGTTCTGTCGAGCCGTGTCGAGCGGCGAGCTTAGGCCAGCCTCCGGGTGCTCTACTCTGTTCTATTCTTTTCTATTCCATATACGTACATCAGAAGAAGGTGGAAGAAGAGACAATCACAATTCACGCCCACAAGAACCGTCCAACCGTCCAACCGTCCAACCGTCCAACCGTCCCAACTAGTACTCCGGACCTAACCTTCCAAGTTCCATCTCACCACCGCAGGAGCAATTACAGTACACACAAACAACAAAGATCCCATCGGTATTGGTATGTAGTAGGAGGGAGCTGAGTACTGCCGATCGATCACAACAATCTGCACGCATGATGCGGCGTCAAAGCCACATGCTTTCTAAGTCGGAAAAATCATCAAACTAGAAATGCGGTGGAATCGGAGGAGGTCGAGTCTGAGTAGAAAAGTAGTGCTTTTTTTTATTTTATACTGCCGATGGCTATCCAAGTACAAGTTGTAATCACTCCGCATATGTTCTGCAATCTCTTCCCTCAAATCCTTCATCTTCAGCCCCCCAACTTGCTGTCCCTGCGTTTTCTTTGTCCTCTTCGGTTATCTTCTCTTTTTCATCCTCCAATGATCTACATATAGCTCGCATGCAATCAATGAATGAACACAACAAAAAAAAACAGAACAAAATTGATTTCTCCTTCTCATTTTCCTCTGCATTTTCTTTCTTCTCTTCCGTCATCTTCTTCTTTTCATCCTCCTCCTCCTCTTCCTCGTTCTCCTTGTTCTCCTCCTCCTCCTCCTCTTCCTCGTTCTCCTCGTTCTCCTCCTCCTCTTCCTCGTTCTCCTCCTCCTCCTCTGCGTTTTCTTTCTTCTCGTCGGTCATCTTCTCCTTTTCATCCTCCTCCTTCCCCCACAGGGTTCATCATCCGTAGATGATGTTTGTGCCAGCGTAGCTTGCTGCCGTACATCTTCTTCGCTTGCGGAGGGCTCGTGTACGAAGTCGGAGTTGGTGTAGCGAATATTGAGTCGTTTGTTGGTGGAATGGGAAGAGATGAAAGGTGAAACGGATCGCTGGATTTTCCGGATGAACCGCCACAACTAGACCGAGTCCGTACATGACACGGACGATGGTGCGACCAAAGCCCGTGATCCAGTTGGTTGCCGATCATAATGATAGTTTCATGCTCTGCGCCGAAGCTGCTGGGAGATCATTGAGCTGAGCGTAGCCCTTCTCTGCCCTGCGAGCCGCCTCCTGTGAATTCCATCAGCATGATCATCAACCAATGTTGCGCGAGGGAGGAAGCAGCAGACATACCCCAGGGGGCCGAGGCCCATCCTGAAGAGGTTCTCGAAGTCGTGGCGGGGTCCATTCTGGGTAGGTCAGCATGGTCTTCTGGCGCAGCTGGGTTCACAATGTTAAAGGGACAGGGAGCTTACAGCAGGCCACCCACGGAAGACACCTCTGAAGAGCTGTCCGACTCATCTAATTTGAGGTTTGGCATTGTCGTTGTTGTTCGGCAGACTTGAGGGGGAGGATGGTGGGGAAGAGAGAGTGGGATGATGGTGGTGAGGAGATGCGTCAATCGTTTGAGTGGTTCTTTTGGGTCTAAGTTGAGGTTTGGCATTGTACTTATTGGGCGCGGGTACTGCCACAAGGGCATGGGTAGTGTGGGTGATATATGCCCCGGAGGGCTGGGAGGGAATGAGAGAATGGAAGTAAGGAGGAAGGTGTAGGGTGGGATGAACAAAAGGAGAGAAGGAAAGATAGAAAGGCAAAAGGGTGAGAGAGGAAGGGTGGTGTGTGTTGTGCGTGTGGGGTCTGACCCGAAGACAGTCACGCACAGCGAGGGCTACGATGTAACGCGATGCCCATTCACGTTTTACCATGACCAGTTCTGGACGCATGCAGCAATGCCGAAGCAATCAAAACAAAACAAAACAAACCAAAACAAACAGCCAGCCCGCTGAGAGAACCTCCGACGGACCGGACCACTGCCGCCACAATGCGTCTGATGTTGACGGAAACCCACAATACGAACAGTTACGCTCTACCATTTGATATCCGTCACTCGGGATAGATGTATGTACAGAGTGAGGATAGGTACACTTGTGGCAGGTGATGCGGATTTCCCCGACAGCTCTACAAGATGGATATGGATATGACATGCGCGGTTTTCAAAGTAGATACCCAGACAGTGGTCGACGCGGAGCATCATACGAAGGACAGCGAGATATATTCCATGAAGTGAATTCCACGCAACCAGCGTTGTTCCACACCTGATATGTGCGCCAACTGCATGCCCTTTCCTCCTCCTCCTCCTCCAGCTCCACGAGATGGATCATGGATACGATACATATGCGAGTTTTCAAACAGTAAGCAGACAGTGTTCGCCACGGAGTACCATACGAATATGCATACGAAGGACAGCGAGCGAGAGAGATTCTATGAAGCTAATCCCCCGCTACGGATCCGGCCACATTTCCCCTCCGGCCTTTCTCCTGCGCACCTTACCTCACCTCTACCCGGCAGAAATGAAATGGGTATGTAGATCATGTCACATTCCTCAGTGATCGCCGTATCGAATGCCTCTAGGCTCTTGCAAGTTGCGATGAAGGGACGCATGGGTGGGGGATAACGCTTCTTTCCTCGGTTGCTTTGTGCGCGAAAGGGGTGGCTGTGGTGGCTGGCTGTGGTGGCTGGAGCCTTGAGGATAGCGAGGAATGTGCACTTTGTCCGGACCGCGCGACGATAGGTGGGAGTCTGAGAGACGCTGGCCTACTACCTGTGGTTGCATCCGGATGTGATGGGAAATTTGGAATTGGCAGTCAACCAAGTACCCAGGTGGTGGACCGTGGTGAATCTGTGATGGTGACGGGAAGCGTTCGGTCCCCGACTCCCCGGTCCCGTATGCTCAACATACAACGTCTCTTGGCTCTCGGTGTCTCGGGTGAGAATGGTGCTAGTATGTAGCGCAGCTGTCTTCCCTGCGTACCGTATTCCATCCCGTATTCCATCCGGCTAGGCTCGAGGCTAGTTACCGGCGCTGTCAGCAAGTACCGTGTGTACAAGGTGCAAAGGTATGTCGTGACCACCTCCATTCCGCCTCAAGTGCGAAGGCTTTGCTCTCCACTCCAAATCACATAAAATCTCACTCATTTCGCCGCAGCCCGACTAGTCGCCCGTAAAACTAAAGGGCGTGGCCACGACTCAAGGCCTCCCACTTGTACCGTTGTACATACGCCACATAGAACGAACGGTGTTTACCGTTGTTCCACGCCGCTGACTCGGAGCTGTTTCATATCAGCAAGTTGTTTCTCCCGGGTTGGCCGGCGCCGGCCAATGTGGCTTGAGCAACATCACACCCCCTCACATCCCATCCACAGCCGTTTGCACAACATCGCACTCGCTCGCTCGCTCACCCCCTCACACGCTCGAATCTCCGGCCGCTGATTGGCCAGAGGCCGGAGCGGGACCGATGGGTATGGGATCGCCCGACCCCACGGTCTCACGGGTCACCGCACTCGGTTGGTTCCCCCGCTCCTTCGCACATGTACCCGGAATATACCACCTCCCTATATGCATGCATGCAACGCAAAACTGCGCGGGTACCTGACCTGGCCAGACAGACAGACAGACATCCAGATGTCGTACATACTCTACCTCACACATACCGAGTACCGGTACTTGGGTTCCATCCCCCCCTTCCCCACCACACCACCAGTGCTGTGCGACGCCCGGCGATCTCCTCGTTTGTGTTGTGCTCCATGCCGGCGGACACGTTGGCACCAGAATCGCAGGTGTCAGGGGGAGTGATGAAGGTGCCGCGCATTCGTTGCGTCGTCGGAGGTTGAGTGTCCGCAGACTGTATGCATGGCACGGTTACAGTGTGTACCTACCAGACTGGACTGCACCCCGTTACCTCCGCTACGCAGCTACGCTACGTGAGACGTTCCCGTGCCGAGAATTTCCCGTGACACGCTGCTACCCATAACTAGAGTAACCTCCAGCCTCCGCGTCGCTTCCGTTGACGTTCGTGGCCGCCCGTAGTTACGGTAGTCTGCTCCAATAGGTACTTGGTCAACTAGTGCTGACGTTTCTGACGGACACCAGCATGGCGAATGAACATCTGAACATGTGTGCACACTGTCACGGGCCATGATTGGAGACCAAATGACGGGACATGCCGGTACTGGGTGCGCCACTGTCCAGGTCGCCAGTCCTTCCGCTTAGTAACACTGTAACACGGTAACACTGCAGAGTAACACGTGCCAAAGACCCTGCCGATCGAGTGACCGCTGTGATTTCGGACCATCGTACAAACGGCTTTCGTTCCAGAACCCGGTGAATATCCACCCTACCCCCGCAAACAGAAGGCGCACCTGAAGTAAGCCTATCAGACGATGCGGCAAGTGAAGAAGAGGCGTCTTTTTCTTTTCCGAGAAGGGGGTTTTCCGGGCGGAGGACTGGGATGTCCCATCCATGGCACCGGACAGAAGTCCCCCACACACACAAATACAAACGATTGATCAGGCGTCTGCATGCGCGGGGTCCAAGTGCAAATCCGGCGTCAGCGGGCAACGATGCAAGCGGCGATATGTATCGGTATCTTCTGCTCTTGAGTCTTCGCCCCTGCATCCCTCTGTGCTGTCCCTCGGATCGGAATTTCTCGAAATTTCCCCAGCAGCTTAAGAATGGAATGTTGCCGTGCACCTGCTTTCGGCTGCTTGTGCTGCACCACCCACCCAGCACAAGACCAGACCCCATTGAGGATTCAAGGCGAGCATTCTGTCTCACTCCTCGTTTCCCTATGTTCTTCCCACGGCCAACCCTCACCCTCCTCCGATTCAATCCCACCCCACCCCACCCCTCCGCGACCGAAAGAAAGCCTCGAATGAACGAATGAAAGCCTGCCCGACCCGTCGACCCGTCCATAAACCTCTCCAGGAACCATCGATCCATGGACACCTCCACGCCGCACAAACGCAGTGCATCGCCCGAGTCCTACGACGCAACGACGCTCGCCACGCTGTGGGCGTTCACCTTCGTCGCTTTGCTCGTGATCGCAACGCGGCTATCGTGGCGGTACCGGCGCAACGAACCATTCTTCACCGAAGACCTCTGGATGGCGTTCGCGATGGTTCCGCTGCTGACGCGGCTCGCGTGCACACACTCGACGCTCGTCAACTTCACCGTGCACTTCGACCGCGAGCTGCACCCGCTCGACCGCATGGCGCCCGACGAGATCGAGCGTCGCAGGTTCGGCTCGAGGATGATACTGCCTGGCAGGATCTGCTACGCGGGTTTCCTCTGGTGCATGAAGGTCTGCATACTCATCTGGCTCGAGAAGGTCACGGGAAAGACACATCCGTATGGCAGGGCGATAAAGGTGGCGTATGTGCTCGTCGCTGCGTCGTTTGTCGGCGTCGTGCTTAGCAGCCTGCTCGAGTGTCGTCCGTTCAAGCTCTACTGGCAGGCGTGGCCCGACCCCGGCAGCTGCGTGAAGGCGCAGGCTCAGCTGATGACCATGGGAGCGCTCAACATGTACGGAGCCTTCTCCCACCCTTCAGGCTTCCGTAGTCCACCGACTGATCTTTCCGTAGCACAACAGACATCTGCCTGATGGTCATCCCGCTGCCACTGATCTTCCGGGTGCGGCTGCCCGTCTTCCGCAAAGTGCAGCTCGCACTGCTTTTCTGCGTAAGCTTCTTCGTGATCAGCATCACGGTGATCCGGATGCCCATAATCGTCGGCAACGGCGTAGCGCAGAAGTCCCGCACCCTCTGGGCGTCGATCGGTACCTCCCCCCTTCCCCTCCCTCCCCCCGGCCCTCATTTGCCCTTCACCAACACTGATCGCGAGAACAGAGGTGATGACAGCGTGCTTCGTCGCCAACGCGCCAGTATTCAACAGCTTCATGCACACGGTCCGCAACCGCCGGCGCTCGTATATCGACCACCAGCAGGTACCCCACCCCTCCGAGGCAGGACGCCGCATCCGCATGCCCGTCACGGGACAGGACAGCTTCGGCAGCCTCACACGGAACGAGCGGCTGGAAAGCCAGGTTGCTCCCCCCCATCCCCCCTCCCCCCTCCCCCCACCCCTTCCCCCACCCACCCCCGCAGGCTGCACCAGTGACTGATAGATGCGCAGGCTGAAGTGGAAGAATGGCGCACCGACCTCGCCGCCGCGGGCGGGACTTGGAGCGCGGGAGAGGAGCCGGCGTCGCCAGGTAGTCCGCGCTTGCCGACGACGTGGAAGGCCGCTGGGATCGGGATCGCGGTGCCGCAGCCAGCGGCGGCGGCGTGCGCGTGGAGGGGCGGAGAGGTGCTCACGCTCGTGCCGTTGCCGGGTGGGCCGCCAAGGGTGCCGCCGAGGAAATGGGCGGGAGAGGGGGCGGTGGGGGAATGGGCGGGAGAGGGGGAGAAGGTCTAGGCTTCTTGCTTGCTGTGCGGATGGGGGAGTGGGAGAGGGGGAGAGGGAAGTTAGGGGTGTACATACAATGTAGGGATCCTGAAAGCGCAGATTGCTGGGGATACTGTATATATGGGGTTTTCTGCGCTGGATGGAATATAGACTTTTTTTTGTTCGGGAATGCTAAATTTGATCATTAACGGCATGGCTGCATGATACTCTATAGTGCATCTCCACCCGTTTTTGCGTCGTCCAGAGGCTCAATGTACGCCTAGGCTGAGTGGGTGAATGGGCGAGTTCAGTTGTCGGTGAGGGTGATAGCTGGTGAAGCGCATGCGGGATCATGGAACCAATTCAATCTCACCCCCACAACACTCACTCACTCGCAAGCCTGCAATACTCACCATCTCGCCTACAAAGGCCTGACACAGACTCGATGTAGAACCCAATCCCGAAGCCATACAACTTACAATTCCATCCCGGCAATCCATCCTTCAATGTTCCTTCCCCCTCGTCCCCGCCCTCGTCCAAGATAAAACCCAACCCAGCTTCCACCCAGCTTCCACCTTCCACCCATTTTCCTTCTTCCACATTTCACCTTCCGCCTTTCACGCACAATGCTCAAAAAAACCATACACTACATCATCCACATCATAAACTTTATCACTTTATCACTTTATCTACAGAACCCTCCAGGAACGTCCAAGCAAGTCCTCCAAGCAAGCAATAATGTCAAATTACCCAGACGCAACAATGTCAGATTACCCAGACGCCAAACGACACAAGACGCGAGACACCCAAGAAATGCGGGACACCCAAGACACCCGCGACACCCGAGATACCCGCGACACCCAAGAAACCCAAGAAGCCAGAGGAACCCGGGAACGGCGAGAAAGGAGCACATCAGACTGGGTCTACCTCACCGAATGGGTCAATGTCACCTCCCACTCCATCACCTCCCACTCCTCCACCGCCACCACCACCACCACCACCACCACCACCACCACCACCACCACCACCACATCCACCACCGCTGCCTCCAACTCCGGAACGACCTCCCGAAACTTACATCCCAATACCCACCACCACCGCCGTTCTTCCACACTCCCCCCTGCACTTCCCCGTGCACTTCCCAGCGGTGCCCACGACAACAACGGCAACGATACCGAAGAGTGGATCCACGCCTCCGCCTCTCCCGACCCTCCGGACGAAGACTTCGAATTTGTTCCGAAGGAGGCCGCTGACGGAGGAGAGGGGGACGGGGAGTGGGATGGCGCCGATCCCGACGAGGAGCTGAAGGAGCGTGCGTGGCAGGTGCTTATGGGCTGGTTGGTTGAGAGGGTGGGTGGGGGTTGAGGTGTGATGGGGGGGGTGAGGGTTGGGGGGTGAGGGGTGAGAGCGACTGCGGGTGGGGGTTGAGGGTTGAGATTCGGGAGTGGTTGTGAGTGGGGCGGGTGGGGGAGGAGCTTGGAACTTGGGACTTGGAGATACTGGGGAAGAGTTTGGGGAGATACTAGGGGCGATACTAGGGGGAGATACTGGGGGGAGACAGGGGAGATACTGGGGGAGATACTAGATAGATAGGGTGCTGAATGGACTGAATTTGATTACTAGTTGGGGCTGTGAGGATGGTGTATTGTTGAATCGGAGTGGATTGGAGTGGATTGTGGTGTTCAAACCTGAGCGCATGCAATTTGTTATTTTCTTCGTGACTGATCACTCTTCTCAGTGAGTGATACATTATGATGATATCCAGATGTACACTACTCAAGTATACTTACCGTTGACAGTTGCATTCATCTTGTATTCGAGATCGATGAATACATGCAGCTGGCTTACGGCGAGATGTAATTGTTCAAGACTCAAGTCGGGATGGCTGGTCAGCGCAATTCCAGAGTGTAGGCCAACTACATCTCCGTCATCGAGCGCGAAAATACATTTCATCAATTACCCAGCGTAGTTACATTGTGCCATATTGTATCGTATCCCCAGTTTCAATCCGAAGATATCGACGATCTTCATGTCGCCGGGGATTTCCTGTATCCTCCACTTGGTATCCCATCTCGAACAAACATCGGGGGAGGAGTGAGACTCACGTTCTGCGGCTTGACGCGCTCGGGCTCAACGGCGGCCTGCTGCTGCTGCACGGGAGAATTGGTGGGGACAACGTAATACGGAATACCCATTGTGAGATAGTGAGTGTGTGGGAGGAATGTGACGAGTGGACACGGTGTTATGAGGGAAATGCTGTGAGCGAAAGATTGGTGCGGATAGGCTTGAGTCGAGTGGCTGGCGATGGTGAGGATGGTACGAGAGATGGAGGAAAAGGAAGGGACAGCGGACGAACCAAGGACCTTATACCTGGTATGTACATGGTTAAGCTCCCCGTCGAGTCGTTTGGACAGGATTCTATGAGATATAGAGCCACTGGAACTTAAACCTTGTGACGGTTATTTTCGGTGGGTTTGCTCAAACTCTGCATCTATTACGGGTGCATTTGAAAGCCAAAGCCAAAGCCAAAAACGTCTAGATCACATCGATACATGCTCCGTACTAGAGCGTCTTTCCTTACTACCGGTTGTCCGCGCTGTACTGTATCCTACCACAGAGGATTGAGATGTGTACTGGTGCATGTTCCCACCAAACGGTTGAAGTATGTACATACACTAGGTAACTATCTTTGTCCTCTGCGAAGAAAGAAGGAAGAGGAAGAGTCCCGTGGTGGATTTCAGCAGGTGGTGGTGGTCCAGACCGTCCACCGCCCACCGAAACCGCCCACTCTGGCCATGGGGATATTACTCGGCCAACCACACATACTTGCATACACATGTCTGTAACCCTCCGCCTGTAGGTTGCCTGCGGGAGAGAGATACGTTTCCATGAACGGTCCAGCGGCGGGGGCGTGCCGTGTATGCATACCATGCTCAAACTTCAGCAGTGATATACCCAAGCTTTAGAGTTTGGATTTAGATGTAGACATTAAACGCACGATCTAAGTTTTCTTTGTTTAATCATTCTAGCATTCGATCTTAGTAGACCATGGCTGTATTGCATATCAATGCATAATCTAATGGGCTCACGCAAACAAGTGTTGTAATATCTCAGTCGTCTGCTTAGTTGAGGTAGAAGGCACGGGCCTTTACCCCCTATTTCCTACACAGTCGAGACTCTCTACCTTTCTCTCCACCTTCTATAGGCACAATACGATACATCTCTACTATCATATTCATCACCATTTCCAACAAGAAAGATTGCCAGCACGAGTGATAGGTTATGTATGGTAGGACCCTACTACTCTGCAGTTTGCTTGCTTTCTGTGCGGACTGTGGGAGAGGGAGAGGGAGAGGGAGAGAGGGAGAGAGTGGGAGATGGAGGGTGGGGGTGGGTGTTGGCGGATGTACATATATACGCTGCTGGGATCCTGAAAGCGCAGACTGGTGGGAATACTGTATTATATGGGGTTATCTGCGCTGAATGGAATATAGATTTTTTTTGGTTTAGGAATGCTGGATTCGATCGTTGATAGCATGGCAGCATACAATTCCTTCACGGCAATCCGTCCTTCAATGTTCTTCCTTCATCCTCGCCCTCGCCCTCTCGTCCAAGATAAAACTTAACCAAGCTTTCACCCAGCTTCCGCCTTCCTCTTACTTCCACCTACCTTTCAGCTTGCACCTTCTGCGCACTTTACCCAAATAAATCACACACCACATCAAAAAAGTTATAACTTTATCTACATCATTCACGGCAACGTCCAACAAAGTCCTCCAAGTTCAACAAGTTCATCCAATCAACAATGCCAGATTACCCAGACGCAACAATGTCAGAATTCCCAGACGCCAAACGACACAAGACCCAGGACACCCAGGACAGCCAAGACACGCGAGAAAAACAGGAAAGGCGGGAAAGGCGCACATCCGACTGGGTATACCTCACCGAATGGGTCAATGTCACCACCCCCTCTTCCACCTCCGCCTCCACCAGAAACACCAGCGACACCACCGCCACCGCCAGCTCCGGAACACCTTCTAGAAACTTACATCCGAATACCCATCACCGCCGCCGTTCTTCCGCACTTCTCCCTGCACTTCCCAAAACAGACAGTAAAAACGCCAACGACAATAATAACAACGACAACGAATGGATCCACGCCTCCGCCCCTCCGGATGAAGACTTCGAATTAATCCAGGAGGAGGTGGAGGGAGAAGGGGAGTGGGACGGTGCCGATCCGGAGGAGGAGCTGAAGGAGCGCGCGTGGCAGGTGTTGATGGGGTGGTTGGTTGAGAGGGTGGGGGTTGAGGTGTGAGGGTTGAGTGGGGGGAGGTGGGGAGGTGCTTGGAACTTGAACTTGGGGGAGACAAGGGGGAGACAAGGGGGAGACAAGGGGAGATACTGGGGGAGATACTGGGGAAGATACTGGGGAAGATACTGGGGGAGATAATAGGGGAGATACTAGGGGGAGATATTAAATAGGGTGCGGAATGGACTGAATTTGATTACAATTTGGGGCTGCGAATTATGGGGACGGTGGATTGGGCAATTTGTTATTATTTCCTTCATGGCAAATTACTCGATGGTGAGTGATTTACTGTGATGACATCTAGGTCTCCTACCTAATACCGTATACTCACCGTTGCATCCATCCTGTACCTATTCGAGATCGATGAATAAGATTAGTGGCCTCAAGGCAAGGTGAGGTGGCTCAATTTGGGAACTTGGGATGGCTGGTTACAAAATTTCCGGAGTGCAGGTAAACCAAGTCCGTCATCAGGCGCGAAATCCATTTCATCAATTGCCTAGCATAGCTACATTGTGCCATTTTATATCACATCCTACAAGCCAACACGTCCATTCAGCACTCTACAACCCAGGATTACCACCACCGGAGCAACCACAAGCAACCCCCCACCCACCGCGTACCTTCCACTCGCGCCCGCAGTCGCCGCTCCCGCCATCGCAGTCCCCGTTTCTACCGTTCCCGCGGCGGCCGTAGACGCACTCCCACTCCTACTCCCACTCAGTCCCCCCCTCATCGTGGCCACTGCCTCCGTCGCCGTCGCTCTCCCCCCAGTCTCAGTATCCGTATTAAAATGCGTCCCAAAGACATCCACCGTAGCAAAGTCAAACTTTGACGTTGAGCTAGTCTCAAAACCAGACTTGGGGCTGGAACCGAAAAACAGCGGCCTACCCTATCTTAGGTAGCACCTACCCTCCTGTCCGGGGCTGACTCCACAGGTCTCCCATTTAGTGTCGCAGCACCAGGCTTCTCATTGACCACATCAGCGACAGCACGAGCGGGGGGAAGCGGGGGGGGAGGGAAGGGGTACTCTGCCCGCCGAAATCGCACACGCTCATCTGTGACGCCCGACCATCGCACGTTTGTCCACCCTTCCAGCACCGGATCTCGCTGGCGCCGCAGCAGCACACGCTTGGCTCTGTGGTGTCGGGGGCGAATGCGCAGCCGCCGTGGGGGGCTGGGCCTATGGTATATCACTATCAGCTTTCAGTCTTCAGCTTTCAGCTTTCGGCCTTCGGGTGGAGTTCGGTATGTACTCTATGTACACGCAGAGGGACGGGGGGGGAGGGGGGCACTCACAGCCGATACTTAGACTCAACTCCTCTGCGCCGGGGGCTTTACAGGTCGCCTCGTTGGGCCGGCACCAATACTGTATCGCGACCTTCTGTGCGGCGACTGGCGAAGTACCGGCGAACGCCAGTACCGTTGCTGCTACTGCTGCTGCTCGTGCTGCTGCTTTCCACTGCATGTCTGATTTGGTGCACAACTTCGAATGCCGTGGGCCTACTGGGTACGGCAGATTCAGCTTTCAGCCTTCAGCCTTCAGGAACTGGCAAAGTCTCATAGGGAGCAGCCGGACAGATCACAGCAGTCTGTCTCATTCTCGCCTACTTGGACATCCTCGTATTTGTTAGCGACTTCTTGTGCTACGCTACATACCGACAATGCGATTCGCTAGGGAAATGAAGTGTCTCAGCGAAGCAGCAGCCACACTCTATTTGCGGCCGGTGCTGGGATATGTCGGTAATGTGGCGTCGCACAGCCAGGACTGCTGGGTCTAGAGCAGATGCTGGGGACCATGGGATATCACTCGTACGTCACAGGTTATTCTTCAATTTGGAAGTTTGAAGGACATAATATTCAAATCCGACTACAAACGACTCAACTCGGGCATATCAATCCCCGGGGCCCTCGGAGCCGAGAAGCGCGTCTCGATGTACGCCTTAACCATTCCTTGCTCCTTCTTCTCGTGGACGTAGTAGCACTTCGCAATGTCGTCGAGCTTGAGCCGGTGCGTCACGATGAAGGTCGGATCGATCTCGCCGCTCTTTACCATCGCCAGGAGTTCGGGCCAATCTAAGGCCTGTTAGCTAGGTATGTAAAGGTGGGGGCGATGAGGACGCTCACATTTCTGTACCGGAGATTGCCCGTTGCCGATAAGCCTGATCCCGCGCTCCATCAGCGAGCCGATGTTGAAGTGATTCGTAACTGTTTGATCAGCATCAGCACTTTCATCGAAGGTAGAGCGGTAACATACAGCCAACATAATCCGCAATAATCCCGACGCGCCCGAATTTTCTCGTCGACGTGATGGCCTCATTGACCAGCTCGCTCGTATCCTGCTCCGCCCCAACCGCCAGCTCGATTTTATGTGCCCATCCCTTTGCATATTCCCCTCCGGCCGCCTCGATACTGACATCGACACCACCCGGCACACGGTCATGGATCTCGGCGGTGACAGTCCTTCCCCGCGGGAGCTTGGTGAAATCCAACACTTCGATCCCGGGAATCTTCTTCAAAGCAAACTCGGTGCGGAAGTTTCCGTCAATGCCGATCACGCGCGACGCGCCCGCTTTGAAGGCAAACATCGACACCAGCAAGCCGATGGGTCCCAGCCCCCACACCGCAACGGCGTCGCCGGCGTACACGCCCGTGTCTTGAACTGCGTGGTAGGATGTCGGCAGGATGTCGGCTAGGTACAGGCCTGGACGGAATTAGCATCGAGCACTGAAACACAGATGTAGGGGATGCGAACCTTTCTCATCCGGCACCTCGTCCGGCAACTTCAGCAAATTCTGTGCCGCATACGGAATGCGCACATACTCTGCCTGGCCACCGGCATACCCACCCACAAAATGGCTGTATCCAAAGATCCCGCCCATCTTCGATCCGTACAGATCCCCGTGCACATTACTCGGGTTCGTCTTCTCGCAGGCGGTAGTGAGCTTCTGCTTGCAGAATCTGCATTCGCCACAGGAGACGACAAAGGAATTGGCAACGCGGTCGCCGATAGAAAGCTCTGTCACTGCAGAGCCGAGCTCAGATACCCGCCCTACGAATTCGTGCCCGAGGATGTCGCCCGCTTTGAGCTGCAGGATCACGTTGTGCAGCAGATGGATGTCGCTGCCGCACACGGTTGTACCGGTCACCTTGACGATCACGTCGGTGGGCTCGAGAATCTTTGGCTTGTGGGTTTCAACTGGGGTTCTCTCTCGTCAGTATGGGGAGAAAAGAAAGAAGGGAGAAGGTCGCAGGCACATACTAACTCTCACATCACCCTTCCCAAACCATGCCAGCGCCTTCATAGTCTCTGTCGTATCTGCTGTGCCGGCTGCAGCATCGGGCTTTGATACGTCGGTGATGGTGTCGACGTTGGAGTAGTCACGGCCGAGAACCTTCTCGGCCAGATTCGAGGCTGCGTTGAGAGCCATTGATAGTTCGTTTTACGGTCGTTTTGTTACTGGTCGTTCGTTTTCTCTCAAGGATAGGCGTTGTAGAGTTTGCGGAGGCTGTTCATCGGTTTGTGGGAGACCGTGGAGGGATATATATTGAGCTCGCTTCGTGTACATGATGACGTCTCGACTACGTTGAACGTTGGAGGACTGTCGTCACATCAAACCACCCTTACTTCGGATACCCTTTTCCCGCAACCTTGAGCTCCGGAAACCTGTATTCGGTACATCGGCTCCGCATGCGGCGGAGATGGGAATAACGTCCGGTGAGGTTCTCTCTTTAATTGTCTTCGGCATTTCTCGCTACCGTCCTGGAGCGGGAAGTTGGGAAGGTGGAGAGCTCGACATGTGGGTGTGACGTTTACCGTGTGAGGTCAGACTGATGGCGAGTGCTGTGGCGAGTGCTGTGGCGAGCTCTGTGGCGGGTGCTGTGGCGGGTGCTGTGACGCGTGCTGTGGCGAACGTGATGGGTAAAAAAGAGGACGTTGGGGACTCCTATTCGAAGCCGATCCGACACCCCAACCTTAAGCAGCCCATTCTCCACCGGTTTTTAAAAAAATCGGAGGCCTCTATTCCGCTCGCTGCGCTTGGTGATATGCTCATGATTTTCGGTATCCCTTTTGGTTTTGAATGAAAGACACTGGTACCAGCTAGAGGCCATTGTATGATCGAGCCAGCGGCCGTACTACAGATCTAATCTCAGATAATCAACATCAGCCATCATCTATGCGAGTGATGCCGAGTGCATCTATCGTAGACTGATTGGGCCAGCAAAGCTTGAATGAAGCGACTAACTACCAGTAGTTACATCACAGCGCTGATCTCTCGCTAGCCCAGCGATTCTCACTTCCATTCCCCATCCTCACATCATCCAATCTTCCTCTGAGTATCCATTCTCCTTCCCAACCTCATTCGCCCCTCCACCACACACCGCCGAGCAACGACAGCTTCGCCACTTGAGGATTGTCGCGTGTGATACTAGATTGACGTGCGCCAACAGGACGGGTGAGGTTTCGTGAAAAATCACCAGTGAAATATCCTAGCAGCAACATCACTGAGGCTAAAAGTACTTTGCTCTTTGATTCCGAGTGTAGTAAGCATTCTAAAGCGTCGGTCTTAGGCAATTGCACGCTCTGGACGCCGCATCCTCATTTTTTCCCGAAGGCTTGATTTCGACCACCACCACTCGGAGTCCCGGACTACCACATGATTTGCCGGGCACAAGGCACTCTACCCGACGTCCTCCCATCGTCACTCGATTACCATCTTAGTAATATCAAAGTTGATCTATATCCCAGCAATCCGGTCCAGGCGGCGGGCTATTCACTCGTCGTGACGGGAGTGTGGGCAAAAAAAGCAACAAATTTACGCCGTAGTCTCATATAGGCTGAATACGAATATGGTGAAGCAATGAAATAGCCCTGAAATTCGAGCCCAGCTCAGACACAGAGCCTTGTGTAAAAAGCATACTGCTGCTTAGCCTGGCGGAGGGCCAGTTATTGCCTCAAGAGCCCGAAATCGGGGGCTGCAGAAAGTACCAACTTAGAGGTGTGAATCTCGCCAGACCTAATCCAAATAGGCTGCACACGATCAATGAAGAACCCGAAAAAGAAATACATCATAGCATTCCGGACGTGGGGGCTGGTTAACCGTGTTAATCTTCCCATGTGCTGCTGCCGAAAAGCAGTTTCGCGTTCCGTCACGCGCGCGACCTTATCGTAAGTTCAAACTTCAAACCGTATCTTTGTGTGACCGACACCCACTTTGACGTGATCGCTCCAGTCGGCTGCATCCAAGCGAAGCGAGGGTCAACTTCTCCGTATGTAGATTACATGCCGCCTGCGCGCTTATTCATGCAACATCCATCCCAGGGCGTGGGAGAGGTAATTCTACGTAACCCATGCAATCCTGACCGTTCTGCAATCGCACCCTTCGCTTTCGCCATAGATACCGCGTCCGCCAGATTCGCCAGCATATCACCCCCCAATATAAATTCTTTCCGGGACCGCATCTCGGATGGAATTCAGCGATGCAACGGCCATCCGTGCGTGAGCCAATGAGAAGAATGTGGATATCTATCCTTCGTCCTGTCGTCACACTGCCTGTTCGTCACCTCATTGATGGTGGGGCAGAAGGGAACGGGGAATACCCCCACTCCAGCGGTACCGTCTTCTACCTTCCTCGGGAGTGTGCAGTTGCTGATACTACCAACCTTTTGTTGCAGCTTGCCTTTGCCATGATCGTCTTCGGTGTAGCAGCCAAAGAAGTCGGAAAGACATAAGACACCCGTACTTGGCATATGAAAACTCCATCGATTCCTCAAGTTCTGTCGCTGCAATGGCTGATTATTCCCTCCCTCCAGCTCCGAAGGTCGACTCGACAGCCTCCAGCATAACCTCCACCAAGCACAAGGAAGCCGGCGGCACAGACTCCAGTACTTCAATCCCCGCCTACTCCAGTGCCGACGGCGGCGGCGCCTTCAGCCATGAAACGTCACTGAATCGCTTCTACAAGCCGATCGCGGAGTACGAAGGCGCCCACCGCTACGATCCGGCAGCGGAATGGACGGAGGTAGAGGAGAAAAGGATCGTCAAGAAAGTTAGGATACCTATTCAAATTCTCTGTGGCGTATTGCTGACTGCAAGAGAAGATCGACTATAGGGTCGCATCATGGTGCTGCCTCATGTTCTTCGCCCTGCAATTGGATAGAGGGAATATTCAGCAGGCGCTGTCGGATAACATGCTGGACGATCTGGGGCTCACGACGGATCAGTACAACTGGGGACAGACGGTGTTTTACATCTCGTTTATGTTTGCGGAACTCCCGTCACAGCTGATCAGTAAAAAGCTTGGGCCGGATCGATGGATTCCGTACGTATACCGACTTCGAAGGCAGTGGATGATCCTGGCTGATGCGTCTCTTGCAGAATTCAGATGGTCTCGTGGAGTATCGTGGCCAGCTGCCAGGCAAAAATGAATGGATATGCCTCCTTTGTGGTGTGCAGATGTCTTCTTGGCTTGATTGAAGGAGGGTTCGTCGTCCCCATCCACCCCCACGATCTTATCCCTACTGACCAAACTAGTTTCATCGCCGATGTCATCCTCTACCTCACCTACTTTTACAAAACCAAAGAGCTACCCTTCCGGCTCTCTCTCTTCTGGACCGCCTACATGAGCACCCAAATCGTATCGGCATTTCTCGCCTTTGGGATCCTTCGTCTACGCGGAGTGAACGGGATGGAAGGCTGGCGCTGGCTGTTTGCGCTGGAGGGCTCGCTCACGGCCATCATTGGACTGCTGAGTTGGTTCTATATGCCGCCGTCGCCGACACAGACGAAGGGAGGACTCCGCGGAAATGATGGTTGGTTTAGTGAGCGCGAGGAGGTGATACTCGTCAATCGGATTCTGCGGGATGATCCTAGTAAAGGTGATATGCATAATCGCCAAGCGGTAACACTGAAGTTGCTGTGGGAGTCCCTGAAGGATTACGATATGTGTACGCTTCTCTTCTCCCACCTAGACGCCGCAGGCTATTTGCTGACTTGATCCAGGGCCAATTTATCTGATCGGCCTTACCTGGACCATTCCTTCTGCGCCCATGACCAGCTACCTCACACTGACCCTACGCTCACTCGGGTTCGGCACTCTAGAAACCAACCTACTCACGATCCCGGCACAATGCATCTTCATCATCGTCCTCCTCATTATCACCTGGCTCTCGGAACGAATCAACCAACGGTTACTGCTCGGCGTCGTCGGCCAGGTTTGGCTGTTGATACCACTCGCAGTGCTCGCCACGCTTCCCGCCGCCGCGCCAGTGTGGGGACGCTATGCCGCGTGCACATTCATCGTCGGGCATGTTTACATCCATGCTATTATCGTAAGTACTCCGTCCTCCGCACCCGTATTTAACGATGACTGATCGGCACAACTCAGGTGGCGTTAACCTCTCGCAACGCTGGCTCGGTACGCACTCGCACAGTCGGCAGTGCAATCTACAACATGACCGTTCAGGCGGGCAGTATCATTGCCTCAAACGTACCTAACTACCTCTTCTCACGCACCTCCCTTTCTCTGCCGACTCCCCACTAACAAAGCTCGTAGATCTACCGCGAAAACGACAAGCCCCTCTACCGCAAAGGCAACCGCGTGCTGATCGGCATCTGCGGCCTCAACATTGTCCTGTTCGTGGCGGCGAAGGCTTATTACATCTGGAGGAATAAAACAAGGGATACGCTGTGGAATGCGATGAGTCTGAAAGAGAAGGAAGAGTACCTTAACATTACCGAGGATAGGGGGAATAAGAGGTTGGATTTTAGGTTTTCTCATTGAGTGGAATGTAAATATTATATGCTGAATGGAGAATAGACTTTGCCGTTAAAACGGTCTTTAGCTTTGAACAGTCAAACTTCTCCCGTGTGATCGACATCCAAGCTGGTCGTCAATTCCTAAGCGAAAAAGGAATATGGTCTCCACGGATCCCATCGCCAAAAGTTAAAACCCTTACCCACACTCTAACTAGAAGCTATCTAGATGTAACTTTAGTAATGAAACACAACCCGAAGTTCGCCATCGTTCCTAAAAAGCTTAACCTAACCACCAACCCCACATAACTCAGTTGTTAGGCAGCGGCGCAGCATCGGGCCATGGTGGCAGAGCTTTCTCTCGACCCCGCGGAGCTAGCAGGAAAGGTTGGGAAGTTGGTGGTCGCCATAGTCTAGTAAGGCTACATGCGGCAATAAATTGATGTTTTCTCTCTCTCTCCCCACATAACTCAATTTCGTGTGTACATAGTCTCAAAAGCGAGGATGCTATCGCAGTCGTCGGTAACTACCGCTAGATCTGCCAGGACCGCCGAAAGGGTATCGCAGGGAGGCACGTCTGCACGATATATAGAGTTGCTGTGCGTAATCGCAAGGGCGGGGTTGGTGGTGAGGGTGGTGGCGGTGGTGGTGGTGGTGGTGGTCGTGGTGGTGGTGGTGGTCGTGAACTCTTGATGCTCGTCGCAGATGGTATCGCCGGACGGAGGGGGAAGGCCGAGACGGATATAGCCATACGAAGTTTCCCGGCAGTGGATGATTCCACCATGCCTTCCAAGACTCCTTTAACTAGCCCAACAATGCCGGTTTTGCACCACAGACTACCGTAAAACTCCCTTTCTTGCAGTGGGTGTGCGGAGCAGAGTGATATCACATGATGGGATGCGATGTGTCCACTGTCCGCCGCACTCAAGCTTATGTTTCATTTCTTTCTCGCATCTTCCAGTGTGCCTGAACTTTAAACAGACAGTACTCGACCCACTGCTGTAAACTCTCGTTCTCGCTATAACAGCATTACCAAAGGTAATAATACACTAAAAAAAGCATCAAATAAGTTTTCCATTCTACTACTTAACTCTATACTGATCCGCAAAGACCTAGACCCCCCTCAACATCCCCGTGGTCGAAATAAACTCAATGCATGATGCTATTCTCGCCACCGGGGACATAACCATAAAACCCCGCAGCGACAAGTCCAAATGCTAACAAGTATCAAGGCCCCGCAGTGGGGCCCCAGCCGCTGCTCATAATCATTCCGATGCCGACAGTATAGGCCTACGAAACTTTCCGGCAGCCTTTGATTTCACCATGTCTCCCAAGACTCCCTCAACTAGCCCAAAAATGGCGGGTTTGCACCACAGACAGCCGTAAAACTCACGTTTTTGCAGTGGGAATGCTGAGCAGAGTGATATCATGTGACGGAATGGGATGTGTCCACTGTCCGGCGCACTTGAGTTGCTTTCTCGCATCTTCTAGTGGATGAGACTGAAGGACAGTTTCGACCCCCAGCTTTGAACGCTCGTTCTTGCTATAACAGCATTACATAATGTAATAATACACCAAAAAAAGCATCAAATAAGTTTTCCATTCTACTATTTTAACGTTTATACATCCCCACAGACCTAGACTCCCCCCCCCCTTCACCACCCCGTGGTCAAAATAAACTCAAGACATGATGATATTCTCGCCACCGGGCACATAACGATAAACCCCACACCAGAGAGACAAGTCTAAATGCTAACAAGGCCCCGCAGTGGGGCCCAGCCGCTGCCCGTGATCATTCCGATGCCGACAGGCTACATTTGCAACACCGCAACATGAAGAAAAAGCTAGAAGAATAGTGAAGTGTAAAGAAACATTTTCTAAAAAAATTCTCAATAGCATATACTCCAGAGTCCATCACCGTGGATCCCAACTTCCAGGCCAAACTGGTTACTGAGGGTCCCAATTAACCACCCTCTCCCGCCAGGCCATCCTCCATTCTCCACTGCTTCTCCTCCGCCTCTTGATCTCTTGATCTCTTCAGCTCCGTGAGCTTAGTCCTCAAGAGTCTAGTAGTTAGTTGTCTTCTTCTTCGTATGCCTTCAGGCTTCAGGCATCTGAAACTGGTCGATGAAGTAGGCCATCAGGACTCAGCAAGGAGCATATCCCCCAACCTCTTCGCCACCCTCTCGCAGCTCTCCCCACCGCCGAGCTGCTCCACCGCCCGCTTCCTCATCTCTTTGAGCTCCCGCTCCACATCGTGAGCCTCAACGGAGTCGTCGCCACCACGGATCAACATCCCGGGACGATCCGGGTGCTCCAGGAGGCTCATCTTCTTCGCGAGGGCGGCTGCGCTGACTGTCAGCCGGGCTCCACGGTGGCGGGCGGAGGGGGGGGGAGGGGGGAGGAAGTCCGCACCATCAAGTGCCTTACTCTTGATCTTGAAGCAGATCACCATGCTGATGCCAGCACCGCCAGCACAGCCAGCACGAAATAGCTTTGCGTCGGGGCTCATGGGGTCGAGGGGGAGGGGCCCGACGAAGCGCTTTGCGGGGGGAACGGGGATGGCGGTGGTAGGGATTGCGCTGGCGATAATCGCGCTGGCCGCCTTCTTGTTCTTGTTCTTCTGGATGCGCGTCGAGGTGCGCGTAGCTGCTGCTGCTGGGCGGGCGATTGTCTTCGTCTTTGCCATGATGGATTTCGTTGGCTGTCTAGGTAGTATGAGAGGTGTGGAGTGCGCTGGTGTTGCGTGTAGCTGTGAAAGTAGAGGAGGAGTTGTGGGTCGAGTGGAGGGTAGTTGCGAAAGTAGAGGAGGTGGTGCGAGTGGAGGGTTATAAACAGTTGTGAAAGTAGAGGAGGTGTGAATGGAGAGTTGAGGAGTCAAAAGTAGCTCTCGGCTAGTGTATGGAGAATGCGAAAGTACACAGAAGACCTTCCCACCCACAACGAACTCTGGCCCTTATGAACTTTACTTCTCTATGGATATATTTCCGCAAATTCTGATGAATCCATAGATGCTTCTAGGCTCACGGTTCACCCTGTCCGCGGAATCTCTATGGAAGATAACCTTCAGATTGAAGCGACTCCCCGATGGCAACACTACGTGATCGAAATCCAGTCGCTTGACAAAACATTTGTGCAAAGAGCACCAATCATTCGTATCATTACACAAACTTTTCAAACACAGAATTACACAGTAAAAGCAATGCTTTTGGCGTAAAAAAACACTAATTGCATGAACAAAATCCACCACCTACTACCACTCCGAGAACCCCACATCCGGAATCATTAGAAACATCACAAACATCGAACGCGAAAATCAAATGAAAATCTAAACATCATCATCCGGGACGCAAACACGAATGTCGTCAATCTGGAACTCGACGGGCTTAGCACCCTTGGAGGCGCTCGCAACTTCCTTGTAGGTCGGAGGCTTCTTGTAGTTCTGAACACCGGCAAAAGCGACGTATGCGACATTGCTCCAATTGAGTTCCACCAGTTGCTGGAACGGTTGAGGGCCGCTGAGATTGATGTCACCGCAGACGCTCGGATATCCAACGTAGTACTGGTCCTCGACGGTCCAGGCGCAGTAGACAATGCCAGCATAGTCGTTGTTGGAGATACTGCCGATAGGCTTGGTGGAAACCTTGAACGACTTGAGAACAAATGAAGTGGTGTCTCCCTCGATGTCAAACGTGATGCGACGGAAAGTTGGCTTGTTGCTGCTGATGCGAGAATGAAGAGAGAGATACTGAGCACCCTCGATAGTATCCTGGCTGCAAGTCTGGTCCAGATAGTAGTCCAACTGGTTGCAGTTTAGGAGTTGCCTGCGAGTAAAGTCATTAGCCATGTGTTAGAGCGATAGCAGCTGGAAACCAACCATCCGTCGTCGAAGGTGAAGTTCTTGTACTCGAACGGGGTGGGGGGAGAAATCACTGGCTCCTCGGTGGTGGCGAAGTCATCGAACTAAACAAGTCAATAACACATCATCGCTGCAAGGTGGGCGAGAACTTACAATCAGAACATCAGGCTTGTATCCAAACGGGCACTCTGGAGAAGGAGTCTCTGTGGGGATACCAGTCTCCGTGGAAGACGGCGTGTCAGTCGAAGAAACATTTTCTGTGGAAGTGGGAATGTCCGTGAGGGTGGAAATGACGGATTGTGTAGCTGTGGGAGAAGGGGTCACAGAAGGTCCTTCAGTTTCAGACGAAGTTTCAGAAGGAGTAGAGGTCTCGGAGGGGGTCGCAGTCTCGGATGGGGTTGCGGTCTCAGAAGGCTGAACCGTCTCGGAGGGAGTAGCAGTCGCGGAGGGGGACGCAGTCGCGGAAGGCATAACAGTCTCGGAGGGGGTCGCAGTCGCGGAAAGCTCAACCGTGTCGGAGGGAGTAGCAGTCACGGAAGGCTCAACAGTCTCTGAGAGAGTAGCAGTCGCGGAAGGCTCAACAGTCTCGGAGGGAGTAGCAGTCTCGGAGGGAGTAGCAGTCTCGGAGGGAGTAGCAGTCGCGGAAGGCTCAACAGTCTCGGAGGGGGTCGCAGTCTCGGAGGGAGTAGCAGTCTCGGAGGGAGTAGCAGTCTCGGAAGGCTCAACAGTCTCGGAGGGGGTCGCGGTCGCGGAAGGCTCAACCGTCTCGGAGGGGGTCGCAGTCTCGGAGGGAGTAGCAGTCTCGGAAGGCTCAACCGTCTCGGAGGGAGTAGCAGTCTCGGAAGGCTCAACAGTCTCGGAGGGAGTAGCAGTCGCGGAAGGCTCAACCGTCTCGGAGGGGGTCGCAGTCTCGGAGGGAGTAGCAGTCGCGGAAGGCTCAACCGTCTCGGAGGGGGTCGCAGTCTCGGAGGGAGTAGCAGTCGCGGAAGGCTCAACAGTCTCGGAGGGACTCACAGTCGCGGAAGGCTCAACCGTCTCGGAAGGGGTCGCAGTCTCAGAGGGAGTAGCAGTCTCAGAGGGAGTAGCAGTCTCGGAGGGAGTTGCAGTCGCGGAAGGCTCAACAGTCTCGGAGGGGGTCGCAGTCTCGGAGGGAGTAGCAGTCGCGGAAGGCTCAATCGTCTCGGAGGGGGTCACAGTCGCGGAAGGCTCAACCGTCTCGGAGGGGGTCGCAGTCTCGGAAGGCTCAACCGTCTCGGAGGGAGTAGCAGTCTCGGAGGGAGTAGCAGTCTCGGAAGGCTCAACAGTCTCGGAGGGAGTAGCAGTCGCGGAAGGCTCAACCGTCTCGGAGGGGGCCACAGTCGCGGAAGGCTCAACCGTCTCGGAAGGGGTCGCAGTCTCGGAGGGGGTCGCGGTCTCGGAGGGAGTAGCAGTCTCGGAGGGAGTTGCAGTCGCGGAAGGCTCAACAGTCTCGGAGGGGGTCGCAGTCTCGGAGGGAGTAGCAGTCGCGGAAGGCTCAATCGTCTCGGAGGGGGTCACAGTCGCGGAAGGCTCAACCGTCTCGGAGGGGGTCGCAGTCTCGGAAGGCTCAACCGTCTCGGAGGGAGTAGCAGTCTCGGAAGGCTCAACCGTCTCGGAGGGAGTAGCAGTCTCGGAAGGCTCAACAGTCTCGGAGGGAGTAGCAGTCTCGGAAGGCTCAACAGTCTCGGAGGGAGTAGCAGTCGCGGAAGGCTCAACCGTCTCGGAGGGGGTCGCAGTCTCGGAGGGAGTAGCAGTCTCGGAGGGGGTCGCAGTCTCGGAAGGCTCAACAGTCTCGGAGGGGGTCGCAGTCTCGGAGGGAGTAGCAGTCTCGGAGGGGGTCGCAGTCTCGGAGGGAGTAGCAGTCGCGGAAGGCTCAATCGTCTCGGAGGGGGTCACAGTCGCGGAAGGCTCAACAGTCTTGGAGGGAGTAGCAGTCTCGGAAGGCTCAACAGTCTCGGAGGGAGTAGCAGTCTCGGAAGGCTCAACAGTCTCGGAGGGAGTAGCAGTCTCGGAAGGCTCAACAGTCTCAGAGGGAGTAGCAGTCTCGGAAGGCTCAACAGTCTCGGAGGGGGTCGCGGTCTCGGAGGGAGTAGCCGTCTCGGAAGGCTCAATCGTCTCGGAGGGGGTCACAGTCGCGGAGGGAGTAGCAGTCTCGGAAGGCTCAACCGTCTCGGAGGGAGTAGCAGTCTCGGAAGGCTCAACCGTCTCGGAAGGAGTAGCAGTCGCGGAAGGCTCAACAGTCTCGGAGGGAGTAGCAGTCTCGGAAGGCTCAACAGTCTCGGAGGGAGTAGCAGTCGCGGAAGGCTCAACCGTCTCGGAGGGGGTCACAGTCGCGGAAGGCTCAACCGTCTCGGAAGGGGTCGCAGTCTCGGAGGGAGTAGCAGTCTCGGAGGGAGTAGCAGTCTCGGAGGGGGTCGCAGTCGCGGAAGGCTCAACCGTCTCGGAGGGAGTAGCAGTCTCGGAGGGGGTCGCAGTCGCGGAAGGCTCAACCGTCTCGGAGGGAGTAGCAGTCGCGGAAGGCTCAACAGTCTCGGAGGGAGTAGCAGTCTCGGAAGGCTCAACAGTCTCAGAGGGAGTAGCAGTCTCGGAAGGCTCAACAGTCTCGGAGGGGGTCGCGGTCTCGGAGGGAGTAGCAGTCTCGGAAGGCTCAATCGTCTCGGAGGGGGTCACAGTCGCGGAAGGCTCAACCGTCTCGGAAGGGGTCGCAGTCTCGGAGGGAGTAGCAGTCGCGGAAGGCTCAACAGTCTCGGAGGGAGTAGCAGTCTCGGAGGGAGTAGCAGTCTCGGAAGGCTCAACCGTCTCGGAGGGGGTCGCGGTCTCGGAGGGAGTAGCAGTCTCGGAGGGAGTAGCAGTCTCGGAGGGAGTAGCAGTCTCGGAAGGCTCAACCGTCTCGGAGGGAGTAGCAGTCTCGGAGGGAGTAGCAGTCTCGGAAGGCTCAACCGTCTCGGAGGGGGTCGCGGTCTCGGAGGGAGTAGCAGTCTCGGAGGGAGTAGCAGTCTCGGAGGGAGTAGCAGTCGCGGAAGGCTCAACCGTCTCGGAGGGAGTAGCAGTCTCGGAGGGGGTCGCGGTCTCGGAGGGAGTAGCAGTCTCGGAGGGCTCAACGGTGTCGGACGGAGTCAACGTGGGAGTCGGCGTCTCGGTAGGTCCATCCGTGATAGGGCAACTCCGAGAGAGGGACTCGGTGATCGTCGTGGATTTCGTCTTGGTGACCGTAAGAGTACTACATTATCACTCGTAAGTGATTGTTGCTTTCAACTCAAGTAGTCAAGTAAAAACTCACCGAGGCCAAGAGATGGGATCATCGTCGTCTTTGACGTCTCTCTTCGCGGGCTTGACGCCTGGAAGCTTGAAGTCCCAGTAGCCACCAAGAGTCGGAGCACAAGTTACGACGTAAACCGACGTGAAAGTCTCGGTGACGGTAGTGGTGACCTTAGGAAAGCCTGCACCGCCGGGCCTAATCCTGAATAAAAATATCAGCACAGTCTCGGTAAAGGATACGATGACAAGAGTGCAAAAAAATGAAGACAGCAGCGTATTAGACAGTAGTGCGGTCACTGGCCAAGCAGAGTATGCATCATGAAAAATGATGCGAATGGGAATCGAAAACAGTAAGGACGAAGCTAAAAAATATTGTACGAGGGGGTGGCAAGAGACCACTACTCTGAATAGGGCTGAAGAATAAAATAGTAGATGGAAGTGGGACATACCGAGGGAAGCCGTCGGCAACAGCCAAAAAGGCCATTGCCAGCAGAGCTGGACTCTTGAGTAGCATCGGAACGCTGTATGGGCGAAGCTGAGTTGGTATTAGAGGAGGGGAGATTGTTGAAGAAAGATTGTCAAGAGTGAGAGTGAGGAGAAATGGAATGAGATTGAAGAGAAAGAGGGAAAGGAAGGCGGACGGAAGAGGAGGAAGTAGATGAACGAATGTGAAGAGGTATCCCGACAACGAATTGAAGGGATGATGAAGATGGTGGGTGATTTCGAAGAAAGAGTGAGGTTGAAGGAAGAGACAGAGTCGGGGACGGAAGGACTGAATTTATGTGGATCGAGCGGCAATATTTGGCCGACATTTTCTACATTGGGCAGAGGCGACATTGACTTTGTTTTGATACATTTGATGCGTTCATGCCTTCATGTATGAAGGGTCTGATTGCGACAGCGTTGTTCGGTACGGACAATCTCGAATGTACCCTTGGATCTATGCATTCATACATGACCGATCTGTGCTGCTTTAACACGATGAACCGATCGTGTTTGTTTACTTTACAACCCCGTGATGCGGTGTAGCTGAACCATCGTCACTTCCGGCATTAGAAACAGGTTTTTTTTGTGTCTGCCTGCTAGCTGATCTCACTGTTTACACATGCTTCGCATCATCGGCGAAATGATAGAACAGCCTTGATCCATCAAGGCCCGCAGCAGCGAGCGGTTTAGACAGTGTGCATGAGTGGAAAAAGCTGACCACGTCGACCGAAATGCATTGAGACACTCACTCCACCCGTTCCATCCCATCCTACTCGATGCAAGGCTCATCGACGTGCACCATCAAACATGTCCGACATCGACCGGTGGCCAAACGACATCAAAGCACAAGGGAGAGCAATCAGTTCATGCCAGAGCAGCTAGAAAAGCCTAGGTGCCAGTACATTGGATGGTCTACTCTACTCAGTCCACGCCCAGCTCGTAGCACAGCCAGCCCATACCCTCTTGGCCGTTCCATGAACCTCGACTACATGAACCCCACCGATCACATCGCCGCCGTTCTGGCTGCGATCGAGACCACAGTTCCCATGCTCACCCCAGCCCCATGTCACCACCTTCCCTCCCACGACGGCAAGCCCATGCTCACTGCCCACTGCCATCTCCTGCACACCCTGCAGCCCCTTGGGTGGAAGTTGTCCCTTGTCGTTCCTCCCCCATCCTTTCACCGTACCATCCGCCTTCAGCACCAACACGCTCCCCCATGCAGCTCCGACTTGCCTCCAGCCTCGCATCTCTCCCTGCTCCGGCGTGTCCTCCTCAAGCCTGAATCTTCCTTTGCCCCCCAGCATCGCATGCCTTGCTCCTGTTGCGCTCATGACGAAGGTGAACTCACGTCCACACCCTGCCGCTGCAACTGCATACCCCATCTGCACGCAGCGCGGTATACCGACAGTCTTCTCCATTGGATGTCCAAGCTGCCCCTTCCTGCCTGCACCCCATCCCCACACCTCGCCGTTGTCCATGACGGCGATCGAGTGTGCCATGCCCGAGCTCAAAGCTATCATTGCAGCTCCGGTCAAGAAGGGCTCCATGCGTGTGAGCTCGCAGCTGGTGACATTGTCGCCCAGGCCAAGCTCGCCTTTGGTCCCGGAACCGCAAGCGAATATCGCACCCGTAGTCGACACAAGTATCGAGAACTCCCAGCCAGCTGAGACGTGATCCCAACAGCCACCGTCAGGTGGAGGGGGCACTCGCTGAAATTTAGAGAACGAAGTCCCCATCGATATAGGCAATCCACACTGTCCGTACGTATTTAGTCCGCTAGAATACAGACGTCCGCCGGGGAAGAGCACAAGTGTATGATTCCCACCCGCAACCAGCGACTTGGGCGGACCCGTTTCGGGGAATACAGACGTGGAAATACATCTCGTCGGTACATGGGTATCTTCCTCGTGTCCGATCCCGAGCTGTCCATTTCCATTCGATCCAAACGAAAACAGCATTTTTGGTCGTTGTCGTTGTCGTTGTGTTGGGTCGTACTAAGCCCAGAAGTCCGCCGGGTAAATGACGTCGCTCATCGCTAAGCTCCACACAAGCCCTATTTCACAGTCCCATGCGGCTCAAGTGAAAAATGCCCACACACACAAGCGCTCGCACGCCGCACCCCCCACAATTGCGGCAGAGTCTGGCAATTGACGCGAACCGATCCGAAAATCTCCAACGACAGCACGCCCCCCCGACACCTACCGCCACCCCTCGACCGACCGACCGAACGACTTCACCCCGAATCGATCGAGAGTACACAACATGGCAGGCGACGCCCCCGTTCAATCCGTCCAGTGCTTCGGCAAGAAGAAGACTGGTATGTTTTCAACAAGCTTTCTCCCCCGATTTCGCGATTTCGAAGAATGGGGGGACTACAATTTTCGAAAGAGGAGGATGCTATAGTGTATGGGGGAGACGGTGGATAGCTCGGAATGAGAGGATGGGGAACATGGGAATGGATGAAGCGATGGGAACGGAATGGACAACAGACGGCTGACGATAGTTGTTGATCAGCTACTGCGGTCGCCCACTGCAAGGCCGGCAAGGGCCTTGTCAAGGTCAACGGACAGCCTCTGCACCTCGTGAAGCCGGAGGTTCTCCGCTTCAAGGTGTACGAGCCCCTCCTGATTGTTGGTCTCGAGAACTTTGCGAATGTCGACATCCGCGTTCGCGTGACTGGAGGAGGACACACTTCGCAGGTCTACGCTATCCGTCAGGCTATCGCCAAGAGCATCGTCGCGTACTACCAGAAGTTCGTCGATGAGCACTCCAAGAACCACATCAAGCAGCTGCTCGTCCAGTACGACCGCACCCTGCTTGTTGCCGACAACCGCCGTTGCGAACCCAAGAAGTTCGGTGGTCCCGGTGCCCGTGCCAGGTACCAGAGTACGTCTATCCTCGTCATACCCGGTCTCGCCAATGGACGGCTGCTGACAGAATCCGTACACAGAGTCTTACCGTTAATCTTGTTTTTTTGCTGGGGTTGGCGTCGGGGTGGCTTTGGTACTGGATGGACACTTTCATGTGGGGATTACGAGTATTTCCGCAATGATAATCCAAACAACTCCGTGTGCAAAAATAAGATGGTGTCTTTTTCTACATTTCTGGGTCTGGATTTGGGCGTTAGATGCGAAATCACACTGCAATAACTCAAATATTACGGTAGTGAAACATTCTGAGCCTTGTACTCTGTGACTTTATACTGCTGTCCAACCCTGACGCCTTTTGTGTTTATATCTCCGCTTCGACGACATGCGCCATCCACACATGTAGAACCCGAGAAGAGATGCTTCGATTTCCATCACTGTATGTCAGCCAGTGATCACGCTCTACGGCAAGCAGAGTCCAACGCCAGCCGAGCTTTAAAGCCTGCTCGCATGGTGAAAAGGACACGGCGTTACGTTCGTCCCGTTCAGGGCAAAACATCGATCATCGCCAGTAGACTGCCTACGAGTAAAACTGAGCATGCGCATGGTGTTCCCCTCCCCGAAGTGGGACCAGCCGTCACACTCCTACTGCACCATCTCGAAAGACAAAAAGAGTACAGAACGGTCGCACGAGATCCACTGATTTTTGCAACCATGTAGCTGGTAGAAGTGTTCAACCCCCTCTACCAAAATTTAAAAAAAAGAATTGCGTTCTGAGTGCTTGTCGATGCTGTGAAAGTTTTGTCTGTCGTTGGTGGTGTGCCAAGCCCACACAAGTTGCCCTAGCTTGAGCCGCCAAAAACGCAGTCCCCAGCAAACCCGCACAGCGCACTCGCCGGGAAACTCCACACACCAATTCCAACAACCACACACCAATATCGACAATTCCGCACGACCCCAACGACAATCCGGCCCCGCCCTGCCCCCCGTCCCTCCCCGTGCGCACCGACTTGACAGTTTTACGACCTCCGAAAAGTCGCCGCCATCATGAAGTTGAATATCGTACGTGTTTTTCTGCTCGCGTGAAGTGGTGGGCGAGAGCTGCTGGGCTAACGATTATGTCACGCAGGCGTAAGTTCTCAGCCACCACTCTACTCTGAAATCTCGCGCCCCGTTGTCTTCATCCGCTCGGTACTCGTCTGGTCTACGCGGAGGAACTGGAGGAAATTGGGAGCTACGACCGTGAAGAGGAGGATTTTGCGATGACGGGATGACGAGGGATGATTGGATGATGAGGGACAACCGACGCTCGAAAGCGATTGGCAGAAAGAAAAATCGAGAAAGAGTTCCCGGCTAACGGTCTTTCTCCTCGGTCCACAGCTACCCCGCCAACGGCTCCCAGAAGCTCATCGAGATCGACGATGAACGCCGCGTCCGTGTGTTCTACGAGAAGCGTATGGGTCAGGAGGTTCCCGGCGACTCCGTCGGTGATGAGTTCAAGGGCTACGTTTTCAAGATCACCGGTGGAAACGACAAGCAGGGTTTCCCCATGAAGCAGGGTGTCCTGCTGCCCACCCGTGTCAAGCTCCTGCTCTCCAAGGGTACCTCCTGCTACCGCCCTCGCCGCACCGGTGAGCGCAAGAGGAAGTCCGTCCGTGGATGCATCGTCGGTTCCGACTTGGCTGTCCTCTCCCTCGTCGTTGTCAAGCAGGGTGAGAACGACATCGCCGGTCTTACCGACACCACCCACCCCAAGAGGCTCGGTCCCAAGAGGGCCACCAAGATCCGCAAGTTCTTCGGACTCACCAAGGACGATGATGTACGCTTGACCCGCAATCAACGCCTACTGTGGTTCGAGAGCTGACGATTTTGCTGCTGCAGGTTCGCAAGTACGTCATCCGCCGTGAGGTTCAGCCCAAGGGTGAGGGCAAGAAGGCATACACCAAGGCTGCCAAGATCCAGAGACTGGTCACCCCCCAGCGTCTGCAGCACAAGCGCCACAGGGTTGCCCTGAAGAGGAGAAGGGCTGAGGCCGCCAAGGATGCTGCCGTAAGTTTCCGCTTTCGTCTATGCTGGCAATGACCATTAAGCTAACCCACCATCGCAGAACGAGTACACCCAGCTTCTTGCCAAGCGTGTCGCCGAGGAGAAGAGCAAGCGCACCGAAATGAAGAAGCGTCGCGCTTCTTCGATGAGGAAGGAGTAAAGGGTTGCTTTTGGGGCCGGAATAGGTAGTTCAAAAGGCATCAGTCACATTTCTCGTTCTGTGTTTTTCCTGGGGGCGCAATTTCGTAAAAAACTTCGTCCTTCCTGTGCACATTACGGTAGTTGCTTAGATGTGATCTATACTTGTGTGGTAGGCATGCGGAGAAAGGCAAGCTTGTTGCGATGGCTGCTTCGGTTCTGGGAATGAAGACTTCGTAATTCTTCACATGATGGCGCCGGCGGTGATTTCACGTGCTCTACCTACCTGAGTTTGATCTACGCGGGTGATGTCTCATGCTGCTGCTCGCCCCAGAGCTCGGCAACTCGAATCACAGGTCCATCACGTGCACGTGTCAATGCCAGCCACGCTCGATGGCGGCCTCTTACGCATGAACTTGCCGGCCACTGCACGAGGTCGCTACATCCTACAATTAGTATTCGCTAAGGCATAAAAAGCGGACACCTACTGCGGCCACTCCACGGTCAACTTCGAGGCCCAAAGAGCTAACATCGCCACCGTTTCTCAGGCCAGCTATCACCATCGATAGGTATCCGATAGGGAGCCAAAATTTCAGCGCCGTCAAGAGCAGGAATACCCCTCGGTTCTTTAACGGAGGGAAAGGCGGGCACTAGTACTCTCACATGAGGGCTTTCTGGCGTCTACCAATCGGCTTCCTATGCATACCCGCTGGGCTCGTGGTCACCTCGTCATTCCCGTCTCCATCACAAGTTCTCAGCTCCGTTCCGGGGTGTAACCACAATGAATTCAGCTTTCCGGATGGGATCAAACTGATGTCTTGCTTGCTTGCTGACTTGATTAGGATTACTTACTTAAAAGCAGCCATCTCCCCAGCCGCGCAGCTAGCTCAGCAGGCGCACGACTTACCTACCGAGTAACCTGTAACCAGAGCAGATGCAGCTACCACTAACCGATCGCGGTGATGGCGATAGCATATCTACAGGTGCGCTGTGGGGTGTTCCGTTCTATCGACCGGCACGCATGCACGCATCGCAGTGGACGAGGGTGGTGTTGGTGCAGCTGCATCCTCGACGACGACGGCGAACACGCGCGCGCCAGTCGGCCGGGACAGTCAAGATGACCACTTGTTCGTTCCTACGGGGTGGCTTTCCAGCGAACGTACCGCCCGATCTGCGGGTATCCGAATGCTACCGGTATGATCGAACCTGGAGGCTAGAGGTTGCGGGTGGGTCGTTCACGGTCGGCTTGGTAAGTCGTGCTGGTGGACGACGCCGAAACGGTTTAGTAACTTGGTACTGGGAGCTGGGTATCTGAAATCACTCGCCGCTGCTGTGCCGGCTTGATGGCTCGAATGAAGCTTGTAGGTAGCGGCAACTTTTTGACCGTCACCGTCGCCCGCAACCGGGATCTGGATCTGAGTTGTTGGCGAGATCTGGGTGGACCCTAGATGGTGAGTACAGGGCAACCAGGAAGTGAAGTTACGAAGGCCGGTGCTGATCAAAAATAGACAGACGTTGGGAGAAAATTGATGGGCTCAGCGAGTCAGCATCCCCTCCGAAGCCCTCCTACACGGTGACCGTAAAGCTTACGACGGAAGCATGCCAATAGTTACAGTTAAAAAGTCACCTCACCTCGACTTGATGGAAACTTGGTTCGAGTGATGGTAGTGGCTTCATGCATGTCAAGGCCTGGCGGAGAGTCAAGGGAAGATTCAAGAACCACGTGAAGATCCAGGATGATTAGGTACACTCAAGAGCAAAAATAACGAACAAACAAAACAAACCCATGTACTGTATCCCAGAAGTCCGGCCTGAATCTCCAGCATTTCAGATTCATCCCAGTTCCCTATTGCTCTCTGCCCAGCCCTCCCCGCGAGTCAACCCCCGGGGCTCAGCTCTCCAACTTTCCATCCACGCTCAACGCCCAACCATCCCCGCTCAACCCTCCTCCGCCGACACAAAGAGAGAAACAAAGAAAGAACGAAGGATGAAAAGAGAAAATGAATGAATGAAGGTGTCCGTTAGTCCAGTTCTCATCCCTTCCCGTCCAACCCCCTATGAGCAGCGAGCTCAACCAGTTCAGTTCCTCATCCCTACCACGGTACCACCCGTGTGTTCACCTATGTTCGCCGGCCTGCCTCCCTGTTCGTCCTCGGAATCGGAAGCGAAAGCCTGTGGGCAGTGGGCTGGACGAAAAGAAAGATGTGGCGAGTGATGGTTCATGAGCAGTCACCAGAGGAGCCGAAGACTTGTGATGTCAACCACAAGCCGTCAATCGCGATTCTTCGGCGGGGGTCGATGACCAGGTGTGTAGGTTAAGTTATGCAGTATTGAGTCTTTAGATTTGACTCCTGATCGGACCCAAAGGATATGTATGCGGACGCTGCCATCCGGGATAACACCACCACCACCGTTCGAAGAGTTGAAGGAGCATGTATGGCTTTGGGCCACTCAGCACTGTCCAAGGCTGAATGGCCACTGGGCACGTCACATTCACTACGGTGAGGATGGGCATTTGGAGGATGGGCATTTGGAGGATGGGCATTTGGAGGCTGAGGATCCCCACCGGACAGCACCAGTGCGACCCACTGGACGGTGCGGTTGCACCATTGCACCACGACGCATCATCGCGCAATTCTACACTATGCAATGCTGTGCTGTGGGTAATCCCGTAGTACCTACCAGCCTGGTGGTGACTGGTGAGTAGGCAGTACTGCAATCACAGATGCTGACATCGCACACTGCACAGTAGGTAGATCTACCGGTACAGCATCACCCAATACCTACCGGGTAGGCAGTATTGCGGTCAGAAACCCCGGGCTTGGATACGGTACCTGTTGGTCGCGCCGAGTGCTACCTAGGTATGTTTGACGAAAACGTTTCCTCTACCTAGGTGCCCTAGGGACAACTCGGCCGTGAAGCCGTAAAGCCGCGCTGTTTCGCGACGTGACAGTCGCCAAGTATTGATGATTGATCAAGCCCGACGATCCCATCGAACATTGCTACTACAGTATCACAGTGGACGGTACAAACGCGGTTTTACTATATGTAAGCTCCTGATGAGCTCTGCCGCCAGTGGCCACTGGTTTTCTCCCTACCTACCAGTCGAGATGCTGCATCCGGTGCGTATATGTAGACTCTAGAGTTACACCATCCGAAATGATGGCGCCATAGAGTTCAGCAATCCCAATCCCAATCCCAAGCTCTCGTCGCCGCCACCGCGTGATCTTGGCTGCATATTTAGCTACCCCGCCCAGATTGCCCCACTTCGACTTGACAGATGGGCAGATGGGGCACCACTATGTACTGTACGTAGACGTCATGGCGAAGTGGGTCGAGTATTCACGAATCACGATCTTTGATTCGTACCGGACGGCGGGAACGTGCCGGAAAGGATACGGGTTTGGTGGGTCGAACAAGTACTAGGAACAGCCAATAAGTCGTGCCTCACCACCTTTACGAACTATAAGTGCAAGGTGGGGCACCACTTACTTTATATCCGAATACTTGCTTAACGACTTACGCATGGAATAGTCACGTTGTGGATGTTTAAAGTACTTTAAGTACCTCCTTACAGCCGGCGGGATCAGATCTGGCGTCGATGGTTACTTCCGGAGAAGTTCCTACAGTACTCTACTCTACTCTAGGTTTCCACACGAAGCGGAACTCTGGTGTTGGGAAAACTCGATCGAGATGCAAAAAACAAACGTGAAAGCCACATTTCGGTGTTGGGAAAAGTTAAAACTGTATCAATATGCAAACGTTAAAGCTTCACCGGCCAGCTGCGAGTCTGCGACATCCGCGACTCCGCGAGCCGGCACGATTTCAGCTGGGAACCTGGAAGGCAATCCGGACATAGAGCGGCTCGAATCGCTCCGTAACCGCAGCACCCGGCGCGGCAAAAGAAGAACTGTGTTTGTGTGCGGGAATGGAATGGAAAAGTAGGTACCTACCGGTGGCGATGTTCACCGTAGTTACTCGTACGTACAAAAGTCTTCACCTGCGCGCGAGGCGGCGGGGCTGCGGAATATAAATTTGTATGTATGGATTCGACGCGTGCGGTATGCAGTCCTCTGCCGGGAGTACCCCGGATTGGACTTGCCTCCCTAGAGTACTCTACATGCTTTGGTGCGGTACCCGTACGCAATGCGCATACTCTATGCTCGGGGTATCAACCATGGAGTACATACTCGGTACTAGCACATAACCGCCGACAGTGTGTTTATGTGCATTGACTGACACTCGGCTATTACTCCATCCAACCACATGCCATGCAGATGACGCATCATGCGAGAATTCTGCGCAGTGGATTGTCCAGCATATGGTGTATGGTGGGGCAGGAACAGTAGCCGCGCCGACGGTAGTTGGAGTAGAGCACGGTATAGGGCTTCGTTTTCGTATGATGTAGTTACCGTATACCGGTACTTTACTCTAGATGGATATTGCGTGCACGCGGTAAGCACGGGAGAATAGCTCCCGTCCGTCCATCTCGTTTTTTTTTCCCGTTGCGCTTTTTCTCCAGGATTACGGTATTCGCATTGAATGCTGAGACGAAGCTGCATTTTTCCGCGGGGGGATGGATGGGTACGGTACATACGGTCATCTCGTGTATGTGGTGTCTGCCTGCCTGCCTCTGCAGCACTGCACGAGCACCCGCAGCAGCAGCACCACCACCACCACCACCACCACCAGCAAGCAGACGGCGATCAACATTTCGGTTTCTTCTTAGCCTTGCCTCTTACCTACAACTCTGCCTACTCTCCACACTCTAGCACTCCAAGGCCCGGCTTGACTGGATCTGAACATGCCGGCGGCGCGGAGAGAGGGATCGGCTTGGGCTGGCTGCTGGCTGCTGGCTGCTGGCTGCTGGCAAGGTCAAGGACCGCGGCGTGTATCTTTGACACTCCTGATCATCCATCCATCCATCCATTCCAACTCTACATCCTCCGAGCATTCCTCCCTTCGACTCCATCTCTCCCGCAAATGGCAGATATCCGTTAGCTCCACCCGCCTCGCCCCGCCCCGCACCCGCCCTCTTCTTCCTTCAACTCCCTCTCAATACATACACCGATCCAGCCAAAGGTCTCCCAGACAGATATTCTTCCCCTCGTTGCGGTTCAAGAGAAGTGAAAAAGGTCAGTAAACTTACAGAGCCCCATCCCATCCCCCCGCCACCTAGCGGATGGACCCTAGAGTACCCTATGCTACATACGCCATTTCTTGTTGTGCGTGGGGAAACTTTTCTTTGACGTTGACGTGATGTGACTTACACAGTTTAGTCTTCGATCCTCTCGTCAGTCCATTAACCTCGACGTCGCTCGCCCTCTCTCTCTTTCTCTCTATCCCTCTATTCCATCTCCCCCTCCAAACCCGCGAGTCGTTGTGGTCAATCAGCAATACCGGCAATGAACTCGATCAAACTCATCGCAGGATCGTCGCACCGGGGTCTGGCCGAGGGCATTGCTGACCGGTATGTTCCGTCCCTGTGTTGCGCGACTTTTTTTTTTTCTGGGGAGAGTGTGGGGGAATTGCTTTTTCCTAGTTACTGACTACAAGACACAACGAAACACAGTCTCGGATTGGAATTGACTCGGGTCAAGGTGTCGCACAGCTCCAACCAGGAGACGTACGTCGCGATCCAAGAATCCGTTCGCGACGAGGATGTCTTTGTGGTGCAGTCCACCGCGCCCGGCGAGGTCAACGACGGCCTCATGGAGCTCCTCATCATGATCAACGCGTGCAAGACCGCGTCGGCCCGACGCATTACCGCGGTCATTCCGAACTTTCCCTATGCGCGCCAGGACAAGAAGGACAAGAGCCGGGCTCCAATCTCCGCGAAACTCGTCGCCAACATGCTGCAGGCTGCCGGGTGCAGTCACGTCATCACGATGGATCTTCACGCCAGCCAGATCCAGGGGTTCTTTAATGTGCCTGTCGATAAGTACGTGGCTCCGGTGGCGGGTACGGGGGATGGGATGGGATGGGATGGTTGGTTGTGGCGGTGGCCTGTGGCCCGTGGCTAATCGGTCGGGTACAATAGCTTGTATGCGGAGCCCTCGACTCTGGACTGGATTCGTCGGAACGTAGACTACCGGAACGCGGTGATCGTCTCTCCCGACGCCGGCGGTGCGAAGCGGTAACCCCCCTTCTCTCCGCATCCCCGCCACCTCTTTTCTCGCCTCCGCCGCTAACGTCTGGCCCACTAGTGCGACTGCCATCGCCGACCGCCTGGACCTCAACTTCGCACTGATCCACAAGGAGCGCCCGCGCCCCAACGAGATCGGGCGCATGGTTCTCGTCGGCGACGTCTCGGGCAGGGTCGGCATCCTAGTCGACGACATGGCGGACACCTGCGGCACGCTGGCGAAGGCAGCACAAACCCTCAAGAAGCACGGCGCCACCAAGGTCATCGCGATCGTCACGCACGCGATCCTGTCCGGCGCGGCGTGCGAGATCGTCGAGAAGAGCGAGCTCACCATGCTCGTCGTCACCAATACCGTGCCCCACGAGGACAAGAAGAAGCGCTGCAAGAAACTCAGGACTATCGATATCTCCCCCACCCTCGCAGAGGCCTGCAGACGCACCCATAACGGCGAGAGCGTGTCGTTTTTGTTTTCGCACGCGCCGCCGAGCTGAGCGGATGGATGAAGTGCTGGCTGGGATTGTGTGTGTGCGTGCCATGGCCGATGCGGCGGGAGTGGGGTGGGCGGTGGCGGGTGTTAATGGGTTTGTTCCTTCGCCGCTTGGCGCGGCTCACGTTCGATCGATCTCGGAGGGGGCTCTGGGTGGGGGCTGCCCTCTCTCTCTCTCTCTCTCTCTCTCGACTATTTTGGCTGGGGAAACCTAGGCGATGAAGTCTGTACCTACCTACCTACCTACCGTGCTCACCTCCTCCTCCTCCGACAGTTTCTGTTTGTATCTACATATGGGTTTTCACGTTGCATTTTGCTTCGTTTCGTTTTCGTTTTTGCTGTTGCTTTTTGCTTTTGCTGTCGTCTTTGCTTTCGTCTTTTGCTGTCGTCTTTCGTCTTGACATTGGGGTTGACATTCGGGGTTTGCGTTTGTTCCGAGTATAGTGGGTGCTAATCTTTTTTTGATCTCTTTTTTTGGTTACGTTTGATCGTTTGTGTAAATTATGTACGTTGGTTGGCTTGGTTTGGTTCGAAGGGACGGAGGAAGGGAGGGAGAAAAGGGAAAGTCACAGCACAACTATTATACAAAAAATCTTGGGATTGGATCGGATCGGATAGGGTGGGACACTGGGATCGGGATTGGGACTGGGACTGGGACTGGGACTGGGACTGGGACTGGAACTGGAACTGGAACTGGGACTGAATTGGCTTGCGTATGGTATGTACGGGTACGGGTACGGGATATGTATGGGAATAGAGAGAGATGGGAGTTCTGATGCTTTTTGTTTGTTTTTGTCTTTGCGTTATTGGATGTATGGGTGCTAGGAGATGTATGTATGTTGTAGGGCGACGGGGATATAGGGAGGGAAGGTGGAGAGAATGAAGGTGAAGGTGAATGATGGGATGGAACTGAAACTGGGAGAGGGTAGAAGTTGTCTTCTACTTGCTAAGAAGTATGTATGAAGTATGAAGAAGTATGAAGAAGTATGTACCGTATGTGTTTACAGACTACATGCGAAATAGATTTACATTGACCATAATGCGTGATACTTTCTCGGATGGTCCATCTCTTCTCGACAACCTCTTACACATACGAGTGTTTTTTTTTCTCTTTCTGTTGGTTTGTTTGTCTATTTTGTTTACTCGTCAATTGCTATCATAGCAGCCGGACTGCACGGGACTACACGGGACCGCACAGGATGGACGGGACTGCACGGGACGGACGGGACGGACTGGATGGCTTTCGACACTGGTGACTCTCGACGAGGGCTTAGAACGAGTTATCGCGTCGATACTACTTGCCTAGGACATTTACCGGTACTCGACTCGACCACAGACTGCCCTGACGATTCACGAAGATGATGATGTTTTCCTCGTGTGTCTGGTGCGAGGGCCCAAGCTGGAAGACCACCTACGGGAGCGGTTTCGATAGATAGTCCCGACTCCCGACGGGGTGGTCCCATATTGTGTGGCCAAGTCATCAGTAGCCAAGTCCACCGGTAAACATCTATATCGCATCGCATCACATCCCCTCATCACACCAAGCACGAGATCCCAACATCTGGAGTAACACCTCTCGATTCCAGACTACGAACGTAAGTACAAACCCCTCGCAGTGCAACCTGCACGTTGCCTTGCTTGCGGCCCATCCCATCGCGCTGCAACACAAAAAAGATGCCCTCCCCATCCCCCCTCTCCACCCTACACCCACCCCACTCCACTCCACCACCACCACCACCACCAACATCCCGCCCCGTCCTCGGTAAAAACACAGAAGAAGCAAGAAGTACACCCGAACCATATTGAAGAAAACCCGAAGGAAAAAAAACAACACAATCCCCAAGCAAGAAACAGAAAAAAAAAGAAAAAACCAGTTATCCCCACTGAAAAAGAAATGAAATGCCGAAGAGAAAAAGTAGGAAAAAGCAAAGTAAAAAACACCCGGATGCCCACAATCAAACAAAACTCAAGTGCCCAAACAAATTCTCTATCCCCAAAGAAAAAATAAAAGCAATCACGCGAAACCAAAGTATCTATCACGACTGTTAGCCTGTACTCCCCGGAATGGTGCAAAGGGGATACATACTCCGCGCCTTGGGTGATAGCCGTCAACAACTGCTGTCTCAACGTCTCATAGCTCTCGTATTCTGGCAAGTCGAGTTCTACGCATCTGTTAGCCATACTCCATGAAGATAAACAGATTAGAGGGGGTAACTCACGGTTGAAGCACGTATGCGAGCTCGGCAGGCGGTCCTTGTTTCCATAGTCGCGGTGAATATTGAACTTGGAGAAGCCATTCATACCCTCGAGCTCCTTAAAGCCGTTGAGGGGTACTTTAGACGTGCCGGTAACGAACTGCAGCAACTTTGCGCGCTCCTCCTTGTCAAACGATCTCACAGCCCGCCAGAACCACTGAATCTGCGACGAGGACGCCGAGTAGTTGTGGTATTCAGTATTGTTCCTCCAGTCGTCCAGGTCGATCTCTGGCATGCCCGAAATCAGCAGCTCCAGCTCTTGCTCGTTGAAGATGTTGACCAAGTCCGCCGGAACGATGTCGTGGAATCCGATCAGGAAGTGGTCGATCTGCTCGTTGACGCTGTGCAAGAGACGGTGCTCGACCACGAGACGGACGTAATCCTGCTTGTTCTCGTTGGTCACAGGGATGTTGCGGCCGTCGGGAATCAGGTCGACTGTCTGCCTGGCGCCAAACTCGTCCAGCTCGACCGAAAACGTCTCTGTAATGACATCCTCGATATTATTCTCCAGCATCCACACCATGGACTTGTAGTACTCCAGATCCAACGTCTCCATATCCTTGAGGGACACGGGCTTGCCGAGAATCTTCTTGTAGACTGCTCTGCTGAAGTGGCAATCGAGAACCCTGCCTTCGTACAGCGCCTTTCCGATGATGCGACCGATGAACTTGAAGAAGCTTAGATGCTCAGGGTTGACCCCGCTCATGCTGTTCGGATGGAAGGTAGTCCTGTCCGATGCCACTGGAATGAACAGGGCGTAGTCGGGGTTGAACATCTGCCTGGACATGACCTGGAACCACTCTCTCGTAACACCACCAGCGTCGACACCCTCCTCGCCATGAAAGCGGATGCTCAGCTTCGCATACTTGATCTCGTCGCCCGTCTTGTAGTACATGCTCTTGTACGAATCCAAGAACACCTGATCACGGCGAACAGCGAGTGGAAGCGTCGGGTGAGGGTCTCGGACGCCCTGGCGAGTGTGAAGACGGCGATTGAAGAAGTTTCGCTTATTGTCAAAGTCGAGAACCTTGGGGTTCTTAACCAGTTGCGAAAACGATCCACTCATGAGCTTGGGATTGTTGCGGACCATCTGATTGAGGATCTTGCGGTGGTCCTCCGTGAACTTGAAGAACAACTGGCGCATCGATCTCGCCTCGGGGGTCAACTGCGAGTGCTGCGTAGACTCCTCCAAGCTGCCGTTTTTGCAGACAACCATAAGGGCCTCAATCAGCGGCAGCAAGATAGTGGCCACGTGGAGCATGTCGGAACGCTCATGGATGGCAGTAAGACAATCGCTAAGCTTCGACCACAGTGGCGAGAACGTCAGGCTCTCGTAAAGCTTGGCCAGTACGTCTCCAAATTCTTCATTAGCCGCCGCCGCCTCGCCCTCCTTCTTGTCCTCCTTCTTGTCCTTTTCTTCCGATTTCTCCTTCGCAGTACGCTTGGGATCAAAGAGGTAGTCCAACGCTGTGAGGACTCTCAACAACTTCGCCTGTTCGGAACTAGCGGGCGAGAAGTTGGCCAACGCCATGCCCTGGACCTCAGTACCGTTCTCTGCGTTCCTAACCTGCTGCAGGAGCTCGTCGAGATGCCCCAAGATGGTAGAACCAAGTCCTTGGGCCTGTCGAATCAACTCGGCGCCGAAAACATCCTTGGAACCGGGGATGCCAGAAAGATTTTGCATGGTGGCCAGAGTCTCCCGGAAGGTCTTGCTGGAACACTCGCGTGCCGTAAGGATGTTGACGACCAGTCTCAGGTTATGCTCAGGAACCACCGGGGGAACCAGGTTCCGCGGCTTCTTCTTCTCTTCTTCCTTGCCATCCTTCGCCTCGTCCTTCGCTTCATCCTTCGACTCGTCCTTCGACTCGTCCTTAGGCTCAGCACCTTCGGCGGCCGGGGCGGGCGCAGTAGCTGGTTCGGTCGCAGACTCAGTTGTCGCAGTAGCCGCAGGCGCTTCACCCGTAGCGGTAGCGGCAGCGGTCTGTTCACCGGCAACCTCCTCCTCTTTAGCCTTCTCCTCTTCCGACTTCTTCTTATCCTTCTTCAACAGGATAGTCAACGGGCGCGTAATTTCCGAAAGAAGCACCGAAAGCTGATCCATGACGCTCGAGCTCTCCGTAACAAGGGGACGATCCAGGAGTGCCAGTAGCGTATTCAGTGCGTACTTACTTGCCTTACTCTCGATGGCTTTGCCCTTACCCTTGCGGTTGACAGGCTTCTTCAATCCCATATTGATATCGTGCTCGTTCAGGAAGTAAGATGAGATGTGCTCGTTGTAGTTGACCAGGAAAGTCAAGGCGAGAAGACATTGTTGAGCGACCATAAGCGGCGAGACCTCTCCACTGGTTTGCGCAAAGATTGTCGGTCCAGTATTCGAGCGCGACAAAGTGGTGGGCGTCTTAACGGGCGTCTTGGGAGGGTGCATGATGGTCGGTTGCTTGGCCCTCACGGAAAGCTGAGCAAAGCACCTCTCGACAGCAGCCATATCGGCGCTGCCATCCTGAAGAATCGACAAGAGCAAGTTGACAACCTCGGCACGGTTCTGGCGGTTCTCGCAGATGCTCAGGAGAATCTCGTGAAGCGTCACACGCGTACTGCCAGACTGCGGCATAAACATCAACCGGAGTAGCGTAGCAACACCAGCCTTGTCCAACAACTGCACAGTACCCTTGCGCGCAGGCTTTTTGACTTTCTGCTCGTCGGGGTTCCGGAGATGCGCTGCTCCACGGTTGCGCGGGACTTCAACAAAGTGGCCGTGGAAGACGCGGTCACCCCGCAGGGCATTCGCCTCTTCGAGGATGGCATGGGGAAGATGTGCCAAAGCCTCATCATCCTGCTCCATCAAAACAGTCTGTCGCAAGCCAGGCTCGAGAGTGGCCAGGAAAGTCGCCAAGTCAAGATCCATATCACCCGGACCTCCGCCTCCACCCTGGGCTCTAGCGGCTTCCTGTTCCCGACGCCGTCTGTCCTGTGCTTCCTGATCCAAAAGCTCCTGACGAATGTCATCGGGGAGAGCATCTAGGAACTCGCGGCTGATTTCGCTGGCTTGATCGCTGCTCGCGGCCGCCGCACGACGTTCGCGGATATGCTGAGTCAGAGCCTCCTCCCTCATTTCTTCAGGGATAGCCTCCAAGAACTCCGGATCGATGCCCATGCCGGTTATGTCCATCTCACGGCCTCGGATCATGACGGTAGCACGTTCCACGGGTGCGGAAGGACCGGCGGCAGCAGCTAGTTCAGCAATTTCAGTCTGAGTGGCTTCCACTCCCGCCATGGCCTCTCCCGCTGGTGCCTCCACAGCCTCCGTTGCATCACCCTCAGGCACACGGGTAGCAGCCTCGGCAGCCGCGGCCTCCTCCTCCGCCACTTTAGCCCGCTCGGCCGCCTCCTTCTCTTCCGCCTCCTTACGGGCCTTCTCCTCGGCCTCCGCCTTCTCCTTCTCGATGCGCTCCTCCTCTGTCTTCTTAGCCTTTTCTTCCTCCAACTTCGCCCGTTCGATCTTAGCCTGTTCCTCAAGCGCCTTCCGTTTCTTTTCCTCCTCAATGGCCACAGGAACAAGGCGGTAGAGGATCGTATCGACAATGCGCTGAGCACTGTCTTCGATGCGATTACCGAACAGAATGCGTGCCTCCTCCATCCAACGAGCTGGAGTAGAGCTGGGCTCGAAGCGGCCGACCTGGTTGGGGTCCTCGCGGTGGAGACGCATGGGCTCGTGTGAAGGACGGAAATTACCAAACATGGATCGAATCTCGCGCTGCATGCCGTGCGGGAAGCGGTGGTGCGGGATGGTAGCTTGAATCTGGAAGGCCCCGTTATGCATGACACCTCCGCGGTTCATGAGGTTCATCAAAGTGCTAATCATCGACACTGGGCCGCCGTCGCCTGGATGCATGCCGCTGAAGGCCTGCGCCCATTCACCCATGTATTCATGACGGTGCGTGCTGTGACGGAGAGGCGCGGGATCGTTGTCGGCCTGTTGGAGGAGCGGGTTCTGCTCACGGTTACTAGCGGGGACGCGTTCTCCAGAGGCACCCAAGTAGTGACGCGATCTTCCAGGCCTCGTCACTAGACGGACAGTCAGTGAGCGAGCGTGAGTCAAGGCGTCTGGAGGAAGTGACGTACTGAAAACCGGCGGTTCTCTCGGTCCACCGCTAAACGTAAACCAGCCACCTGTACTCCGAGGTTGAGTACGTGTCATAATAGGGGCATCATCCCCTTCCGCCCACCCCCATGGAAAAGCAGACGCACCCTCATCGTCATCATCGTAGTCCTCTCCAGCCATCATCGCCTCCTCGTCCAGATCATCATCTTCCTCCTCCCCTTCCATTTCGTCTTCCTCGTCACCTTCCTCGAGGAATCCATCATCATCGGGGTCGTCGTTGATGTCCGGACCTTCATCTTCAAGTGCGCGCATGATGCTCTCGACACCGTTGTTAATGTCATCTGCGGCGAGGAGCTCCTCCTCGTTCATATCATTGTCGTCACTGCCGTCAGACTGCCAGTCCTCCTCGCCGCCACTCTCGTATTCATCATGGTGGTGGTGAGAGTGATGATGAAGATGTTCTCCCAACTCGTCAATTATCTCCACCTCACCGCCATCATCATCCATGTCATCTTCCGACATATCATCGTCATCTTCCGAATCAGAGTCATCGTCATCTTGATCATCCTGGATGACAACCTCCACCTAATCACATTAGTCGTACCGTCCCCAACCATAAACCAAGGCGAACTCACATCCATATTCTCCGCCCCTTCCTCCTCATCTTCGTCGCTAACCTCGCTATCCCCCTCTTCGCCAATCTCCTCTTCAAACTCCATCTCATGATCGTACATCTCCTCGTCGTCCTCATCTTCGTCATAGTCACTCGCATCATCATCGCCCATTTCGCCGCCCTCAAACAGTCCCAACGTCGAATTGCGATACAGATCCGGGGTCTCCTCTCGAAGCTCCTCAATACTCGAAAGCGACGACGCAACAGAGATATCATCGTCGTCGGTAGCTCCAGGAGTCGACAGACCGGAGGTCTCGCTGAGTTCGACGGCGGTCTTGGAGAGCAACTTAAGCGGCTTGAGCATCGACTTGATGACCTTGCGCGAGTTCGGATAGTTGAGGTCAACGTCGGCGAGTGCGTTGGTGAGCGCCGATATGTAGTTCTTCTCCAACATAATCTTGGCCAGGTCGTGCTGAGGCCTGTCGCTGAGTCCGACGGACGAGGAAACACATGGCGGCCGAACGGAGAGGACCTTGTAGAAAAGATCTCCCAGACTGGCCATGCGCGCATACTTGATGTCCAAAGGCTCAGTGGACGCACAGGCGTCTTTAAACGACTTCAGGGCGGTCTCGAAGAAGAACTTCCGGACGAAAAGCAGATCGGGCTCGTCCTCGGTGGTCGAAACCTCACCAGACTGCGTGCAAAGCGAGACGAACAGATGGATAGCCCACTGACTAAGCTTATCCTTCGTCTTCTGCTCGATATCGTCGGGAGCCGGTCCGGTGAGCGACTGTTGCGAGATCAGGTCGTGAAGCAAGTAATTGAAGATTGCCGAGCGAGGCTTCGACGGCGTGATTGGATCTCTAGGATCGGCCTTCCGGTTGAAGTTGATGAACTCGACTTTGCATCGGTTGTAGCAGCAGAGAAGTTCCATGAGCGTCATCAAGATGAAGCACCGGTAGAAGAAGTACGGGTAGTGTTCCGCCTTGAACTCCGGCTTTTCCGGCTTGGGGGCTTCCGCAGGTTTCTCCTCGCCTTTAGATGCATCTCCCAAAGCGACATCAGTATCCGCCGGCTTCGGAGCTTCCTTGGGCGGAGGCGGAGTGAAATCGTTGACGTCTTTGATGGCGAAAAGTTCCATGAGCAAGAAGTGAATGACACCGTCCGGCTTCTCGACACCCGGGGGCCTAACTTCGAGGGCAGTCTTTGGCTTCTCATCCTCAGCCTTTGTCTCCTCGGGCTTCTCGTCTTCAGCCTTCTTAGCCGCCTCACCACTGCCCTCACCCTGAGTCTCCACAGCAGCCGGCGTATTCTCCTCCGTCCGCGCCGGCTTCTCCGTCTCTTTGAGAATAAGTCCCTGATTCCTCAGCTGCGGTTCGTATCGCGAGAGCTTGCACAGCTGCGCAACGACATCGACGAAGATTTCCGGATTCCTCAAGATCAGATGGGCACAATTCTTGGCGAAGGTATTGGTATCCAACTGTCTCGAAGGTCTAGCCGAGAACTGCGCGCGAATTTCCGCCGTCATAACAGCCCTCAGAGTCTCCTCATCCTCGATGACATGGCGAACCATCATCAAAATCGCGGGTTGGAGCCTGTCGACGTTGTTGCCGGCCTGGCGACGGTACATGTGGAAGACCTTCTGTAGATTGCCTCCTTGCACCATCCGGGCCGAAAGCTCCCTCCGCCTTGTAAGAAGAACCAGAACTCGAGTGACGGCCAACGCAAGAATGCTATCCTCTTTGTCGACATGGGGCATAATCGCAACAATCGCATCGAAGAGCGCGTCTTGATCCTCATCAGAGACCTTGATTCCGGAACTCTCGACAACCGGTGACTCAGTGTCACTCTGTCCTGGAGTAAACTTGATCTTGTCGGGTTGTGCGTTCTCCGAGAGCAGCTTCTCGACGACAAGAAGGATGTTGGCAATCCACGGCGCACGACTCCCGGGGTAGACCTTAATAAAGCCTATAAGAACGGAGAGTTGGTCGTTAAGATCCTCAACCGCAGCTTCATAGAACCCCTGGTTCTGCAGGACAAGTCCAAGCAGATGAGCCGTAGAAGCAATGGTCTTTGCCTGAGACCTGAAGTCATCCTCCATCTGCAGTGAAAGCAGCGACTGGAAGATAGTTGAAGCAACATCTTTGCGTGTCTCGGGAGACGTGGCCTCGAAAGCCGAACGTATCAGCTCCGCAAGCTCGAAAGTGATTTCCGCCTGGACCTGAAGTACATCGAGCGAGCGGCTAACGAGGTTATCGCGTACTGCCGCACGGAGATCGCCAAGGTCTTCGATGGTCATGACTTTCTCCTTCGGTGCTTTGGTCTCTTCCTTTTCAGTCTCCTTACCCTTGCCCTTATCGCTAGCAGGCGCAAGTGCAATAGGCGTCTCAATGCTCATAGCCGCATCGTCTGAACGGAGAATATCTGCAGGAACAAGCGGAGGTGGCGGAGGTGCCATCGCAGGCTCGGGAGTTTCCACATTGGGAGGCGTAGGCGCGGGAGGGACCGATGCAGCAGGCTCAGATGGTGGCTGGGGAGGCGCTCGTTGACCGCTAACCAGATCAATATCGACATCGGTACCATCATCCTCGTCATCCTCGTCATCGTCCTCGTCCATGGAATCATGGTGAGGGCGATGAGGGCGAAGTGGACGAGCGGGCTCTCCTCGCGATGACAACCAACTGGCAGCAGTGTCAACATTGTCACTACACCGCATAAGCGCCTCCTGAGCTCCATCGTGCGAGAATCCCATGTCGGTGAGCTGCTTTATGCGCTCGTCCTGTGGCACCATCGACTGCCAAGAAATGATGTTGTTGAGGCCGGGCCTCTTCTCAAGTTCCTTCCGTGTAAATGCGGAGCTCTCATGATCACCTCTAAGGATGATGCCGAGGATCTCAACGACAGATTTGACGATTGCCGAGGTTGCCTTCTTCTCCATTGTGCTGCTCTCCCACATCTCCTGGACCACGGGAAGGATAGAAGCCCGGAGTTCGATCAAGAGCTGACTGGTATTGAAGTAATCCGCTCTGCTGGAATCGTTGATCGACCTCATGTGAAGAGCCTCGGATTGCCCAGCATGCTGGACGGCCCGGTCGGAAACCAAGTACGAGAACAGCAGTAAAATGATCCGGATGCCACCGTACGCGTGGGCCATACGTTGCTGATCGTTGCTAGTCATCTGCTCGACATCGTCGGAAGCCGGGAGATCCTGCAACTCGTTCCAGAAGGTCCGGAGAATCTTCTTGATCACCTCGAGCCCACCCAGCTGTTTGAAAGCAACCAGAGCGGTGGTGATGATGAATGGCTGTCTCTCCGGGGGCGTGTTCTTCGGCGTGTTGAAATAATCCGGAGCAACGCCTTCAAGCAAAAGCGACATGGTGGCGGATAGCATAACGATCCAATACCCATACTTGTCCGTGATAGACTCCGATGACTCTGATCCACACGTCAGTAATTGGCCATGCACACACTCATGCCAAACCGAAGAAAACATACCAATCCTCTCCCAGGTCAAATGCTTGTACATGGAATGACCGATCCCATCGACCAGCTTGAACGCGAGGTACTTGTGCAGCGTATCATTGTTCCGTCGATTGATCACACATTTCGCCAGTCCTAGATAACATCAGCCATGTGTCGCCACAAAAGATAGAAACACGAATCGGAACATACCTTGCAAGAAAGGATTGATAGACGTAGGAATCTGTCCAATCAGGAAGCGGATAGTCTTGACATTCCTGAACCAAGACGTATGTCCATCCTTCTCGACGACGGCCTTTTGGGCCTCCTTCTTCTGCTCGCTCGACTGCGGAGCGTCGGGCTTGTTCTCGCTGGCAGCCCCGGAAGGGCCAGCAGCAGGCGGAGGAACGGGAGCCTCTTCGATCGCAGAAGCCGCATTCGTAGCCGAATCCTTCGTTCGAGTGACTTCATCCCAATCCGCCGGAATGCCCTTTTGCAGCTGGATCTCCTCCCACACACATTGTCGTTGCAGCGCACCGAGTTTAGCGATCAAGCCTTCTCCGCCTCCCTTCTTAATGTTGTGCAGGATAACTTGCACGCTCTGTCGGGCGTTGAACATCGACTGGTGGTACAAATCCTGGAGAAGGAAGGCCAAGGCGTGTACAGTGACGAGGTTCTTGACAAGTGTCGTTCCATCGGCCTTGACACTTCTAACCGCCTGTTTCTCAGTTTCGGCTTCCGGGTCGTCGCCGGCCGGGACCGACTGAATATCGCTAGCAGGTAGACCGCCTTGCAGTCTAGGAGGCAACGGCGCGCTGTCCTTGGACGTAGGGTTGGTCAAAGGTGCGAAGTAAGGCTCCTTATCGATGTGCTCCAAAAATGGCTGCAGCTTATCGACCGACTTCTGAGCACAAGTGAACACCGCCTGGAGCGTATCGAGAAGATTGCTCTCGCAGAACAGGTGCATAGCGCGACAGATAGTCTGATTGGCCTGACTAGTAGCAAAGTCGTATGGAAGACTAGGCAGGCTATAGAATTCAAGCAGTTTGTCGAGACCACCGCGACGAAGAAGCTCCCGCGTCTGCGTTGTGTTCGTGATGAATCCCTCGAGGTACCTTGCCGCGACGTCGATATAGTCCGTGATCGGGAGCAAATCCGAATCCTTTTCAGACTCCTCATACTTCAGATCCTGTAATGTGCAAATGTCTTCCAACGATACGACCTGGCCGGCGGGGGCTCCATCGGGATTTGTTTCGCCAACAGATACTGTCGTCAAGGCATCAACATCGCTCATTTCCACGTCGTTGTTGTCGTCTTTACCCTCGGCGGTCTTGCCAGTACTCGGTCCAGATTCGTTCGCTGCGGGCTCCGCCGCGGCAGATCCAGCCAAAGCCTTCCTGCCACCAGAAACCACGAGTCCACCCTTCCCATCGTCCAGCCAGACTTTCGCGCCGATCCCGTGCTCAACCGCGTATCTCTTTCCAACTTCAACCACCCTATCCAACATGTGCAGTGTGGATTTCAGAACGCTCTCGCGCAGGTTAGGATGATGTCGAACGAGTTCGTCGAATTGCGTTCCCAGAAGGTTGTCAAGCTCTCCCTCGATCAGGACCTTCACGTGAGCGGGGCTCTCGAATATCTCGAAGAATGCATCCAAAGAGCCGGAGGCCTGGATGAGATCGAGACCCAAGGGGTTGAGACAGATCGCGCCCAGTGCGGTAGGAATGGAACCGATAGCATCTTGAGACGGCATGATCCACGAAATGTTGACGGGAAACGGCCGCGCTTCAGGCTTCGGAATTTCAGGCTTCGGCTCCTCGGGTGACTTAGCGACGTCCGCCATGGCCGCATCATCTTCACTGCCCCGCGGAACAACGACCGTCGTAGACTGTTCCGACGGACCGGGTTGGCCTTCTTCCCTCTCCGTCTCTTCCTTCTGCCGCTTTGCCTCGTCCTCTTCAGTCTTCTTCTTTTTCGCCTCTTCCTCCTTCTTCCGGCGCGTTTCATCTTCCGCCAATCCCGTTTTTCCAGTGATGGCTTCCAAGAAAGCATGCGTAATATGGGCTTCGTGGATCACGGCGTAACTAGTGGGCTCATTATGGATGAAAGCGCTGATCATGCCGACGACCGTGCTCCAGATGTGACTGCCCCAGACACCTCCCTGACCGATGACCAACCGAATGGCTTCCAGCAGCTTCGGATTGTCGACCAGATTCCGGAGCAGACGGTCCACGCCAGCACCGGACTGTCCCATCATATGTTGCATGAACTTGGTGACCATTTTAAGGGTCTGCTGCCGTTGGTGACTAATCTTGTAGTCCGTCTGTTCTGTACGATAGATGTCCGGAATGCCCTTACCAGACCTCACTTCTTCAAGACCAGCCTGTGTCTCGTACGACACGAGATCGACGACGGCGTCCAAGCCCTTCGCATTTGCAAATGTTTGGATTGCGTTTGGCACACTGTACAAGATATGGTCCAGAATACTGAGGGCCTTCGGGATGAGTCGATGAGCCTTCGTCGTGCGCATGTTGATCAGATCAACGAGGATAGGAACCAATCCGGCGGAAATAAGCATTGCCGCGGTATGGCTATTAGTAGGCAAGAAGCACATCAGAGAAAACAGTGCCTCCCTCCATTCCTCCGCCTCACCACTGGGGTCGTTACTATCATCACTACTCAGCTCCGCCACAGCTTTCCGCATGAGGTACAACAGAACACCATGATTGACGTTGACACTCAGAGCACCACAGACGTCGGCATTCCTGGTCTTGTGGCGCGCCAAAGCCTCCAGTCCACCGAGCGCCAAAGACTGCAGCCATTTAGGTATCTCTCCGCCCTTTCCTTGCCTCTCGCCTCCTTGCACCAACTCGGCCAACTGATACGGTAACTGCAACCTCCGCGGTTCGTCCTGGTCGAGCACGAGAATTTTCTGGGCAAACTGCTGTTCGTTGTAAACGTAGGCCAAGTTCGTCAGGGCCAATATCCGGACAGCGAGAATCTTTCTCCGTTTCTCGAGATCACCCGCCAAAGCCGATGCCACGCGCAGCCGATGGAGGAACTCATAATGGGAATCCGTCGGCAAATCGGGAAGCGTCGATTCGATGATTTCTTCGAGGGTAGGCGCCTCCTTGATCCGGCTGGAGGGGATCTCCAACGTCTGCATGCCACCCGCCGCGGTAGAATCTGGAACCTCCGGCACCGGCTCTTCAACCGGACGCGAGCGAGACGCAGATCCTGGGGTGTGCTGCACTTGCTGTTGGTGATGCGAATGGGTGTGAGAATGGTGCAAAGAAGACCTCCGCGTAGGAGTTGGTGTAGTTGGATCTCTAGGGATAAAGGGAGCCGGTGCCGGAGGTGCTGGAACCTTAGGGCTGACGTAGTAGCTAATCCAGGCTCCTCCCCACTCCTCCCAGCTCCCTTCTCCATCCTCCGCCTTGCCTTTTCCTTTGCTAGGAGAGAGGTTCGCGATCGGGTCCACGGGGTTCTCTCCTCGAGCAATCCGTCCAAGATCGGTAGCGTAGATCGGCAGAAACGCGCGCGAGGAAGCGGACTTGCTTGCGCCATTGATGCTCTTCAAGAAGGGTGTCGCGAGCGTCACCACCTTATTTAGGTTAATGTTGTAGTGCGAGGCCAACAACGTCGCTTGTGCCGCCGAACTGCCACCCCTCGTCCGAGAAGTGTAGTATCTCTGAGCAAGTCGGCAAGTAAGCCGCAACGAGGAAAGCAGGACATCGACATCGGTAGTGTTCAAAAGTTCCCCGACATTCTGTTTTACATCGCAACTCGAGTCAGCATGCATGCATTCCCCATGATTCGCGCCGCCGCCGCCGCGGAGAAGAAAACTTACACCACTGCTAGCGTACAAACTCCGATTTCCGCAATTCTCAACTAGTAGACGGGTGAAGTCCAGTATTCCGATCAACAGGGCCTTGTCCTCCTGCTCCCAAGAGATTGTTTGCGGACCGTCCTTAAACTTGTATTTGATCACCTGCTCCTCGAGTATGGTATCGAAGCGGTTTAGAAGTGTGATCCAGTGGTAGAGATCGCCGCGCGGAAACGGCCAATCTCTCGGAAAGGTCTGTAGGAACGGCACAAGCTCCGGCAAGGGTGTAGATATAGCTTTTGTGGTAAAGTCGCGGATGAACGGTGACTGTGTTTCGCATCGCAATGCATCAGCATCGACCCGAACGCCCAGCAGCAGCAACCGGCCGGGATCAGTGATCAGTGCGGGGTGTCACTCACCAGAGTCGCCTCATGTTTGGCCGTAGCCAATTTTTTGATCTTCATGATGCAAGCTCTCGCACGATGAACGAGCTAGAACTTTACACCAAGGGAACACACACACGCACACACCGACTTGCAGTGTATTTTGAAGTAGATGTAAGTATGTAAGGGGGGGTATGAAGGAACCGGTCACCGAACGGAAGCGTAGGTATCAAATTGACGCGACGCGGGGGTCGAGTGGTCGCTGCAAGAGAGGGCGGATGGGTCCTATGTATGTGAGTCGTGTGCCTAGCTTCGCGAATCACGTTATTTAGCAGCGAGATTGGGGGAGAAAATCTGTGGATGAGAAAAGTTACGAGGAGAGGAGTAGGGTGGGGTTATGGAGAGGTTGGGATGTTTGATGATGGCGGGGTGACGATGACGGGCTGGATGGGTTTGAGGCTGATCAGCACAAGCGTTGTGAGGAGAGTGCAGTCTCCGTTGATTTGCTTTTAGCCGATTGACGTCTGTGTTTGCAGTAGATGCCCTAGAGATGGAAGGAAGTTGGAGTTGAGGTTAGAAGGAGATGGGGTGGTGGTGGGGGAGGAGGGGGGTCGACGGTGTAGGAATGTGGAGGGGAGGAGTTTGCTTGGAGGTGTGTGATGGATGGTTTGGTTGGTTTGGGCGAGATGATCCGTTTGGCATTAGGCAGGTTTAGCGGCCGAGCACAGCGTCAGGTCTGTCCATGTTTGCTTGCGTTCTGCTGGGTCCAGCTTGCCACTGCCCGCTCTCTATCTTTCCTTGAGATTCTTCACGAATGGGAACTAATAACAAAGAGAGAAATCTACGGCATAGACGAAATCTACATACTCGAGAAAATGCGAAGAGGGAATGGAGAAAGTGGAGAGGTATCATACGGTGGAGGAGGAGAGAGAATCTAAGAATCCAACGGGTGCAACATCTACCATCCTGCAACCTCGTTCGTACAGAGCCGAGGAAAGAGATGGAAGCGAACGGAATCGGATACCGAAAGGACGCGTAAGAGGTCGAGGTAGAGCTTCCACTCTTCTCCTTCTTCTCCTCGCGACAGTCCGACTACAAATGCAAGTACTATTGCCGCTCACCGGGTCCCTCGAAGTCGACCGATGTGAATGCGCACAACCACTTTCAATTACAGCTCTTTATCATCAGGACTCTCTGCGGAGCCGTCGCTGTGCATCAACATCATTTTCATCCCTCTCCCGAGTCGAGGAATGGAAACGAATCGACCTCGAAGCGTGCGTCATAGCCAAAGCCAGAGCATCAGCCAGCTTATTCTAGCCGGATCGGCTCGCCGGGTAACCAGATATGTCTCGACCCACCAGCGGCCAGCCAGCGGCACACAGAGCCTCATCTCGGCGCCTCTTCGCCTCTTGGACTCTTGGCCTTGCCCCTCTAGGTCTGGTCCCACTTTTTAGTTAGCTGCAGGTATGCGGGAAGGCCCGAACGGGAGCGCAGCATCACGAGCACGAGCACGCCGGACAGGACAGGACAGCAACGCCGGTTGAGGATACGTCGTTGCCGGAGAATCGACTGGATGAGTCGGCTGGCGAATGTGACGTGCGGTCTTGGGCAATCCTTCACATCTCCTGTATCCTCTCCTCTCCTTCCTTCTGTATCCGTGGTCTTGCAAGGCCGCCCCTCGAGCCGGCTTCGGCTCGCAACATCGGCGTTCTCGCTACCGTCAGTTTCGGCCGTGGTGGAGCACCTACCAGCACGTCTCGCCTGGGACGGCCGACATAGGTACATACATCGCAACTGCCTCCGTCACCGAATGCTCTCATTGCTCGCAGTAAGCGTCGCCACAATCCACCTACAAGAATAACCGCTATTCGACAAGCTCTACTGTTACCTATGCGACGACCCAGATGCGCAGGCTCAGATGCGCAGGCTCAGATGCGCAGAACTGTTTTGAAAACCGGAAGAAGTGATCCTCACGCGGAAGGGACGACATTGGATGATTGTGAGTGATGAGACGGCGTTGCAATACTAGATGTACTCAAAATTGGAGAGATGGACACGAACGGAGAATAATGCCTGCGGGAGATGCCGGACTTGCCCTCATAGCATCAACACACTGGGCTTTTGAGCTGACGGTTTTATATGTTTCTTCTGCTCTCGGAAGCCTTCCGGGCTGTCCCTTCAGAGAGAGCACCAGGCCCAAAGGCATCTACTTAGCGAGGCCTCGAGTGCTATGTAATTCAGGGCCCAGTCCAAGCTTCGTTACATAGAATAACCTTATGCTACAATCCATCATCCATTTGAGATATCACATCAAATATCGCCACTCCATCAAACCCCTCGCCTCGATCAGTAGAGTAAATCCGAGTGCTCACCCATGACCGCGCCATATCCGGTACGCCAACGGTCCGCGCACAGAGCCTCACAAAAAGAGAATCTCTTGCGCCGTCGGCTCTTGGCCTTGCCGCATGCGGCGTGGGCTAGCTCGTTAGCTGCAGAAGCGGGAGGGCCCGAACACGCACCACACACAACACGCCGAACGAACCTACCGTAGAGTAGAGTAGGTACATCAACGCACATGGGAAAAAAAAGGGAAGGGAAAAGGGAAGGGAAAGGGAAGAGCGAAGAGCGAAGAGCGAAGACAGCCACTGGAAAAAATTTAATTGGCCGGGTGCGACGTGGCTGTTGCAGTTGCAGGTGCTTGCTTCGAATTTTTTGGGTACATAGACTGCACTGGACTGGACGCTTGCTACGCGGAACACTCAGCTGAGTGGTGAAGTGAGGTGAAGTGAGCATCCATCTATCACTGTCCCTCTCCCCCACCACCACCCACCACCACCACAGCCGCAGAACTGAAACAAAAATAGATGTGGGTGTGTGTGTCGCTTTTTGGAACAATAGCACGATAGCACGATAACATCAGCATCTTCAAGGCCGTGCTGTTCTGATAGGTAGGATGAGTAAAGAAAATGGCACTGCCAGCCCAGCCAGCCAGCCGCAATCATCTCGGATCGAAAATACAATCCAAGAAGGGTGCGTGTGGGATGTGTGCGGTTGTTCGATGCGCCGGTTATGTATGCATGTACCTGATAGTTAGATGCCAGTACATACAGCAGAGTACATACCGGGCTATATGTATGCTCATGTATTCCTCAGCAGTCGGCGCCAGCAGCCAGCAGCTCGACGCACGACGGACTTCTCCTGATTCGTTCGTGACTGATCGGAGCATCTTCTCAGCCGCTCGCTCTGCTGATGAGTTCATGCGGGGCAGAAGAAAAAGAAGTCAGAGAAAGAAAGAAAAGAAGCAAGAGACAGAAGGACCGAGGAAAAAACGAGACTCAAGAGACGTGGATTCGATCGCAAACCCGCACCCGAGGAGGAGAAGAACCAGCGCCAGTCCGGTCCACTTGGCAGGAACACAAGTTAACTCGAGCACCCTCCGTGCTAAAGACGACGGGGATTTATTTGAGCTAAAGTAGCAGACCACGACGCCGTTGCTTGCTTGCTGCTACATGGAGTGCTAGTTACTATTGTGACGGATGGACGTGTGTGGTGTCGAGCGAAGCCCTCCCTGCAGCCAGCAGACGTGGGACGGTTCACCCTCCCTTTTTTCCCTATTTTGACCAGCTACCCCCAACAACGGCCACAGCGTGCGAGAGGAGACAGAGAAATCAATAACACCTGTTAGTTATCCCTCCCCTTCTTCTCCCTCCCTCCTCATCCTTCCATTTCCCCAATCTCCAAAAATACGCGACTCCTCCCAACCTACATACCAACCTGCCACTACACTTCCACCCCTCTCACAACATCTTGTCACAGACATTGGACTCGATCGGAGCTTCTACACGACTTCCTCTCTCTCCAAACACCAGCTCGCCTGGCCCTAGGAGCTTCACCCAGCAACTGCTGCTGTTCCCCTCCTCCTCGACACCTCCTGCGTCATGGCCGACGCTTCAGACAAGGCCGTCGAAGAGGCTCGTCCTCCTACAGCTACAGAATCCATCAAGGAAAAGGAGCCGGAGAAGAGACCCCTCAGCGTCGGCGAATCCCTGAGGTCCCTGAGGTCTGTCAAGTCGAATGCAGCTACACGCAGACTCTCCGGCAATTCCGTTGCGAAAGAAGAAAGCGATGACGACGAGGACGATGATGAGGATGAGGACGAGGATGAGGACGAAGAAGAGGACGACGAAGATGACGATAAGGTATTTATCTCTATTCAATGCTTTCCCCTTAACTCTCCGGAACGACTGTTAGATGTCCCGTCAAACTGCCTCTGGCACCCCCCTGCTTCTGCCCTTCTCTCCAACACATGCCCATTCCGATGCCTTCCTGTTGCATAACAACAACCGCCCAGGTAGCTCCAGGAGAAGCTAACAGGGTCACTATAGAAGGAACAAGAAAGCAGCGATGAAGAAGAGGGGTTCGCAGATGCTCCTGAATCAACGTCTCCTCGTCAACCTCAAACACGCAGCTTGAACCGGTTGTCACGCTCGACAGTATCTTCGGTTCTAGAGACACCAAATTCACCGCCAAGCGTGGCTTCACCGGCAGACCACCGCAGCAGCCAGGCGTCCTCTATGACAGCACCGACTACTACGAATGGCTCAACGCAAGATATCCCTTCGGCGGGGAGTCTAAAGTCTCCGGTTAACCTTCAGAGACGACTTTCAATTACCTCGCTCGACGAGGTCTCTCTGATAGACGACCTACCACCGTCCAAAGTCTCAACCCCACCGGCTGAAGCTACACCTCCTTCTCCTCCCCCTCCTCCCCCGCATACCCCATCGTTGGTGGAGTCAATCACAAACAGATTTTCGCGGTCGTCGGGAAGTTCCTCGGGCTCCGCGGTTCCTGCAGCTGCGAAAGTCAATCCGCCTGCACCGCCAGCAACGGCACCGCCCCAGTCAAGAGCTAGAGGTCTCTCGTCTGCCTTTCTGTCGTCTTCTAACTTGCCTACACAATCCACGTCCGCACAACCCACACCACCGCCGGTCAAACGATCTCCGTTCAGCTGGCTACGCTCTAATTCCACTACTGCCACACCTCCCCCAGCGCCTGTAGCAGGCTCAAGACGAGGAACGTCTTCGTCTATGACCTCGGTCGGATTGGCAGCACTTGGCGCGGATAACGAACTACTGATTAATCGCTTGGGTAACAACCGGGACCCCGAGAAAGAGAAGGAGGAGCACCTGCGCGGAATGGAGAACCTGCGGGAGAACTTCAAGAAACTCAGGGAGGCACGGTCCCAAAGTGTGGGCTCTGCCAGTGCACCATCGGCGGTTACAAGAGGTTCGATATCATCTATCGCGTCAGCTTTCAGAACGAAACTCATCGTTGGCGCAGCAGTAGCAGAGGAACCGGTACCAGCGACGCAGACTCCCGGCTCCCCCGAACGCGCCCCGTCTGCCGCCGCATCAACAAAATCCGAAGATGACATTGACTGGGACTTGTGGCAGGCTGTGGTGGACGATGCGTACAAGGTTGCTGCGGAGAAACCCACGGAGCTTAACCGGGCAATTCAGGCCGGAATCCCGCCTACCCTCCGCGGCACCATTTGGCAGAGCCTGGCAGCCAGCAAGTCACTGGAGTTGGAGGCTATCTACCGTGAGGTGATCGTGCTTCCGGCAATCGCCACAGCTGAAGACGCGCGTCCAATTTTTGGCAGCCACTGGCTCTGGGATCCCTCTCCTACTTCCAGCCAAGCTTCTTCTCCTAAGATGGGCTCCCGCACAAGCCCCCGGATAGAGCCCAAAGGAACTGCAGCCAGCACCATGAAGTGGGGAAACACAATTGCTCAGCTGGAGAAGGTGATTAAGCGTGACCTCGGTGATCGCACTAGCTTCGGAAAGTACAAGGTCGACCAAAAGGCACTTTTGAACGTATGCAAGGCGTATGCACTGTTTGACCCTGCAGTCGGTTACACACAGGGGATGACATTCATCGCCACCGTCTTGCTGCTGAATGTTTGTTTCTCCCAATAATAAATTAAGCTGTCGCGAAAAAGGGGCTAACCGCCTGCAGATGTCCGAAGAGGAAGCCTTTTGTGTATTTGTCAAGCTCATGAACAAGTACAAGCTGCGCACCATGTTCCAGGAGAAGATGAGGGGTCTCGAGTTAAGACTGTACCAATACGACCGCATCCTCGAAGACTACGAGCCGCGGCTGGCGATTCACCTCAAGCGTCAAAATATCGAGTCCTCCCTCTACGCCGCACAATGGTTTCTCACGCTCTTTACGTACAAGTTCCCGCTACAGCTGGTTCTCCGCGTGTTTGATCTCCTGTTCAGCGAGGGCCTCGAAGGTCCTATCCTCAAGTTCGGTATTTGCCTGATGAAGCAGAACGCCGAAAAGCTTCTCACGTTGGAATTCGATACCCTGGGACCATTCCTCAAGGAGAAGCTGTTTGACGTGTACATTGACACTATGCCGTCGCCCCACAGCCTACTAGAAGCCGGATTCTTCGGCAATGGCGGCGAAAAGGAAGTTTACCGTGCCAACGACATGATCTGCGATGCGATCGAGATTAAGATCTCGTCCGAGATGCTCGAGCGCTACGAGAACGAGTGGGAGGACGAGCAACGCACCAAGCGCGAGACCGAACAAGAGCTTGAGACTCTTCGCCGAGGCAACGCCAGTCTCCAAGCGAAGGTCAAGAAGCTCGAGGAGTTGAACGAGGAGCTCAACCGTGAGTATGTCAACATCGCCAGCTCTGAGGTTGGCCTCAAGGTGCAGAACGATCAGCTGGCGGATGAGAATGAGGTGCTCAGAGCGAAGGTAGACGGCCTTCGGGATATGGTGGATAAGCAGCCGCAGGAGGTCGAGGATCGTCTCAAGGGCGAGATGGAGGCCCTCATGCAGAAGAACCTTTCTGTGCATCACCAGAACCAGACGTTGGAGGAGAACATGATGGAGATGGAGAAGGAGCTGGTCAGCACCAAGATGCAGCTTGCGACTGTATGTTCCCACCACTTCTACGTGATCATTGATTCGATCAATTACTAACATGTCCTGTAGGTAAACGAGGATTACGATCTACTCAAGAACCGATGGCACGATCTCAGAAAGGCTCTCGGCGACTGATGTGTTTAGTCGCAGTACGGTACTCTAGATACAAGTGTTTTTTTTCTTTTGTTCGCCCTTTCTATGTAAACTTTTTTTTGTGTCTTTCTTTTCCTTTTCTCCTTTTACGTTATCATATCATGCATGCGTCTCGTGAGACTACCATGTTCTGCTTTTTTCGATTTCTTTTTGAGTTTTTTGTGTGTGCGTAGCATGCATACTTGCCATCGTTTTTACGGGAGAGAACTATAGCAACTATAGCTTATCCATGCTGCTATTATTTATGAGGAATGAATGATGGGGCGATGGGGGGAGGGGAGAGATGGCCAGGAGAGAGGGGAGGGGGTCAGAAAATATATTGGCATACTTCCTATCATACTTACCGTACTTTTACTGCATGAGGATGAGGCGTGGTGAGGTGAGACGATGTTTATTTGTCACTGCGGATAATTTGGGGCGGTATGGAAGGTATAGAGTAGTAAGCTGAAGGGTGGTTGATAAGCTGGGTGCATCTGGTGGGAGACGGGAGTTCAGCCGTGTTTTGAGCTGAGCATTTACATCATTCTGCATGAGAGATCACTCGCGGTTTTAGGTTTCTGCCTAACTTGATTAGGTCCGGTAGCTAGTCCCGTCACGTGCTACAAAATTTATTCGCAATCCTACCGCCTAGACCTCCGGCGTCGTCTGTCCAGTCCAGTGTTCAGTCCAGTACTATACAGCGGCCACCACCCCACCACGCCACACACACAGAACTCCAACATGGCATCACCACCGCCCTCCAAATCGACAGCGCTCGTCGCTTCCAAGCCCGCGCGCCCGAAGTCGCACCCGACCTCACTGAGCACGAAAACGCCCGCCGAACTCTCCGCCGCACAAGCGACCTACGGCCGCGGCGCCGTATCCGCAAAGACGAACGCGAAGGACAAGAAGCTTCGGGGCTCCCTGCGGAAGATCGAGGAGCGGTACCGGTCCGCGGCGGCGTCAGCCGCCGACGCTGAGCTACTGCGGCCCGAATCCGGGCCTGGCTTCATCGAGGCGGAGGGCGAGCTCGAGCGCACGTGGAAGGTTGGACAGGAGCAGATTCGGCAGGCGGTTGATGTTGCTACGGCAGAAAAGGGGTTTGGATTGGAGATGGAATTTGGGCCGTATTACGCGGATTATACGAGGGATGGGAAGGAGCTGGTTATTGCGGGCAGGAGGGGGCATGTGGCGACGACGGATTGGAGGGAGGGGAGGTTGGGGTGTGAACTCCAGCTTGGGGAGACGGTGAGGGATGTTAGGTATGTTTTCTGGGTTCTGGGTGAGAGAGGGGGTGGTGGGGTGGGCGGGGCTGATACTAGGTACACAGGTGGCTCCATAATGAGTCGTTCTTTGCGGTCGCGCAGAAGAAGTATGTCTATATCTACGACCGGCAAGGAGTGGAAGTGCACTGTCTCAAGAAGCACATCGAAGTCACAGCGATGGAGTTCCTGCCGTACCACTTCCTCCTCGCGACGATCGGCAATGCGGGGTACCTCAAGTACCAAGACACATCTACGGGAGCGCTCGTCGCCGAACTGCGGACCAAACTCGGCGCGCCGACCGCGATGACACAGAACCGCCGGAACGCGATCATCAACGTGGGGCATGCGAACGGCACGGTGACGATGTGGTCGCCGAACATGTCGACGCCACTGGTGACAATGTTGACGAACAAGGGCCCAGTGCGCGCCGTCGCCGTGGACCGAGGAGGGTACTACATGGCGACCGCCGGCGCCGACAGCCGAATGAACATCTTCGACATCCGCACGATGCGCGAGGTGCACAGCTACTTCACGCCGACACCGGCGTCGACGCTTGCGATCTCGGACACGGGGGTGCTCGCGGTGGGCTGGGGCGGACATGTCACACTCTGGAAAGACGCGCTGAAGACGAAACAGACCTCGCCGTACCTCTCGCACCACCAAGAGTCCGCCACGATCAACTCGCTGCGCTTCTGCCCATTCGACGATGTCCTCGGCGCCTCGCACAGCAAGGGCTTCTCCTCCCTCATCATCCCCGGCGCCGGCGAGCCAAACTTCGACGCCCTCGAGGTCAACCCCTACGCCACCAAGAAGTCGAAGCAGGAGGCCGAGGTCCGCGCGCTGCTCGAGAAGCTAAGGCCCGAAATGATCCAGCTGGAGCCTGACGCCGTCGGCCGCGTCGATACCCGCCACGCGGACCGCTCCAAGGAACGCCTTGAGGCGGACCAGGAACGGAGACTCCAGGAAGGCCTCGAGAAGGATGATAGGTTCCGTACCCGTGGAAGGAACTCGGCGCTGAGACGCATGCTCAGGAAGAAGAGCGGGAAGAATGTGAGGGATGAGAGGAGGGAGAAGCTCGAGAAGCTCAAGGTTGCCAGGCAGGAGAGGAGTAGGGGCGTCGTCACCAAGAGCTTGGGGGCTGCGCTGGATCGGTTTGGCGCAAAACGGCAGTGATAGTTACTGGTATGCGAAGGGGGGGGGGGGGGGGGGAGGGTGATTGCGATGGCGAAAAGTTGGGGTTTGGGAATTGATTGGAATTGATTTGATGGAGTGGGGTGTGTTGAAATGTGTATATAATGATTCCACGGTGTTAATGGATGGCAATTTGCAAGCGCATATGAGTGGCGAGAGCTGTAGTGCTGGTGAGGTCCATAGGGGCCTTGGATGCTTCGTTCATTGTTCGGCTTCAATCACTGTTCCCAGCCTCATTACTCCCGTCACTCCCCAAGTGTCGCTTTCTATCCGACTTGATGGCAATTTACAAAACCGGCTTCATCCCACTGCCCGTGAGCGCAGGCGGCTGGCCCGATGCTCTCATAGTCCCCGTTCAGAGAGAGAGAATCAATTTTATTATCACAGATGGCCTTGCTATGTAGACTATGGCGACCTACTACCTAGGCCCTATTCACTTCTCCGAGCTTCATTCACTCCTCCGAGCTTCATTCACTCCTCCGACCCTCAATCACTCCTTCGAGCTTCATTCATCCTCACTCGCTTCTTCGAGACTCATTCAGTCCTGCGAGGCTCATTCACTTCATCGAGACTCATTAACCCTTCGAGCCTCTTTCACACCTTCGAGACTCATTCACTCTTTCGAGCTTCGTTCACCTCTTCCCACTCACCCCGAGCTTCATTCAGTCTCGCAAGACTCATTCACTCCTCCGAGGCTCACTCACTCTTCCAAGACTCATTCACTTCTTCAAGACTCATTTACTCCATTCAGTCTGTCGGGTCTCATTCACTCCTCCGAGCTTCATTCACCCTTTCGAGCCTCAATCACTCCTTCTCACACCTGCAAGCTTCATTCACTTCATCGAGGCTCATTCACTCTTCCGAGACCCATTCATTCTCATTCACTCCTTTGAGACTCAATCACTCTTTCTCACTCTTGCGAGTCTCATTCACTTCTTCGAGGCTCATTCACTTCTTTGAGACTCATTCATACCTGCGAGGCTCATTCACTCTTCCGAGACTCATCCACTCCATTCGCTCTGTCGAGCTTCATTCACTCTTGCGAGTCTCATTCACTCCTCCGAGTGTCACTCACTCCTACGAGTCCCATTCAATCTTCCGAGGCTCATTCACTCATTCTCACTCCTTCGAGACTCATTCACTCCTCCGAGCGTCACTCAGTCTTGCGAGCCTCAATCACTCCTTCGAGCGTCATTCACTCCTTCGAGGCTCAATCAATCTTCCGATACTCATTCACTCCTGCAAGCCTCATTCACTTCTTGGTGCCTCACTGCTCGAAGGTTTTCCGAGTGATCAGTGGTATTTGCGTCATCACAGAACACTCTCCGTAACTTTCAGCATGAGTACTTCTCCACGATGTCAGTCATCATTTCTCCTATCTACCCTGTACGTGAGACGTCGGGTCCCCCCATCTGGGAGCGGAGAACGGACCGACGGAAACCAGTGAGCCAGACATCGGAGATAGCTACGATCACCGGTGACCCGGCGTGGGTACCCGATCATCGGTCCGGAATGGATGGGTGCTACATGATGAGAACGCGATGAGGGGGGTTAAGAAACTGCCAGGAGCACGGGGTACAGCAGCAGAGTGTAAGGAGCCATTGTTCCTACCACTGCCATTAAGCCTGGCAACATGACTCGGGCTTCCGGGAAGACGGATCAACTCTCTCACCTAGGCCTCTACAGGCTCGAGTACACCGAATACGACTTTTCACTCGAATCCCGCCGCGATGGTTTCTTGATCAAGCGCATTACTGGGAGCTGAGAACAGGTATCAATCCGTGTTGTGTGTGATGGGCTAGAAGAGTAATTGTCGTTGACTCAAGAGAATGTATCACAACTTCACGGAGGGAGGCACGAGTGATATGAATGCCAAACAAAACGCCGTATATTCCAAAACCCAATCTACCCAAACTTCGACCCTCTACTCGAACTTGATGGTATTATACAAAGTGCCCAGCTTCTCAATCTCGATCTCGACAACGTCCCCATCCTTCAGATACTGCGGCGGGCTCATGCCCATTCCCACACCACTCGGGGTACCAGTCATGATCAGACTGCCCTTCTTCAGTGTGGTTCCCTGCGAGATGAACGCAATAATCCGCGGGATGTTGAAGATGAGATCGTTGGTATTGGTATCCTGCCTGAGTTCACCATTGACCTTGGTAGTCAAGCGGAGTTCACCGGCGTCGCCGACGGTAGGGCCGGCGACGATAGCGGGCCCGAGGGGCGCGTATTTATCGAATCCCTTGGAGAAGCAGAACTGCGGGACGCCGCCGGCATACGCCTTCTCGCGCTGCCACTTGCGCGCCGACACGTCGTTGCTGGTGACATAGCCGGCGATGTACTCATGCACGCGGTCCTCGGGGATGTTTTTGCCGTCTTTGCCGATCACGATGGTCAACTCGCCTTCGTAGTCGCATTGGTCGTCCTGTGCGAGCTTCGGGATTGGAATTTCTTCGCCCCAGCCGCCGACGGACGTCGACGGCTTGATGAAGATGCTGGGGTACGGCGGTGGTGTGCGGCCGGCTTCCTGGACTGTTCATTGTTAGGCTAGGTTCTCTCTTCTGGCGGCAGGCGGAGGACTCACTGTGCTTCATGTAGTTCAATCCGACACATCTGATGATCGGAACCTGCTCCTCGGTGAGGGGGCCGAGGAGTTCCTTCACATCAACAGCCTCGTCGGCGATCTTCGCATCATCGGAAAATATATCGTCGCCCGTGATGATGCGTGCCTGGAGCGAGCCAGCTTTGAAAAGCTTCGCTACGTCGACCTCAGCGCCGTTGACGATGGGCTCTCCGTTGTAGGTCTTTCCGTCGGTGGCGCTGACGAAGCGGATGAGGCGCGTCCAGGTTACCATTGTGCGTGTTGCGGTGGTGAGACGGAGGGGACGGCGGGAAGAGATGTGTAAGAGCTTGGAGGTGAGGGAGAGAATGGTGGGCGATTGTTCTATGGATCCATGTTTGAAACTGGAAGCGGGAAGCTTTTATGTCTTCCTTCGCCCGTCTCCAATCCTTCAACATCAACTCCCTCCCCCTCCATGACCGACCTCATCGGCCCGAGTGGCCCCTCCCTCCCCCCCTGCACCGGACCCGCGCTCGCTCGGCTCATCTCCGGCCAAGCGACAGCGGAATGGTTCCGTGACAGGGGGGGTGGTGCGGAATGCAGGGACCAGGATAAGGCTAACTATCCGGCGCGCGGTGCGCAGTGCGGGGAATTATGATCATGCGGGGAGCGATGAGCTTGCCCCACGTTTTTTTTTCGCGGAGTTTCGCGGAGAATCGTTCGCGGAGGATCATCCTGGATTGCGATTCATCCATCGACGGAGGAAGAGATAGCGCGTTTCTGTGGGCGCGGGACGCAGGCCGGCAGTGAGGGTTTAGCTTGCGGATACTACGGTAGCTATGATGACGTGACGGATGGAATGGGTTTCTCTGGAAACTGGCTGGCGATGAGGTGATCACTATGGGACTTGTAGTTTGAGAGGTTCGAGAGTAAGTGGAGTGGAGTGGAACTCTTCGGCATTAAGGTAATTCGCGTCATTGTGTCTCATCCAGAGGCATGGTACACGGATGTTGGCCACTCAGTACTATTCTTGGCCAAAAACAGAGGAAAATACATCGTGAGATCAGTATCCGCAGCACACAGCACAGCTTGAATTAAACTTCAATCATATTTCTCGTTGAATAGTTATCAAAACAAGACCCCAAATCCAAATACAAAAAAAACCCTAAAAGACTATCCAAAAGCACCCTACTCAAACTTATTTTCCCTCCAGCTCCCCAAATTACTCAACATCGGGGTATCCGAAAAACTAAACAAATACGCCGTCTCTCCCTCACCGACGACATGCACGATCTTCCTCCAATGAGGCACCGCGAAGACATCCGACTGCGTCCACACCAGCTTCTTCTGCTGCTCTCCTTCGCCGACCAGAGTGTATCCATTGCCTTGGTAAACATGGAACACGAACGAGCTGGATTCCTGGCGGGGCGGCGACTGTGTTCCCGCATCGACGCGCTCTGCGTGGGCTCCGATGATCTGCGACACGTGTCCGCCGGCGAAGCCACCTTGGTAGGTAAATTTCGCGTATGGGCCGGACTGCGAGTCGAGAGCGGCCTGGACAGGGGCCCAGGGGTATTTCGAGGGCGAGGTTTCGACCGGCCTTTCATTCATTCATCAGCTAGTTCTCTCTTTCGAGGGGGGAGAGAATAAGGGGAGCATACTCGCTCGGATACCGCGACTCCGAGTATCCCTGGGCAAAATTGACGGGCAAGAACTGATACACGGGGAGATCAAGCCCATCCAGCCAGATCATCGGACCGGTCCCGTCGTGTCCGTGATCGTGATACGTCCACTTCGGCGTCAAAATCACATCGCCGCGCTCCATATTGATCTTCTTTCCGTCGATCGCTGTAAACCCTCGCTCTCCCTCGATGATAAACCGCAGTGCGAATGCTACGTGCCGGTGTGCGGGTGCCGTCTCGCCGGGCAGGATTAGCTGCAACCCCGCATAGAGGGTGTCGGTTGTATTCGGCGCCTCTGGGGGGGGGGGAGTGGTTAGCAATACTATATGAGTATGAGGGCGTGGGAACACACTCAACACGGGGTTGATGAGCATCAACACTCGCCGTTCGGCTTCCTCTGCTGCTACCAACTCGCCAGCTTCGAGGAGGATTGGTCGCAGCTCTTTGTAACTCCAAAGATGCGGGACCGCCTTCGGGTTTGGAAACGGTGGGACTACCGCGTCCATCACAGTCCAAAGCGGGGAGACATTGTGCGGTGGGAGTGTCTCGGTGATGAATTTCTCGCACTATTAAGTGCTAGTTAGTAACCACTCGAATGTCTCGAGACGGCCCGAGACATACCTTTGCGATCTTTTCGGCGTCGACGTTGGTCATGGTGAAATATTCGAGTCAGTGAGGTTTGCTATGCGAGTGAGGAGAGCTGATCGACCAGGTTCGGAGTTACTTGGGGGGAAAAGAGTAAGCAAAGTGAAAAAAGAAAGTAAAGCTTGAGTCGGCGTGAGTATATTTATTATCACATCCTTCTTGTCTGGAGGTTTCTCCATGGCGTTGTTTCCGCCAGCTTGTGGGGAGCTACACGGTTAGGCCGGCCTCCAGCTACGAAGCGGAACGATCCGAGCTATGTATATCCCTACCCCACTATCCCCAGCACCGCTATGCGCCCCACAGTTTCGCACTATCCATCAAAGCGTGATCATTGAAGTTGACAGCCCATCTGAACATCCCAATTCCGGAATCCCGCTATGCAGAACACGCGACTAAGAAACGCTGGACTGTCTTGACATCTCGCCAACCAGGCTCACAGACTTGATACGGGAGTGCTCCGGCGCTCTGGGACAGGCAGCGGAGTTCTGCCACTGCAGGCGACAGGAACTTCGGTCTCCTGCGAGATGTCGAAGCTATTATGTGATGGCTTAAATACACGCATCCTTTCCTTCGTCGTCACTAACAGCTCTCAGAAACAAGACATCCTTTCCTTTCCCCGTACGATCAATCACAGCCAAAATGCCTAGCAGTGACGCCGCCAAAAAAGCTCCTTTCAGCATCATCATCGTCGGTGCTGGCCTCGGAGGTCTTGCGACTGCCGTCGCCCTGCGGAAGAAAGGCCATGCCGTCCACGTGCTTGAGGGCGCCTCGGAGCTCAAGGAGGTTGGAGCTGGTATTCAGATCCCGCCGAATAGCAGCCGGCTGCTGCAGAGCTGGGGGTTGAAGGAGCAGCTGCTCAAGAAAGTTGTGTGGCCGAAGAACATCAACATGAGGCGGTACCAGGATGGTGATGTGATCGGCGTTACGCCACTGGATCCTAAGATGACGAAGACTTATGGATATCCGTGAGTAGATCGTGCAGCTGGGTCTTCGAAAGTTGTTTGGCTGACGGGAGGTACAGCTACTGGCTCATTCACCGAGCTGACTACCAGCGGATGCTCCACGATGCTGCTCTCGCCGAGGGAGCCACAATAACACTCGGAGCCTACGTCCAGGACGTCGATCAGGAAAATGTCACTGTGACGCTCCACGATGGAACCGTCCTAAAAGCAGACGTAATTATCGGAGCCGATGGTCAGCGAACATCCAATTCTTCCTTTATATTCTGGGGCTGTAATAACTCCGTAGATAGGTATCCGCTCCCGCGTCCGCGAGTGCGCCGTCGTCACCGAGGAAACCGTCGAACCCCGGACCACCACCAACTGCGCCTACCGTGCCACCGTCCCCGGAGAGATCATGCGCGCCGACCCCGAAGTCCGGCACCTGATGGATGAAGCCTCCTCCAACTGCTGGATTGGTTACCGCCGGCACATCATGGCCTACCCCATCCAGGAGGGTAAGCTGTACAATCTCGTCATGTCGCATCCGGGCAAGGCGGCAGTAGGAAAGTGGAACGAGCCGGGGAACCTCGACGAGATGAAGGCACAGTACAAAGGATGGGATCCGGTTATCTGCAAGGTTCTCGAGAAGGTCGAGTATTGTCTTAAGTGGACGCTGGCGGACCTCCCCGTCCTGCCGCGGTGGGTGAGCAAATCCGGAAGAGTGGTATTGATCGGAGATGCCGCACACGCTATGGTGCCCTACCTCGCTCAGGTTTGCACCCCCACCCCCATCCCCAGCCCCACGATGCCCAGTCAGCTTCTAACACCCCACAGGGCGCGGGACAAGCAATCGAAGACGGTGCGTCATTGGCGGAATGCATTTCGCGCGCACGGGATAGCAGTGACCTCCCCGCGGTTCTTGCCGCCTTCCAGACGATCCGGAAGCCGCGCTGCGAAAAGATCCAAAAGGGCTCGATGGAGAACGGTGACATCTGGCACATGCCCGATGGCCCGGAGCAGCTGGCCCGCGATGCCGATATGAAGATGGAGATGGGTGCCACAGATGAGGATAGGGTTGCCGCGCAACTTAAGCAGCAGAAGCTGGTCAAGTCAAACCCCAACCGATGGTCGGATCCTGAGTTTCAGCCGTGGCTGTTTGGTCACGATGCTATCGCTCATGTATGCCCCCACCCTCTCTTCCTCCCCCTCTCTTCCCCTTCCTCGGATCGAGGATCGCTGACGGAGTAACTTTGCACAGGCCAACACACAACTCGACTTGATTCTGAAGTTTTGATGGTGGGGTTAGCCGGGTTGGACCACTGGCGTGTGTGGATGTAGATATGGCTTTGAATTTCGGGCTGCTTTGCTTCTTTGTGGATATTTCAGCAATTTCATGAACTCCTGATCATTTACGGGAGTGTGTCTATATTCCGTAAAACGGTTTCTATGTTTATATCGATGGACAGATGCATGAAAATACTTTTCTCTCTGAAACTCAAAGGAAAGAAATCGTTCCGCCTTCTTTATAGACAGATGGAGTATCAAAAATCAAACTTTTGCTCTTCGATGCAAAGGCAAAACAAAAATTACGGTACCAGGGATTCCCGCATGGTCACCCACTGCAGTATTAACCTGGCGATACCATGCTTAACTAGGGCTGAGCGGACGGGAAGCCGTGTGTTCACGGTTCTGTGACCGTAGTTAGTTGTAATAGATATCAAAACCTTACAGCTCGACGTCTTGAATGCAATTTGCCTGGCTACGGAAAACCGACTGGTTACTCATGTGGAGTTCTTACGGAGTGAGCTTAGGATTGCCTTGCTAACTAATCGAATTTCATAATTTCTCTGGTCACACGCCAATTAAATCACATTTCGACCGGACAATGCACCGCAAAGCCCATTCATCCTCCTCGCCTCCTCATTGCTCCGAACTCCTGTGGAGGGTGCATATACGGAATCGAATCGAGAGCAGTGCAGACACCGAGCGTACATACACTACCGTACTACCTACCGTACACAGGAGCTGACCATACTCCACAATGCAGAACCGATTTAGTTGTCCGGATTTTCAATATTTCTTCCGTGGCGGGCCACTCATGACTGGAATGGTAGATGAGACGGGGGGAGGCTCATCCGGGGTTCGGCGCTAGTCTTCCCCGCATTTTTGTGGGGGGCGCGGGGTTGGCCGGGGTAGCATAGTCCAACTAACTACCGGTGTCGGATCCCAGTGCACGGTGTGCACGGTTTGCAGGTATGATAATACGAGTAACGAGTAAAGACTCGGGTATGTACATACCTGTATGTAGAACACGCGTAGCCTGGGATGGGGTAAATTAGAGTGTTGTCTGAAGCTGCGCTGGGAATAATTTGGTATTCGACCTTTGGAGGTGGTAATCTTCGTGTGATACCTACTTTCCGGCGATGCTTGGAAGTGTAGATGGATATTCTGTGGAGAACATACATATCTACAGTTACACGTATGCAAGGCAAGGCAGATCCTCTCACCTGGAACCGATTTGTTCCACGAATTATGAGTTGGGAGTGTGCGTACGAGGATACATCATACTGGTGATACGGTGATACGGTGACGCAGATGCAGACTTGGAGGAGGAGGAGGCGGAAACTAGTCCATTTGCTGGGTGCATCCAGACCACGAGTCCGGAACTGCTCCGGCTGCCTCCTCGCCCAGATGGCCGAGCTCGCGTGCTCGACTGGGCAAGCAACATACATTTGCTTTTGCTGATGGCGAGGTGGCTGAGAACATTCTATTGGAATTCGGGGGCTTTGTTGCGCTTTTCCAACAGCTTGGCAATTTGGGCCCGCCGGGAATCTGCATTGATGATTGAGCTCGAGGCGGAAGGCAGTTATGACCGCGGCAATGATACAACGCGGAAGTTCGAGGTCGCTTCCGCTTATGCGGCAAGCAGCAAGTGGTAGAAAGAGCCGAGGGTTCTGAAACCAACGCGGGGGAGGCTGCACAATCAGATTTGCCTGACCCAGAGCTATGGGATAGACACCGTCTCACCTTCTATCATAGGCTTTGCCCGCAGTTCGACATCATGCTTCACTCGGTACCGCAGCCCCAAAGGCTGAACTTTGAAGATTACTCAAGCGATTCGATTGGATAGACGCGCTTCAGCACACATGCGGGTCAATGGAGGACAAGAAAAAATCCTTTCCACGGGTCCGCTCCGTGGTAGATTGCTAAGTGCCCCGGAAGTGCTCCGCACCCGCCTATGAGTTGGGAAGAAAAAAGGCGTTGCCAAGCCGTAAACAGGTTAACCCAGCCCCCACCCCCCTGTTTCCCCAGGTCTCAATTAAGCGGGCGAGTTCAACAGATGCTTTGGGATTATCGGGTTTGAGCCTTGGGATTCAAATGTCAACTGGCTTACCAGGACGCCTCGCTGCGGCCCCAGCTTGCGGGAGATAGCCGGGGGTAATTGCCCTGGATAACTCACCTGGGGAGAGAGAGTGTGATGGGTACCTTTGGTCCAGCTTGCAGTAGCCGCCTCGGCATTGGGATTGGGATGGCATATAAGAGCTTCCCGAGACCAAATATTTCCAGTGTCCAACGCCTCAGCAATCATGGAGGGAAAAGAACAAAACGAAACCATGCACATCGAAAATGGCATGAACACAAAGCTCCGATCGCTGGACGCTCAAGACCTCCAGGCTGAGCTTGCCTCCCTGGACCACGAATTGGAGGCGAAGCTCCGGAGGAAGTTCGATAAGTGGATCTTGCCATGCGTGACCCTAATCTACTTGATGGCCTTCATCGACCGGTGAGTCGTCTTCCCGGTGAGCTCAATCCAGGCTGGCGGTAGCTGATGAATTACCAGGAGCAACATGGGAAACGCCAAAATCATGGGCATGGAAGAGGTAATAACCATTCATCCACTGGGTGTCAGTCATCAAGAGTTAGTAGGCTGACATGCGTGCCCCCGTAGGACCTGAAGCTTGAAGGATTCGACTTCAATGTTGCTCTCACCGGTTTCTTCATTACTTACGTCCTGTTTGAAGTGTAAGCATCCAATCCATCCATCTAATTGGTGACGGACGGCAATGCTGACAGTTTGCAGACCGGCCAATGTCCTTTGCAAGAAATTCGGTCCAAAGATCTGGCTGTCCTTGATCACCTTCGGATTTGGCCTCATCACCCTTTGCATCAGCTTCACCACCTCGCACACTGGCCTCGTTGTTGCCAGAGTGGTCCTCGGAATCGCGGAAGCTGGAATCATGCCTGGAATCACCTACACTCTTTCAACCTTGTGAGCTCCCTCCTCCCGTAAGGGCTCTAGGTATCATTTTCTGACACTCACGCAGCTACCGTCGTCATGAGCTGGTCACTAGAGTCGGTATCTATGCATCCGTTGCAAGTGTAGCTGGAGGATTCGGAGGTACATAACTTCAACCGATTCGAACTTCTCCATTTACCTGGCTAAATTCTACTCCGCAACAGGTCTTCTTGCTACTGGTTTCTCGCAAATTCCCCAGTGGGGAATGGTCCATTCGTGGCGTAATATTTTCTTCTTCGAGGGGTTGCTCACGATCGTCGCCGCGGCCATCTGCTACCTCGTCCTCCCCGACTCACCAGGATCCGCCAAATTCTTGACCGATGAAGAGCGTCAGCTCGCCGTGCGGAGGATCTACCTCGAGACTCTGACCGGTTCCAAGGAGAAGATGCAGAAGTTCCACTTCAAAAAATCGATCCTCAACATCAACACCTGGTTGATGTCCGTTGGACTTTTCTGCGGTCTGCTTTGCATGAACTCGGTTGCTCTCTTCATGGTTTGTCACCCTGAATAGCCCCCCGGCGGTCACCAGCTAACATTCCGCCACAGCCGTCCCTGTTGAAGGCTATGGGCTTCACCTCGATCCGGTCCCAGCTCATGACTGTACCCCCCTACCTCCTCGGTTCGATCGTCTGTGTCTGCTGCGCCATCCTCTCGGACCGCCTGAAGACCCGCGGCCTGATCCTGTGCCTTGTGTCGGGCCCCACGATTGTCATCGGCTTCGCCCTGCTCCTGACCATCGACATGATTGCGGTCAAATACTTCGCGCTGTTCCTCGTCACAATGGGGGCGTTCACATCCAGTCCCGTGATAATCGCCTGGACAGTCGACAACTCCGCCGGCCCCACCGTGCGCGCCATCGCCAGCGCCTTCGCCGTCTGCTTGGGCAGCACTGGAGGTCTCGTCGCCACCTGGACTTACCTGCCCTCTGAGGCGCCTGCGTACAGGACCGGCCACATCATCAATCTTTCCGCTGCTGTCATCCTTCTCGCTGTTTGCTGTACTACTACACTCTACCTGCGCTGGGAGAATAAGCAACGTGATATGGGACGCAGGGATCATCGCGTCGAGGGAAAGACCGAGGAGGAGGTGGCTGGTCTCGGCCATGGTCACCCGGCTTTCAGGTTCACACCGTAGGCGTACAACCCATGGGTTTCTCCCTCGTTTGGGTGGTTTGCTGGGGAGGGGTGATCGATGATGATGCTGATGATGATGTTCGCGATGGCTCTTTTTCATGGAAGTATGTAATGTCCACGGATGAGGGCACTGTTTTGCAGAGGGGATGAGGGATTGGACGCCACGTTTTCTTTTTTTCTTGATGTATATACATTCTTAACGGTCTTTACTATGTGCGATTATAAATTTATGACGAATGGGTGGCAAAATATGTCGGCCCGTTTTATACCAAAATGGCCATCTTCTATGTACCATAGTTTCAATCCCAAACACACTTTGATAATTATGGACTATGGCCGAGTGACCTCAGCAGCTGCGTACCATGTAGTGATCCCACAGGAAATTGGCTCGTATTCATAATCGTTGGGGTTGAGCAATGCGGTACGGGAGAAACTTAACGGGAAAATAAATTTGTCCTACCGTAGTATCTCAATTAAGAGGTGATGTGTAGCTCCACTGCCATATTTGGAAGTAGGCTTTCTATATCTGGCTCGTGGCCTCTGATACGAAAGACAACTCTATATTTCTGTTTGTCTTACTTCCCGCTCGGGTAATAATCTGTAAGCGCACGGAAAACAGAACTGAGACATTTACCTCTTAAGTGACTTCATACATACGGCAATAGCTTATGATCGATTGCAGTTTTGTATGCAGATGGTATGGCAACTGGCCTCCCGAACGCAAGGGTTCCTTTTCCCTCCCGAGGCCAGGATGATCCCCAGCAGCCGCGGGGCGATCCATAACGTTGTGGAGACCACTCTATTGCTAGTGTCGGCGACTTGCGCCGGCATATGCTGAATAATCCGCGGGGCCGAGTTGGCCCTTAAAGGCCGATGCATACATGGCAAAGCGAGACTCTCCCAGCCGGGGTTATGCTGGAGTTGATCGGGGTGACTAGATGAAGGAAAGTGATCACGAACCGAATGCCAGTCCGCGCGGTCCCTGGTGCCGCAGGTCCGTATGGGGCCGTCGGACCTCTCCGATCCAAGCGTTCGCTTACATGCCCCGTTTGTTGCAACCCTCCTTCCCGCGCTGGAGGTGCCCGTTGCGTTGCGGGGTTTGTCATTGCGGTTAGCCGAACATCCGGCTAGTGGACAGTCCTGCGAATCACTGCACCCACCCAGCGTCCCACCCCAAACCTCATCGTGCTTAGTACTTAGATAACCCAGATCTCCTCCGTCCCTCCCTCCCTTCCTTTGCAATGGCCTTGTCGTGACCATGTTCCCTGCACCGAACCAAAGTGCAGGCATCGTGGCGGCGTACGACCACCTGTTACTTACCACCACCACCAACACCACGACCACCGTCGAAATACGCCCTCGCTATGAATTCCACCGAGCCAGCACACGGCCCGCAGCAGCCAGCGACAGTACCGTCGCCCACGTCCACGACGGGCTCATCTGGCGGCTCGAATCCGCGACGCCCACGCGCAACGTCCGAAACCCACGGCCAGTCGCACACTACGGATGGAATCGATAGCCAGAGCAGCGAGCCGCGGCCGAAACGGAGGAAGGTGGCCACGGCGTGCGACGAATGCCGCCAGCGGAAATCAAGGTGCGACGGCGCGAAACCGTGCGGCCCGTGTACACGCAAAGGAAGGAGCCCCGAGAAGTGTGTGTATCAGAACGATCCGAATAGACCGGCTGTGTCGCAAAGGTATGTGGGCAATGAGGTTGATTTCGTCTGCGATCCGACGGCGGGACGCGGAACTCGAATGTTGACTGGTGCGAATTTACGTAGTTACATCGAGGAACTGGAAGCGCGGATACGGTCTTTGGAAGGCAATGCTGGCCATGCGCAGCCGAACGTGTCGGTCATGGAGGCGTATAATGGGGACATGGTACGTTCATTGTCCGGGACGAAGTGCAGGTTTTGAGCAATCGTAACGTTTTCCCCCAGGCGACGACCGACACTGAGAATCACTCACTCAGCTACCACCGCTACGACACAATGCCGCATCCAATACCACCGCAACTAAACCAACAACAACCGCCCCGGAACTACACCCTTGGGGCAGACATGGGTCTGAACAGAATGGACACTGGCCCCCTCCCTAGCGCTTCGATTCCCCAGCCTGGAAGTCATCTCTTGTATAGTGGCACACCAGAAGGTGCAGAATTCGCACCTGCTCACTCGAAGGAACTGGACGTTACAGTTGAAGAACCTCGGGAACGACGGTTTTCCGTTACGGCTGGTCTCCCACCTAAAGCTCGAGCTGATGCGATGGGGGCGACATCGTCAAGCGGGGGAGATGGAGTAGATGGAGACGAGAACGAGAGTTTTTTCGGGAGCTCATCAGCGGTCTCTTTCATGAAGCAAATCAAACAGACGGTTGACAAGAAGAAAACATGTTCCAAGTCACCAGAGGAGCTTAGCTTTTGCACTCCGGCGCCAGGTTTTGAATCGGCCTGGGAAAGAAAACCTAGGAACGACGATGGATTCCTGGAGGACTTGGAAGACTTTATCCTCCCGCCACGACGCATCGCCGACCACCTGCTTGAGTGCTACTGGACATGGGTCGATTCGCTATACCCATATCTTCATCGTCCTACATTTATGCAGACCTACAACCAGCTGTGGACAAACTCAGCCTTCCCGGGTTCGAACGATGACGCGCTATTTGGTTCGTACGAAAGCAAGCCTCCGGGAAGGTTGTTCCGATGTATCCTAAATTGTGTCTTCGCATTCGGCTGTCAGTTCTCGTCAAATATCGCACCGGCGCGGCGTGATTCATCCGCGGACGTGTTCTTCAAAAGATCTAGGCTTTTGCTGCATGTCGACATCCTAGGGTGCGGGTCTATTCAGCTCGTGCAGGCGTTGCTCCTCATGGGTCAGTTTTTGCAGTCGACAAAGTATCCGAACCGATGTTGGAATGTTGCCGGGCTAGCGATCCGCGTGGCACAAGGGCTAGGATTGCATCTGGACTCAACCAGCGCGAAGAGGAAGAACAACGTGGAGAGGGAGATCTGGAGAAGAGCATGGCATGGATGTATTCTTCTCGACCGGTGAGTAGGGCGAGTCATGTATCCAGACAACCTCATTCCAACCTTCTAATTCTCCGATAGTATAGTTAGCATGACTTTTGGTCGGCCAAGCATGGTTTCGCTCCGTTCTCAAGTCACATTGCCTATGGCGATTGACGATGAATACTTGACCAACGATAATGCGTACTGTGAACAACCGGAGGGCGTGTATGCTCGGACAACCTTCTTCATCCATACCCTCAAATTGTACGAAATACTCGGTGAAATACTGTCAATATTTTATGATACATCTGGTAGTCGGAACGAGAAACCGCGGCCCGACGATTACTACCAGTCACTCCTCCGGTTGGACCGGATGCTCCTTGATTTCCAGCTGGAGCTACCAGCAGCTCTCCGCCTGCATTTTGTGGATCCAGAGGCCGAACCGATTATTCGGGATTCCTGCCAAACTAGGCAAGCAAATGTTTTACACGCCAGGTGATTATACCTCCCGGCCACAGACCCATTGTGCTGTAAAACTCACTTTGATGCAGATACCTGAACATCCGAATTTTGCTGTTCCGACCTATCCTCATCAATCTGGTCCAGGACTCACAAGCCTATCACGACCAGAAATCCAAGCGGCTGCACCCGACATCGTTGCTCGAGGCTTCACTAGCAATGAAGTGCTCCGTTTCTTGTGTAGAAGCAGCACAGGAAGCAATCAGCCTAATTGACGACAATCTACTAAGCGGAGCAGTGCCGGCCTGGTGGTACTATATCTTCTGTTCGTATTCTAACCAGATCTTTGCTACCTGACCATGGCACTGACACGTCCACCGCAGATCTGTATACAGCAGCAACCGTACTTCTCGCCGCAAAACTCTGCCCTGCTCTGGAGACCGAACTTGATTACGATTCCCTCGAGGTGTCATGGAAGAAGTGCATTGCGATCCTTCGAAGCCTGGAAGACGGGTATGAATCAGCGAAGCGGTGCTTGGCTACACTGGAAGTGTTTCACGACCAGATTATCTCCGCTTCCGACGAAGGTAAGCTACATGCAACCGTGCTGCATCCCATCCATCCAGCTAACTCGTGTTCTGTCTCAGGTCAGCAAGACGCCGGAGAACAAGCCGATGGAGAAGCCGAAATCCCTTGCGAAGGAGGTGGTGACACGCCCGATGATCCGCTGTTGCTGTTCAATAGCAACCGGGGGGCGGTGTGGGGCGCCGATGTCAACTTTGATTGGTTCATGGAGCATCCACTCTGGAATACTCCAGATCAAATTCCCTAACCTTGTTTTAATTCTCGCATTTGATTTTCCCTTCCGCGACAGCAATGGTGCAGGGGAAATATTGGGTTTTATTTTTGGCGAACACCCTTGGGTTCTCTTTTTGCTTGATCGTTTTTTCTTTGGGTTATCAGAAGATACCTCTTTGTGTACATAGACTCCCCTCCTTGTAGTCCCTCCTAGTCCATCTCGATTGCTCCTCCTAATGGGTCATCGGCATCGTATCAAACTGCTTCGTCCCTTCCAGCGCCTGACAAAACTGCGGCCGATCTCGCGCGTACAGCTCCACCTTGGGCTGAAAACTCGCGATCGCTCTATGTGACGCATCAGCACATCCCTCACAACCCTTCGCGGTTTACTCACCCAGCATCCAAAATCCCCGTCTTAACTACCGTCATCTTCCCCTCATGGTGTCCAGGGCGGGTATAGAAAGTGCAGCCACAGGTCCCACAGAACGCCTTCTCCTTGGGCTTTCCAGAGAACGTGTCCAAAATGCTGTACGTCCGCAACTGCCCCTGCGGATCGGAAACGGAGATGTCGGTCGTAGCGAACATCGCGTTCGTCTGGTACGGCCCGCCCGCGTTCTTCGCGCAGTGGGTGCAGTAGCATGACATGCTCTTGAGCGGCACTGCGGCCGCAGGGATCGTGAGCGTGATCGCGCCGCAGAGGCAGGTGCCCGTTGTCGGCGCGGCGGTGGCGGCGGTGGTGGTAGCGTCGGACATCTTTCCTCACAGTCGCAGGTTGGGTGGAGAGCTGTGGGGCGGGATCTGTGCAGCGCGGCGAGGTCTTGTAGATATACCCCACACTGCTGCTGCACCATACGATCCTCACACCACCTCACCCCATCCCCCACCTCCATCCACATATCCCCATCCCCATCTCCCCATCCCCATCTCCGGCCCTATCTCACTGCACCGTTGATCGTGCGTGGCCTGCGGAAGAGTTCCGCCATCTCCCGCCCGGCGTCCGCTAACTAGAGCGATGTGCCCCGCACTACGCTAGCTACATCAACAGCGGCTGATATCTAGGCATTTCCACGGGGGCGGCGGGGCGGCGGGAGGGTGCCGGGGTACCGGTAGTCAAGGCAGGCGGATACCCTCCGCTGCGTCCCGGTGTCACTCGGGAGTCGTATGATACACCCGGGTGATCGCGCCGGCTCCGGTCGGTACCTGGGTAAACGTCGGTACCTAGGTAAAATTCGGTACCTATGTAGGTTACCCGTATCGGTACCATAAGGTATATAGTCAGGCAGTGCTGGCGGCGGCGATTGCTTGCGAGAACGTCGGGGTTTGGGCGCTGGTGCGTATGTACCCCACGCCTTGGGGGCCGGACGGACGGACGGACGGACGGGCGGGCGTGGTTTGGCCTAACTAGGAGATTCCGACGAATGTCTGTCACGGGCGCGGACACATGTCGGCCACATATAACTGGGTATTGAGCTCTCACCAGTATATAAATACGATATGGTTTGCACGCCGGGGTCAAGCTCGCACGGACGGCCCGAACTGTACATATATCTAGTACATATGTGCATGTTTCCCAGATTTCCAGACTCCAGACTCTCCTCCCATTAATATTAATCCCCCATCCAAGCCCGATACTTTTTTCTTTCTTTCCGCCATACATGATACATATCCAGAAAAAATAGCCTCCAAAAAAAAACTCCAGTAATATGGTGCAGCGTCTTCTTACTCCCCCCTCTCCTCCCTCTCCCTCTGCAGCTTCTGCAGTATCGGACTTCTTAGCCGGATGGTTTTGCCCCACTTGTAGAAGGCCCACGGAATGGGGATCAATCCCACAGCGATGAAGGCCACGGTGGTGGCAGCCCTGTTTTTCGCCATCAGCATTACTTCCTATGGGTGGAGTGTAGCCCGGGGGGAGGGGGAGTGCAATACCAATTCGGGCCCATTTTTCGATACATGATGGGCGCAAACAGCGGCATGATACCGCCCAGGATGCTTCTAACGACTGCATTTCCGGCGACTGCGCTGGCGGCGTATACATCGTAGCTCGTGACGAGATAGTTATTTGAGTGCAGGAAGACGTAAGTATTCCCGAGGCCGTAAGGTACGCCGCTGAGGATAGGCCAGACAGGGTGAATGCTGACGGGAACGCAAGTCCACGCGAACCAGAACATGGCGAGGGGGATGATGACTGCGGCGATGGCCACGACGAGGATCCGCGCCTCCGGTGGGCGCTTCCCCGTGTCCGGGTCGATGCTGTGCATGTTGTAGATCTTGCGGCTGAGCGGCTCGGAAACCACCGCGAGGATCGTGCCCAGACCCATTCCCGTGAAGGCTAGGCCCGAGATGCCGGGACCCCACCCGCGGATCTCCGAGAAGACTATGGGGTACTACACAAGGCGTTAGTCGTCCGCGATCGGGAAGGTACATATGGGTGGGGGGTACGAACAGCGGTGAAACACATGTACAGAACGGCGTAGATGGCGCCGACGTAGAGCGCCCAGAAGATGCACATCGGCTCGGTGACGAGCATGGTCACCGGCCGCTTCAGGTTCAGCTTGATTAGATGTGCGGGATCGCCCTCGCCGTCCTTAAAGCAGAATCTCGACATGTATCGCTCATCTCCGGTCTCCTTGCGGAGTTTTGCTGCGCGGCGTCGGAGCAGCTCCGGTGCATACGTCTCCGGGTGGGTGAACCCCATCAGGCCAAACAAACCGGCAGCGATTAGGACAAGCCAGTTGTTCCAGCGCCAGCCAAGGTTTTGGTAGACGAAGCCGCCGATAATCGGGCCGAGAACCGGGCCGTTCATGGGTGCTGTTCACAATCGTTTAGTAATGAGTAATCTGGAGAAGGATCTTGTCTGTCGTACCTAAACTTTTTGACCAGAGGTTGATTAGCGACATATTCATTCCCCGGCACACTCCACCACGAGTAGGCACAATGGAGGATGGAGTAGGATGAGTACATACCAAAACACGCTGAAGGCGAGGGGCCGGTATTCCTCCGGAAAGATATCACCCAGACTCCCCGGAGCATTTGCAATTGTGACCGAACCAGCAACCGCGCCGAAAAACCGGACGATTAAAATGGTGTGGAAATTTGTAGCCACACAGCTGGGAATCACAAAGAGGAAGTAGAGGAACAGTGAGACGAGATATATGATCCGGCGGCCGTACAGCTCGGAAAGCGGTGCCAGAAGCATCGGCCCGCTCGCAAGGCCGAGAAGATATGTCGTCATGCCAAGAATCATAGTTGTGTCGGACGTGATCCCAAATTCCGCCCTCATTCCTGGCGCGCCGGATACGTAGGATGTCGAGTAGAAGATGCTGCATCGCCACGGGACATCAGCGGTGAAAAGTACCATGTCTTCGGTGCCCACTTACACAATCAATGTCTGCAGCGAAACCACCACCAGAATGTATCCTCTCTTCGCCAGTGTCCAGTTCATTGGATTTTCTGGATCCCCTTCGCTCCACTTGACTTCGAACGATGTACCAATCACTGCCGCAAGATCCTTTGTCGTCCTAGTCGTCGACACAGTCCTCGATGCGCCCAGTCCCAGGTGTGCCGAAGCCTCCAGTTTTTCCGGATCGTCGAGCTCAGTACTGGTGACTCTAACGATGGCCTCGTCGTAGCCTGAAGCATCGTCGCGGCGGTGATGACCAGGCGCAATATCCCGATGTGCGGCGCTCTCCCTAGCAGACTCGGCATCCTTTTCGCTCACGGCGTACGACGAGCCCAAGTCCGACTCCGATTTCTCCATGGTATTCCCCGTCGTAACGATTCACGTCCGTCGATGGCAAATTCTCCGGGCGAAACGACAGAAACAAACGTATAGTGGCGAGGAGCTTAAACTTCAAGTTGCGTGCTGCAGCCAACCAACCCAAAACCCAACAACCTCGGAGGAGAAGCCTGCTTATTATACCTTTGCGGCGCGGGCGGGGGCCACTGGGCAGGAGCCGGTAAGTTCTGACTGACTTGAGGAAAAACACTAATGCCCGGGCCGCGCGCGCGCGCCCCGGTAGTTAGTTTCTCGCAAGCTATGATCACTGGCATGGGCCAGCTGCAAGGACCACCACCACCACCGCGATACGAGTACATGATGCCAGTGCCTTGGCCTGGGGTTCGACGGACATGAAGATCCCAAGACAGGGAATTCTGCTCTCTCGGACGGATGATATTTGCTTGTTCTGCAGGAAGGAAGCTGGAACGAGCAGCTCTTTCCCTCCTTCTCGAAATTTGCAGGACCGACCATGGACTGGCGATACCTATTCGACGGTGATTCGCCGTTGTCGATTTAGCAATCCTCAACATAGATACACACCTACCCCACCTGCCATCTGCATGGCCGTGCAAAAACCCCCCTGCGAACTCGCTAAAATCCGGCTATCCGGCAGAGGCTTTAAGTTGCGCCGCGGATTGGAAATGGCATGTACAATACATACATCCATGTGAGTCTTCGATCGACCTCAAGCCTCACGAACGTCCAATCCCGCATGCTTAAAGTGAAGTCGTTGACTCGGGACTATCGGGATTAGAGTCTAACTACCGGTTTGCCTCACCTAGATTAGAATATAGAATCCTTGGGTTCTTTTTTCTGGAATAGCAGCGGTATGTATCCCAAGATCGAGGTGTTCGGAATTAACGGAATTTACCAGTAGAAACCGCATATACAAAACAAGAGTGATATAGTACTTGGGTGCCGGTCAGAGATTCAGAGAGTCAGAGACATCGACATCGACTTCGAGCTCCCCGAAAGAAACCCTCCGACGCGGCCTCGCCGGACGGTGCCACACTGGCACATCGTCGCAAACAGCAGACCCAAATACTTCGATGCCCTCTCGTATCTACTGGCGCGGCACAACCACCCACCGCGTTAGCCAAACCATCTGGCGCCATCTCACCTAAGCGTGTTCGAACGGTGATCAGCCGGTTATAACCGAAGCTACATACGAACGAGTGCCAAAAAAAGTTAACTTAACTACAGAGCACGCCTCGGGCCGGCCCTTTTTTCCCCAGGGCTCACGTGCGATCGCGTCGGCGTTGTTCCTGGTGGGTGCCAGGTGGATACACGCGTGAGGCGTATCTATCGCACGGGTGATTACGGCCGGTGCGCGCGGTAGTGTAAGCTTATCTATCGAGCCGATGCAAACCGAGCCCAGTTAGTTACCATTCACTGGAGTTCAAAGATCTAGAATTGATCCAAAGAGACGGCTGCGGCGATTGAAACGTGCCGTTGAGGGAGTTACACGCATTGTGGTCGAGCTACGTTCGAATAGTGCTCGTCGAATATTCGGGCACAGCCGGTCACTCGGATCATTTTTCGTGACAGTGAGGAGAGCGGGTGGCGCCTGGTCCCCGGCGGCCAACAATGGCATCAGATTTGACTACGGCAAAACAGAGGCGGTCATCTTTACCAGATGGCGGGAACCCGCCCAAATGGCCATCTAGGCGGGAGAGCTGGAGATTCCCTGCAACAAGGAAGGAGACAGTGCTTTTGGACGAAGCTGAAGCACTTGACTGCACGGTAACCATGGAAGAGGAACTCTCAGCCAGAGCGCACACAGTGGGCCCACAAGTTACAACCATCAGGGTTCTCAATGCACACAGACCGATCTCAGACCAACTCCAAAGCAGCTGGCTACGCCGTTGTCCGGTGCTACTGCACTCAATGGAAGGGAAACAAGGTCCACATGGGACCCCAACAGGAGGCTTATGATGCGGAATGCACAGCCATCGCCCGAGTACTGGAAGCAGCCGTTGGTAGGCGGCACAACCTCAGTAGAGTCACCATCTAAGTACACGATTAGGAGGATGACCCACGATGCCCTTGGCCCCGGCCAGAAGTACACCATCCAGACACGGAAACACATTGCTAAACTCCGCCAAAGGGAGCCCGAGGGCCGAGATCACCATTGAGATATGATGGTGCCCGGCACATAAAGGCGTCCCTGGAAAGGAGAAGGCGGACAAATGGGCGGCACCACCACCTCGCCAGCTTGGAGACTGATTTAAAAGAACAAACGCAGAACTCATGGAATTTTTTACACTGAACGCCGAATTCGGACCCCGCACATGAAGAATATCATTAAGCCCTCCTTCACATCCTCATTTAACCTCCCTTAATGGCACAGCCCTTGCCATTGCCTCCGTGACGCTTCCTCGTTCCGCTGTCTGTATAGAGCCTGATGTATTAGATGCATGTCCCTCGTCGAGTTCGGCGGTAGCCGGTGACCTGCCTGGTAAAAGGAATTTGCTTCACTTAACGCCGCAAACTCCAAACCCGAACCCCGCCCGCGAATGTTTTCTCCCCCCTCCCCTAGGGGGAGGCAGTCACCAGCTCGTTATGCCTTCCTTGCCGCCTCTCCGACGTTTTTTTGCCGTTGTCTGTATAGAGCCCAATGTATTAGATGCATGTCCCGCGTCGTGTTCGGTGAAGTGGCAACTTACGTATGCTGGGCCTTGCCAGCAGGACACATGGGGCACGCCAGGGCGGGGGAAATAATTCCGCCCGCAGGGGGTGCGATGCCCGTCCTGTTACCGGGAAAAGTCATCGCGTCGTGCCGCGGCTCTAGATAGTCTCGTACGTTCTGAATGTTCGAAGTTAGGTACATTCTTTCATAATCCAAAAAGTTGAAACAAAGAGACAGTAGAGTACATACCCGCATTGCCGGTGTGGCGGTCGTTTCTCCCGCTTTCTGTCTCAGCCAACCACTAATACTCGGATGGTTGATGTGACGTAGAAACGTCACACTTCTCCAGCTGAGGTCTGCCAGGATTCCCATCAAACGATCGGCATGCCATAGAAGATCCTATACCTCTATGTGTGCCGTATCACGTTGATCCGGGGTTCTCTCCCCAGTAGTCTACGCTGGTATCACCTCCAGAATCTCTTCTAGTTTTGTCAGTATCTTGCCGATGCATTGGTGAAATCTGACGGTCGAATCCCCATCCAGAAGCCAGCATGATAGATGGGGCTCGACAGGGCGGGGGAAATAATTCGTTCCGCAGGGGGGGTACGATTCCCAGCCAGTTGCTGGGAACATCATCGCGTCGCGCCGCGGCGGCGTATAACTGCCCTCGTGGGGCTGGCCAGTGGCCGCTGGGTTCGTTGAAGGTGGATATGTACCTACTGCGAGGTTTATCGGACGTTGATGTGGGCGTTGATGTTGATGTCTGTTTTGAGGAGAGAGATGGGGGAGAGAGTGGGGAGGGGATAAAGGAGCTATTTAATAAGAAAGAGGGGGAAGAAAGCGGGGACGGCTTAGTGCGGCCGGTACTGAGACCGCACCCCCGCACCCCCGCACCCCCGCACCCCCGCACCCCCGCACCCCCGCATACCGCATCCCGCATCCCCGCACACGCTGAAGAAGGGTAGGTAACAGTGTCAAACTGTGGCCGGCCGTCGACGTTTGCACGAATAAGGTGAGAGAGAGAACATCAATCGATTGTCGCATGCGGCCTTTGCGCCGCTGCCTACCAAAACAAAACACCACCACGCTCGTTTCCCGCCTACTCCGCTACGAACCTGCCATGACTACGCTCAGTATCCGCACTAACTACACACACAGTGCCCTGCCGGCAGTCCTGTTCGGCCTCCTCTACTGCCGTCAAGGTTTTCTTCCCCACCTCCGTCGTCCTTAGATATTCTAACACCCTCAGTCTTGTATATAAAGAGAGCTTTCGCCGCTGATGATAGGTTTTTTCAGTATCAATTCAATTATCTCTGTCGTTCATCTATATATTTCAACAAACAGTACGGTAGGTACATATTCAAGAGCACTGTGGCAGGGCAGGACAGTTAGGCGGGTTCTATCTACAGGGTAGTGAATCGCAGACGATAAGCGGATGGATCAACCAGCGGGCTCGTGCTTGGTTGCGTGGGTGCGTCTCCGTTGCTAGGACAGGCCAGGCCAGAGGGCAGGGAAAGCTACATCGGGCCGCTTGATGAAAGTCGGGTTGGACAGGTCACAGTGGCGTGGAACCGGAGTGTGCACATATATTGCCATGATTTATTTAGGTTGCAAGCAATTACTATGTAACTCAACAAAAAAAAATCCAAGTCCATCACCATCGGCCAATTGCCATCCACCATTAAATATCAGATGCCCAGGCAAACTCAATGTTCTTTTCCGACGAAGTCAGTCTCCCAAGCCGACCAGTTCGCAGCCGTCAATTTATCCCAGCCTTTCGGGTCGATCGATGAGTACATCCTAGAATGATATTCGATGTGCGCTGCCAGAGTAAAGTCAGTAATCATGTGTAATGAAACGGGCCATCTCACTCCCCACACGTACCCGTATATCCGCGACAAGCACTTTGAAAGGTTGATCGTTGCAAAGATCGACGAATTCATCGCTGCAGTTGCGAAGACATGCGAGAGTGGCCTCGCAATGCGCTTTCCGACGAAGTCGGTCTCCCAAGCCGACCAGTTAATAGCCGTCAATTTACCCCAGCCTGTCGAGTCGACCGATGGGTACATCCCATCAGTGACATCCCACGCGATACTCTGGATTACAGTCTGGCACCTCGTGATGGCAGAACTAAACCCGAGTCTACCTCTTTCCAATGTTCCGCATGCGCGGAACGGCCTTGCCAGCCAGGTACGACTTGAAGATGGCTATGAATTCCGCTCTGAGTCCAAGCTTCAGAGACTCCATATCCCTCTCAGGGAAAACGTTCTGCAAGAGCACATCCAGGCTTGCTTGCTTCTTTGGTTCGAAGTGAGGCGGCACTTCGATGACCGTGAACTTCACTTCGCCGGAGTTGGATCTGAGTAGCCCAGTGATAGACTCTCCCAACTCTGCGATTCGTCCGATCCAGTTTCTCACCTGATGATTGGTTAGCCACAGAAGCCGCAGAAGTGATACCAAGTGGCAACTTACCTCCCCGAAGGTATGGAGGAAACTCCCCCCCCCCTCTTCCTGCTGGTCCCGCAATTGCAGATGTCCACGCAAACTGGGCAGATCCACTCACTGCGTGACCGCGAGCCCCTGATTGTTGGTTAGCTATATAAGCCGCAGCAGTGATACCAAGTGGCAACTTACATCAGTCGGCTGGAGCTTGCCAGCATGACAGATGGGGCTCGACAGTGCGGGGGAAATAATTCCGCCCGCAGGGGGGGGGGGGTGCGATGCCTGGCCTGTTGCCGGGAACATCATCGCGTCGTGCCGCGGCTGAGCCAGCGTATAACTGCCCCCCTTTTTTGTTTAATTAGTAATTGCTTTAGTATAACTGCCCTCGTGGAGCTAGCCAGTGGCCGCTGGGTTCGTTGAAGGTGGATAACTACTGAGGGGCTTGTCGGACGTTGATGTAGATGTTGAGGCAGTCGGTGGTGGCCGCGGAGGGACGTACGGAGCCCGACGTGTCCCAGTATTGGCTGCCGACTGCCCACCAGCTTTCGCTGAGTTTTTGCCTTGACATTGATATCTGTGTTGAGGAGATAGATGGGGGAGAGATGGAAGAGAGAGAGCGGGGAGGGGGGATAAAGGAGCTATTTATAAGAAAGTGGGGGAAGAAAGCGGGTGCGGCCTAGTGCAGCCGGTACTGAGACCGCATCCCCGCATCTCCCTATCCCCGCACACGCCAAGGAACTAGGTACCAGTACACGCCAGAGTGGAAGGCAGGGAAACTCTGGTAACGGAAGGGGACGAAACACATGTCTCCTCTGCGTGACACCAGTCGATATGCGGATGGATCAACCGGCGGGCACGCACTTACTGAGTTACGTCGAGGCGATGGATGGGGGGTCGTCTACATTGCAGGTGCAGGTACTCGCACAGTCAATCAGGTAACAGACAACAGTCGGTGCATCGTGCATACCGTATCGTATGATTGTAGAGACGGAAGATATTCCAGTGCAACCACCGTAAAGGCTCTGCTACAAGCAATTGCTTGTTTGCTGTTGTACTCATCTTGGATTTCAAGCTTACATAACTGTAGCTCTCCAGCTTCGCATAGCTGCATCCCATGCCCAGTTGGTGTATTCTAAGCCGTAACACAACCTCCGTCACGACTAATCGTTCGGAAAAAAAACTACCACCAAATTCACACATCCCGCCGCCCGTCTCTCACCAACTCCGTACGAACAAGTGCTCACGCAGCACTCTCCGCTCAACCTCCTCATGCAACCCTCTGCCACGACTAATCGGTCGAAAAAACTACTAATCGGTCGAAAAACTACCACCAAAATCACATGCTCCATCACACGACTAATCGGTCGAAAACTACCATCAAGAACACACACCCCACCGCCTGTCTCTCGCCAACTCTGTACGAACAAGTACCCACTCAGCACCTTCTGCTCAACCTCCCCTGTCCTTCCTGTTTTCGTCCGGTGCATACATTCAATTTAACCACCACCACCACCATCACCACTACCACCACCACCACTACCACCACCACCACCGCCGCCAACACCAACACAACACGACCATCCTCACCATTTCAAGCCACCCTAGAGAATACGGATACGATGACAACTAGACCTCCAGATGGTGGAGGCACCATCGATAACGACACATCTGATGGCGGCCCTCCCAGAACGCCAACATCTCGTGTTCGCCATGACGGTACGACCTCGCCCTTCGGCGATTCTCCGTCTCCCTCGCAGATACTAGCCTCGATGCGACTCACCCTCCCCGTCGGCTCACCCTTAGCAAGACATTCCCCGTCTCGCAATTCGCACAGAACGCCCGACCGCTTCATACCCTCTACCACAAGCCGTCACAGCTTCCGGATGGGTGCCCCTGCCGAGAACCTTTCCCCAGAGGCGCGGCTTCTCCGCCGCCACATTCCCGACACCACCGGTAACCAACAGCGTAGTATGTCACCGGATACGTCGGCCATCGAGCGTGCCCGTGTTGAGGCTGCGAGAGGTAGTCCGTTGAACAGGAGGCTCTCCACTGGCACTATCGGTGTCTTCGGGATCGGATTGGGACACAGCAGTCCGGTGGACCCTACGGCGCCGCCGCAGAGACAGAGGGGACGTGAGATCAATGGTGGAATCCTGGACAATAGAAGAAATCCAGAGAAGGAAAAGGAGGAGCTTGCGTTGAGGATCTCCGCTGCTCTTGGAGTTGACCGAAACCGTAAGGTCCTGAGATTCAATGGCGTGTACGAGCATGATGCCACGGGCATAATTCATCGGGGCGGTCTGCCTGGAAACCCCGGCTTCGGCAGCTCAAACATCAGACTGTGGGACTCGGTGATCGGACTAGGTAAGTAATTCTGCTGAAAATTGTACCGGATGTGTTGGATTGCTAATCCTGCTGCAGACGATGACGGATTCCCGAAGCCTCCCTCTGCAAGCAAGAAGCATCGCCGTATCGTCCCGACTACTCCGTTCCGTGTTCTGGATGCTCCCGGTCTTAGGGACGACTACTACTGTAGTCTGATAGCTTACAGCGCGGCCTCCCATTCTCTCGCAGTGGGCCTTCACAGCGACGTGTACAGTTGGGAGGAAGACACTGGAGCTCGACCATTGGCGCATTGGTCGAATGCACACGTAACATCGTTGGCGTTCTCATGCGAGCAGGCAAACAACGACATTCTTGCGATCGGCCGCATCAATGGCTCGCTCACCCTGTGGTCTCCCAGCGAACTGCGTCCAAGGCTTAACCAGCTGCACACGTCTAGCATTGCGTGCCTGGCTTGGAAGCCGAGGGTTTCTCCCCGCCAGCGCAAAGATAACCTGCCGGTCGTTTTGGGACCCGGCGTGGGTTTTACCGAAGACCTGCTCGTTGGAGACGAAGTCGGAAATGTGTTCCTCTACAAGGTGGAATGGGGCAGATGGGACCACGATATGCACCTTCATCCGCCTAATGCGACCATGATCTTGATGCGCCGTATCATCGTGCACAGCCAACAGATCTGCGGACTCGCGTGGAACGTGGACGGAAGCCAGTTCGTCACCGGTGGAAATGACAACGTCGCCTTTCTATTCACGACCACGGAGATGGAAGGCACCAGGAACCAGCATGGATATCTTGAGCCCAATGCCCAGATGACGATCTATGGCGGTGACAAACATCGCTGGCAGCATAGCGCCGCTGTCAAAGCCATCGCATTCTGTCCCTGGCAAAAGTCCCTCCTCGCAACTGGTACGTATCCAGCCCCCCACATCCACATCACTCGCTCACTAACAACTTCCAGGCGGCGGCAGTAACGATCGTTGCATCCACTTCTTCCACACGGGCTCAGGCGCCACCCTCAGCACGATCAACGTAGCCGCGCAAGTCACCTCCCTCCTCTGGTCGACCAACCACCGTGAGATCGCCGCGACGCTGGGCTACGCCAACCCGGACCACGCGGTGCGCATCGTCGTGTACTCCTGGCCGCAATGCCAACAAGTCGTGCAGGTCCCATGGCAGGAGGACATGCGCGCCTTATACGCGGTCGCATACCCAGGAGGTCCCCACGTGTCGGAAGGAAGTAGAGCGCGAGCCGACGACGAGAGCGACTCTGACGACGACTCCGACGAGGCCGACCGCCTGCTTCGCCAGCTGGGGGGTGCCAGGAAACCAAAGAGGAAGCAGAGCCGCCATCCTGAGGGCTGCATCGTCGTTGCCGCGAGCGATGAGACTGTGCGCTTCCATGAGATTTGGGGCGCTGACAGAAGGGTCGTCATGCAGAAACAGGGCGTCCTCGGGGGCAGCGCTATCCTGGAGGGCCTTGAGGGCATTGAGGGCGATGGTGAGGAGACGATTCGTTAGCCACACCCACCCACCCACCCACACACACATCCGTCTACCTACCTACCTACCTACCGGATCGATAGTGCAGTGTGTGCAGTGTGTGCTTTTTTTTTCTTACTCATTTGTTTGCGGCGTTTGAGGGGGGTAATGGCACGGAGTGTTTTGCGATTGATTGTTTGTAGTCGGCTCATTGGGTTGACGAGTCACGAAACACGGCCCGGAGTGTTTTGTTTTGTTTTGCGATGCGATGTGATTGTTTGTTTGTAGTCGGCCCATTGGGTTGAGTGACGGAGGACGACGGAGCGACGGAAAAAAACTGTTTTAGAGCATAAGGAACGGCATAAGGAATGGCATAGGGAATAGCAATGGCAATGGCACGGGTTGTTTTCAGATATTCTTCAGGCGGGTGGATGGATGGAGTGAGTGATACTGTGTGTTTCGTGCGCTCACCAGCGACCATCGATGCCGCGGGCATACTCACCATGTAGATACAGACCAACTCTAATGTACCGTATCGATCTGGAACTCCAGTTCCATCGCGTCTCTTGGACCAATCGCCTAGGCCAATCGCCTGTGTCTTATCTGGGTCTGTATCTAAATAGGCCAGACAGATGAAATGATCCTCACTCACCTCACTCACTCGCACCATCAAGCCATCAAGCCACAAAGTTATTCATAAAGAGCAAGGCGAAAAACTCCGTGTTCGATTCGATTCCCTTTCCTTTCCTTTCCCCATCCCCCCCCCCCCCCCCCCCCCATCCCAATCCCCCCCCGCTCCCCGCGCCCCACCGTCGTGTCCAATCCACAACCAATCCACAACCACAACCATAGCTCGTACACGGTACATCACCCACATCACCCACACCTTTCCTACCCAAAAACCTCCAAACTAAAAAGGAGAAGAAAAAAACTAGATATACGATCGTGTGTAGGTATACGAAAAAGAACAGTAGAAGAAAAGAAGTAAGAACTAAGAAGTAAGTAGAGTGAATAGAAATTAAACTGAAAAGCCTCACAACAAACGAACAACAAAACACCCGCACACAACAGAACAGAACCAAGCAGAATAGAACCAAACAGAACAAAAACAGAAACAGAATAAGATTTGGATATCATCGAAGAAGAAGAATAAATAAAACAAAAATCAAGAAGCATCCTACATCCAGACCCCCATACCCCCAGTGTGCGCGCTATGGATATCATATTTCATCGAGAAACTAAACTCAACTCGCCTTTGCCAAAAAAAAAGATGAAAAGGGGAAGAAGAAAAGAAGAAGAAAAGAAGAAGAAAAAAACTGTGAAAGCACAATGACCGACGCATGCTTAAGTAGGCTTGATACTTATGATATGATGATGATGATGCCAAAAGAAAAAGAACAAGAAAAAGGAAAAAAGGGCAGAAACTCCACCGTCCGGCAGAAAGAAACAACAGCAACCAAAAAAAAAAAAACTAATCAAAATCAAAATCACAAAACTCCGTGTACCCGCCCCCCCGTATTCCGACCCCCCAACAAAACAATACAAAAAGCAGCGTGGTATCCCTTTTGTGATGTATAAAGAAAATAAAGAAAATAAAGAAAACCCCATAACCACATCCTCCACCTCCATCCTCAGGTTCACTGTGCCCCCGTGCCGCTGTTGTCCAGATTCGGTTGGCCGGCAAACTCGTTGTTGTCGGGCGCCGCAGCGCCGCCGGGCCCAGTAAACTCGTCCCGGTTGTTTTGTCGATTCTGCAGACTCGCCGTGATCCCGTCCATGTTCTCCGGGTTGATGAGGTGGAAGAGATCCATCGGGTTGCTCTCTGCCTTCGTGACGGCGGCATAGCTCTGCCTACGGCTATGGCCTGATGTATCCGACGATGAGTCCTGCAACGTTCCGTCCCTCACCGCCGCGGGATCAAAGTACATGGCGTTGATGTTTCCCTTTTCGTCCCGTTCCCTGTGTGCGCCGGTTTGGTCTTCGTCGTCCTCGTTGTCGCTGTTGTCCGATCCATCGTCCTCCTGGTTGTTGGCTATGTCGAAAGAGCCTGTCGGCGGTGCCGCCGAGCCCGATTGGTCGATCTGCATCGGCATTATATCCACCACGCCGCCAATCATCGTATTGGCGGGTATGTCGAAGTCGTAGGGAGCACTGACGGACTCGGGGTGAGAGTCGGTGTACGGGTATAGATCCGGGAAGCCGCCTTCGTTTCGTGCGTATTCCGATAGATGGTACTGCGAAGTATCGGCTGCGAAGGCTACGCCATAGTAGGTAAACGGAATGTTGCCCGTCGCGAGGAAATCGGTAAACTGCGCAAAGTCCATTTGTGGGTTCATGCCACCAGAGGTGAATGTGGGCTCGGCGGTGTAGTTGTCCGGATCGACGGGATACGCAGAACCGGGCTGTAGACCCGAATCAACACTGGATTCCGGGGTGGGCACCATGTGCCCGGGTGGCTGAGATACACTCTTTTCGAGGTTCTTGCACTTCTTCTTGAGCTTCTGGTACATCCCTTCGATCGGCTTCCAATAACGCCGAAGCTCCTTGAGCCAATCCAGCCCCACCCAGACTCTCCGCCTCTGTTCGGTTGCTCCTCCGGGCTCACCACGAACCTCCAACGCTCGAATGACGGTGATGTTGCAGGCATCGGATATCGCCTGGCCGAGGAAAGGTGCATTGACGGTGACGGGAGGCTCGTTGTTAGCCCTGGCCACATCTCTCTGTTGCCGAACGTGAAACATGATTTGTAGCACGGCATCAGCATGGACGAAGGCTTTTCGAATGCTCTCCACCACGACGGCGCCCGAGATGTTATGTTTGATGAAGTCGTGGGGCACTCCAACGGTTCGAACATAGCGATGGACGTAAGCCATAGCGCTATGCCACATGACGTGCATCGTTACGAATGCCCCGGTGGTGCCTACCCTGATTTGGCCAGCCAGATTCTCGTTCGAGTACTCAAGTCCTGGTGGTAATGTCTTCCTCCAGTTCTCCAGCTTTTCGATAAAGTGATTGAATTCGTTTGGCGCCTTGCTCTTTGTCTCGTCCTGTGAGTATGTCTGAAACCCAGAAAGGTGAATCTGCTTGAGGATATTTCCCCATATTCCAACCACCCGGACAAGGTAGGCCATCGCACCCATGTACTTGGTACCGACGTCTCGATTGTAGGGATTCGCTCCGAGAAGATGCTCTGTAAGGACATATTTGCCCTGGTCAAACGATGGCTGGTTGCAAGGAAGCTGTATGTGGCAATCGTGATCTTGCGTAAGGAAAGGCCGAGCAACTCCGTAGCTGTTGAATCTCTAAAAGAGGAATAGTCTTGTTAGCGGTCTGGCCGACCTTTTTTTTTTTTTTTTTTTTTTTTGGAGGGGAGGAGAAGTGAAACACTAACATCCATCAGGTAGTAGGACCAGTAGGTACGCCTCGTACACTCCCGAACGATCGCATCCTTTCCCTTCTCATTTTTCCTGTTTTCAAGATTCATGTTTAGCGCTGCCCCCATCCGTACAGCCATTCCAGCAAACATCCATGCTTTAGTGCCGTTGTTGCTGCCGAAATCGTGTAATCCCATATGCACCATGCTCTGGACCAGTTCCAACGAATAATTATCGTAGTTCTGCAGAATCAGCTCCCGCGCTTTCTCTTCCCACTCCCGCTCGCAGTCTTTAAGTTTCGAAAATCGAGCCGCAACCGCGCACATGGAGAATAGCAGCACCGGCGAATGCGTGCTCATGTTCGCCATGAATGTGCTTTTGTGTAAGAAAGCGTACGTCTGAGAGTAGATGTTGGCAAAGTAAGCCTCCATGAGGTGCTGAAGTATGTCCGGTCCAGGCAGGCAGTGGTTTCTGGAATCTTCTCCCATCGGGCGAGGAACTGCCGACATCGGCGTCACAGGTGTCGAGCTACTCATTGCGCGTTGACGGGAATCCGGATAGCCGTGATCAGCGTAGCCGCCTCCGCTCGTTATGGTCAAGCTCGGGACGGGCGTGACGACCGGCGATTGCGATGCGTAGGAAAGCGGAGAGGCATCCGACATTGAGCTGCTCCGATGATGATGTCCGTGCATTTCCTGTGGCCGCGAAGAAACATAGTTTTCCCGCAGTGCCCTCACATATTTCACCCGGGAATCTCCATTTTCGTGTCCAACAGCGGCAGCATCCATAGGGTTCATTGGGAATAGCGGCGGCCTTTCATCATCGAGGAGTGGGGCACTATGTATTTCCTGCCGCCGGGACGACGGTGAAGCATTCGCGAGGGCCGTATTGACATGATCCCCAACCATCGAGTTAGCCCTCGAGATAGGTCCCCGGTTGAGCTTCTTGATCCCGTTGGGACTGTCCTCCGATTTCCGCTTCTTCGAGCCACTTTTCCCAGGTGCCTGCATCATCATGTCCATCGAATCGGATGTGATGGATACCGACCGCTCGCCACCATTCTCGGATTTTATGTAGTCCTGGGAACTGCTGCCTCGCTTCTTCTTCTTGTCATCGTCCCTGTAGACATCAGCACGGGATACCCGCTCCACATCAGCTCGAACTTACTTTTCATACCGTTGGCATATTATCCTCATCTTCATGCAATGCTGACATATTGTTTCGTCGTGATCGCTCTCGCTGGACCGATAATTAGCCCCTACACGCACTCGGTGCCGCATTTGCGCAATCGTATATCCACTTACACGCAACGTATCTTCTTCGCCCGGCAATTCCTGCAAGCCTGCGGTAACCGCTGCCGCGCTTTCCCTCCGGCGGTAAACCCCCATTCCGGATTTACTTGGATCCCGTCCTTCACCCGGGGAAGTAATAGTCCTTTGGTCTGCTTTCCCGTCCCGATCTGCCATCCTGCCGGAACTTCCACGCCTGCCGGAACAGGCTCATTCTCGTAGTACTCAATACCGTTGTGATCCTGGAAGATGGGCAGACCCTTTTTCTTTGGCAGTTCCAACCCGTTCCCCTTGGAGTCCTTCATGGAACCGGAGTAGGAAGGACTTCGGTCGCTCCCATCCATCCGAGCAGCCATCCTCGGACTCATGCTTACGCTCGGCGTGCAAGAATTTCTTTCCCGCTTGATCCGTCTCTCATCGTCGGCTGAGTCGTATTCACTACCATGGCTCCTCAAGGCTGCCGGTGTCGAACCCAGCCGTTCAGCCACCCGTCCGTCATCATCGGCGCCGCCTTGCTGTTGTGACACATAGCCATCGGTGTTCCGGTGAGCGTTGTTGTACGACATGGAACCCCGGTGGCTGCCGTTCGTGCTTACTGGGGGACCGAGAGGAGAAACCATGCTGCCTCTTCCTTGATGCCGTGATAATAGAGAGTGCGACGAAGATGACGACTGATTCGACTCGGCATAACTCGCTATTTTAGGGCGATGTTGTTCGGCAGGTGATACCAATCCCGCAGAGTTGCCTAATGGGGGACGATTAGGCTGCCTGAACGGTTGTGGCGTGGGGAGGCTGCTGCCGTTAATTGTCTGACCCGACGAACCTGGTGTCCTTGGAGAAGCAGGATATGGGTTCGGGGGAGAAGGTGCCGCACTGGGTTCCAGCGCATTGTGGTGAGGCCGACCGTAAGTCTGGTGAAGGTTGTAATTGTGGGGGTGCGAGTAGCTGCCATCCTGTGTCTGAGATCTCACGAACGATGTGGCCGATTTGCTACTCCACGGATCGGGTTGGGGGTAGTGTGATGGTGGTATAGGTTGGACGACTTCCTGAGGGGGAGGTTGTGATCCGTAGGGCCACGGATGCCCGCCATTCTGTGGGTGTCCGCGAGGAGCCGATGGCACAGGGCCGGGGAAGGGATGGTGACCACCGGCGACTCCGTTCATCGTCCAGTTGTCGGGGGTGGTGGTGGTGGTGGTGGTGGTGGTGTTGATGTTTGAATGGTTATTGTTGTTGTGGTTGTTGTACGCAGGTCCAGCTTCACGGTATCCGTATGGGGGTTGGTGGATCGGTAGTTGTGGAGGCGGCACGGCGGGGTGGTAAACACTCCCGTGTGGTTGAGGACCTTGTATCGAGTAGTGATCGGGTACTGCAGCCTGCTGGGTGCCGTAGTGGTGCTCCTCAGACATTGAGGAGCGGCACCCTTTGAAATATATTGGAGGGAAGCTTTCAGATCGGACGGTAGGTGAGGACGATGAGTTGATTCGAAGGGACGAGGTCGCGGATTGGGGGGGTGGGTGGGGCGGGGGTAAGGAAGGACAACCTGCGCCGCCAACTGCGGGCCTATCAACGGCGGTCCAACCAGAGCCGGGGCGTGTGTCTTGAAGAGCTGTGATAATAACAAATCGGAGAAATCCCGGCCAGAATTTAGGTTTTCTTCAGGCCACTAGTAGCACAAGGCTGCCACGTTGGGGGAAAGTCCGGAGTCAAAGCAAGCCCACTGGTGCCCCTGTTTTTTTTTTCCGAGCGTAGTAGTGGTAGTATCAACGGAATACGGGTACTGGAGACGGAGAATCCGATTAATCTTATGGCGCGCCCAAGTCGCAACCTTGCGCGTCATACATTGACGGGTTCCCAATAGGATGCTCAGCGACCCCGATGCGTACAAGAAGCTGGGGTGGGGAGGCTCTTCGGGGGGAATTCTAGGTACTGCCTGGGAGCGGCTGAGAGGCTGGAACACGGGTCCGGACTGGAGTACGTGCAAAAAGAGAAAGCGTCGTTCCGAGCGGCCACGAGCTAAAATGTTGGCGAGTAAATACGACAAGAAGGTGACGGTCGCTGGTCTGTAGATGTTTCGAGCGGGCTGTAGCCTCTACTCGTTTAGTTGGTTAGACCCAGCGTCGCGGTTCTCGATCGTCGCCGCAGTAGGGGCGGGATACGGTAATGGGGTGGGTGGTGGTGGTGATGGTGGTAGTGGAATGTGGAATGTGGTATGTGTTGGTGGTGGTGGTGGTAGGTGGTAGGTGGTGGTAGTAGAGGTGGTAGTGGGGACGGTGGTGGTGGTGGTGGTGGTGATATGGGCGGTAAGGAAGGAAAGGCAAGTTACTCACCACCCTCTATCTCTCTCTCTCTCTCTCTCTCTCTCTCTCTCTCTCTCTCTCTCTCTCTCTCTCTCTCTCTCTCTCTATCCCTCTTCTCTCTCTCGCTCTCCTCCTCCTCTCTCTTTCCCGCGCGCTCTCTCTCTTTCTCTCTTTCTCTTTCGAGGTAGATTTGGCGACGTGGGGACTTGTCAGCGCGCCGGACAGCGTAGGATACGGAACTGCGCTGCTGCTGGGAGTATGTAATCTTCCTCCAGTAGCCTCCACAACCACAGTCTGGTGTATCGGTGTATCGGTCTGTCTGTCGGCCGGTCTGTCGGTGGGTGATGATCCAGGTACTTTTCTTTTCGCGAGTAGTGCACTCTTTGTCGAAGCGCTGATATTCTCCCCCGCAGGCACGCAGATGATGTCGGATTCAAGGCAACCCTTCCCCCCCGCGTCGAACCAAAGAGACTATACTTTCGGAAGCGAAGAGTGCCCGGTTGGAACGTGTGTGTGTGTGTGTGCACGATCGCACTCGTTTCTCCCGAGGAAACCAATTTTCTCCTCTCTCCTCTCGCTTTTCGCTTTTCGGAGATGAAAGGAGGGACACAGAAACGAAACGCGGTGGGGTAGATATCACTCAATTATCACGGGGGAGGGGAAGGGGGGAGTGGAGATCGGAGGTTGGAGGCGCTCTGTGTGAGGATTGGCGGCGGCGGGCGGCGAGGTAGGCGTGGGTGTGTGGGCGTGGGCGGAGCTTGGGGAACAGTGACGACGTGGGGAGGAGGTGTGCGTTCGTTCGTTCTTCCGTTCGCTCGATCGTTCGCTCGTTCGTTCAACCCTTTGCTCGCAGCAGCCGTTTGGTTGGATAGGTTGGATGGATGGGTTGGATGGATCGGGACGGGATTGAGTGAGGGAGTAAAAGAAGAAGAAAAAAAAAGGAATTCGGGGTGGATCAGTCCCCTTCTCTTCTTCCTTCCTTCCGCCAGTCGAATCGCTCTCTCTGGACGTTCTGTCTGTCTGTCTGTCGCTCCTCCTCCTCCTCTCTGACATTCCTTCCCTTAGGCTGGGCTGCTGCTTTGCTTGGTGCTGCTCGCTGGGACCGGGGGGTGGGGGGGTGAGGCAGGCAGCAGCAAGGCAGGTGGCAGTCGAAAAAGACTTGGGGGGTTGCTATGCTAGTCACCGGGGTTCTCGCTTGCTATGCCGTTCTCGTTTCCGTCTGTGCTGTGCTGTGTGTGAGAGTGGTGGGTGTCGAGCTGGGGTTGCTGTCGAGCTGGGGTTGTGTGTGTTTTTATTTTTGCTTTTGCTTTTTCATCACTTTTCTTCCTTCCCCAGCGTATGCTAGATACTCTACATAGACTCTAGAGTAGTCAGACTATGGATTTCGGAAGGGAAGGCGATTATTTTCTACTGCGGACCCGAGAATGTTTCTGCGTTTCTGCAGGCAGGCTCACACACACTCGCACACACATAGCCAGAGCACAGAGGCGAGAATGGGGGGCAGGAGCACGCAGGAAACACGCAGGAGCAGGAGCAGGAACAGGAGCAGATGGAAGACCTACCTGCCTGCGGCAGCTCCAGCACCCGGGAAGACGAGCGAGGGAGGACTTCCCAAGTTCCGGGGGACTGGCATGGAACTCATAGGATGTATTCATGTCTGGCCTCGAACAGACAGAACATCTATGCAGTACCCAAGTAACAAGTACTGAACGGACCGTCGCAGTGGCTGATCCCACTATAGGCATAGCATAGATGGATATCCATCGTATCCTTATGCTAAGGGAAGGAAAGATGGGGGTAGGGATGGATGGAAGTCCTCTCTCTTCCTGGAAAGCAGGTATAAGCATAGACACAGATACTTGGGGTAGATACTGCAGAAGCCCTCTACTTCGATGCAGTAAAGTTCCAAAGTTACCGAACAACGGGAAAAAAGGGGACGCTTTTAATTGTTGAGGGCACCCTGCACTCACTGTGCAGTAGAGTAGAGTACATACCATGGGGGCAGCGGTGCAAACCACACATACTTCTCCATACATAGCACTGATCTTCCGGCAAGGCGTGATCATCTCGCTCGGGACGGACAGACATACAGACAGACGCACCGGACATACCGCATTCTTTTCCCCCCTCCTTGACGTGGTAAAGAGAGAAAAAAGCAACCTGTCTCAACGCTGGAATCGCCAGAGTACCTACTCTACATAGAGTGCCGACATCTGAAACTCTCTGTGCAGCCCAACTCTTTCAAGGAATCATGGGAATTCACGCTTCGAGGGTGTCTCTACATACTACTCTATGTACTTGTAGCAGAGCTGGAATGTTCGTCTAACCAACTATACTACTACTATTACTACTAGTGGTTATAGAAGTAGGATTAACTAAATCCCTACCCAGAGTGCGTACATGGGCCCGCGCCTATCAGTCTCGCGCGCGGGCGGGAGGGGGTGGGGGGCAAGGAAAGAAGAAGGAGACCTTCTGAGTCCTCATTGGAACCATTACTTCCGGACCGTCGGATCACTCACCGTTGAGCCATTGACCAACCACGTCCTTCAAACCAGCAAACGCCATTGGCATCGATAAGTATCAACCCCGTCGGCATCCTCGAACAGCCAATACCGGTATGGCCGTTTTAACTTCTCGCACCGGCCGCCGGCCGGTATCAACTGCCAGCCCAGCCCAGTCCAGCCCATTCCGAACCCCGAACCCCCCCTCCATCCCCGCGCCCCGGGGCCTGTGATCATCTCCGCCCAGTATCCAAGTACAGGTAGTACAGCCACAGCTAAGCAAATTTTTACTTTCTAGGTCTGTCGAAGCGGCGGCGGGAGTAGGATTGTGAGAGTAGGAGTGGGAGCGAGGGGCTCCGGAGATTGAGGCTTCATACATGCCTACATCCCTTTTCCACAGCCCGCATAGCCCGCAGAGTTAGACTGTTGGGTTCGACTGTCGGGCATGACCGTGACCGTGGCCGTGGCCGTGATTGATGCGGAGGTCGGTTTAGCGTTTGGCAAGACATACATACCGTAAACGTTTGGAGAGCCGGCGGTGCTAAGCGGGCGGATTACTCTGCCGACAAGCGCTGGGTAGGATGGGTGGGAGTAGGCGGGCGGCGTGGAATTAGGTTAGATACCGCGGTTGGGGTCAGTGGTTACGGAGCGAGGATGGGAGGGAGGGAGGGAGGGAGGGTTGGAGGCGTTCGGGTAGGTGTGTCAGCCACCACAACACCGCAGTAGGGAATCTTGGATGATATGCGCGCGGTATATTAGTCGGCCCGGACACGGCGGCGGGGCGGCGGGGCGGCGGGGCGGCGATGGTGGTGTCGATGGTGGTGGCGATGGTGAACATCCACTCGATCGATCGAGTTCTCACGGCGAGATCAGGATCGATATCTATTCACCAACACACATATCCATCGCCATCGTCCTCGTCTAACTCTTCCCGAATGCATGCATGTAACAATCAAGTACTTCTTACTCTTACTCTTATGCATACTCTATGTATCTATCTGCGTGAGTAAGTAGAGTACAGCACTACCTGCCTACCTCTCCGCAGGGGGTTCCGAGCAAGCAAGCAGGCAAGCTGGTCGGACTGGCTGGCTGGTAGGTAATTGCACAACAGGGGGGGTGGAGGGGGGGGCTACATGGCTGGCTGAAGGGAAGGGAACAGGAAGGAGGGAAGGTATCACGGCCGCTCAAACAAAATCCCAAATCCCGAGGCTTCGGTGCCGCCTAAATAGGAAGCAACAAGACCCTCCCTCTCGACACACTACGCACTCCATGCCTCCGAACCCCCCCTCCCCCCCCTCTCTCCCACACATCGGCACCGTACCGTACCATCTCCAAGGACACGCATTCCCATTCCCGCTCCGGGTCACTTCAGCATCGACGGACGAGAGAGAGAGAGAGAGAGAGCAAGAGACTCTGGGAGAGCGCATACACATACACATACACATACACATACACATACACATACACATACACATACACACTCGACGGACAGACAGACAGACAGACAAGCGTTGGTGTGTGCACAGTCATTAACTAATTAGCGGGCAGTGAGTGCGCGCGAGGCAAGCGAGAGCAATAACAAGGGATGGAAGTATCCTCACATCTACCCAACCTACTCTATTCACATTCCTACCTAACCTACCCAGCATAAGTAGAGTACGTGCCCAAAGTAGAGTACGTGCCATGCCGTAAGTTGTCTGCATCGCGTATGTACTGTAGGTATGTATCAGGAATAGTGATATCTACATAGCCCATAGTGATATTGATTTCCCCAGTGCCAGTGCCAGTGCCAGTGCAAGTCCTCTGTGCAAGTCCCTGTCCGTTCGAGTTCTTTCCGTGCATCCCATACCACCCACTCTACTCAACTGCGATTTCGATTCATCCATCCCCGCGACAGGACAGCCGACTTTGGATTCTTTAGATCCTACTATACACACTACACTAATTACCCGCTTTCGAGCACAGTACATAGTTCCCTACACACATACCTGTCGACCCCCACACGACACTCGGCCACCAGCGACCCACGAGCGGCAGCCGCCTTGCAGAGACCTTGTAGAGAACAAGTACCAGTACATACCAGTACAGTTCTCGGCAAGCCCAAGCGCAAGATTCTACCATCCAGTAGCCTTCAGTGGTCTTCACATGAACATGGCGAGCCAAGGTACCATCATGTACAGGTTACCTGCGCAAGCGCCAGCGACTGGAGGAGGAGGAGGAGGAGTGGTACTTGGTAGAGTAGGCAGAGTAGGCAGAGTACATTTTTCTTTTCTTTTCCCAATAACCACGCTAGATTCTGCGGTCTCCTCTAGATCTGCACTTTTTCTTACAGGCCTTGGAGCCTTGGGGGAGGGGGGTAGTATCTTGCTCTATGTAGAGTACTGGTACATATCGGTACGGTACTCAGAATTGCATCATTTACTACCGACCCCCTACTGCGGTGCGGACTATCATTTGTAGAGTAGTTACTAGACTCTACCCTACTCTAGTACTCAGAAGTTAGAACTGTGTCAAATTGCTTTATTTCTGTCTCTCCTCCAGCTCCATCAATGATCACGGGCTATGATAGGTAGCCAAACCAAGCTCCAGACCTCGGGCCCGTTCAAAGGTGACCACCAGCCAACCCACCCCACCCCACCCGGCGGCGCGGAAACTTTTGTGTTTTGTGTTTTATGTGTGTGTGTGTGTGTGTGTGTGAGAGAGTGAGGGTGTGCATAGACTTCCCCAGAACGGCAGTGAGCTTTGTATCACAACCCAACCCAACCGACTCGTGAGAAAACAAGCGGAGTGGAGTCGATGGGTAGCCGCAGAACAATGTACACGGGGCCATCACGTACTTTTTCGCGAGAGAGAGAGAGAGAGAGGGAGGGGGAGAGGGGGAGAGGGGGGCATGTAGGAGGGGTAGATACAGCTGCTCTTGTCTGCGGATTGGCAGAATCTTCAATCCATCATCAGCACCACCAGTGATCACCACTACCTACTACCACAAAACATGGCTCAAATTTCAAATTTCAAGCAACGTATGACGACACCTTCTTGCATGCACACTCTGGAGTACCGTATTTATGTAGAAACCTGGAGAAGAGAATAATTCATCCATCCATCCGTATGTATTTCTGTATCGAAGAGGATGTGTAGCGAAGAGGATATGCAGCTTGCTACGGTAGTAGTAGTGCAAGCCTCCTCTGTCATAAATCACCACCACCACCTCCTCCTCCTCCTCCATCTCCACCGCCACCTCCACCACCACCACCACCACCACCACCACCACCAACTCCACCACCTCTTCCACCAGCCCAGCCCAGCCCAGCCCCCGACCGGAAATTTCGAGTGATCGCTGCGTAGACTACCGCATTTGGAGCGGGCGGTCCCGCGTTCCCGCCGCGGCCGCCGCTGCTGATTCCATTCGTGCCCCGCCTGTCCATTTTGGCAGCGACCACTGACCGACCGCGTCCGACGTTCAACGTCCGACGTTCGATCTCGAATACGACAAATGATGACGATGACGATGATGATCGCATTAGCCCCCCCTCACATCGTACATTATGGTGTTTGCGCAAGTCGGCCATTCACCAATCAACAGCTGCGCACCCGATGGTCGAATCGGGCCGCTATGCGGTCTTCCCCGCAACAGATGGAGCGGTATGTATGTACGAAGCTGCACCGCTGCACCGCTGCGGCGCTGCCCCGGCCACCATAGGGGAAGCGCGCGATTAGATGGCCGACCTAGATCCTGACGTAGTGCTGGCTGGCTGGCTGTCGGCCGACGAACGGTTGCTCCGCCTGTCGGAGGCGCCGCGCTGTGTCGCTTGCCTGCGTGCGTGCGGGCTTTGCCTGTTGCGGGGGTAAGGAGTCTGGTACGGTAGCCATCTCGATTCTCGATTCTCTATGGCCGTCACCCGCCCCCGCCCCGCCCCGCCCCCTGCGGCCCCGCCGAAGATACGGTACATAGAGGGAGGGGGGGAAAGGGGGGGGCGGTCTGGATGTGGCTATTGCTCTCACGACTCACGACTCACGATGGATGATTGGCTCGCACGCAACTATGATCTGATATCATCGGCGTTGTGAACTAGTGATGGAAAAGTCGGAAACATCCAACTTCCACTTCCACTTCCACATCCTATACATCCACATCCATCCACTTTCACAAAAAAAAATCGCGAAACTTTGCGAGGGATAATGACGAGATGGGGCCTGCCAATAGTACGGAGGTAGACAACTACTACATACGAGGGAGGGCGGGCACGACTCAAAGTCTCAAAGCCACCAACACACACTCACACGCATCGGCCAGATTCCCCCGATGTTGGATGATTACCTTTCACTACCAGGTAGTAGGTAGGAGGTAACTAGAATCGTAATACCTATTACCATCGTGACCACCACCACCTTGCACTGTCCCACATGCTCACGCTCACGCTCCATCCACACCCGTATTACCAGTATGCATACCGTTAGCAAATCTGTACATCTAGAAGTCTGGCCGATTCGCCTCTTCCATACGGTATGTATGTAAACCGAAGTGTGAGGTCGGTCGACCGGCGTACTCTATGTACAATACAATACGTCAGTTGCGTTGTGTGAGACCTCCGAGAAAGCTGAGGCACATTCACATTTACATCCACATTTTACATTTCCATTTGCATTTGCATTACAGCTGGCCGCACCGGCCGCACCGTTGTGTGCTGTGCTGTGGTGTGCTGTAGTATGCTGTGGTGTGAGTAAGATGTCAATATCCACCGTATCGGCATCCCCGGACCCCATTCAATCCGCGGGGTCTGGCTGGCTGTTGCACCCGTGCACTCCTTTTCAACGGTGGACGTTTGTGTGTGTGTGTGAGATATTATGCGTGCTTTTTTTTTTCGCTTTCTTTCGTGCCTTCTTCACCAAGTTCGCAACGGCCAACTGACAGATTTGCAGCTCTCCCTCCCTCCCTCCCTCTATCTCCCGCTCCTCCGTAGTTAGTTATCGGTGCGTATCAGTATGGGACGGAATGGGATGGTACATATGATCGGAGGCAAGAGTCCGCTCACAAGTGGGAAGTGAATCCGGAGAAAGTAAGTACTCTACTCTCAGTAAACAAAAAGCAATTGTGAGACAGATGGATAGATGGATAGGGAACTCGCTACATATGATACAGACTACATAGAGTACTCTACGGACGGAGACGTCATGTTAACTAAAAGTGAAGGAGCGATTAGTTACATGTTACTTACATATGCTTACATCTGTATGTAGAGTACCTTTGGTCCGTCACTCTATACGCCTTGCGCGCATATGTAGCCAATCGCGGATGAGAAGGTGGGCTGGGCTCCGTGGGCTGGGCTGGGCTTGCCGCTGTCTCACCACCCTCTTCCCGCATCTCTGGTACTGCAGTAAGAAACCACTCGAGTGTTAGTTAGTAGCAGACTAAATAGTAGTTGGTGTGCTCAAGAAAGATGATCAAAAAACGAATGAAACCCTGCGACGAAAAATAACATCTCCAGTTTGGTCTGGCAGGATGCAGCAGTGCAGAACAGAGTGCATAAATATCATACATATCATACATACTACTCTAGTAAACATACTACTCTAGTAAGTACTTGGGTGTAAGGGTAAGTGCTGCCTCACCAGGCTTTCCCCCATACAACTTAGTCACAACCACTCACTCATTTCATTGTATCTGGCTTAGTACTAGTGCTTATAATTCGTAATGGTGGTGAGGCACCACTTATTGGCAGCTCCTGGTACATATCGGTACTCTACCCAGAGCCACAATCGAACCGACTGACTAGCGGTCTCCCCTATTGGCAAAGCGAAAGGAAAAATAAAGCATCCCCGACTTCTGGAAGAAGCGGAGAAAGAAAAAGAAAAAGCCCCTCCTGATGTTCCCCAGGCATTTTGTAGTACCGATCCGACCGGCTCTACTTCTCCTACGAGTGCAGTATAGAGTGGAATAGAGACCTACCCCAGAACTCTTCGAGACGCTTCTTTCCGAATCATCGTTTGGTGTTCCTATGGTACTAGTTGGTAGTTAGCCACGATAACCGTGAAACCACCGGAGGTTAACGATGTTGCATCCCAATCTCGTTACCCTTGCTCCTCCGCCGCTGCCTTAAGGAAAGGACTGGCCACATGATGCTCCCCCCCATCCCCCTCTCCCTCTCCCTCCCCACGTCTTCCGGTCCGACCAGGTGCGATCCTTCACTCACTCACATAGCGCCCCCCCCCTACAAACTACCTAGAGTAAAGTGAAGCAGAGCAAATACCAAATCTGCATCCCGGATCCCAGAGCGCATCTTTGCCTGCCTTTGGGGTCCAGTTCTAACTTCTGCTGAAGGCTGACTTGACTTGACTGGCTTTCCCCGCAGACGGCATCCGGATGCGGTAGCTGCAGCAGCCTCGAATATTCGAATTAGCCTCTGGCCCTGTTCCTGTGTGCGACATTGTGTAGAGTAGCATTTCAACCGCCGCCACCTCCGTCACCATCACCATCACTACTATTACTATTGCTACCATTACTACTATGACTGTCTAGGCACCTATATGGTATGGATGGTATGTATGGCATATATGGTAAGAGGACGTGCGAGGCTGGCTTTCCCTCGAGAAATGTCAACACGGAACCGGTGGCGCTTTACTTGCGGTTGTCCGTACGTAACCCAAGTACTAGGACAAAAAGGATTAGACGGGGCCCATTTTACACCAAAAATTGCCATTTCCCAACCACCGGTACAGCATCCTGAACGTATCGAGAAAAAAAACCAGAGACAGCCCCAATCCGCGATGAAAGTCGTCAAAGTATCTGTCAATGAAGAAGCTTGTGATTCTAACGCTTCTGTGAAAGAGATGATTTTTTTCGACCAGGTGGAGGCTAGGTCTAGGTTGCATGAAAATGGGGCATTTTTGGTGTAAAACGAATGGGCCCTGTACAATCTTTTTTATCATGGTGGTTTATTACTATTACTATTACTACTATGATGTATGTATTACTATGTATGGATGGATGGTGTATATGGTAAGAGGACGTGCGAGGCTGGCTGGCTTTCCCTCGCATGTAGATTCATAGCGGGCTGTCCTCCTCTCCCCTCGAGACTCGAGAGGTGTCAACCGACGCCGCTTTAATTGCGGTCGTTCGTTACACGCGTCCCACGAGTACCTACCGCCGTGCAAAGTATATACGGTATGTACAGTCGATACAGTGGATACTTCCCGTAAGGGCGGCTTTCCCCCGGCGATGGATACGATCAAAGAGTAGTCGTGTTCGCTCCGCAGGCTCCACAAGGATCTGCCGGCGAGATTTTCAGACGAAAAGGCCATGCACGGCGGGTGTCCTGCAAGATTTCATCTTCCTGGCTCCGCTCCATATCGCTCGGTCGGTCAGTCGGTCAGTCGGTCAGTCGGACAGTCGGTCGTTCAGTCGTCGCGGCGGTCGTCTCGGCGGGCGTATAGACTGTACATAGAGTACTCTACATATGTCGAAACGGATCCACAAGAAGTGCGTGCGTGCGTCCGTTGTATCTGTGTCCGTCTCACGGAGCATAACTATTTACATACGCATCATCCATCCATCTGGGATTCTGGGCAACTGGGTTCGTCGGAGATGTGCCCTCGTTCTGGAAGACTGCGAGTCTGGGGAGAACCTCCAGGCTCTTCCCCCCCCCTGGACGGAAGGAATCAGCTCCGTGTTCAATGCTCGCTGCTTGTTCAATGCTTATTGCTTGTTCAATGCTTATTGCTTGTTCAATACTGGTTGCTGGTTGCGGGCCTCTTTTCTGCCTCGCTCGCTCGCTCTCCGTCCAGCTGCTGTTGCTGGACTGGACGAAACCCCCCGCAACGTGCCCCACTCATATGTACCTATTCCTTGCGCGTGGTACTGGTACATAACGTTGCAATCCCGGCCCGACCGGTCTGGGCCGTTGAGTGAGTGAGTGTCGGGGATGCGCACGCACGTACGCACGCACGATACCATCACGAGTTGTATCTTTCGACCGGTTTCAGCTACCTACGTAGGTACCATGTACCATACCGGTGCTATGTAGTATGTAGTTGGACGGTACCGTGATCCCTCCGACATCGCAAACGCGAGACCTGGAGTTTTGAGTTTATCGATGTCTGTCTGTCTTTGGTTTGTCTTTGGTCGTCTGTCTTTAGTTGTCTTTGGTTTTGTCTGTCATGTCATGTCCATGTCTCGCGTGGGCGTGCGTGCGTCGCAACGGTGTCGGAGCGAATCACGCCTCGCAGTCTGTCGGCGGCGGGGTGTTTCGTAGATTGTGGGAATGCACGCAGTGCGCACCGCCGCCGTCATCGTGCAGAGTTGTTCGGTTTATCGTACCGTCGCCACTTCTCGACTCCCGTATGTATCGTGGTATCGATCCACCTTACCCACCACAATCGACCCGGACGACCAACGCCCCCCCCCCCCCCCCCCCACCGCTCACTGGCCTATTCGTCAATGTCCATGTATAGTAATGTGCATCGTACGTTTTCAATCTCGGAGGATCTTCGACAACGTTACCCCCGGGAACGAAGGGAACACAAGGCTTCCCCACACACACAGACCACACGGAGGCCAGGCCAGACAAGACAGACAGGACACGATTTCCATCGAAATCGAAATCAAAATGCAGGCCGATAGGGCAATTAGGGCAATTAGGGCAATAGGGCAATTAAGGGGGGGTCATGAGTAACTACTCTACTCTACCTGGTCATAGCTCCGCAACAAATACTAGTAGTTAAATAAGGCTGGACGAGGATGAGGACGAGGACGTGCGGCGTGCCTCGGCCACAACCTTGACGACACTCGTTTCAACTTTCAACCGCGAGCAGCGGAAGCGCAGGGTGGATATATTTTCCGTGATCCGTGGCCAACTAGGTACATACTCTACACACACATATACAACGTCGGAGTTGTTCTCTCTTCTCGCCCCGCCGTCCGAGGAAAACGTCGGAAACGAACCGCGCGTGCCGATCAGCCGTAATTGGTCCTAGCTCCCGCAGAGATAAATAAAAAAACCACACTAACTGCCATCTCGAACGAAGGAAAGATTGGTCGTCCTTCCGAGCGAGCAAACTAAAAGAGATGGTACTCTGTAGTATCTAGAGATAGGTACGATATGATCTACTTACTTGGCTACTTGGATACTTGGCTGCATTTCCCCACTCCCTCCAAAAACTCCGAATCCCGATTCCCGATACTCTACTCATTACATAACTCTTATTGCAGGGCTTCTAGAATCCCGCCGCCGCCGCCGGATAGGATAACCAAGTAAGTGTACATGTGTACATGTGAATACCCCCAACTCCATCCGCCAAGAGGAACGTACCATAGAGTAGTATCTCGCTTGTTGCTTATATGCAGTCCTTGCCATCGAGCCGAGGTCTCCCAACAACCTGCATACCTAGTCTAGAGTACATACCATAGTCTATCACAATTTTCGACTGCTGCTGCGAACGCTGCTGCTGAGTCCCTACGGTACGGCATCTCCGGCTTATGGTGGTCGCCCATTATGTATGTACCGGAAATCGGTACGTACTCCCATTCGGGGAGCAGCCGCTGTCCATTCCCAATCGGGATACATATGAGCGTCCTGGGATCTGCTTGCTTCCGCTTCGAGAACACTGCTTAGTTGCCTAGTACCTAGAAGGTTAGCAGGAGGAGGAGGAGGTTCAATTACTCGTGGTTTGTATGATAAGTAATCGGGTATGTAATCGCCGTCCCGCCGTTCGCGCGCTCGCGCACACACACACACACACACACACACACACACACACTCTCTCTCTCTCTCTCTTTCAGTCGCTCTTGCAATTGTTGAGAATATGTATGAGTGTGATGTTTTTCAGTTGCTTGATTCTTCACAAAACACGGCAGTTGACCAGCTATGTAGACATACCAGACAGAAGCAGAAGCAAGTATCTATGAGAATAAACACGATTCCCAAGACGCATGTTACCAATATGGCAAATATGCAATATCTTAGACGAGTGAGTGACGAAAGACGGTGGCTTTTCAACGAGAATCGCAACAGCTCTCTACCTACTCGAGAATCTCCTACCGAGTGCTCCCATATGAACAAGCCACCACCACCACCACCACCACCACCACCACCACGCCGACAACGACTACTGCACAACCGCGGATCCTGACCGGATTGATACATAGCGACGTGCAGCTGAATGCCGAATCCTGATACGTACCGACTAGTAGAGTATGTATCTCCATTGAGCACGTCGGATTGGGCGGGTATATAGTAGTAGTAGTAATGGAGATGTCTGGCTAACTACATAGCTGGCTGGCCTGCGTCGTCAAGCAAGCGTATGTAGCGATTCCGTGCAGACAGTCGCAGTCACAGTCACATATCTACACAGACAAGGCAAGCCGACAGGGCCCCCACCGACCAACCGCCAGCTGCATATCGAAGATTTCGCTCGCTTTTGTTTGCACTGTACCTAAGTGTACTTATGTACATGTAGGTATATGTACGCCCTGCAGCGAGCACACAGGCAAGCAAGCAAAGCAGGACTGAAGAAGGGCTGAACCTTGCCAGGAACGAGGAACGAGGAAGGACGGGGGGCCCGGGGGTGGGGGACGGGGGACGGGGGCGGGGATACCAGGGCCCGTAAACTGCAGTGCATGTATGTCGATATTGGAAGGCCCCCTGGATAATTGTGTAGAATAGCAGCAGCAGCAATGCAGCAGCAATGCACCATACACCGCTCTCCGCCCTCCGCTTCCACCCCGCTCTCTCGCTCTACTCCGCTAAGAGTAGAGTAGAGTAAAATACTCTATACCCATCGGCTGGGTTTGCGCGCTGGTATGGTAGTGGGTAATGCTACTGAAGTACTGTACTTTGTTGCTCTGCTGCACTCGCCGGCAAGGGGATTTGCCACGTTTTTGGTTTTATATATACTTCTCGTATATATCAGGCGTATATAAATTTTCTTTTCGGATAGTCACTCCTTCGGTGCAGATGGCTGGAAAAAGCTCGTGGATCGAAGCTTGAAGGAACAAAGGAAGGAAACGATGGAAAGGAAGGAAGCGTGATCGCTTCTTCCTTTTTTCTTTCTTCGTTTATTTAGTTACATTTTTGTTTTCAATCTGCGTCGATGAGATCTCTAGGATCAGGGTGGAGAGTAATCGGAGAGGGCGCGGGGTTCGAGGAGGCGGAGATTCTTGAGCTTGATGCGGTTTCTTTCTTTGCCTTGCGAGCTAACAAGATCTCTCCCGCCAGCGCCTACACGTGTGTAGTTACGGTATTAGTAGTAGTAATGGTAGTAGTAGTAGTAACAGTAGTAGTAACAGTAGTAGCAGTAGTAATAATAGCAACAGTAGTCACAACGGCAACAATAGTAATCCAACTCACCATTCAGCCCATTGCCGCGAAGAATCGATACCTAGTCCACTCGACACCGCTTTTCCTCCAGAGCTCCTCCTCCTGCTCACCTCGCTTGTACCATACAGTACGCAGCCTGCAGACAACCATGGAGGTTGCAGAGCACCAAACACCGAGCAGCGAGCACCAAGCACCGACCACCGACCACGATCACTCCAGATCCATCCATGATCCATTCAGCGTCCCTTTTTCCGCGGCCGTCAACCGGGGCCGAGTAAGTACCCACCCACCCGCCTATGTACCTGTGTATGTACGGACGCACGTGTGCAAATACCCAAGTACCTACTTGCCTGCCAGCCTGCCCGCCTGCCAGCCTACCTCCCGCAGTAGAGTAGTTATCTCCGTGTTTTTGATACGTATGATACATACCTCCTACCAGGCACTAGCACCCACCTACCTAGTACAGCAGCTCGCGAAAAAAAAGTCCAGAGACCTGCCCCCCATCACTAGTTATAACCTCCGAGCGGCCAAGTTGCAACGAGAGTGCTCGCTTCGCCACGCGTCAAAACGGTTATCTGCAAAGGCAAAGGCAAAGGCAAAGAGCTGTGACGACCGTAGCCAGCCGAGCTGTGGGGAACTGCGAACTGCTACATATTTCCTTCCCGAAGCGGCGGGCTGGCCGGTGTAGCGGGGGTAGGTGGGTAGGGTATCGTTCGAACCTCTAGATCACAAGCTCTGGCTGGGGGGAGGGGGGAACGTGGTGGAGAGAGGGAGGGATGGATACCGGTATGTCCTGCCTCTGTAGCCTCTCGCGCGGCGTGTAGAGTCACCACTCACTCACTACTCCATTGTGTGTACTCGTATGTACCTTGTGTAGTTTTGTACAATATGTGTATGTGTATGTTGAGCAGCCTCACCAGCACCGCCCCGGGCTGGCAGCCGTGCTGACGGCCATGCGGAGCACACACACACACAACCACACAGACCTCCCCGCCGCGCTCGCCGCACCCCACCCCAGCCCACTTCGCTTCGTGGACCGCGGAACGGCTGCGGAACGGCACCAACGTCCGACGTCCAGCTTCCAGCGCGCACCGAATCCGGCGTTAAGCTTTCCGGACATCCAGACATCCAGCGGCCGTGCGCGGTGCGCGGTGCACACCGGACTGTCTCTCTCTCTCCCCCCCTCTCTCTCCCTCCCCCCCTTTCCCCTCCTTCCCGGAAACATTATATTCCGCTACGCACCGAATCGGAGCTCCCGCTCGGCGCCGCGAGTGCGTCTGCGTGTGTCTGCGTGTGTCTGGGGGGTGTGAGTGTGAGTGTCTCACCGTCCCGCCCACTGTACCGTCCCGCCTGCCCGCCCGCTGCCCCTCCCTTCCTCTCTCTTCCCCTCATCCGTTCCCGTTCCCGATCCGACCGCCACCGACCACCACCACCACCACCGCCACCGACCACCACCACCACCACCGCCACCGACCACCACCACCACCACCACCACCACCACCGACGTAACTGTCTCGCCCTCGCCTCGCGCCCGCTGGTGCTTAAAGTAGTAGAGCAAAGCTCGGTCGCGTGCAAACGAAACCTCCAACCCACCAGTGCTAGTTGCAACGCAAGTTACATAGCAACACGGGACGGCACACTGCAGGTGAGATTTTCTGCGCCTGTGTATGTACTAGGTAGTCATACTACCTAGTACACTACAGGGACCGGCTTCGGGCCTGCGGGGGAGGGGGGAGGGGGGAGGGGGGAGGGGGGAGGGGGGAGGGGGGAGGGGGTGGATTCCTCACAACTTACAAGTCACCGGTGGGGCGTGGCGTCACTGGCGTGGCTACTGTACCACAAAAGCTGATAATCGACACTGTACTGTGTTAATCCAGCAGACTTGACTTGTAAACACGGTAGCCCAGTGGTATTCACTGTTGATCAGGTATCAACACGGAAAAATGGCGTGTTGATAACTTGATACGGGGTATTTTTCAAATCCAAGGGTTGCTACGGTAGGTACTATAGATATCTTTCTTCCTCCGGGTTTTTGCTAGATACTGCATGTATTTGCCTACAGACTACAGACTACAGACTACAGTCAGCCTCTCCAGCCCGCCGCCGGCCAGAGGTCTGACCAGTGAACACTGAAGGCGTGTTGTATTGTGTTGTGTGTTTTTGTTTATTGTTTATTGTTTAATCATCATGGGTACCGACGTACTCTACGTACTGTAGTATTCGATCTGGAGACTGGGTATGATATGTATTGTACATACATAGACCGTGGCTACAGTATACACGCACGCGGAACATCCGGCTCCACCCCCGCTGGCCCCGACTGCTGGCCGTGACTGTGAGTTCGATGTCCGATATGGGCTCTAACTACATCGCTCGGCGCCCAGACCTTACCGAGTCGGAGGGTGTCTGGTCGCCACGCGCGAGTGATGGGTAATGGTTAGTGGTTTATGGTTGATGGTTAATGCTGGAGTGCACTCCCGAGCACGTTCTGGCATCTTACATCTAGACTCTACGGTGCTCTTGTAACCGCTATTGCCAGTGGGAGTAGAGTAAATGGCAACCAGTAGCGAGTAGTTGAGCCTACCTAGGTTTACAGATGTCACTCGATTCATTCTCCCGTCACTACACACCCAAGTATCTAAGGGATGATCTAGTATGGCCACACCGGCTCGTATAAAACAGAATGGAATGGTACGTTGTACTTACCGCTGCTTGGGATTTCGTTCGTTTTGTGCGGGGGTTCATGGGATGTCACTCGTTCTGTTAGTGTTTCTCATTGTCATGTGCACGTGGGATCGGTGAGCCCCCTAGATTCGTGGTATGTTCGGTATAGGTACTACAACGACGTTGAAGAGCTTGTTTGTGGAGGGACGCGACGGTATTTGGGAGGGTGGATGGCGGAGAGCATCTGGGACGGTCGAAAAGATTGTGGTTGTGGTTGTGATTGTGGTTGTGATACCTGGTGAAGATGAACGCTCTCGTTCTTTTCGACAATAGGTATGAATGGTAGACTTAGGCTGGTCGCACCTACATACTACCTGGTAGATGGATACGAGAGGCAATGGAAGGGTGGAGTAGAATGAATAGCCACTGCAAAGGTTTCGTAACTTTCATTGATATTCGGATTATGCAGGACTTGGAATTAGAGGGTCTGTACCGTACGGCGTATGTAGGAGTAAATAGCGACTGCAGGGGTTTGGTGATGCTCGGGTTATCTGTACCGTACGGCGTATGTGGGAGCAAATAGCCACTGCAAGGGTTTCGTATGTAACTTTCGTTGGTGTTCGGGTTACGTACATAGGACTGGGAATGGGAATGGGAATTGGAAGGTTTACACCGTGCGGCGTATGTAGGCGCAAATAGCTACTGCAAGGGTTACAACTTGCATTGATGTTCGGGTTACCTGGGTATGTAGGACTTAGAATTGGAGGGGTCTGCACCGTACATACACACCGGTACCTATTGTCACACTGTCAATGTGCCCCACTACTCCCCATTAACCCTAGGTACTTCGTCTCCATTCACCCCCACAGATTTCAACCTTTTCTTTGTCTGCTCATTAATAGCCCGCGACCTATTTCGATCACGCAATACCGTGTACACTTCGGTCCATCCGCAGCGGCTCGTTGTGGGCTCCAGCCTCCCATTGCCCGACGCCCGACGCCTGACGCGCTAACCCTTCCCGAAGATAGATACTCACTTAGGTATGTAGAGCGCTCCAAGGAAATAGAGCTTGGAAAAGAAAATGTATGCGCCTGTGTCCTTACTCCGCCCTCCGTCTTCATCAGGAGATGTTGTGGAGGAGGGTGTAGGGAGGAGGAGCGCATTGATTTTGAGGAGGCTCCTCTCGCCCCGGTGATCTCGCACTTCAAATGCGCGAGCCAGCGCCCCTCCCCCCAATTCACGCACCACAGTCCCGACTCTGGAGAACAAACCGAGTGATACTTCATCGACGGCACCGTCCATCACCGAGTGACCAGCCATGTCTTCGCCTTTGCGCTAGTCAACCAACAATTTTCCCCGCCAGCCCAAGGTTTAGGGTTTTCCACGCTTTCCCCGCCAAGTATAAAATGCGGCCACCCCCGCCCTCTTTCCTTCCCTTTTTTCCTCTTTTTCCTTTACGGCCCGCGTGTTACTCGTCAACCCGAATTTCTTCCAGTGGTGAACCGAGCGTCAAACCGGGCCGAAAGTGAATTTGAGAAACGTGCCTCGTTTCCCGGCCACATGAATTGATACTTCGCCGTGATTGCCGGGAAAGAAAAATACTGCCTGCCGTGTGCTCCAGCTGGAGGGCGGGCGGCCGTGGGGGGTTTCGTATATATGTTTTGTTTTATGCGCGTCTGGGGATTGCTTGCGTGGACGCGGACGCGCGCGAGGCGGCGGGACTTGCGCGGCCTGGAGAGTGGGCAACTGGGCTTAGGTGAGGGAGAAGGGTGATGCTGGTGGTCGTGGTGACGGTGATGAGACTCGGTTCGCTATCGCTTTGCCTTGATGCCCTCCAGGATGCCCCCCTTCACCCCTGTCTGTGTTCGTCAGCCTTGGTTTGAGCTGAAAGCCAGGTGGGGTTGGGTTGACTAGTGCGGCGAGTAGTAGTAAAGGACCTGTGCTCGGAGAGCAATAGCTGCAGCCAGCAGTTCGAGCACCTATCCGTCACAGCTCATCGACGCCTCCACGGTTGCCCATCATCGCCATTCTTCGAACCATACAAGCGTTCCCTACAAGCCCAGCTAGTTACAGAAATGTCGCTCACAAGACGTACGTGATCCTCCTCAACGGAGAGCGGGGACAGTGGAGAGTCGAGAGCTGAGTCCTGACATGTGCACACATCGCAGAGTCAATCCTCGCTCCCCAACCCGCAACAACCCGCGCATCGCCCACGCACCTCTCCGTCGACCCGAAGGGAGAGCGTATAGCCTACACTGTATGTATCACCTCCGCTCACAGTGCCCTCGCCCCACCCACCTCGTCTAACCTCTCCTCCAGTCGGGTAAATCCGTCTTCCTCCGCAACATCGACGACCCGTCCATCTGCACGCACCAGTACACGGGCCACACAGCTATCGTCAACGTTGCACGGTTCTCGCCGTCGGGCTACTATGTCGCCTCGGGAGATGCCTCGGGGAAGATCCGGATCTGGGACTGTGTCGGCGACGAGATGGTCACCAAGGGCGAGTTCCACATCATCTCTGGTCCCATCAAGGACCTTGCGTGGGATGGCGAGAGCAAGCGGATCATTGCGGTGGGGGATGGAAAGGAGAGGTGAGTGATTGGATGTGTGTGTGGGGGAACCGGCGAGCGGTGCTGATGGATGCGGATAGGTTCGGCCACTGCATAACCTTCGACACGGGCAACAGCGTCGGCGAGATTACAGGGCAGAGCAGTGTGATCAACAGCGTATCAATCCGGCAGCAGCGGCCGTACCGTGCCGCCACCGCATCCGATGACCAGACACTCGTGTTCTACCACGGCGCGCCCTTCAAGTTCAATGCGCCTCTCAAGGGCCACCACAGCAACTTCGTTCTTGGCGTAGCGTTCTCGCCGGACGGCGCATACTTCGTCTCCGTGGGTGCCGACAGGAAGATATTTCTGTTCGACGGGAAGGAGGGGACGTTGATTGCGGAAATCTTGAGTGAGGGGGCGCACAAGGGGAGCATTCTTTCCGTCTCCTGGGGCAAAGATTCGAAGCGGTTTGTCACCGCGTCGGCGGATCAGACGGTTAAGCTGTGGGACGTGGACCTGCGGGGGCTGGTGCAGACGTGGACCTTTGGGAAGGGCGGATCGATCCCGGATCAACAGGTCGGTATTGTGTGGACTCCCCGCGAGGATGGGTTGATCATTTCCCTGTCCCTTTCCGGCGATTTGAACTACCTCTACTCCGGCGGGGCGGAGCCAACCCGCACCATCACCGGCCACCAAAAGCCCATCACAGCACTGGAGGTCTCGACGACCAAGGCGCTGCTCACCGGCTCCAACGACGGCCGCGTCTGCAGCTGGGACTTTAAGACCGGCACCGCATCCGTCATCTCGGGCGAGGGCCACAGCGGCGTGGTCACCGGCTTCGTCGAGACCTCGGCGAACATCATATCCAGCATTGCCTGGGACGACCAGCTCCGCACCATCGTCGGCAGTGCCGGCTCGTTCGCTCCCAGCTCCGTCCCCACCGACTCACAGCCCAAGGGCGTCGCCCTCCTCTCCCCCAGCAACCTGGCGGTCCTCACCACCACCCACCTGCAAATCTACAACTGCACCAGCACCCCGCCCTCGCTCACAACTACGCACAAGCTCACCTTCACACCCACCGCGCTGGCCGCGTCCCCAGCGGTAGGTCACATCGCCGTCGCGGGGCAAGACAACCAGATCCGGATCTACACGTACTCGTCCACCACCGGGATCACGGACGTATCCACGATCGCCCTCACCCGCAGCCACGCAACCGCGTTATCCTACTCCCCGGACGGCAGCCACTTCGCATCCGGCGACTCCGCAGGTCTGATCGGGCTGTACACTACCTCCACCTCCGCCTACGCGAAAAAAACCGACCGCTGGGCCTTCCACACGGCGCGGATCGACGACATCGCGTGGAACGCTGCGGGCACCCACGTCGCTACCGCAAGCCTCGACACGAACCTGTTCATATACGGCGTCGATAAGCCAATGAAGAACTGCAAGGTCCGCAATGCCCACATGGGCGGGATTAGTGGCGTTAGGTGGGTTGATGATGGCACCGTTGTTAGTGTCGGCAATGATGGCGCTGTCAAAAGGTGGAGCGTTGTGTTGCCGGCTTAGGATGCTGGTGACGCTGGTGATGGTGACGCTGAGGGGGATGGTGAAGGGGGTGGACAACAGGGGAAGGAGAATGGTGGGCGTATGAGATTGTCTGATGCGCCGAGGTTGTCCGGGCGAATATGGTGTTGAGGGAGAGGGGGGCTCTGTTTTGTTTTGTTTTGTACAGCGCCGCTAAGAAGAGATCACGATGATGAGTAAAACGATTGCTTCTAATTCTTCTTCTGCATAACCCATCACCGCACTTACCGCCCACCATCGCCTCGCACCGCACCATGCAAAACACTGCAAAACACACTGCAAAACACACTGCAAAACACAAAAGTAAAAGTACCATAATAAATGAAAAACCAAAGAGGATATGCACAAAACAGAAAACTCCACCAACAGTGAAAGACCCCCATCTTCTCCCACACCCCCGCACTCTCCTCCCCAATAATAGTATTCCTAGAACCCAGCAACGCGCATCAACCCGAAGCCGACGGTGATAACGACAAAGAAGGCGATGAAGCTACTGGGGACACCTCTAGTGATGAAGTGTTTAACACCGAGGTACCTCTCGCCGGTCTGACTATCCTCGAGCATGATGGCAGTCATGTTGGGAAAGCCGGAGGTAGGGAGTCCCATAGCGGCGGAGCACATTAGTGCCGCGCCCATGACGAGGAGGTTGGGATGGGGCTCGTCCATGGCGGCGCCGACGCGCATGACGATGGGCAGGACGATGAGCGCGGCGACGGTGTGCGAGATGAACGTGGCGATCACGAGGATCAGACCGCAGAATACGCACAGCACCGCGTACAAGCTGTAGCCGTCGACGCGCTCCTTGATCGATTGCGCGATTGTGTGCAGCAGGCCGGACGAGTTGACGGCTTTGCCGAGGGACAACCCGCCCGCTGCCAGGATGATGATCGTCCACAGGAAGTTGTTGAAGTCTTCTTTGCTGAGGATGCCTGTGCCGAAGAAGAGCACCAGCGGGATGATCGCGATCACACCCATGTCCCCGAAGATGTGCTCGAGTGCGTGCGAGCCGCACCAGAGGATGATGGTGGCGAGCGTTACGATCATGATGAACCATTCAACGCCGGTGAAGGGGTCTTTGACCGTGCGGATGGGCACGATGGTGGTGCCCTTGCCGGGACGGAAGCTGATGAGGAGGAGCACCCAGATCAGGAGGATCGAGATAATGCAGACGGGGAGTGCCACGAAGAACCAGGCGCCCCAGCTGGGTGCGGGATGCATGTTCTCGAGGGCGATGATGTTCTGGGGACTGGCGATGGGACTGGCCATTCCGCCGATGTTGCTGGACAGCGCGATTCCCAGGATCAGCGCCTTCGAGAAATCCGAGTTGCTGGGGAGGTTACGCAGGAGAGGCTGGATGATGGAGAAGCACAGCACGGGCGCGGCAACGTTCGAGATCCACATAGATGCGAACATGGCCACGAACATGTTGGTGAGCAGCACGGTGCGCGGCCGCGTTCCGGCTTTGGCAAGGACGAAGGTAGCCATGCGTTTGGCGATGCCATACTTGCTGAGAGCTGCGGCGATGGCGAAACCACCGAGGAGCAGCATGATCACTGGCGTCCACATGGCCGAGAAGATGTATTTGGTCGCCTCTTTGGTTTCCATCCGTGTGTGAGGCTTCTGGTCATGACGCACAATACGGAGAAGGACGACCAGGAAGGGGATAAGCAACGAGGTGACGAATAGAGGAATGACCTGTGGCGATGCGTTAGTGTGACGCTCGACAGCAATTCCGGAGGAGACAAACCTCTGTAGCCCACAGCAAACTAACAAACACCAACATGGCAAAGCAGTTTTGCTGCTCTGGCGTCTTAAACGTCTTGACCTGGAGCAGCACAGCAAACACGAGGATGATGGCCGTCAGAGTGAAGAATCCCCCCGAGAATAGCCAAGTAGGTACCGTCAAACTACCAAACGGCGTCTTCAGGTTCTTCGTGGTTGGTCCGCGCACCTCATCTCCAGCCAACCGCTTCTTTTCCACCTGGTCCCCTAGTAGAGGCCCCGTGAGGCCGAGATGAGCCGCATGCGCCTTCCTCTCGATTCCAATCATGTCCCGCCACACCGTGTTCCTCTCCCACACCACGTGCTCTCGGAGGTGTAGTCGCAACTCCTTCTTTGCCTCCTCCAGATCGCCCTGGGTGACCAGATTCGCGTACGTTGCCTCGACCTTTGCAACATTTTCGTCGAGATGCTGGATAGTCGACGCCTGGAAGCAGTGCGCAGGGGCCACAGCCTGCTCGACATACCGAGACTTCAGGTTTCTCTGCAGGATCTTATCATATTTCTTCAGCGCTTTCGTGAAACCCGTCCTGTTAAGTTGCGAGAAGCTCTTGAGCTCGCGCAGCGCCACGAATAGGGATATCGCGCGCTTCTTGAGAGTAATCCGCTTATCGTGGAACGTATTCATGGCCTGCTCGCCCTCCTCCGAGGCCGCAGTCGAGTACCGCCGCCGGCCCGCCTGATGGTCGCTCGGCGCATCCGATGTGATGGAGTGATGCATATGTCTCGCGGACCTATTCAGGAGGCGCCCGCCGGCTCCACTCGCGTCCTCATCCGAATCATCTGAGCCGTCGCCATCCCCATCTGCTTCCAGATCACGCTGATTCCCCCACGTCGAAAACGACGGCCCCACGCCGGAATTCTTCAGTCGTGCATCATCGGGGTTCAGCTCGAGGTCGCCTCGTCCATCGTCGTATTCATTGGCGTCCTGCAGCAGCTGCTCCACCTCGTCCAGCAGCTCCCGCTCCTTCTTCGCGTAGAACTTCGAGATCTTGTCGAGCTCCGCGTCGAGCGCCTTCCGGAACACCCCGTCCGTATCCACGTCGTCGTCGAGTAGCGCCGCGCGCTCCGCATCATCGGATCCCCGCTTGGCCTGGCTTTGCACGTACTTCTTCTCAAGGGTGTAGATCCTGTCCGCGTCAGCAGAGCACGGGGGGAGGGAAGAGGGGGGAGGAGAGAGCGGCGGGGGGAGTCAAACAGCTTCTTGAGATTCGAGTACGCGATGTAATGCGTACTCCAGTCCGGCACGGCGTTGAACTGGATGCTATGGGAGAACTTCATAGTGATTCCGGCCTCGGCAGCGTCGAGCCTGCGGAGGAGCTTTGCGGTGCCTCTATCCCAGCGGTCGAGGCTCCTCTGCGCGCGTGTCTTTCCTGTGCTTCCTGGAAGAAGGGTTTGGAGCGGGATTCCTGCTTCTGGGTCTTCTTCTGCTGCTGGTGCCGCGTTCGACAGTATCGTTGCGGTTGAAGGAGGAGAGGAGGAGAGAAAAAGGGGATGTGATGGCGACTAAGAAGAGGTCGCTGTGATGGGGGTGCGGTAGTTGGCTGGCTGGCCGGGTGGGTAGACGGACGGACGGTATTCGATAACAAGCAAGGCGGTGTGGCTGACTACTGATTGGCGCTATGATAACTACGGGGAGGGCGATGTGACCAATCTTGATGGTGGGGGTCTGTCCAGTGTCTTGGTGGCTGGACCGGGAACGAAAAACGGAATGGATGGATGGTGAGAGTCGGTTACGTCTACATAGGGCTGAACCGATTACAGCATATAACAGGCGACACTTTGGATGCCGCTGACAACAGTACTGCAGGGCAACACAGCATTCCATTCCTCGTGCCTAATTGACTCGAAGCTCTCCGAAAAGTGTCAAACTATACCCGCCTCGTTTGGCCTCGTCCGTGCCTTGTGTGTCCAGCTGACAGTCACGCTACCTTCAACCAACCCACGAGCTTTGATGCATGCCAGCCATTGGTGCGGAGCAGGCACCGTCTCAAGAAGTCTTGGAGTGTCTCGAGAAGTCTTGGAGTGTCTCGAGAAGTCTTGGAGTGTCTCACCTGAAGCCTGGAGATCTTCGATCGCCGGTACGGTCTCTACAGGAACCTCATGATCACTTGTGTCGCGCAAGATAAACAGATCCCCGCGCATTCATTATCAAGATCTAAACAGCAGAAGAAAAAGGTATCACCAACAACAACATGCATCAGTGAGGAATAAGACTGCTACATCACCAGACAGACGGAAAGATACATCCGCTCACAGAGAAGAAGAGAGAACGAAGAAGAAAACAACGCCAATTATAAACACTGGATCAGGCCTCGACAACTCCGAGCCTTACTTGCAATTCCTCCCACCCTTCCGACTCCCTGATGACCACCTCTTCCGACCCCAGCGATTCCTTGCCCATAACCCCCCACGGCGGTAGCCCGACCATCTTGATGCTAGCACGCGGTAGCCTGACTTCACCGGCGTCACCGCCTCTCCGTTTAGCTTTTGGCACTTCGAGGTGTCGCTCGACTCTGCCGAGCAGATCCTGCTTCCATGCTTTGACGGCGGCGTAGCGTTCTCGCTGGCGGGCGCATGTCCAGCGGGGAGTTTCCTTGACAGGCTTCCACTTCATGCGCTCGGTATCGTTGGGACATAGCTTGTTGAGATCGACGACCCGCTCCTCCAGGACTAGATTGCATAGCTCGGTCATGACGTCACGGCTCTCCTTCGCCAGCTCGGCTTCATACTCGGCCATCTTCTTCTGCTTCGGGTCCACCAGCGGCTTGAGAAGCCACGAGTCAGCGTCAACCAGGTCCACCCGCCGGATCCGCGCGTTCTCTTTCCTGAAGAAGCCAACGGCACCCTTGAGCGCCGCGATCTCCTTCTTGAGACCGCCGACCTCGCGGGCGGTGGCGACGGCACGTTCCTGGCCCGCGCGGTCGGTCTCGCCCACAGCGCGTTTGTCCTCGGCGGCCTTCTTCCACTTGAGTGCATCTGCTTCCAAACTTTGGAGGTCCTCGTTGAGATTCTCGATAGCCTCGGAAAATTCCTTTTCTCTTCCGGTTCCCTCAGTGACTTGCCTCTCCAGTTCTTCGATGCGTTCCGACTGCTTGGTGACGTTGCGCATGCGGGATTCGAGAAGCTCGATCTTGACCGCGTACTCCTCGAGGGTCTTGTCTCGGATGCGAATCTGTGTTGCGCGCTCGAGAAGGTCGTCCTTGAGTCTGCGAAGCTTGTCTTCGACGTCGACGTTGACCACCTTTGTGGACTTCAATTCCTGCGCCCGGATAACCCATGGTGCGGGCGCTTTCTCGAACTCAGCGGTCATGTCGATATCGGATGCTACGCCGGCCAGCTCCGTCAGGCTGTTGGTAAGGTTCTTCAGGTCCTTCATCACGGATCCGAACATGTCGCTCTCGCTCATACTGAGTACTTTCTCGGTGGTCGTAAGCATGGTGTTCTGTAGATCCGCCCATGTAGGTTCCTTTCGCGAGGAGTTGTCGTCTGCGCCGTCGTTGAACAGAAGTGCATACACATTCTCTCCCACGGCTCTAGTGTAAACAGCCAACTTCTGTGTCGCCTCTTCACATGCCTTGAACTCACTCCTCTTGTCCGTCGTGATGGAGAGGTTTCTCTGTCTAAAATCATCCAGAGCGCGTAGAATTTTGCCGGCGACCACTTTGACACTGCGTGACTGGGAGACCAGCGCATCTGCCTTCTTGTTGAAGTTGGCCGCCGTCTCCTCGTCTTCAGGATTGACTGGCAGTTTCTTCTGGACAGCAAGCCTGATCAGCGTGACAGCCGAAGCCGCAGACTCCATGTAGGTCTGCATCAGCAACACCCTCATATGAAGGTCGCTGGCGAAGCCCTCCAGATCGCTCTTGAGATGGATCTCGCCGAGATGCGACATGAGTGCCATGGTGCGCTGGAGTTCCGCGACACACTGCTTCTCGTTGAGCTCATCGCGTCGCAGACCTTCAATCCAGCTGTTGAGCGCCCTCTCGACGGGATCGAGCTCGATAAGTGCTCCCTGGAACCTCGCAAACTGGTCGACCGAGCAGGAACTGATGCAGTTGACAAAGCGATCGCACATGGCTGCGACCCAGGTGAGCTTGTCACACATGTCGCAAGCGGCCATGAGTTGGTCTTCGTGTCCGCTTGATAGTTGACCGCCGGTCTGTGCTGCAAGCCGCTCTTTGACAAAGTTGTGGAGAAGGTTGGCCTTGAATGCTACGCGCTTGAATCTCAACAGTGCAAGCACAGAGTCGCGCTCGCTGTGGAATGAGTCGGGGAGGAACATCTGTCATTAAGTCAGTGCACGGCCCGAATATAAGAGATTGGGGTGCCCACCTGCACGACAGCAAGGTGCTCAATCGCCTCTTCTGCCTCCATCTTTCTCAGCTCCAAGTCGATAGTCTTGTTCTGTGCCTTTGCCGCGGTGATCTGCAGCTTCATGTTGATATCCAACATGGACCTCGACCTAGCCGTCAACTCTTCCGCCTCGTTCTCGGTGATCTGCTGTGAAGCCTTCATATCCTCGAGATCGCTCTGCAGATTGACAACCAGGTCCCTGAACCGAGTGATGGTGTATTCATTCTCCTCATTGCTGTATTCGAGCTGCTGGATCTTCTTTACCTGCTCGCCGATGATTAGGTCCCGGTAGTCCAGTTCCTCCTGCATCTGCTTCTCCGTCTCGATATGGTTGATCTCAAGCTCGTCAGCAATCTCCTTCAGACTCTCGAGATCCTCGACAGTGGCACGGTACTCGTCGATCTGCTCGCTCATGTTCATGTTGCGGTCGGTCAGCTCCTCGAGCATCTCCTCCGCGCCGAGAGCAGCCTCGAGCTGGCCCCGGAGATCCTCCACGGCCGATTGACTGGCTATGTACTTCTCCTGCACGGCCTCGTAGTCCTCTTTGTACTTGGCGAGTTCGTTGAGTTCCTCTTCGAGACTGGCATTTGCTGCTCTGAGCTCCTCCTCGGTCTGGCTGGTGATCTCTCGTAGCCTTAGCAATGCTTCCCTAAGCCTACTGTTCTGCTTTTCGAGCTGTAACCATCCCGCAGAATTCCGCTCCTCGGGACTCATCCCCTGGGATAGCTCCTCGTTCTCCTCCTTCAAAATCTCGACCTCCATCTCCAGCTCTTCAGCCTTAGCTCGCACGGCGTCCAGCTCGGCCTTGAAGCTCTCGGTCATCTCCTCGGCCATTTCGCGGTCGAGTGTGGCCATTTCCAGCATCGCTTCGTGTTCGGCCTTAACGTCCTCGATCTCTGCCACGGTCGCCTCCATCTCTTTGAGCGTCTTCTTGAGCTCCACCAGCTCCGCCTGCTGAGGTTGATACTTCTGCTGCAATTTCTGGATGATCCCCTCATATTTATCCCGCTCCTCCTGCACACGCTGCAGCGTCTTGAGGTTCTCCCTGTCCTCCTGTCGCTTCTTCTCCAGCACTTTGATCTTGCTCTTCAAATCCTCAATCTCCCTCTGTGCCGTCGCCAGCTCCGCTCCTCCCGTTGCCGGTGCCCTGGAGGGAGACGTCCTAGCACTAGCACTCGCCGACCCCCCAGCAGGCGTCAACCCGCCTCTCCCCCCCGGAGGCCTAACTCCCGCCCCGGAGGCCCCCGGCGCCGCCGCCGCAGCAGTAGTACTCCCTGTCCTATTTCTGCCCACGCCCACATCCGGCGACGACCTAGAGCTAACCCCACTCTCCTGACTCGCCTTCCTAACCAGCGACCCGACAGTCCCAGGCTTCAACGACATCCTGCTGCCTACCCTCGGTATCGGCGTCGACGACCCACTATTGCTCGACGTGGACGTAGTGCGGGCGAGCGGTGCACTCACACCCCCGCCGCCGCCGCTGCCACCGCTGATAGACTGCCGCTTTGCCGTGGCTGTGGTCTTGACGACCGGCGGGCCCATGGATCCGGGGCGGCTGCCGGGCGCGGGGCGGAGGGTGGTCGACGATGCCGACGACGTCGTCGCGCCGCCGATGGATGTGCGCGGGTTTGCTCCTATGGTCGGGGTCTGTGTTCGTGGCGTGCTGGGCCCCACTGAGGACCCCGGCGATGATAGGTTCCCCTTTGTTGCGGACGCGGGTCGGGTCGGGCTCTGTCAATCGTCACCCCATCGTCAGCCCACAGTCTTGGAGTACTGGGCGTGGGATAGGGACGGGGTATGTAGCTACCCGCAAAGTCATGCTGCGTCCCTTCTGAGCAATCGGCGACGGCGAGGGGACGCTGAGTCTCTTCCCGCCGACCCCCAGCGCCACACCGGCCTGGGACTCCGGCCTGCCCATCCTCTTTGCCTGCTGCTGGGGGGTCGGAGTCGGCTGGGGGGGCGGAGGGGGCGGGGGAGGCGCGGGCGCCCGCTGCACCAGTCTCGGCACGACTGGCCGCACAAACATGCCGTATCTGTCGCCGCACGAGAAGTACTGTATCCCCTGCACGGTGCCGTTGTTCTTCCCGGTGGGCATCTCGAGCTCGACGCCAATCCACTCGCCATCTTGGAAGTGTGTTTCCCCGACGAACCGCACGAGCGCGAGCTGCCCGTTCACGTCGACCGTGTCGTTGACGCGGAAGTCTTCCATCTTGTGATTGCTGCTTGCTTGCCGGTGGTGGTGGGCAGCAGGGCAGCGCAGGGAAGGGATGGGTAGCGAAGGGTGTGTGGAGTGGAGGTGCGAGTTGCGAGTTGCAGGGACGCGCTGAGCTGTGGTCGCTACCTATCCCCCGGACCGGATCGTACCTGCTAGTACTCTAGCTTGTTTTCAGTCAATGTATCGATAAAACACTGAATTTCCAACTCGGACCGTCACTTCCACAGACCCGCCACCTGGCAACTGGTTATATGGACTTTTCCATCGTCTTCTCCTCTTCATGATTATATTTCTATCTTCCTGACATGTCCCTTGGGAAGAGTGGGACGACGAGCTTTTCAGACGATATGATTCAACCCAGCAGTTGGCCCATTGAGAGCTCGACCATGCTCGACCATGAGCTCAACCATCATTCCAAAGCACAGCAAACCTCGGAGTACCTCCGCCTTAATGTATTGAGGACTCTACTATATACTATGCTCACTGGGTGGCCTTTCCTGTATGTAAGTGATCACAGCTCCCTCGAGTCTCGACATGTGATTTTGGACGGAAATCCGGTTTTTTCTTTCTGAACAGCCGCAACTCGGGCGGCACCAAATCTTTCGTATTCTGACTGATAGGCAGAAGTTTATGAGCCTCAAATGATGAGGGGTTGTGGGAAGTATCCTCAGCGTTTTGAGATACCGGTATTCAGGATGATAATTGTCTCTTTTACTAGCATAGCAACACCTAAACCGACACCGGGACCATCTTCAGCTACCGCGATATATGAACCGTGGATTCATGAAAGCTATGTGGTTACTGAGTCGTGGACTCGCCTACGTTCAGAAACGGCCTTGAGAAGTCGAGAGCCCAGACACTGGTTGTGACGATCTACCGTAGGGGATGAGGCACAGCTAATTGCGGTCTAGCGTTCATTACAGTCTACCTTCCACCATCATTCGTTCACGGTTTTTGGTCATTCTTCGCCACGACCTCACTATCCCACCTCCGCCTCTCCACAGCTCATTTAGCGGACCAAAGCTCCCCATCCCTCGCCTCTCTCGTCAAGCGCTGGACCATACACCACCCTCCACCCGTCACCTGCGCATCCACCTGCGCATCCCACCCCACCTCCCACCCCACCACCCCACCACCACACGACGATGCACCCACTCCTCCGCCACCAGCTCCGGCGCTCCTCCACCTCCTCCATCACCTCCGCGCCCGCAGCAGTCTCAATCCCCGACTTCCTCCGCGTACCATCGTGGTCGGTCGCCTCTCTACTCCCTCCCTCACCCACCTCCAGCACCTCCAGCACCAGCCCCTCCAGCCCCTCCACCTCCCCCCCTCTCACCTCCACCTCCACCCCCTCAACACTCACTACACCCACAATAACCCCCCAAACCCTCCACCACCTCCTCCGCCTCTCCGCCCTCCCTCCTCCCCCCACCCCCTCCGCCACGGCCTCGCTCCTCTCCTCGCTCCACGCGCACCTACACTTCATACAGTCGATGCAGTGCGTCGACACCACCGGGGTATCGGCGCTGTCGCGTGTGGAGGATGAGGTTGTGCGGCCACAGATCACGTGGGAGGATGCTACTAAGACGCCGGTGCGGATGCAACGGTTTGAGCGCGGGATGAGGGGGCAGGGACGCGTGGGCTGGAGCCCTATGGGGTTGGCGCAGAAGGTCGTGGGCGGGTTTTATGTTGTTGATGAGAAGGTTACTGAGGAGTTGGTTGTTGAGGTGGCGGAGGGGGAGGGGGAGGCGCAGGGGGAGGCGCCAGTGGAAGGGAAGGTTGAGAAAGCGTGAGCAGGTGGTGTACGGTACTGAAGCTATGTCACGAAACATGCACCGATGACGGTGAAAAGGAAATCCCGTTTTTGATACATATTAAGCCAGCCTAACTAGAGAGAAAAGAAAAAAAACAATGCACAATGCACACAAAAACGCCCCAGATCCATAAGAAACACAAGGAAAAGTGAATGAACCCTCCCAACCAACCCGAAATCCTGTCTATGTACTGATGATGAAAGCCCCTTTTCCTTTTCCTTCTCGCCTGTCCGTCTGTTCAGTTCAGTTCAGTGGTCCGGAACCTTGTACTGCGGGATGGGGTTTCCCTGGTCGTCTTGGCCTGGTGGTTGTCAGTATCGTGAATCATGAGAGGAAGGGAGAACGGAGGAGGAGAAGGGCAGAACGCACCATGGAACTTCCACCACCTCTTCTGGCAGCTGTATCCATCGAAATCGAAGCTCTCATGCTTCTCGAACGGACACATGCATCGCGCGGAGTCCATGCTCATATCGTCCGACGGACAGCGCTTGTACGGCGGGTGTTTGTATCCCATATCGTGCCAGAAGTGGATCTGGTCCTTTGGCAGGAACAGACTTGCCGCGATCGAGTGAACCGGGGCGTCGCCCCACCTCTCGTAGAAGAACCCTCCCTTCCGGTCCAAGAACTCGAAGTAATCCTGGTACGCCTGCGAGCGCCACAGGTTCAGGTCCGCGATCTCGAAGTTGCTCCAGAAGTGGCATAGGTTGAAGTCTTTGTTGAAGATGGTGTCTTTCTTGGGGTTGTAGTCGTCGACCATGAAGCCGAGTGAGTTGTCCTTGTCGAGGTAGTTGGGATGCTTCTTGACGAATTCGCGGGTGGACTTCCACAGCGTCTCGATGGTGGCGCGGAATTCAAACATCGTCATGACGAACGAGTAGCGCTTGTTATTCTCGCGCATGAACGTGAATGGGTCGTAGAGCTGATCGCAGTAGAAGCTCGTCCCCGGCTCGACCCGCCAGTACCAATCGTAGTCCTTCAGCAGCTCGCTCCTCCAGAAGAAGCCGGAATTGTAGCGGCACATGTGGCGGTAGCTCTCGTCGCCGCCGTAGATGATCTTCTTCTCCTTCATCTCGTCCATCTTGCGGTGCATGCGGGTCGTGTCAATGAAGTCGGGCACGCTCCATTCCTCGTGCGGGATCAGCCCGTGCGATACCTCGCCCGACGCAAGCCGTGATGTGTGGAATTTGAACTCGTCCGTGAATGGCTCGTCGTTCAGGAACGTCCACGGGTATCGGTAGTGCCGGTTGAACCGGTCCTCGATGTTCTTCATCGCCCGCAGCGCATCCTTCAGCTCTTTATTCCTGCAGCACGAAGTGCATTAGCCCAGCCCAGCCAACCCGCCGCACCACCGCACCACCGCACCACCACCGCACCAGCCCTATCACCAACGTACCTAACCAACATGACGAGACTAGCCTTCTCGCGTCCGAGCTGCGTCCTATTCCTATCCCCCTCACCTCGCAGGTGGTCTGTGGTGACATCGACGCCCCAGAAGTGGTTCAGATGTGGCCTGGACTGGAAGTTGTACGTGGGGGGTTTCGGCGGTGGCGGCGGCGGTGGCGGCGGCGCGATCGCGGTGACGACCGGCGCCGACGGCAGCAAGGCCGCCGCATCCTCGCGCCGGTACAATGAGCCCGCCATCCAGACTAGCACTGTGCACAAGAGCACCGTTACCACGAGGAACTTGGGTAGACTGCCCCGGCCGACCGCGCGCCGGGGCCAGGCGGTGAATTTCGTTTCCATTCGGTGGGTGGTGATGGTGGTGGTCGGAGTGGGGTGTGGAGGTTGAGGGAGAGAGGAGGACGAGGGATGTGGGCATCGACGTTGTTTTCAGCTGAAGCTCCTCGCTCCACTGTAGGTGCCTACCAGGTATCCAGGTAGAGTATTCGACGTAACGTCAGACATTGCTGATCTTGCCCACCTCCCTCCCACCCTCCAACCCCCGCCCGGGTGCACACGCAATCCCTTTCCGTCGCTCCCTTCCTCCCTCCCTCCCTCCCTCCATTTCCCATTCCGCCCCACTCAGTGGCACTCACCCATCTCACTCACCCATCGTCCCACGCACGCCGCTCTGGTGTGTGCATTGTGTGCATTGTGTGTGGTGGATAGAGTGGACACCATCGGACTCCGGTCCGTCTCCGTCTCTGTGCGCGCTGCACTGCGGAAGGTTCTGACTACTCTACAAGTCTACTCTAGTTACCAGTCTACCCACGCAGGCAGCCGCCGCCCCCCGGGCCGTTGCGGTTGAACTGTTACTCTGGTGTTGGAAGGAATTTCGGGACAAAAATAGAATGAAACGATCGTGGACACTGGACACGGACGGTGGGCATGGTGGAGCCTTGGCACAGCCGCCCGCGATTCAAGCGTGAAGCGATCATTGTTCTCTGAGGCCTGAAGAATGAAGCCTGAAGGATCAGGCGTCCCGGAGGCTTCTCCATTGATTGTACCTGCTCTAGAGTAGAATGTGTTTTACCGACGCGACGGTGAGGCCCCCCGTTCCCGTTCAATACCGGTAGTTACTCTATTATGTAGCCTGCCCTGTCCTAGGTATCCGTATATTGATGCAACCTACGCCATCGTATAGAGCACCGTATACTAGCTGGAGAACTGGGATTTCTCATCGCCCTCTCTCCCAGGTCCCTCTCACGTCGATTTCTTGCGATGGCATTCTAGAGAACGGTATGTAGCACCGGCGATGGAACATCCCACAAATCTCAATTCGGTAGTTGAGATGTACATGGCCTTTCAGGTTTGCCATTCAAAAATCAAGAACCGTTTGATATGTACACAAAAAACCCGCCAGATCGCATCCCCTCTCCGGCGCCATCGATGTAGAGTATCATGTAGCCACTGGTTATCTCGTGGTACCGTAGTGTTTTTGACGGCACGATGTTTCCTGTCGAGACCTTCGATATCGTATCAAAACTTAATTGAAGTTAAGCCCTGTGCCGCCCCGCCTCGGTGCTTGCTTGCTTTCCAGCTTGCTTCAGTGCTACTCCGATGATCGTCTTGGATGGGCTGATCTTATCATTCTTATGCACACCTCCAATCACCATCCACGGTTCGACCATCTCCAGGCTCCAGCTTGCCTTGCCCCGCCTTCAGCAATCATGCCCGGCCGTGCGGCTGGAGTCGTACCGAAGTAGGGCTGGAGTCGTGCTGAAGTCGTGCTGATGCTACCTACCTAAGTTACTTACATAGCAGCGTGCATGTTTATAAAGCCACTGGAGAGGAGTCCAGACGCATCGCCGGTATGTAGGCAACCACCAGGAGGCCCGCTCCCTCGCTGGGAGTTCTGCGGGGTAAATCTACGGATGAAACACCCATGATCATGATCATAGCAAGAGGTGGGTACCGTGGTTACTACTCGTGGGTTGGGAGTTATCTCCCCGGGACTGGTACTTGGAGCTCCGGCATATACCTGCTATGTATCGAAGAGCCTTGCGGTACATGTGCCGATAGTATGTAGCGTCGGAACGGGATCATGACAGAGCTCAGCACGTCGAGAGTCGAGAGTCGAGACTCGGGCTGGAGAATGGTAGCTCAACCGCACAGCTGACTACTGTATTCAAGTTCTAAGTTCCAAGTCGAAATACCAGCTTCACTACTGAGTTCCGTTGTCCAAGAACTTCCCACCATCTGTACGATACATGCACTTTTGGTACAGCACTTCCAAGCCCCCATCGCACCATCGCACCATCGCACCGTCTCCCGCTGCCACATGCTCCAGCCTCCCCGTCGAGTCTCCGTTGGCACCCAAACGGCGGCTCCCGACTCCCCAGTCCCATCACATGTTATTGTTATTTCTTCCGAGCACGATTCAGGCGTCAAGCCTTCATGGCTTCAACGCCCCAACGCTAACAAAGTCGCCGCTGACGGTCCCCGACCCCCAGCTGCCAGAGTCTCAGACTCGCAAGTTCGCAACTCGTAACTCGCAACTGCCGTCGCTTCCGGGGCGTAGGATCGACCAAGCAAACTCCAAGTCAAGCTCCACCTGGCCAACTGGCCGGTGCGATGACATCAGCCGTGTAAGGGAGAGCGTGGGTACGGGTACCGGTGTGTAATAGTTACGGTAGACTAGGTAGCTGTGTAAAGTGCCGATTGGATTTGGATTTGGATGCGAAAGTCAAAGTCAACGTCAAAGGAGGCGGAACATATATCCTCACCTTCTATGTTAACGCTCAGGAATCTGGAGCGGCCCGTTTCCCTGCATTCTACGTTATCCCTTCGAGTATGTAAACAACGGTGAATGAAGGGCTGCGATGGTGAAAGACGTAAATCGCCCGAGCAAGCCCACCCTCAATGCCCCCAGTGCCCACCCCAACCGTTGAATGCCGCCAAAAAACAAGCATTGATAGCGACCACCCACCATCCATCACCCATCACCCATCCACCCACCAGCCGCAGCCGCAGCGTCCCTCTCCTTCAGGCTTCAGCCATCACTCCTTCAGCCATTCTGCCATACGGTACATAATCGAACGTCTTCCGAACGTCTTTCACTTTCGCTTTCGCTTACCTACACTCTCGCCTCTCAACTCTCAATTCTCGGTATCCGGGCCTCACGGGCCTTAGTTACGCGCCTTACGAGCTTACGAGCCTTTTAGGCCTTTCCAGAGTAACGGTCGAGATAAGCAACACCCACCTCCCACCTCCCATATATTAGGCTATAGGATAGGCCGTAGGATAAAGACTGCTACCGTATCTACCCGCGCCAAAGAACACCGTAACGCCAAAGACCGTAAGTCCCAAGTTGCATATCACATGTTGCATATCACATGTTGCATACGCAAGAAGCCCCATCATCAGCGTCGTCCCCATTACCAGCGTCGTCACCATCACCAGCGTCGTCGTCGTCACGCAATAGCTTGTTCCATGTTTCATCATTCATGTAGTCCGTCTCCTCAATCAATCGCTCAAATAAGCGAAGATACGCAGAGTCCTCGTAGAGTACCTACTCCACCCTGCTCCACCCTGGAGAGTCGAGACGCGCGGATTTTATCACGAGACCATCACGAGGCCATCACATCATAGCACAGCCAGTCGGACAGAAAAAAAAAGGTGGCAGGCGGGCGCGGGGGTGCAATTCATCAATTTGAATTGAAAGAAGTCAAAAGCCATCATGATATTGAACACCCCGGGAAAAAAAAGCAAACCCCTTGCCAGCCGGCCCAGTAAGAACAAAAGAAATACAACAAATTGAAGAACGCAGAAGAACGACCGTTTTATTGATTCATTAAAACGCACAAGAAATCAAAGACAAAGCATCTACGGGGCGTTGATAACCTTCTGGAAAGTCTCCGACATGCCGGGACGCTCCTTCGAGCCCTCGACCTTGACGTTGCCCAGCTTCTGCTCCGAGTACGCCTTGGCGTATGGGTTGAGCCTGAGCATGATCTGCTTGTTCTTGAGGGGGTTCTTCTTGAGGACGCCGGCCTTTCCTCCCTTCTTCTGGGTGGAGCCGCCGCGGACGGGTCGGAGCACGCCCTGGACCTCGCTCGAGTTGATGAGACGGGTCAGGTCGGACTGGGACACGATGTTGGAAGGGAGGAAGTAGTTCTTCTTTCCCTCACCGGCCTCGGTGGTGGAGCCGTAGATGGTGTCGAGGGCACCGAACGCGGACTCGGTCCAGATGACGAAGCGACCGAGGTGGCCACCGGGGGCGAGCTGCAGCAGGTTCAGGGCAGACACGGAGCACGTCTCGACACCGGGGATGTTGCGGAACGCCTTGACGACGTTGACGGAGCACTCGTCGGCCGGGTTGAAGATGATCAGGGGACCGCGACGCTGGCGGTGACGGCGGCCACGGAGCTTTCCCTTTCCGGCACGGGTCTTGCGCGAGGCAGCGACCTTAGTGACGTCCTGGTAGGCGCCGATACCCTTCAGGAGAGCGACGGCAGCACGGGTCTTGGCCAGGTCGTTGAACGCAGCGGAAGCGATGACGAGGGGGAGCTCGGCAACCTCCGAGACGCGGTGACCACGGGCCTGGACGAGGGGAACGGCAGCAGAGGCGGCGAGGGCAGACGCGGTCGCGAAACGGCGCTGTCCCTGCGGGACCTTGACGTGCCACTTGCGCCAGGTCTTGGTGGGCGCAAACATACGACCGGAACGACACTGGTTACCGAAGGCAGCCTGACCGGCACGGTGGGTTCCTCCTCCCGAGACACGGGGAATACGGGCAACAGCACGACCTATCATTCCGTCAATCCCACAATTCCTTTCCCGCTCACTCGGAATTCCTCACCAGTTCCCCACGACTCAGCAGACGTCTGGTGGCCAGCCTTGGAAGAGACAGCGTAAGGCTGCCTCTTGTTCTTGGCCATGCCGGTGTGGACCGACTGGACAATGTCAGGACGGATCGGCGCCTTGAAGACATTGGGGAGGGTAGCGGAGGCGCCGCTGGCCTTTCCGTCGGCACCGATGATCGAGACAGTGGGTCGGGACGTCTGTTACAAAAATCCATCAGCACTTCCCCTTCCTTTCATCCTCGACCCCCATAATTTCCGCAGAATTGCAGAACCGTGGATATCTCACCATTTTGTCGACTGGGATGATTGTCGGGGTTTTGGTGTTGGCGGGGGGGCGGGGGGCGTGGGGCGGGGCTGCTGCTGGCTGGTATGGTTAGTTGGCGATGTTACTTTACTCGTATTGCGATTGTGGATTTTTTTTTGCGTGGGCGAATTCGTCGCTGCTCGCTTGGCTGACTGCCATGCCCACAGCCGGGGTTGTGCCCTAGCCTAAAAGTGACGCTAGCGAAAGTGAGCACCCACCCACACAACTACACAACCACAGGAAATCACGCCATGCTGGCCTCGCAGCAAAGGGAAGCCGATCCTCAGCTCGCCTGTCGACTCGCCTTGACCGCGCTCCAAAAAGTGCCGCCATGCAGCCAAACAGGAAACGCACTTTGCTTGCGGAATGCACTTTCCCCTCACGCCTGTCTGCACAACCGCCGCACGTGACATGTAATGAAGTGCTCTACTACTATGACCCCCACGGCACGGACATTTCTGTTGCATAGATACCGTAGATACCGATTCCTGCACTGTCACTCGGAATGTATGTGTGTGTGCACGGACCGTTGTGGCGAGAAAGACAAGACAAGAAAGACATGACAAGACACATCAATGGCGGTGATCGCCAGGCCGCATACTCTACATAATAAGCCTGGCATTTCCAAGCATGTATGATTTCGCAATGTATGTAATGTAATGTAAACCTCAGGCGCAGGAGACGCCACAACGAAGAAGGAGCCGGATGTCAAGTCCGCGTTTGCATGCACGAGTACTCTACATACGGTACGGTAATGGCATTATTCTACCTCACTAAGTCAACCTACAGAACTCCCTCCCCCTGTTTACCTGCCAAGTACACAGGGCGGGTTCCAGCGCGAGGGCAATGAGACCCGCTATACAGATGCCGGCGGAATCCGAGACCGTCGTAGCCCCGAGACTGAACTCCCTCTCCTCTCCCTGGTACTGGTCCGTGATCTCTGCGAACGTGTTGACATACACGAGCCCGCCCAGTATGCCCTCCCAGAAGATGATGGCAAAGATGATCCATATGCTGGGGATGAAGTTGAACATTGCGTGCGCGGTGAGGAGCGCGAGGTTCACGATCTGCAAGATGCTCGGCAGGTATAGGTGGTGCACTCGGATGAACGGCGTGGAGCTGCGAGAGATGAACACGCCGATTTGGTACACCGTGCCGTACATTGGGTAGGCGTCGCGGTAGTTCGCGAAGGGCATGTCCTCGAGCGGGTAGAGGAGCGTGGGGGCGACGCCCTGGTTGATGGTGTATTCGGCAATGTAGACGAGGAGGAGAGGAAGCATGCTGTGTAGGTACGTACACCGTCAGTTTCCGCAATTGCCTGAAGGGAGCGGACAGACCGTACTAGGGAAAGAAGAGCTTGCCCGTCCTTCTCAGTTTGATGGCCAGTTCGTGAAAGAAATCGCCCTTATGTGCGCTGTGTGCCGCAAACGCGCGGCTGCCGGCGGAATGCATCGACGAGGTCAAGAGGCTCCCCTCCTCCTCGTTCTCGTTCTCGGCCTCAGTCGCGTCACGGTCGAGCTCACTGATCGGCTCGTACCCACCGAGCTTCCCCACCAGCGGGCCCTGCGGCAACACGACAAAGAAGGCCACGAGCATCACGATCGGCAGGAACCCAAAGGTCATGATACTAGCCTTGACCGACAATCCCATCCAACTAGTCGCACACACGTACATGCCCGCGCCGAGCAACCCCGCGGCGCCCGTCCCACTCCCCCAGAACGGCACCGCGAACTCGCCATAGTAATGTGTCATGCCCAGAAACGACAGTTCTCCCAGGCCGGACGAGACTGAAGCCAGGATAACGCCGAAGAGGCGTCCAGGAAGCGTCGGCTGCCACGCGACCATCTGCATGCCCACGAAGGAGATGGCGACGAGCGCCAGGATGCGGATCCGGTACGGCACGAGGTGGATGAAGTACGGCGCGATCAGCTTCATGAACAGCGACGGGACGACGTCGGCCAGGAGCACGATTGCTTTCGGCAGCAGCGGGCCGACAAGGTCGAGCGCCGCCGAGAGGATGATGACGTAGAGCACATTGTTGATCAAGCCTTTTGGGTTAGCTGTTTGTTTTTTTGGTCTATGGTTGTATTTTTATCTATCTGGGAGACGAGCATACTCGCTCGCCCAGCCAGCTAGCTTTCTGGCCGTCGTCGAGGAAGCTTCGCGAGCGAGCGAGCGAGATCAGCGGGACGAGGAGGAGCTTCGCGGCGGCTCACCAAACAGCCAGAACGCGAGACAAACTCTGGGGTTCGCGCCAGCGAAAGCGGCGCGTAGCCGAGCCTTGAACAGGGCGAGTGACGACGACGCAGCACCGGGTACGGGCAGCGAGAGCGGGGAGCGAGCAGTTCTAGATCTCGAGCCCGAGAAGCTGTGTGCAACCGAGGCAGAATCGGGTGGTGTCTCCATAGAAGGAGAAGAGATGAACGGAGAAGTAAGAGGGGTGGGGGGGGGGGAGGGGCGACAGAGCCGACAGCAGAAGATGTAGGTTTTACTTTGGAGTACCGTAGCTGCTGGGGGGGAAGGCTGGGCAGCAGTTGCAACGGGTACGAACGGCAGACGGAGGGTTGACTAACGAGCTATTCGTTGGGGGGGCTTCAGGATTGGGCTTTTTTGGGGGGGCTTGTGATGGGGTAGGAAGGTTCCGAGTTCTCACATGGAGCGATGTGCGATAAGGGCACGGAAGACAGGGATTGGGAAGGTGGAAGGGAGGGGGGAGGGGTGTGTGGGTGGAGGTCTCGCCTCTCGGTCGCACAACGACGATCTTGATCCGATTAGCAGCTGGTGGAGAAAAGGCAGGCGGGTGATGGCTGCCTGCTTTGCTGTGGTCGGATTGTTGGTACCAGGAGCTGCCGATAAGTGGTGCCTCACCACCATTACGAATTATGAGCACTAGTCTATAAAAGGAGCACACTAAGCCAAATACAGTCAAATGAGTGAGTGGCTGTGACTACGTTGTATGGAGAAAAACACTAAGCTGTATGGGGGAAAAACTGGTGAGGCAGCACTTACCCTTACACCCGTGTACATATGATACATAGGAGGATTTCTCCTCTTTTTCTTGGGTTTGGCGGCGGGCTGTGCTGGTTTTGCATTGCAACTTGCGTGTGGAGGTTTTCCGGCCGCATGCAGCAGTTGGGGGGGACGAGGTGGTGGAGCAGAGTGTTGTTTGATTGATATGTAGAGTGGATAGATGAGTCCAACGTCGGTTGCTCCCTGCTTGCTTGTTTCTTCGTCATCTTCTTCTCTGCTTCCTCCTTCAGGGCCGTATCTGGCCGAGGAAAACATCACAACCACAAATCGGAAACAGCAACCTTCTTTTTTTTCTTCCCTTCTTTTCCTTTTTCCGCGTGTTTGGCTGACTGGCGAGATGATGTCGGTGGAATATGCCGGTAGAGGGAGGGGACGACAGCGATGTGGGGTTCTGAGTGGTTCGCTCGGAACTTCTGTCTGAGGGAAGGGGAAGGGTGGGTTGGTTGACAGGGAATCTTAAGATGCTGCACAGACAGGGAAGACGGATTCACAGGGCAAATAAAGGTGATGGATGGATGGGTGGATGGGCTGTACGATGATGGGGTGGGTGGGGATTTGGCGAAATGTTATGCTGCTGCGGTGGCTGCTGTGGGATTGATTGATTATTGTTGTTGTGTGGAGGACAAACATGAGGAGGATGACGATGGGCAGAAACAGAAGCAGAAGGATGGGGTGGCGGTTGAGAAGAGGAGGTGGTGGCTACGGGGGTGAGTGCACCTCCGCATCCAGTTACCGCGATGTGGGTGGTGATGCCAGAGTACTAGTAGCTGTGATGGTTATGGGACTACGGGTTGGTGATGATGGTGGTGGTTCGATGGAGAACTACGGTTGGAGGGGAGTGCGGAGTGGGGAGTGCGGAGAAGTGAGGAGAAATGATCGAAGGGCGGCGTCAGGCCAATCCAGACCTCGCGCGGACGAGAAAAGCGAATCCAATCGAATACGACCGTTGGGGTGCCCATCGTCGTATGTCGTAGTGGTCATCGTTGCTGCTGCTGTTCGTGATCATCGTCGTCGTGTGTAGTCGTCTCCTTGCCGGCCCATCTCCTGCCTCCTGCTCGCTCGGCCAGTCCGTCCGTCCGTCCATCTGCCTACCTTGCCTGCATGCCCGCCCCCCTCCCCGCAAGCACCGACAGATATTGCCTCTCCGTTGACTCCGTCCACTCCGTCCCTCCCCGTCCCTCCCGGCCACCCCCCAAGCCCCCAAGTCCCGTCTCCAGACCTCATACCTCATACGGCACCCACATCCATCCATCACTATCACCACGCATTAATGCCTCCCTCCCCCCGTGCGTATACGCAGCCTCATGTTTCCACTCGACATGGGATTATTCGTGCAAAGTGGTGGTCGTGCACTTGCTAATACCTATACCTGTTGCAGAGGCTGCACGAACCACCGCCACACAGCACAACTGACGCCAGGAACTCGGCGTAGCGACCATCTAAGTTCTTACCGCACTTTATGACTTGCCTTACCTTGCCCCTCTTGCCTCCCTCCCCACATCCAAGCGGCAGGTCTATCCTTCTGAACGTCCCCCAAGGCCGTGACAGCCAGCCAGCCCGGACGAGCCATTCACCCACATTCCAGACGAGCCGTCCCTCGAGACGAATCAGCCAGACGAGCCAGTCAGCCAGACCGACGAGCCAGCCCCCAGACGAGCCAGCTAGACGAGCCAACCAGCCCACTGACGCTGACGCCCGCCCATAAGTTCCCACCGCACCCTTCCGTACCGGCCATTCTGTTGTTCGGGAGGCAAGTCAACTCGGTCAGTCGCCTTCGTGCTTGCTGCTGCTGCTGCCGCCGCTGCTGCAGTACTGCGGCTGCTGGGCATCGACTGGGTGCTGTCTGTGCGTCGAATACCGGTGTTTCTCATTATTCCATGCCAGTCCCCAGTTGAGATCGCTGCCCTCCGTCTTGCTGCTGCTGTGCTGCTGCTTCTGCCGCCGCCGCCTCTGCTTCCTGCAGCTGTTATTATTATTATTCTTCCCTTTCTCCCTTGGCCTTCTCCCTCCCTTTCCTCACCGCTCCTCCCACTCATCACTCATCTACCGCCTCCTCCTCCGCTTCCTCCGCATCCCCATCCTCTCCCCATCCTCCTCACCCTCCGCCTTCCCTCGAAACCCTGCGTCGCGTCGTAAACGTCTCCGCCCGGCCCGTCCCATCTTGTGTGTGAACCACGGCCACCTAAAAAAAAAAAAGTCGCGGGTGTTTAGGTTCCTTGTCTGACCCGTTGTGCCTATCTATTATTTCTCTTGACCGAACCTACCACCACCCCCCCTCCCCTCCCACCCCCCAGGCACTAAACTAACACAATGGATCACCTTCGTCATCCACATCTCGCTCCACCTGCACCGCGTCCATCACACGCTCATAACCCTTCTCCCGCACCACCGCCGCCGCCTCCGCCGCCGTCCCTGTTCTCTCCGTCCCAACACATCCTCCACCACAACACCCCCCCAAACCTCTCTCATCCCTCTCAACAGTCACCCCATCACCACCATCCATACCCTGCCGCAAATCGCGTGCAGCACTCGCCTTCCCAACAACCCCTTCCCGAGATCGACCGTGATCGTCCCTTTTCCGCGTCGTCGAGTGCCCCGAAACGTCTCAAGATGAATGGCCGAAATACTCCTACTGACGGCTACTATGGGAGTCCACACGCAACGCATCCATCGCACGGCCAGCCTCCCGCCTCGTCGCATCCTCCTCCTCCACCGCCTCCGCCTCCGCTGCATACCGGAATGCCCCCGTCGCAACGATACGGCGAGCCGTCGAGGTCACCCGAAATGGAAAGGATGAACGGGCCCGGCCCCGGATACCGTCACGGTCCTTCGCCCCTATCACTACATCAGCAACAACAACAACACCACCAACAACAGCAGCAGCATCACCAACAGCAGCAGCAACAACAACAACAGCAACAACAACAGCAACAACAACAGCAGCAACAGCAGACTCCGTCGCGACATGGTTAGTCCTTTCTCCATCGTTTCCCTTCTGCAGTCCAACCACCACTCTACCCACCCATCTGGTGAACACAAGCAAGGCAGGCAAGCGCAAGACGGACACACAGGACACGAGAGAGATTCGGAGATATTTGTTTGAGGGGCTATGTCCGTCCGTCATGCGGGGGTGCGAACCGTAATTCATAATTCGGTGCGCCACGTGAACCCAGTTTTAGCCTCAGCCGAGAAATCCCGTTTACGTTTCCTCTACATCCATCATGCTGTGTTCCTAGTGTGCAACTTTGTTCTTGCCTGTCTGCTTGCTTCGCCAGATACCGAATTCCCCATTCACTCATGGCTTGCCTACTTGCGCGTTTTTGTTCATTGGCTGGCTGTTCATCGGGAACGGATGTCTGTGTCCGTCTGCGAGAGTGTGCGCTGAACTTTTATCTCTTGTGCAGAATCGCTGCCACCTAACGGCGCCATCAATCCGGCGTCGAACCGCGGTTCCCCCGTATTCCTCCCTCCTCGGACAGCGACGCCCGAAAACCACGGCCACCGCCGCACTCCATCCTACCATAACTCGCCTCACATCGCCCGAGGTACGTCCGCCCCGCTCGCACTATTATTGTTGCCGGCGTTATTGTTGTTATTGTCATTTGTTGCTTTCACCCCCATGCCCTCTTCTTTCCTCCTTCCTTCTACCTAGTGATGTTGCAGGTCTGTTGCCTGTTGCCTGTCTGCCTGCCTGGTTGTGTGGGTGTGTGTCTGATAGCATGTCCCCGTGCGTCAGGCAGATGATGTTCGGCTGGCCGGGGGGGAGGTGGCCGACTCCGTTTCGAAGTTGCGCTTGCGTGTATTCAAATCTTTTTTCCTCTTTACCCCATAACGGCTTTTATTTACTCTACCCGATGATACCGTTGCCTTACTCCACTTACTCCCTTCTCCGCTACCTAGGATCTAGAAGTCCGGAGTTACTTCTCTGTTCCCCTCACAACCTTGCTTGCTTTCAACACCCCCCCCTGTCCTACGCTAAACCCACTCAAAAATCACAAGCGATCGCTGAAGAATTAACTCCAAAGACTAACCCAAAACTCACGCGCTGCAGGTCCGCAAGATCCCATCATGTCACAGCCTCAACAGCACCCCCCACTACCACCACCACCACAACCACAACAACCACAACAACAACACCCTGCGCAACAGCAACAATCGTCATCGCAGGCTCTCGCGCATCAACAGCAACAGCTTCATCACCACCATCAGCAACAGCAGCAGCACATGCGCATGCCTCCTCCCAGCTCTCCCCATCGCGCGTCATCGCTGTCGCATTCTCAACCCTTACGCGCGCCTCCGCCCCCACCCCCTCCACTATCCCAGATGCACCACCAACACCCGTCGCCCGGACCTCAGTCTTCTGGCTACAGCCAAGGACTTGGTCCCGCGCCTGCGCGAGAACTTCCACCGCCTCGGACTACCTCGATGTCAATTTCTGCCATGCTCGACGGCGGAACGCTTCCTCCGCCGACCACATCCAGGAATACGCAGCCTGACTTGTCGCCCTTGAAGGCGCCGTTTACGCCGGAATTCGCGACGATCGACCGCGCGAGGGATGTTGGAAGCAGTTCGGCGAGTCCTAGTGGTAGTAGTACGTCGATGCCGCCGTTGGGTGGCCCCAAACCGAACCGCATTACTCCTCCCGAACAAGTATACAGAGCGCATCACCAGTTGCAGCATCACTCGACGCAATCCCTTGACCGTGACCCGCAGTATGGCAGATCGATGTACGAGCAGCAGCGCGCGCATACACAGCCACCGCCGCCTCCTCCCCCGCGGCCACAATCACAGCCTCACAGTCTACCTGGAATGCGCGATGATGGCCAGCAGCAGCAGCAGCAGCAGCAGCAACAGCAACAGCAACAGCAGCAACAAAGACACTTCCGGTCTGGCAGTTACTCCGAACGGGATATGTTGTACGGTGAGAGGGAAAGGCAGTTGGAGCGGGAACGACACTTTGAGAAGGAGATGGAGAGGGAGAGGGAGAGGGAAAGAGTGAGGAGGGAGAGGGAAATGGAACGCGAGCAACGGGATCGGATCGCACGTGAAAGGGAGGCTAGGGAGCGACAATTAGCGGAACAAGAGCTGCGCGAGAGGGAACAACGCGAACGGGAGCAGCAGGAGCGAGAGCAAGAACGAGAAAGGGAGCGAGAGAGGGAAAGGGAGAGAGAGAGGGAGAGGGAACGACAGGTACGTGAGAGAGAACAGCAACAGCGTGAGCGGGAAAGGGTACGGGAACGTTTCAACGAGAGGGAGCGATTCGGGCCTCAGTATTCCGGGTCACTATTCGGCTCGGAGCGGATGGAAATGCAGAACCCTCCGACATCCAGCTCCCATCCCCCGTACGGAATGACGATCACGTCCAGATACCAGGGCGGTCAGAACGGGGTTCCTCAGTCGACAGGACCGCCAGCGGGATCCATCTCAACCCCAACGGCCATGTCCCTTCCCCCGAACTCTGGACCCGGACAAGGACAGAACTTCGGCCACTCACAGATGGCGGCCTCATCCTCTGGTCACCGGGAAAACTTCCAGCCGTTCTCTGGGTATACCGTGTCGATGCCGCCCAGCCCTTTCTCGATCACCAACACCAACATGCCTTTGCCTGCTGTTGGTGAGGACGCCCGCGACAGAGATGCACGACCACAGCGATTCAAGCCTTCGCGAGAGACGTCGCTAGGTGGAAGAGATGAACCTCTTCGAGCGGAGGATGCGTTGTCACGCGGGTTGGGGCGGAGCTTGTCGAGTCTCATGGAGGACGAGAAGAAGCGGAACATCGGCAAGGATCGGGATGGAATCGTTAGGGACAAGAACGGAATCATGAGGCTTACCGACTCGGCTCTGACATACCACAGCCCGCCCAGACGCAGTGCTGGCTTGGGCATGGAGGCCACCACGATCGTACGAGACTGGGGCGATCTGCCAAAGGAGATGGATAGAGCGAGTGGCATGGGCATGGGCATGAAGAGAGATAGGGAAGATGATGAGAGCTCGACGTCGAAGACGGAAAAGAAGAAGCGCCACCACCACCACCATCAACACCCCCACCAGTTTGTGCTCTCGACTCCCCGGAATCCGGCACTCGTGCGGAAGCTTTTGGACCCTGAGCTGACCTCGTTTAGTCATCCGACTCACTATCACCATCACCATGACGAGCAACCATCTCACAGCCTCGACGCACCGAAGGCTCCTGTTTCCGTGCGATCCAAGTCCCCGCTGCACGCGCACCACCACCACATTCATCACCACCACCCGGCCATGACTGCGGCGCAGCAGCAGACCCCACTGTCCAAAGTCACTACCACCCTACTCATCGATTCTTCAAAGGTGCTGGCCTCCCTCACTTCGAAGCCCCGGAACTACTTGGGTTCCATGGTCTACCTTCCCACGCATACTCCGAAGGAAGGCTACTCGGTAACACATCCTCTACTCCCCCGCTTCGAAGGCCGCGAGAACTCGATCTTTCAAATCAGGATTCCCAAGAGATTCCTGAGCGATTCGCACCGTCGCGACGTTTGCAGGAGGAGATGCGTGTGGGGCACCGAGATCTACTCGGATGATTCGGACATCGTTGCGGTATTGATCCACACCGGCAGAATTCCAGGCTGGCTTCCAGAGGACGTGGACCCAGCTCTCGTGAAGGAGAGCGGCAGGAAGGTTGTCATCAAGGGGGCCCTATCGGCTTCTGGTCCTTCGTCTCCGACCAACTCATCCTCTGGCAAGTGGAAGGCCAACGGAACTGCCGCCAAGAAGGCTGAAGAGAAGGAGAAGGAGAAAGAGAGGGATGTCGCCGAGATTCCCGCTGGAAAGGACCTGCTGGTCAACCTGTTGATCCTTCCTACCTTGGAGCGGTACTCGGGTTCGGTACGCTATGCACTCAAGAGCAGAAGCTGGAAGACAATCCACGATGGCATGTCCTATTCCATCTGGGACATGCAATGGGCGGAAGCCGGCGCTGCCGAGAGCCGTGGTGGTGGCAGCAAGAAGCGACGCCTCGATGAGAGAGAGTGGGTCCGTCGGTGGGGCGAATTGCCTCCTTCTAAGAGAGGCATCGGGAAGGTCGGAGAATGGGCCAAGGTGGAAACTTGGAGTCATACCGAGTCGAAGGATGGCAAGGGAAATGGCGAGGTTGAGGTCGGAGCTTAAGTTAGATGTTCGTTTTGTGGTTTATTTTTCATGCAGCATAGTGTGTATAGGTGGTTGGTTGGCTTCCTTCTCCTCCTAATGTTTCGGGTTCTCTCTCTCTCTCCCTGGTTCTGGTGCTTTGCTTTGCTTTCTCTTCTCATTGAAAAGCCAGCGTTCTTTTTTTTTTACGGAGTTTTGATTTGGTTGGTTGTGTATTTTTTCTTTCCACCCACCCCCCACGCTGTCTCTCTCGAGAACTGTTTTCTGGTTTGGAAATCACATTTGGTTCTATTGTATTCGTACTCTTCTCTCATTCCCATTCAGATTTTTTGTCTTGTGGTGTCGTTGTTGTCGTTGTTGTGGTTGTCGGGAGGACGTTTATGATACCTTTACTTTACCTTTACTTTACCTTACATGTAAGTCTTGTACAATATGTACAATGAGGGAGGATCAATTATTGGATACATGCTTTTTGTATTAGTGTGATAGTTATGGGGAACGAAGGAGGGAACTTGGAAGGATAGGATAGGTAGGGAGGAAGCGTGTAGGTGAATCGGATCTGTTCAGATCAATTGTTGTTGACGTTGATGATGTTCCAAGATCTGTGATTTAATTTGATTTCAATTGCGGGGAAGAAAACGGTGGGTGCTCATTTGCATAGGCCGTGGGCGAGATCGGGAATCCAAATGGCTGGTCGCTGGACCATGGTGTTTGAGTTGCAACTTGCGGGGTGAGTTTGCGACATGACGCGGACCTGCGGCTCCGGAACGTTTTTTCTCAACCTGGACTAGCGTAGAGTATCTATCGGACGGATAAGGTGGCGGTGGCCGGTGACCTGGCCATTCATCCCACCCAGCCACGATCAAGTGACAGCCCAACTACCCTTTCAAGCTCGCACTCCCACTCCCCCGCTCACTCCACTCTCTTTTACTTACTCTCCCTGAATGAACCCTTCCCCAGACCCTTCTACCTGACACCTCCCTCTTCCTTCCTTCCGCCTTGTCTTGTCCTCTCTCCCGTCCTCCCGTCCTCTCCTCTCCTCACCTCTCCCCCCGCCCACATACACACGACACCCGCTCACGCACACGCATACGACACCGCACACGCACCCCCACAACCTCCACCATGTCCACCTCCGAAACCCTCACACGGCAGCAAAAAGCCGACGCAATCCGCCTGGTGAAGGAGCAGCTCGCCCAGGTCCGGAACGACTGGACATACACGCCGCCACGTCCACCGCCCCCCGCTTCTATCCCCAGCCGCACGTTGTCCTCCGCCTCCTCGGCCAGCACCTTCAGCCGCTCAGGCGTACTGGGGGCATGGCGTCCCGCGGCGCCCGGCGAGGTCGATCCCAGCAACCAGGACGACGAGGTGGAGGCCGAAGACTCGTGGGACGACGACTGGAACTCTTCGACGGAGGAGAGCGACAGCAGTTCTGACGACGACGACGACCTCGACGACACGCCGACGAAGAAGAAGCGCGGAGGAGGTGGTGTGGGGGGCTCGTTCGGGGCACGCACGGGGGTGCCGCAGCGAGCGCTATCCTACAGGCGGGCAGCGACGCCGCCGCCGCCGCCCCCCGCCGCTCGCAGGAACAGGCGGAAACGGCGGCGCCGCGATCACCGCCGCGAGGGCGTGTGGCTGCAGCGCACCGACGACAGCGACTACGAGATCCCCGCGGCGCCGCCAAGTTCTAGCGCATTCAAGTGGGACTCGCCCAAGAGCGTGGCGCCGCACAAGGCGCGGCGCCGGCACGAGCGCGAGCTGATGCGCGAGAATCCCGGGCTGCGGATCTGGCTGCGCAGGCGCGATCAGTGGACGGGCGCGGATTCCGAGGGCTGGGTACCGGTGGGCAAGAGCCTGTTCGCCGATAATCCACTTGCCAAACTCGTCACCCCCAACGCGTATCCCGATATCTATCAGCGCTGTGTTGTACGCAGTGGCGAGCTGCCCGTGCCTATCAATCTTGCCAAGATGATTGATGCCCTGGTCACCGGCTGGAAGAGTGATGATTTGTGGCCGCCGAAACCGACGCCTGCTGAGCCCGGGATCACGACGGGACGGGTTAAGGTCGGTAGTAATAGCAATAATGGAGGCGGCACCAGGGGAGCGGCACACGGTCAGGACGAGGGCGGCGTCAAGAGCATGAGTGGAAGGGTTAGGAAGTATTTGGGGATTCGGTAGGGAAGAACTAGGTACCTACTGGATCATGACGACGGGCGGGAGGGGGGGAGTTTGGAGTACTTACTTGGGTTGTGGGTGTTATTTGCTATTTTTTCTTCTCTTTCCTGTTGCTTTTCCTTGACCTTTTACTGGGACTTCGATCTGATGCTCCTGTGGGATGCTATTTCGAACTACGGTACTCTACTACTCTACATAAATGAGATGAGGGGTGTGTTTTTCTTCTTGTTATTGTTCATTGTGCATTGTGCATTCAGTCTGGGGGTTTGATTTCTATGGTGGTATGGTTTACGGGCTGTATGGACTGTATGGACTGTATGGACTGTATGGACTGTTTTTTTTTTTGAAATCGACGAGATGTTTATGGCTATTATTATGCATAGGGTGTGTGTGCTTAGATAATATGTACGTACGTGGAGGGGAATAATATGGCGTTGATCTCACGTATCTTTGCCTGGATAGAGAGCCAGAGCCCGTGTTGACGATGTTGACGATGTTGCATCTCGTCAAACTCGAACCTCGCGACCCATTTATTCTAAAGATTGGTTACTTGTTACCCAACCAACCACAGTGACCGCGGAAAATCATCAGATGTTGCTTTTTCCTTCTAGATAGTTCCTCTCAGATCCTCTCTCGTCCATTCCCATTCCTTTGTGTAAGTAAGTAAACCACCACGACAAAAAGGATTGTTCAGGGCCAGTTCTACACCCAAAATGCCCATTTCCATTTTCATGCAAACTTGGAAATGCCCATTTTTGGTGCAAAACGGCCCCGTCCAATCCTTTTTGTTCTAGGTAGTGCTTTATACATCTCTGCCTGAAGAGAGAGAGAACCCATGTTGACGATTTTGACGATTTTGCGTCTCGTCAAACCCTCAAACTGTCAGTGTGGCGCCGATCCCAAAGATTATATGAGGTAGATAAGTACTAACCACGGAAAATCATCACCAGAGTCCAGATACCTATTGCTTTTTCCTCCAGGGTAGGTAGAGTAGTTTCGCCCAGTGAGCCCTCCCAGTTATCCCTCGTCTATTCCCATTGCTTTGTGCATGTACTCTACATACCTTGAATATCTATCCACTCGTACATAGCTGCTACTGCGCCCCCATCTCCCATCACCATCACGATTCACCAACTCTACAGCCCCGCCGCCAAGTGCTGTATGTAGGGTAGGGATTACTCCAGACAAGGATGTAGGTGCATGGCCTCAATCAATCAATCAAGATGGCAATCATTTAGTTTTTGGGGCGTTTCCTCTCCTTGGCTCAGCGCGAAGGAATGCTTGTTCCTGCGATCGTCCTGCTGCCCTGCCCTGCCCAGTGCCCATCAAGGTGACGGATGGGGCGGGGGACGAGGGGGAGATGAGGCTAGGTTTTGGAAGATAAATAGTCTAATGGGACCCCCGGCCGTTCCTCGCGCCGGTTGCGTTGCGTTGTTGGGTTGCGTGACGCTTGTTTTGTTTGTCGACCACTGGCTGCTGCTACGGTAACTAACTGACTACGGTAGACTGCCAAACAACGACAGCTAAACAACGACAGCTGCTACAGCTACAGCTATCTACAGCTACAACCACAGCAACTACATTCTCGCGCTCACCAGTGAGGAAGACTTTTCATTCCCCCTCTCTATCACTCACCTCCTCTCTTTCTCACACAGAATGCTCGACCCGCCAACCAAACACTGGAAACACTGGAAAAATCGAACCGCTAACACACTCAAGTCTCCACTGCGCCTATTCAACTGTTTCCGCGCGCGCGCACCATCACCGTACTCCCCGCCGCCCTCGATCTACCTCACCACCGCCGACGACGACTTCGACGAGCACACAGCGCCGCTCAAGATCGAGTCGCTACAGGACCTCCCCGCAATCCCTGTCTACAACCTCGACGGCGCGTTTTGCTGCGCGCTCAGGAGCTCGGGGTCATCACCGCAGGAGGCTGAGGAGGCTGTGGTAGAGGCAGAGGGTGAGGAGCTACCAGAGGACGAGGAGGAGGGACAGCAGGAGGAACAGGGACAGCAGCTGCAGCGCAAGCCCAGCGTGCCACTTCTTCACCGGCGGCGGGCGTACCCGATCCCGGAGCTGGACATGGTAGCGGGGCGGAAGCCAGCGTCGACGTGGCAGGCGGTAGCGGCCAAGGTTGTTTCCGGGAACAGGATCCGGCGCGGGCTCGGGAAGGATGTCAGGATTCAGGATTTTAGGGTTGAGGAGCTGGGTGGGCGCGCTGGGAAGTCCGTGTTTGGGCCCGTCAGTGTCTTTAATGGCGCTGTTAGCTTCAGGGTCAAGAAGCCGCTCAAGGGGATCACCGTTACTGTCGCGTTCGCGGGCGTGACCGAGGTCGAGGGATCGTTTGTGAGCTTTTTGAGTGAGCGCTTGGATGTGTTTTCTGGAGGTGAGTGAGGGCGGAGGGGGTGTAGGGGGTGTGGGGCGCTGATGATGGTGCGGGGCAGATCTGATTCAGGAGGGACTGAGAAGCTTCCTCTTCGCGTTTGAATTCCCGCCCGTCAACCTGCCACCGACGTCGGAGCACCCATTGATCTCGTACAGTTTCCAGGCCAAGCTGGCAGTCGACGACCGGCCCGACTCGCGGGAGACGCTGCCGTTCAGCCACAACACGGAGATAATGGAGTACCGAACGAAGCCGCTGCGGATCTCGTTCATTCCCTATGTGGACTCGTCGCTCGAAACACCGCTGGTCTCGAGAAAACCGAGCATGCGCAAGAGACACTCTGAGAATGGCTCGGGGAAACGGGAGTCGCGGTTGAGCGCGCACACAATTTTTCCTCCGGGGACACCGGGGCTCGGGAGTGGTGTCAGCGGTACCAGTGGGGCCAGTGGACAAACCACACCTAAGATGCGTGGACCGAAACTTACGCTCACGACCGCGGACCTGCCGGGCTCGCCGTCGAGTAGTAGCACTCCGTTGATTGACCGTCCGCACCCGGCGGCGCTGTCGTCCGCTATCGAGAGGTCGACTCGTGTCACCGATGAGGCCGAAAATACCATTGCCAAACTCACCGTGGAAATGCCCGCCAGCCGCTTCCTCCCCGGCGATAACATCGTCATGAAGCTTACTCTACAAATCCGCAGCGGCGTGCCCATACCAAAAGGCCTGGGCGCACGAGTGATCGAAACACGCTCACTCGCCATTGAGGGGGACGCACCCACGCAGGAAATCGACGCCGACGATGACGACGACGAAGAGGCCGGCCGGGACCCGGTACACATGATCGTCGTGGGCAAGGAACAGCTCCGCGTCCTGACCGGCAAGAAGTTTTTGCTGCATCCTAACGAGGTGCACCCGATCCAGCAGGCGCAGGAGATGAAGCTTTCGGAGCGGGACACGGGGCTAGCCGGCGGACTAGAGATGATTAAGAGCATGACGGTCACCCTCCCGCCGTTTCGCACTTTCATCTCCGACTCGTTGCTCCCCACCGCTACACTGCCGCTCGGTGATCCACACTCTACCACTACTACCACCGCCGATAACAGCACCGATAACAGCCCCTTCCTCACCCCCGCAACCACCAGGGACAAGGGCAAAGGCAAAGGCAAAGAAAAATGTCCGCTCCCGTCCATCACGCCCACGCCCACCTCCACATCACCGGACTCCCGCGACCCCCGCGACCCAGCGGCGCTGTTATTCCGCGTCCAACACGTCGTGCAGATCACAGTGCCAATGCTGAGCGCCGAAGCGGCCAGCAGCCGCTGGTACAGCACCGGCACTAGCACTAGCAGCCTCAAAGCTGAAGACCTAGAGGTCACCGTCCCGATTATTCTCGGGAATAAGGATCCGAGAACTGTCAAGACTTCGGTGGCGGAGTTGAGGTTGACGGCTGCTGGGGGAGGGGGGAGTGGCGGAGGGGTTGGGGGAGCGGGTGGGGGAGGAAGTGGCGAAGTGACGTGGAGGGGCGGGATGAAGTTTGGGACTTTGAGGGATGGGAGGGAGGGGAGGGGGAGGCCAGGGTTCGTTATTGATCCGTAGGTTTGGGAGTGCTTTTCGCTGGTGTTTTGAGAGAGGAGTGTTTTGAGTGGCGATTGCTGAGTGGAGCGGTTGCGGTGGCGTTGACGTTGGCGTTGTAATGCGGTGTATTTTTTTCTTACTCTTAGTTACTCTTACTCGATACCTCTTCTGTTGCTTTTGCCCTATAAGCTTAGTTTGTCTGCTCATTGATACCTCTTCCTCTGGCTATTGCTTTAACTGCTTGTTTAGCTTTCCTTTTCTTTTCTTGCTTTTTGATTGTTTGATTGTTTGAGTGGTGGAGGAATGGAGGTATGGAGGGATAGCTCGAGGTGGACTCGAGGCGGGCTCGAAGGCTGGCACAAAGGGCTGGTATAAAGTATACATATTCAAGCTGCGAATTGTGAAGAGAGAGAGAGAGAGAGAGAGAGAGAGAGAGAGAGAGAGAGAGAGAGACCTTCAATTTATTCCACATGCGGCATGCGAATGTGAAGAGTTGACGCGAGTGGATACACTCACGGCGTGTCACTCGGTATACAGTCTACTTAGCAGATTTATGTGGTTTCAACTTTCGAGAGCATCGCTGTTGGTAACTATGAATGATAAGTACAAGCTGCAAAAGCTGCACAAGGAGCTGTACTAGTACAACATGATGATATGATTGTGATGTCTGGTGTTTGTGGTTGATAAAGGCACCTCCAGTACCCAGTCGGACATGTATGTAGGTAGGTGATAAAACCATCTGTACAATGTACGTGTTGTAGAAAACGAACTCACTGTCTCACTTATCTGACTGTGACTGCAGCTTTACTGGTAGGTATTGGGGGCTACATTACATCCTTATGGCAGGGAGGTTTCCAGTAACTTACACAGTTGCTCCCCGGAATCCACCCGAATGCTTTTGATATCACTCATTGCCAACCTACCTATGATATCTGCACCGGTTCGGGTTTGTCCAACTTCATGCACTGCAACAGATTTACAACCGCACGGACAGACATGTAGGGGATAAATCTCCCGATATGTTTTCGGTAACGGTGGTGATGTAAAGTCAAGAACACGAAAGACCGGCAGTCGGCTCCTCAGTAGATAGTCCGCCCAGCGAAGGCAGGATGCGCTGACACGGCCCCCAAACTTCAAAGGCGTTTGGGCGGACGGGCTACGCTACTAGTAGGTTGCAGCCTACGATATAGTAGCCTTAGCCTGGAAAGCCCAATAGTTAATGCTGTAATTTGCGTCTGGAATACCAGTTGGGAACGCGCAATACATAGTAGTATAATGGTCGTAACCGAAGGCGCAGACCCAGTGACCGGTTGGCCAACACTATATAAATGAATCGTGGTATATACTCTATATAGAGCGGGCCGGCCCGTGCTGCAGCCTGCTATGTATGTACCTGCCTCTGTGTTTGACATAGTCCAGGTATTCATTCAATATAATGTCCTCCTACATACTAACAGGCAACAGGCAACAGTCGGCACGCGAGTCGTCTAGCTAGGCAGTCATCCAATAATAGGTACCAGGCTCCAGGCTAAGCGAATAACAAGTTCCAGCAATCAAATATCCGAGATCAAAAGTAAGCATTTAGGTACTCAGGCCACCACCTTGGCAGGATGACTCTAGTTATGGAGGGATCACGATGCCGTTGAGTAATCAGTGACTAGTAGGTATGCATACCAGTAATATCTTTCATCAGGTGGCGTCACTGCAGCCTGCGGGTATTCTCCACCCTGGTGGGAGATGGGAGTATGCATTTTCCTCATTATCATACATATAGACAAATGGATTCCGAAGGCACGCCGTTTACCTCCCTAGTCCGGCATTTTTAGGAAAATGTATACGAGCCGAATGAGAATGTTTCGCACTCTTTGGTTTCCGACCGACCTGACTGCTGGTCGCAATCTCTGTATAGGTATACCGGCTCTTCTCGTGACTTCAGTGGTTCTTGGTTTTTCATCTGTATGAAAGACCTGTTCAGGACAACCATATATAGGTGGACCTACCTACCTACTCAAGGGATATGCATCTGGTTGACATCTAGAGTAGTATCTTCAGATACTCCGGGGGCGGGATGCCCAGTGCCAACCACCCTCCACTATTTAGGCCTACTGACGGCCGGCCTACATAAGGAGGAGAGGCGAGTCAGAAAAGATGAGAAAATACAAGGGCCTACGTATGGATGGTGGCCGCAAGTAGTCGGCGGGCCGGGAGATGTTCCAGACAACGGGTAATACTGTGGTCACAACCGAACCACTTGCGATGACGTCCGTCAACTTCCAGTTGTACCTACATATGTTAAAATAGTGAACACTAGGTAATTGATTCATTGTCTCGGTCGGCTGCTATTGATTTTACATAGAGGTGGTGCCGACTATCCGGTGACCTACATTATGTAGGTACATACCCCACAAAATGCTACTGCCAAAGAAACTAGGTATGGCATTCTAGACTGTTTCCCGAGACAAGTATGGCATTTTAGACTACCGGGCCGAAAATTATGGCATTCTAGACGCTTGCCGATGTGTTTAATAGGGAGTTTCTGCTGGTGAAGTGCGCACTTCGGTAGCGGAGCCTCTATGAGTACCTACAACAACAGGCCAGGGGAAGCAATTGTTTTTGATACCATTTAGCACGCTAAATTTCAACCTCTGGAGTCCAGATGCCAGCTGGTGACGGTCACAGAAACCTCCACTTCGCCACTGCGGTACCCACCAACCCCCATTCGGACTCCCGGTCATCAACATTCGAAGTGCGCACTTCACCAGCCGAACTTCCCAATTGCCGGTTTCCATATCAAGTGTGTTCCTCCGATGCTCAGGGACAACTTTACTCCGCTGCTCTTCCGGGATAACTGTGCCGTACGCCTAGGTATTCAGGCAGACAGGGCGGCTGTGGGCGAAGAAACCGATATAAAAGGTCAATGGCTTCTCCCTCAAAGCTCCATCATCATCAGCCAGCTTCCTCACAGACAACCATCAAACAGCAAGTTCCTCTCAAACTTCTTCAAGTACTCGTCCCTGACCCTTCCCAGACTTCGCACTTCAATATCGATCCTCCACACATCACAATTCATCACCACCACCATTACCACCACCACCAACTCACAACCACCCACCCAATCCCCCCAACACCACACTCGCAACCATGGTCGCCATCACCAACATCCTCATCACTGCCTTGAGCCTTGTCGCGGTCGCCGTCGCGGGCGATATGTACCTGTACGACTGCGCCAACTGCAAGTGCGACGCGAAGAGCCAGCGCACCGGCTTCAGCGGGGACACCGGGTGCATCTCGAACTTTGGCGGTGCCATTGCGGCTGGCCTCACCCGCAGCGGCTCGCGCGCCACCACTTGCTCCTACTTCTCCGACTCGGCGTGCTCCCAGCAGTTCCAGAGTGCCGGAGTCAATGGTGGTCAGACCTGGGGATGCACGGCCGCCAACCAGAGAATCCAGAGCATCAGGTGCTACTACAACGTCTAGGGAGTAGGGCGGCTGGTGGTCTACTATACTATAGGATGGGCTATTCTATGATGAAGGATATGTATATGGTTTAAGTGGTGCAGGAAGGAAACATGAGGGAGGAGAAAGCTGTTGCAGTGCGGTTGGATTTGGGTTTTATGTACACACTCATTGGTCGTAGTTAGATATGTATGAACTATTTGTTAGGGGAAAGAACATAAGATGTCCGTGACCAATTTCTTGAGCGTGCCGGATGTATTTCGTTCTTTTCGGAATACGTCTACATTGCCACACTTCTCCACAATAATCTGTTCTGCCACACATTTCAAGGTGAAGGGTGGGGCAGGCAGGCTTAGAGTCGTCTACCTAGTGATTTTCCATGTACGGCAACCTTCTTCTGGCAGGGGGACAACTATTACCGATTACTGATTACTGTCTCCGCGTAGGCGCCTCTGCGGTCATCCGGGCACTACTTGTCAACGATGCTTACATTACTAGTAATGATTTTGTCTAACCGCATCCTTTCATCCTGCGCATGCGGCTTGAGCTGCTACCAACATGTAGGAAGAATACAGAGCCATTTCACTACTCGTTGTGTGGTTATGTTTCACCGTGGGTTTTGCATGGGTTTTTTTAATCATAATGGCATTCGACCATAGTTACTAGGTAGATCATGGCTGTATCGCACAGTGTCCAGTTCCACCCTACTCAGGTCCTGCTTGCATTGCATGGCCGTGAAGTAACTGCTGGCACAGCAGGGTGGTGACCGACAGCGGTGAGTGACAGTGGACCGGTGGAAGACGGCGACAATGAGTGGGTTTGTACATATTCTCGCCGGAAGCAATGTTTTCGTACATACCTAAGTGCATACCGGCGCATGAAAATTACTTGGTCAACTACTACGGTACCTACTTCAAGCCCGTCCCCTCTTTCACCAGAAAATATATGGCAGAACTGGATTACAGCACTGAAAGTAGGACTGTAGGTATATATCTACATACATGCCTACAGTCCGGTGGTGGTGGTGCCTACGCGTCATGCCGAATTCCCAGTGCGCAAAAGCTTGTCCGAGTGATTAGTACCTGGTAAGAGTGATGCCTAGTGGACCCTGTCTTGACTCCCGACGTCCAAATAGAGAAAACCTTCCATATACAAGGTACATAATGTACCATGAAATACAAGGGGTAATGGTTAAGCTTCTACTCTAGATACCATCAATACCATGACAGAGTATGATAGAAGTTTTCACCCAGACCTGTTCTTATGGCGGCGACCGGCGGTCATGGTTGTGCGAAATACAGGGCCAACTCTTCCAGATACTGCAAGAGCGGGCATACCTATTGCACAATATTACATACACAGTAACACGGAGCGGAAAAATTCATGACACTGCGGAACAACTGTGGTATGCTAGATGAATAATCCACAAACAAAACTAGAAAGAGCAGCTGTCTCAACTCTCAAGCCAGCCTCGGGAAAGTAGAGTAATCGTAGGTAAGGTCACACCTCCGACGCGCACGAATCCACTACATAGACCATGGCAACAAATATCCACTCACTAGTAGTAGGTAGGTGTGACGGTTCCAGGCCTATGTAAATGGAGTTATGTTGCGGCCCAGTCAGTGTGCTTATGTACGCAGCTGGTTAGGTCAGGTTAGAAAAGACGATTAGTTATATAACAGCACTCGGGTGCAAATTTAACCAGGTGATTTGCCGGACTCCCGACTCTTCTCTTCGGCGAATGATAGCCAGGTTCTGTTTGAATGCTCGGGGAAGGTGGTGATGAGACTGCCGGTGAGGCTCGATTGGGAGAACTGAGACATCCGATAGTCTTCGCACAGATTGCAGGCGCAAGCGTGAAGGTCTTTGTCCACCTAAATACATATTCTTCGCCTTTGCCAGTGGAATAAGCGTAAGTAGTCGACATTTAATCTCATAGGTACTATCGGCAGGACCTCATGGGTATTGCTTTGTTTACTCCGCGAACCTCCATGTAAGGAAAAAAACACTCCATCGTTGCCCTTGTGTTCCTCTCTTCCCCCCGAGACTGCACAGAACCCTCATTTTCCGAATCCAATGGCGGGATCTTAGAACTTAGACCCTACCGCTTATATCCATAGATCGTCAATTGTGTGTATGTTGATGCTGGAGGTATTCGATCCGGCGATACCTACTTGAAGATAAGCACGGGATGAAAGCTACTTAGGTAGGTACTGCTTGCCGTGGTGGGTTAATGTTGCTCGCGTGTTGGCGGATGGAGGGGAAATCTGGGGATTTACAGTTGCGGCTGCACTTACTCGGGCTTACACGGCCGAGAAGTGAAGATCAGCAGGTTCGTTACTTGATACTATGGCTCCAATGCGTTGGTACCGTATGTACACCTCCAGACAAAAGCTGCATCCTCCAAAAGGCGACTTCTGAAGAATTAACATGCCGCCGAGGGCTAATGTAGTCAAGTTGCGTGCTGTGCGTTATGTTATGTTTTGTATGTCATACAGGGCAAATTGTTGCTATTGTCGCCGTGATGATGGAGCTTGAGGGTACCGGCATGTACGTAACGCCGGATCAATCACTACGATGATATTTACTCCACAATTGTCGTGAAGTGGATAAATGTTGAATATCAGACATCCGTTCAGCCAATTGCTATGCGCCCGGGTAAGCCTGCTTCATCAACCCGCACGATATTCAGGAAATGGTCCGATACCGGGAGATTTTGAGTGAGAGCCATGGTGAGTACTGTACACCTGCTGTGCTACCACGTGATCTCACTGGTAGTTAGGGTACACTCGTAGTTAGTTCGAACCCCGACTCTTCCCGTATGCAGCCATTACTGTTTCCCCGAACGCTCCCCTCAGGCTGAAGCTGCACCCCAAGTTCCAACGAGCGCCGCGATGCCACCTCCACCGCCACCTCCACCGCCGCAGTCCAGCGCTTTCCGGCAATCCCTCGCGCCGACCTCCGCGTACGCGCGGCACCTCTCCCACGCGACCGCGCAAACCACACTGTACTCCAACCCGCCGTTGCCTCCCCCGCCGCAGCGGACGGAACGCGACATCCTTCTCTCGCACCACCGCTTCCTCTCCACGCCCGTCACCGACGCATCCTATGAGAGCGCTCTCGTGGCGGCATACGACAAGAAGCTCTACAAGGAATTCGTGCTGATGTCGCTGTCGCGATGGCGCGAGGGAATGGTCGCCATGCGCTGGCGCACCGAGGACGAGGTTAAGGCGGGGAAGGGCACGGATACGTGTGCGGAGCTGGAGTGTGGTAGGCACGCTAGGGACGAGCAGGAGGTGCTGTTTGCGTATAAGGAGGATGCAGAGCAGAAGGAGGCGCTGGTTAAGGTGAGGCTCTGTGGGGGGTGTCGGGATAAGCTGGGGAGGGCTAGGGAAAGGGAGAGGAAGAAGGGTGCGGAGAAGAAGGAGGACAGAAGTCGCAGTCGGAGTCGCAGTCGGAGCCGCAGAACAAAGGATAGTAAGCGCCACCGCAGGAGGAGTAGGTCTCGGTCACCACCTGGGGATGCGGATGAGGTGCGGGAACACCAGCGACATCGCAGACGGGGACGATCCCGGTCGCCGTCACGGGAACACGGTGATACTGAGCGGCGGTCTCGTCGGAAGAGGTCGAAGTCAGGGCATAGACACCACCCCAAACATGAGAAATAATCACTGTATTGTTCTTTGGCGATTGGATTAGGAGTTAGGTGTTGGATAGCGAGGAGCTTATTACAATTGCATTCGAAGTATTCATGTCGCCGATACAGAGGACTTATGGCAGTCGAATGCGTATGGTACTCTAGATGATCTGATAGAAAAACAGAGAGATATCGCCGAGATGAGTTGTTACACTCTTGTGGGTCAGGTCCGAAGTTCGAACAGACTGGCGGCACTCATTGTCTGGTTACGTCATTTGTCCCTTGAGTGTGGTTACGCAGCTTACGCTGGCACTGTGAGTTCCCAGCAAATCACGCGAGATCACGGATCCCACCGTCCCACCGCATCGAGAGCTATTATCCAACAGCGATGGACTGACCGCCATCGGCTTTTTAAAGATGAAGAACGGTGGATCCTAAACGTCTCTACTATAGATAAAGTATCTAGGTATAAAAATCTCGAAGAAGCAGTAAAAAGACGAGGCATAGGCAGGTTGTAAGACTGCAAAATTCTCCGGGAGTCAGTAACTCGGAGATACCTACCCATAAATGTGCCGTATAGTTATCAGGTGTCTCCCGGACCATCACAGGCGCATGAAGCTGCTGAAACGTTGCACAGTTCAATGCTGATATGAAACGATTATGCCGTAGCTCTTTATTCTTACATACTTTGTAGGATGCTCGCATTCCTCTCCAGCCCCGCCACTCGGAGCATGCCAACGTGACAGCCAATAGGTACTCAGGTAGTTCTTGGGGAACGTCTGGGCTGAGACCCATAAATTCAGTCAGCGGCGAAACTCCCCGAACAGTGTTTAAGTTCCGCGATACGCCGTTGACCTTCTATTTAGGTTCCGGAGGGAATGGCTCGAGGCTGTACTGTCCCTGCTTCTGTCCCTGCCTCTGCCTCTGTCCGTTCGGATGGGTGCAGCTATGTATGGATGTAGGTATATGTACATATAAGTCAACAGTCCTCGTCCGGATGACGGAGGGATAGATACATAGCTGCTGCGGTGAATGAATCTTTGCGAGTCTACTCATCTCCCCCGAGCGAGAAAGAAAACCAACAACCAACACTTTGCAGCTCGTAACGAAGGGGCAGGAAGAGTCTTCAGTCCGTTATACTTATCACGATGTCTACCACTACCGATAAAGAAATCGAAGCCCCAGTCGCAGCTTCCCTCCGGGACCTCGCCACCTCCTGCACGCCCACATCCTCGTCCACCGTCATCCCCAACCGCCGTCTCCTGTTCCGAATCGACCTGCACATCCTCCCGATCTTGTCGTTCGTCTACCTGTTCTCATTTCTGGACCGGGTCAACATCGGCAATGCCGCGGTGTTCGGGATCAAGGAGGAGCTGCGGTTGAAGGGCACGCAGTATAACACTGCGCTCATGATCTTTTTCATCCCGTACATTCTGTTTGAGGTAACTACAGTCCACAGCCTTCTCATTAGATACCAAGTATGTGATTAGGTAACTGACCAGTCGTGCAGATTCCGTCAAACATCTTGGTGGAAGCCACTCGCTCTGCTCCCCCGCCTCAGGAGTCGGGAGTGTCGTCGGAGAGTCACTGACCGCCGCAACAGCTCCAGAAATCCATGCCGCACCGCTACTTGAGCTTCTGTGTCCTCGGTTTCGGCGTTACTACGTTGCTGCAAGGCTTCGTGACCAACTATGCGGGACTGCTGGCCACCCGCTTCTTCTTGGTATGTACATATCTCCTCTTGAGTCTTCTCCTTCAAGTTTGTGATAGCCTGCGGCTGAGGCTGATGCGAATACCGAATCGAATCAGGGACTCTTCGAGACTGGACTATTCCCGTAAGCGTTTATCCGTCCGTCCATTCGTCCGTGTTTGTCCCTCCGGATTTCACTGACCGTAGATATCTACATATCCGCTTGCTCGCAGAGGCTGTTTCTATCTCTGTACATGCTCCCCCCGCCCCCCTTTCATCCGGCGCTGACGGCTCTCAAGTATCCATGTGGTACAAGCGCACGGAATCGCAAAAGCGCTTCACGTTCTTCTTCATCAGCACGACGCTGGCGATGGCGTTTGGCGGGCTGCTGGCCGGTGCGATCGGGAAGATGGACGGGTATGGCGGGAAGCGCGCGTGGCGCTGGATCTTTATCCTTGTGGGTTCCCCAATAACATTGTATGTATGGCTGGCTGACGAGAAACAGGAAGGCGCAATGACCTGCGCCGTGGCCGCGCTGGGATACTTCACGATCCCCGATTTCCCCGAAGACGTCACGTGGCTCCGCCCCGAGGAGAAGGAGTGGGTCCGCGCCAGGCTGCACGAGGATGTCGGGAAGGCGAGTCGCAAGAACCCGATACGACTGAAGGATCTGAAGATGCTGTATCAGGACTACAAGGTGTGCCGCCGTCCACCGTAGGAGGGAAAAAGGTGTGAGGAAGTATGTAGTGGCTGACATACAGCATAAAAGTTCATCCTCGGCGCCCTGTTGTACCTGGGCTTTGCCGTGTCGGCCTACGGCTACGGTTTGGCTCCGCCTCCTGTGTCCCTATGTACCGGTACTCTAATGGGAGGATCGGTAACTGACCAGTGACAACGATACACAGCGTACTTCGCGCCCACGCTCCTCGTTGGCTGGAACTACAGCCCGATCGAGTCGCAGCTGCGAACGGTTCCCATCGCAATGTCATCGTTCGTGCTGGCGATGGTGGTAGCATGGGCTAGCGACTACACGAAGCACCGCTACACTTTCATTCTGGGCGGCTGTTTGCTCACGCTGGCCGGGTTCGCCATGTTGATGACTACCCACGGTAATCAGAACCTGCAGTATGCGGCACTGTTCATCGCGTTTCAAGGTGTCACCTGTTCCCTCCCTCCCCGCCCGTGTAGTTAGTACATACATAGACTGACTCGGCGTGTCCCCCAGGCGCCGGCGCCGCAATGCCAATAGCGATATGCTACTTCCAGACCAACCTCGCGGGCCACACCCGACGGGCGATCGGCAGCGCCTTCCAAGTAACTTCCCCCCTCCAGTCCCCTCCTCCCCCCGCTCCCCCCCCGCGCCCGCACTAACGACCGAATCCATCCTACAGATATCACTCGGCAACCTCGGCGGCGTAATCGCAGCGTTCCTATTCGTGCCCGCAGATGCGCCGGAGTACACGACAGGCTACTCGGTGGCGATCGGCTTCGTGGTGCTCACGATCGTGGCGGCGACCGCGTACATGCTCGGCATCCGCCGCGAAAACGCGCTGCGGGAGATGGGCGCCGCTGGGGTCGATCCCGACGACGACGATGCGGACGTGGGTGATACCGCAAGGACGTTTAGATATGTTTTGTAATACCAGGCAGGTAGGATGGGGAACCGCTTCCTGATGAGGGGGATGAGGGGGATGAGGGAGACGGACGTTTGTTTGTTTGTCATGTCCGCTCGGTTGCTTTTTTTTCTTCAGTTGTTCAGTGGGGGGCCCGTAGGAGGGGAGGAGAGGGGGAGGGGATAAGCCGCATGCCTGCGTGCGTCCGGCAGCCGGCCGGACGTTGGCAGCGGCAGTTGTTACATCCATAGGCAGTTATCCAGACGTCTCGAGTGACAGTCAATGAAATAGTCTGCACCCGATCCCCGCATGTGCACAGTGCATCTTTGTGGATTGTGGGGTGGTTCGTGCATTTCTCCACTGCCCAGTGCATTTGCCCAATCGCCCACGCACGCATCTCTAGCTCTACTTACATACAGGAAGACATAGCTTTATGTAGCATAGGTAGCTCTCGCTGGCTCGCTGGCTCGTTGGCTCGCCTCTTTCTTCGAGCTGAGATATGTACGGTATGTATGTAGAGCAGCATACATACAGAGATATTACCGGTGGGGGAAGGATTCCGCATGGAGGATACCGGTTCGCCGCGCGCTGTCATGATTGGCCGGCTCAGCAGCGCCGGATCAACCGTTTTTTCAGAATCTTCAGAATCTCAGATCCAACCCGGGATTCCTGATGTGAGTGGTAGCGTAGTGGTATATAGTCGGTCGCAGGTAACCTTGGTAAGTGGGGGCCAAGCGAAAGGGATTCCTACTCCGTCCGTTGTTGCACCGTGGGTAGAGTAGGTAGGGTAGAAGCAAGCAGGCAGACCATCTCGATGGCCGGTATTACCTGCGTGTCGGCACTCCCTTCCACAGCTCTCCCACAGCTCTCCCACAGCTCTCCCACAGCTCCCATCCATGGCGCAGGCGCAGGCGGTTACATAGAGTACGGTAGGGGAGTTTTTCTACTGTGTGTATATCCCCACTCTATCTAAAAACGAGCCCTCAGCCAGAGTGGAAATCCCGATCGACGTGGACGTCCGCGGTGTGCAAACCCCCTCTCACTCAAGAAAGTTCGTCCCTATTCTTTCCTTTTTCCTTTCTCTTTCTTTTTCGTTTTTCTTTGCTTCTTTGCTTCTTTCCTTTCCTTTTCCTCTTTCCTTTTCGCTTTCCCGGGGAGCACCCTCGAGCACTCTCGAGCACTCTAGAGTACCTGCTCTGTCACGGTAAAAAAGTAAAGAGTACTTTATCCTCATGTGCTCTACCCACTCTACATACAGACATTATATACAGCTGTACCGGGTGAAACATCGTCATCCATCTAGGTATGTGTGTATGTAGAGCACATAGGTACTATACACACACGACGCGAACACATGGCCCGTGTTTGACGTGTTTGACGTGGACCCAGCACGGCGTTCATCAGCCATCAGCAAGCGGGATTAAACAACCGACCGGCAGCCAGACCACCAGACAACCCGACAGACAGCGGGAGTGAGTGAGAATGAGAGGTTTGCGCTTGAAGCACTATGGCTATTGGAGCCTTCTGGTTAGACGCACGAGAAGAACAAGTTCAGACTTCGTGGAGAAGAGAGGACCGAGCCATGTGGGTGAGGGGTAGGTACATAGCTTGGACTCTGGAGAGCCTAGGTACCTAGAGTGGGGACTCTAGCGGGGAGCGGAGGCGGCCAGGCGGTGGGGTTGCTAGTACGGTACATCCCCGGCCTCCCTTCCCCTCCAAGCCCAAAGCCAAAAGCAAACCATCCCCCCCACCCCTCCTCCCTCCATCCTCCTCCTCCACTTCCCCATGATGATCTCGATGCTTCTCTTACGATATCACCCGCAGTCTTTGTCGTCGTTGCAAAGTTTCCAGATTCCATGCCGGTGTGTGGATGGTGAGCGATAAAACATGTGCGAGCGAGTGTGCCCGAGAAAGAAAAAAGAGATGTCGCGTTGATTTTGACGATTCACGGACTGCGATTCGTGCGTTATCGTGCATGCGACCGACCGACCAGGAAGAAGGAACTGAACTTTTTTTTCCATGCGCGCCCGTAGGTGGTTTAGTTAGCTTAGCTCCGAATTGGACAACACACACACCGCAGCAACAGCCTGCGGCCTGCGGAATTTCGCGACCGTCATACATAAGACAAGCACATAAAGTACCCACCCACAGAAGCAAGCAACGGTTACCAGGCCAAACAGTACGAGTCAGCCAGGAACACGCATTCAATTTCAATTTCAATCTGTGCTTGCTTACTTGCTTTCCTGTTCTGCGTGTCGTGTGAGTGTGCGTCGTGCGTGCGTGCGTCGTGCGTGTGTATGTGGAGTATATAGAGTAAGAAGGGAGTCGATAGAGTCGATAGAGTGTTGTGTGTATAAAGCCCGATTTCCTCGCCACCACCGCCCACCGCCGCCGGAGACGAAAGAAGTTGGAACCAGCACTATCTATGCGAAGCGCAAAGTTCGGATAACACACCCCCTCCTCCTCCCCTGTCTCATTCCCTGTCTCGTCCTTATCCTCGCTCGCTCGCCCGCCCGCCCATCGATAGTTAGTTATCCGCCCATCCGCCCCACTCGTCCATCGATCCTTCATAACCAACGTCTTCGCCACCACCCCCAGCATCCTCCCAGATGCCATACAATCCGAGCAAGTTCCTGTCCACGGCCATGTACACCATCTCCGCAGGCCCCTCCCGAAAGGAGTTTCCGATCCACAGCGGACTGCTGTGCGCAAACTCCGATGCCCTCCGCCGCCTGATCGATGCGAAGAAGGACGACCACACCATCGACTGGACGCGCTGGGACGAGGCCACCGTCGACCGATATGTGCAGTGGCAGTATACCCGCGAGTACTCTGTGCCCGAGCCCAAGCCCGCCTCGATGCGGCAGTTGAGGTCAGATACCCGCCGGCCGCGGGGTTCGTCGATGCCCGCGAGCCCGCCCGCTACCCCCAGCCCGCCGTCTAGTGTCCTCTCTGGTGAGGGCGATAACACGCCGAACCCTACTCCAACGATCCAGATGAATGATTCGGATTCGATGGATTACGGCGAGGCGTTTATGGCCCATGCCCGTCTGTATGCGCTTGCCCAGGCCACGGCTACTTCCCAGTTGGTGGTCGTGTGTATCCACCAGTTGGCATCATTGCTCGACCAGATCCGATGGCTTGAGCGGTGTTCCGTCGCGGCCGACAACTTTGTCGACCTCGCACGATTCGTGTACAGGCACACGAGCGGGCATGCCACCCGCGAGGTATGTTCTGACGTCCATCTCCCGAGTGAGTGACTCCGTGCTGACGTGAGGTTCAGGAGAGTCTACGTCGTGTGATCAGCTCTTTCGCCGCCTTCAACTTCGAGCGCCTGGACTGTCCCAGTATGATCGCGCTGATGGCCGAGGGCGGCGATTTCGTCATCGATGTTTCCCGCAAGGTGATGAAGACGATGCGGAAGCCGGCCTTGGCCACCGCACCGCAGAAGGAGGACGCTCCCATCGCCTTGAAGGCAAAGGCAAGACCGGTCATGGCCGCACCCCCGCCACGTGCTGCGACGCCCTGCACGCCCTCCGCATCCTCCACATACTCCACATCTTCGGCATCGTCCACATCATCCGTGCCCTCGACGCCGCAATCGAAGATGAGGCGAGCGCCGTCGGTCATGGGCATGGCGTCTATGCCGCCACCACCATCAAGCGCTCGGAGGACTGGAACCGGGTTGTCCGCAAAGGTATGTGCCGCTGTTCCCCACATGTGGTCGATCAGGAACTGATTCCAGCTTAGTCTGCACTCGATGCCATCAAGGCCAGTCCCGGCCTCGACCGCAAATCCAGCATCGCGCGACTCTCGAGCCCCGCCGTCGAGGCAATGCGAAGATCTGGACTGGAGCGGAAGGCCAGCACTCCACGTCTCGCGGCATCGACTTCGGCATTGAACCGCCAGAGCAGTCACGCCCGTCTGTCGTTTGGAAAATAGAGTTAGAAGAACGAAGTGAAAAAAAAGAGCATTAGTTAGCAAGGTTGCATACATATGGGGTTATTATTTGGGTCTCCTTTTTTCTGTTTTTGTCTCTGTTTTGGTTTCGGTGTTGGTTTTTTTTGTTCTTTTCCTTCTCTTCTCTTCTCTTGTGTTGGATTTCTTTGGGTTGCATGTTTCCGGTGTCTGGGTGTATCATGTTTTGCTATCATAGTGGGCAATACAACGTACCTCTCCTCTCTTCATAAGATTGAATCCATATCAGGACCCTGTGAAAAGCAGGCTCGTTTAGACGGTTTCGTGCAGCACGGGAGAGACGTCCATCGAGCGCAATCCGCAGCCTCCAGGCGGGCGGGTGGACAACACGGAACGCGGAACGCGGAACTCGGAATAGCCCCCGCACGACCAACCCCGCACGGCCTCCGCAATTCGGCGCAGGGCGATCAACACCGAGTGCAAACATATGATTCGAGATCCGAGACCACGGAGCCGAGTGAGCCGAATGGCGAATAGCTTCGCCACTACCGAGCACATGCTAACTACTAAGATGGTGGGTATCCGACGGATGCAGTTTCCACAAATGGATTCGGCTAGTTGGCTAGTTGACACGGAGAGTTGGAGCTTGAAGTTTGGACCGGCGCTCGTGTGGTTGTTGGCATGAAGGACGAGCAGGCTTCGGCTGGAAAGAGGTGGGATGGGAGGTCGCCCCATGGAGGTAGGTAGAGTAGGTACTCTGGTCTCTGTTCTCGGGATTTCGCACATGTCTGGAAGCTGGGTCTCGCTGCTGGAATCGTTGGAACTTGGTGTTATGTGCGAACAACGCAACCCAAGAAAGCAGAGAGCGCGCGTGAAACAGAGCTCGCGCGAAACAGAGCTCGCGCGAAACAGAGCTCGCGCGAAACAGAGCTCGCGCGAAACAGAGCTCGCGCGAATCGGCGCTGGAATTTATGCCATCGTAGGTACCTATTCTGGCGCATCGAACACAGGTGGCTGCAAAGGCCAATATTTCCTCGAGGACCGCCTCCGACGGGTCGCGGTCGGGGTCGGACTCGGTGGTCGGTGGTCGGTGGTCGACTGTCGACGGCGAAGACCTACGCCTCCGCTAACGGGTATGTAGTGGGCGCCACTGCTCGGAGTTAGCAGCTGCCGTTTCCAAGTAAACCCAGGATAAATACCTTTCCCCGTGTGTAGACTTGCAAAACGTCTCAAGGCGGAAAGAAACAGAGTGAGTCCAGAGCTGGTGTTTGAACTTTGAGACGATTGGATGGGATATCTCACAGTTTTGTGGTCCATGGCCCGTTTCCGTTGAGTCAAGGTATCTAGGAGGGAAAGAAGTGTTGGGAGCTGGGGGGGGGGGAGGTGGGAACACACTATTACTCTAGTGGATTGTGGGGAAGAGCTCCGGGTGTTACATGTTACACGAATGCGGGGGCCCGAGGGGTTCGGGGAGAGGAGACACTCTCCACACCCCAGACTCCAGACTCCAGAGTGCCGGAGTCCAGAGTGCCAGAGTCCAGAGTGGCTCCAAATTACATCACGCACGCAGTGTCGCAGCAACTATGGTGTTGGTGGTGCAGTGCACACCGCTCAATATCATTCATCATCGCGTTGTCGTATCACAAAATTACAAAGCCTCCCCCGTTCTCTACCCCCTACCCCACCCCACCCCACCCCCACCCCCACCCGCACCCCTCACCCCTCCCATCCTCGAAGTTTCCTAAGCCCCCCCCTCGCGCTTTGCATACTCCTCCTCAATCCTCTCTTCATAGAGCTTATCGGCGGCGGCACGCTCGTCTACCGTCTGCTCGCGGCGCTCAATGCTCATCCTACGGGCGTGGGTACGCGCAAGCTCGTCCTGTGCTGCGCGGAAGTGCGGAGACGCCGCGCTGCTGGACTGTGCTGACGGCTGCTGCTGCTGAGGAGGACTGTGCTCTTCTGGAGAGTTGGCGGTTTCGGAGGTCGACGGCTTTTCGGAGGTGAAGAGGGGGATCGGCATTGTGGTTGTAGGTGTGGTTTTTGAAGGGGGGGTGTTGCAGTTTGGGTTTTAGGTTTGAGTTTGAATGGAGGCTAGATGGATGCGGTGTGGGGAGTGTGGGGAACGAGGAGGTGAATACTGAAGGAAGGCGGATGCAACTACATATTTACATATGTTTGCGCTGCGCGGCGAGAGCCTACGGGCAGGGTTGCGCTGCTACGTCATGGGGTTCGTGGGGTTCGTGGGGTTCGTGGCGGTGCACAGTGGCGCGGATTGCTTTTGCCTGCGACATGATTGGCGACAGCGAGCCGGAAGTGCCTCGAATGGTCGGTGCGCGCAGGTATGCGGCACGACTCACGATCTGTTGGGATGTTTCGAGAGTCGAGACTTGACATGTGCGAGTGGGAGTTGGTTAGCCACAGTAGAGATGATGCTCCCCAGATGCAAATGGCGCATGCCCTACACAGCCACAATTTAGAATCCAGCGGGCGATCTACATACCAGGTACCTGGTATGTACTCTACATAGTACGGTAGTTACATACAGAAGCCGGTCCTCTGTGGAATCTAGATCTCTCGATGACTCGATGACTCGGTGCCAAGGGTGAAGTTCTCAACGGTACTCTAGCCACTGCCCAACACCGCCACACCGCCACACCAGGATATCTAGTGTTCGACACACGGGGGTATGACTGCACTCCAGTCTCCAGTCTCCAACCGTCCAACCGCCCAACATCCTCCAGAGTCCAGAATTCAAATGCCTGCCACGCGATGTGTACTATCTTTATACGTGGCTAACGCACCTGCCAGGCTGCCAGCGGCCAAACCCTACGTATGTCACTACTTGGTAAGTACCATCATTCGCGGACCCAAATTCCCAATACCACGGCAATCCCCCTCCCCACAGCTGCCACTGGGGCCCAGGAACCCGGTCGATACATTCCGCTGTTCGTCCCGGTCCCAGAATTGCTAGCTTGAGCAGAGATCTGCATGTTCCAGTCTTTACATGAGATGGAGTACTTGCCGTAGTATGTTGAAGGGGTTATGTATGGTGCCGATGCCTACAAGGGCTCTGGAACGGCGCAATCAACCGCACCGCCACGGAAAATACAACCATGGTCGTCGTTCTCCCTTCAACCTGTGAGATCTGCTCAAGTACGATGCCATAAGGATATATGTAAGTCGTTGTTCGTGTGCCCCCAAGTCATCGCAGAACTCTTCAAGATACAACAGAGAGCGAAACTCAACCAGCCACACTATGTACACATCTCGGAAAGAGAGCCGTAAGCTAAAACGTGCTCCTAGGAGGTAACTATCCGCGACCTGTCCAAGTATGTACAGACATCTTTCGCCGACCAATGCATTCAGATGAGCGGCAGCCGCCTGGCACTCCGCACGCAACGCACCTGTACATAAGCGTTGGATGACACTACGGTATCTATCATCGGCGAGCTGGCGTGTCTGCCGGTTCTGTCCGATTTGATTGGTAGGCTGGTAGCGGAGAATTTACATATGTACGGCCGCTACCTTTTCCTGGTGGAAAACTACCGTGACGTGACAGGTAAGATACTAAGATGGAGACAAAGATCCGAAAACGTACTGTCTTTATTGCGGGCCGCGGTTGGTTTGATGGGTGATTGTCCGCGCCGTGCAACAGTGCTTTCGGGAGCCATGGAGCGCCTCAACCGTTGCGTTTCAACTGGGTAAAATACGGTAACTGGCTACAACTTCCGGAACTAGCTGACTGTAAAATATAATCAAGTATGTAAAAGAAAAGGCAACCCTCTCAGCGTGGTAACTACGGGATGGGCGACTGCCATGGTCGTCTTCTTCATGAGGGTAGAACTTATAGAAGGACTGGCTGCTCCACGGACAAGCACTGCGGACTAATCGGGCTGTTTCTGTGGGTATCGGGCACCGGTATCATGCACATAAGCTACATTTTATCTTTTACTTCCTATTCGAACGACCATCCGACCGTTGTGCGCGAAAAAAAAAGCAAAAAACAGCGGGGGTACCTAGCGGTTTTACGGTATCCAGATGCTCATCTATATGATACTCTAGTTTCTCTGCTACATATGTGAAGATTTATCGCCATCATTGGTCACAGCCTTCGGCACCGCCACTTGGTGTGGCTTCGTTCACCCGGCAGATCGGGTCGACGAGGGTGCGCGCCCTGCGGGAGATGAGCTCAGCGTACATACATCTTACGGTCCCCTTCCCGAAGAACGGGGGTGGAGGGGGTGGGTTTTTTTTGACAACGTATCGTGCATACATCCATCCTGCAAGGACGTCGAATCAGAGAAGTCCACGAAAACGGAGGGAGGAAGGAGGTGTAACTTTCCTGTACGTACTTTGCCGTCGACGCCGCCGTGCGTGTGGAATTCGCGCAGTGCACATCGCGTTCCCGGCTCTGCCATCGTCAATTCTGCCCCCCTCTCTTCAGACTTTTCACCACACCCACCACTTGCTCACAGCTCAATTGATCGCTGACGATGATGGCGTTGCTAGAGAGCTTCCGGTTTCGAGCACTATTGCTTGCTTGATGGCTTGCGGTGAGTTACGGGACTTGTATGGCAGCTAACTTAACTAGAGTTACCGACGCGGGCTAAACTAGCACGTACATCGTCGCCCAAGTCACGCCCCGCAGTTCCGCACGCCGGCATTCCCACGCCCAGCTACATACCTAGTAAGCGGCCTACATACACAGCATCACGTCCGCGCCCGCCCGCGGTGCCACCAACCTTCTTCCTCATCGCCTCGCCTCGTCTCGTCTTGCACATCCCATCTCCTCCCCCCTCAGGCTGCCAGCGCATCACATCACACCTTCTCAGCTGCGCGTCCCCGCTTGAAGCCTGCTTGCTCAATCGCCCATCGCGGAGCGATAGTCCGCTACTTACGCACCTCCTCAACGCGTTTTGCAAGATTGACTCCTCTCCTGCCCCCCGCCGGTGCATTCGAGATACACTCTCTTGCTGTCGTGTCGTCTTTTGTTTGGTCCGGACGACTGTGGCCTCGACAAGGGGATAGCTAGGAGAGGGTGTGAGGGGAGGGAGGGGAGGTGTGCAAAGGAAACAATTCCATCCAGGAGGAGGTGGGAAGAGAGGAGGGGCATTGAGTGTGAAGTGTGCGGGGGAAGAGGAAGGGAGGAAGGGAGGGGAAGGGGGATACGAGGAGGATCGCTCTTTTGCTATATCAAGGACGGAATCCTGCTCTGAAGACAGCAGCAAGCTCGACATCCACTTCTTTATCGAACAGACAGAACCCCTTATACTCTTATACTCTTACTACACTCCCACTTCCACATCACTTAACATCTTTTATACACACCCCACTTTAAGCTCCAATGGCCACTGCAAGACTCATCAAAGACGACCAGCTCCTTCGCAAGGACCGCTACAAGCGTGCTGGTCCGTCCGTCCCCGCAGAATTAGTTCCTTCGTCCCGCTAACCCCCCGCGTAGATGAAGCCCGTGGCGCCCTCACGCGTGAGCTGCACACACTCGGCTCGACGGTTGATCTCGAGCTGCGGGAGCGCATGACTACCATCCACTCTAACGCCGCCGCGTTGGATAACCAATCCAAGAGTCTGCGGAATAAGACTACGCAGCTGGCGAAGACGACCAAGCAGTGGAGCGGAATGGCGGATGGCGCCAGGGGGAAGCTGAAGGTATGTTCCCAATGTTGATTTCTAGCCATGGGAACGCAGGCTGATGATCATGGTAGGAGATCGGTGATATCCAGAATTGGGCAGAGATGATAGAGCACGATCTCCTGCTCATCGAGGAGACGCTCAGGATCGTGCACGAGGAGGACTACGACGAGAGCAGTGGGAGCGGCACCGCTACCTTCTGATCGTTTCCTTCTCAATCACAAAAGTGCTACGTACGATGTTCACGAGTTCACGACCTGGGTGGGATATGTCCTTTTGCACTACGTTTCTTTCTTTTCTGTTTCTTGTACATTCTTGTGTGTAGTGGGGATATGGTCTTTGATACTGGGAATTTATAATCTTTCACATCCACCGCGACCACCAGATGACGTCGGAAATTTCCTTCTTTGGCAAATTCGGCGATTGGCTCGCTTGTTTAGGCTGCGGTAGGTGTTCCGTGTAGATGAGCTGCTGCTTCTTCTATCCATCCCCAGAAGAAGGAGGTGGGTGGGTGGATGTGGATGGGTGTCTTGTGTGGGTGGGGCGATGGAGCACGAGGCGAGGTCTGCTGGCCGTAGGGCTGAGTGGCTGAACCGGTGTACGCCACAGCGACGTGAGGCGTCGCCGTATGGCTGCGAGGACTGGGTGATGGGCTTCGATGTTTGCTTGCAGCTGTGGCTTGCCTTCGTTCCCGTCCGCTCCACGTTTCCTCATGTGCCCACCCCCGGGTAGGTAGATGATGAACTGGATATCCGATACGTAGTACCGCTCTCCTTTCCCATACACGATCCGACTATACTTTCCAGATATAGGCTGTTCTTTTTTTTGTGGGACATCACTCACTCGTCCAGTTTGGTTTGCTGCGTGGGCGGTAGCTACTTCGAACCACTCTTGATGAAGCACGCTGCTTCCTCCCCCTTCCAACAACGACCACCCACCCTCCCACCCACTGCAATAACACCGACTGCAGCTTCCCGTCCCCGCAGAACCAGCGACACACACACAATCTTCACTTTCATCCCAGCATCCCTCGCTCTCTCTATCTCTATCTCTCGCTTTCACTCACTCTCTCTCCTCCGCAAGCAAGCAAACATGGACGAAGTCAACTTCGAAGACCTCAACGTCGTGGATGTTTTCGAGCTCCCGGGGATCACCATCAGCGAGCGTCTAACTGCGTGTTTTCTCGCCACGGCGGAGATGTCGGAGGCCCTAGAGAACAGCGAATCCATGACGACGAAGGTCAAGAAGAAGCTTAGCAAGGGGATGGCGATCGTCGAAGAGCAGGTTTGTCCCCCTCTCTTTCTCTGTCTCGCCCGCGTCCGTGTGAATGGTGAATGGTGTATGGGAGAGTGAGCAGCTGATCTGATGTGGGAGAGTGGTAGACGGCAGAGATGACGATGAGTATCGACGTGCTCACTATGCTGGCCGATTCGTACATCGATGAGTACCAGAGCTTCTGTGAGAAGGTGCAGGATCCGCCGACGGACGAGTTGGCTCGCGTGATTGTGTACAGTGACGAGGAGCTGGGGTATGAAATGCTTCTGCTTATTTTGCTGCTGTTTCCTCCGGAGTTTGCTGATACAGAGCATAGTGCTCTCATCCGCCACTTGGTCCCCGCCTTCCGCACACCGTCATCGCTCCTGAAGACGCTACAATCGTGGACGGTACAGTTCTCCGCCGCCCAGCAAACGCACCCGCACCTGTACACGACCTACCACAACCTGCTCACCAGCCTCACCACGCTCTCCGAAGAATACGTACACTTCACCAAGTCCATATCCCTCGCGATCTCGCACCTCCACCCGCTCTGCGCCACCTTCATAAGCCGCGTGCGTCGCACCCCTACCATCCACAAAGCTCTCCGCATCGGCTGCGCACTCTGGCGGTCGCTCGCCACGTCCTTCACGAAAGCAAAGATGAACCTGTATGCGGCACACATGCAAGCACTGCTGCAGCTCAACGCCGACGGCCTGACGCGGATCGAAATCGGGGCCATATACGTCATGCTCGTGCCGATTACGTTGGTCATGAGGATGATGTGTTTGGAGGGCGACGCTTTCAGGGATATCTTGGTTGTCATGGGCTGTGTGCGCTATGTTGGCAGGAGAGCGGAAAGGATCAGGAAGCTGAGGGAATGGTGTCATGAAAGGGTCTTCGATGATGGGTTTGTCGAGGTCGAGGTGAGGCAGAAGGTGAAAGTGAAGGTGGAGACGGAGACGGAGACGGAGATGTCGGATGAACTGCCGGTTCCCTCCTCCACCACCACGCCAGAGACGAAGGCGCCTGCTGAAGCTACCATCACCACCACCGCCACCGAGGAGTCTTCCAAAAAGAAGAAGAAGAAGAAGAAGAAGAGCAAGCGCGGGTTTGTGGAGGTGGAAGTGAAGGAGCAAGTGGAGGTGGAGACGGAGACGGAGATGTCCGATGAACTGCCGATTCCCTCCACCACCACGCTGGAGACGAAGGCCCCTGCCGAAGATACCATCCCCGCTACCGAGGAGTCGTCGAAAAAAAAGAAGAAGAAGAAGAAGAACAAGCGCGGGTTCGTGGAAGTGAAGGAGAAAGTGGAGGTGGAAGTGAAGGAGGAGGTGGAGGTGAAGACGGAGGTAGACAAGTCCGATGAACTCCCGATTCCCTCCACCACCACGCCAGAGACGAAGGCGCCTGCCGAAGCTACCATCACCGCCACCGAGGGGTCGTCCAAAAAGAAGAAGAATAAGCGCAAATCGAAGAAGCAGGCGTCACCACCACCACCTGATGACGGTGAAGCGGCGACTGTCGACGACAAGAACGAGGACGAAGACGAGGACGAAGCAGTGAACGTTGAGGGAACTCAACCCCTCGAGCACGGGAATGAACGTGTGGACGACAAGGACGAGGACAAGGACGAAGTCGTGAACATTGAGGGGACTCAAACCCCCAAGCACGGGAATGGATGTGTGGACGGAGACTTGAATGTATAGCATAGAGCTGCCGTCTCCTCTCCATATGTTGGGAATACATGTGTACGTACCAGTGGGGGGTTTAATATCTGAACTACTAGAATTGAAGCGAAAGCGCTGTTAACAAAACCTCCCGTACACCCTCTCCCCACACTACGCCTTCTTCTCCTCCTCCTTCCCCCGTCCCTCAGCAGCCTCGATCCGCGCCTTTGCGTTATGTAGCTTGACCTCCTCCTCCTTCCGTTTCTCGGTGCCAATGGCATTAACATCCTCGCCCCTGCGTGACCACCTTAGCCCACTACCCCACCCCCAGATCTCCCAGTACACCCCCGACCATCCCATACCACAGAAGGGTCAGAAGGGAAGCGGGGGACGAGGCGGCTTACGCTTCCTGCAACCGCGCCAACCGCGCCTCGATCAGCATCGGCTTAAAGATGTACACGCCGTTCATCACGCCGAAGAGTATCGCTAGGCCGACGGGGAAGGCGGCGCCGCGCATTGTGGTTGTTCGTCTTCGGTGGGTTTAGAGGGTGTGTGAGGGTGCGGTAGCAGTTAGTAATTGCGGGAGGCGAGGGTGGATCGTGGTGGCCGGGGGAGGGGCGAGGGTGGTGGTCGTGGTCGTGGTTGTGGTGGAGGAGAGATGCGGACGCGAGACTTGGCGGCGGTATGTAGGCGGTGGTGGGGTTACATACTGCGGTGGGTGCGGCGCCGGAAGAATTTTTTTCCGCGGTTGGTGCACTTGTGCATGTGCATGTGCTTGTGATCCGACTTTCCTTCGTGTAGGTACTCTACACACTATTTTTCCGGGGAGGGTACGTAAGAAATGCTGCATGCAAGTCGTATGTACATGATGCTTTGCTTCGGCGTTTCTCTGATTTGGGTATTCTCTGAGGGGCGATTGTGCAACTGAACCGGATGAACCAGATGAAGCTTCGCTCTCCTCTGGCAAGTGATGAAGCCGGAATCACAGTAGGTACTTGGTAGGTACACGGGCACCAGTCATCGTCACTCCACATCTAGAGTAGTGGAAAATTATCCTACATCTCACCATTCCCATCGTGGTTGTAACATCTAGCGAAGACCCCAATATTTGCGCTGAAACCGAACCATCAAAACCCCCACGCCCAAGCAAAACGCAAAGCTCAAAACGCAAAACCTATCTACCTATAAAGCAACCTCCAGCCTCACCTTTCCAACAATACTACAGGTCACCGTCCACAGCCGGCTCACCTGCCAGCCCATTCGTGAGCCCCTGCATTCTCCTGCCCATCAGATCATCCTCACTGCCCAGGCTGACGACACTCCCCCTCCTCTTACCGCGTCCCCTAGGCAGCCTCTTATTCCTATTCCTGCCCCTGCCCTTCCCCTCGACCTTCACGCCGCCCAATCCCCCACCAATCTCCAACGGGCGATCCTCATCGGACGTGTACGTCGTAATATACCCTGCGAGGCCCGGATGCTCCTCATCGGACTCGACGTCGAGCTTCGCCTCCTCGCCGGGAACGTCCTCAAGTATACGATTCAGCCAGACGGCGCACTTCCTCAGCTCCCTTCTCGCCTGCGGGAACAGCGCGGCCATCTGCAAGAAGCCATGGGAGATGCCCTGGATCAGCGAGACCTCGACGGCGTCGCCGCGCTCGGTTTGTGCCGTCGGCTTCAGGCCGAGGTTGCGGCGGTGCTGCCGTGCAGCTTGCTTTGCGGCGCGGATGCGCCCTGCGAAGATCAGCGTGTCGTCGACGAGCGGGTCGCGCTCGCCCGTCAGGAAGTAGACTGGTGGGAAGCGCGCGAGTAGTGATTCTGGCGCGACGATGGGAGATAGGAAGAAGTCCGTTTGAAAGTCCGGGCGGTGCGGGCCGATATATAGGATCACCATTGCGCGCATCATCTCCGGCGTCAGGATACGGTCGTTGAAGTACGAGAGGCGGCTGGTCATTGCGAGGCGCGTTGAGTACTCTGCTGCTGTTGCTGCTGCTGCTGTCTGCAGCGAGGGCGGGGAGGGGTGCGGGGACGGGTGCCGCGACGTCCCGGACGCTTTCTCGTAGTACTCGCTTTTTTTGCGGACGACGTTCCGGTTCGTGTCCATGGTGCTCCGCTGCCGGATTAGCTTCAATTGCTCGTCGGACATCCACGAGGACATGTTGAGGTCCAGGCTGGGATAGATCAGGATCACGCCCTCGGGCAGCGGGAGCCCCTTCCACCCTGCCTCCATCAGGTAGCCAGTACTCGACGTTGACGCGGCGTTGAGGATCATCAGTACGGTCGCAGCTGTGAAGTTCCCGCCAGCGGAGTCACCAGTCAACGCGATCTTGGGAATTACGTCCCCGCTCAGCCCGACGCACCGTCCACGCGTGGTGATGATGGAGTGGTAGGCGTCGTAGCATTCATTGAGCGCGTACGGATACGGGTACTCGGGTGCCTTCTTGTAATCGATGGAGATCACCGGCACACCCGGACACAGCCGGGCCCATGTGAGCAGCTTGTCGTCGTGATGGCGAGGCGACATAGCTACGAACCCGCCACCGGGGAAGTCTAGGATTACTTTTTTGCAGGAACGAAGCTGTTCCCGTGTTCCTTCGTAGTAAAGCCATGCGTCCACCGGGACCGAATAGACGGACTCCTTTGGGCGGGGAATGCGCAGGGGACGAGGGGCGAACTTATTGTGTGGTGGGTGCAGCAAATTGCTGAGAAAGCGCAGATATGGCGTCATCGGTTTCTCCCAGGAGACGCGGAGGTGGTCGACTGTTATCGTTGCTCTGACTCGGCGCACCTGTCCGCCATTAGTATTACCTCTCCCATCTCTCCGCCTCCTGGCGCACAAAAACACACCTTCTCATCCGCCCTCTCGGCGGCAAACAAGTAATACACACTAAACACCATGGAGCAGGCATCCCTCAACCACTTCCGGCGAATCCTCATGGCCGTCCAAAAGCCGGCATCCAGCGCCGTCATCACCCACGTAGCTCGGAAGTAGCTCCTCGTGTACAGATTCGCCAACGGCTCCGGACTCTCCAAGTTGAGCAACTTGGCAAAATTCCGCGTGACATAGAGGTACAGCAACGTGAGTGTGACGGTTTGGAACGGTGTTAGGCGCTTGGACATGATTTTAGAGAGGTGTCGGAGCAATAGTATGGGCGGCCCGTGGGGGTTGCCGCGGAGCAGGTAGAGTGACCAGAATAGCAGGACGGCGAGGACTTGGTATTTGCGGAATTGGAGGGAGGGACGCCCCAGGACGTGGTCTGTGACTTATTAGTATGGCACCTGTGAGGCGGGAGTGGTGGCTTGCCGATCATGATGGATTATAATTCTAGTGGGGGTCGGCAGGATAGCCAAGAGAGAGAGCAGGAGAAGTCCGTTTCTGTGAGATGGACCGCGAGTGTCTATGGTTTGGAGGGTGGAAGAGAATAGGGGAAACAAGAGGTTAGAATTGGCGGTAAAGCGCTATATTACCAGCGGTAGTATCATATTTGTTCGGGCGAAATCTGACAAGTACAGTACGGCCGACGTGGGGCATTGGCCAGGTAGAGAGTACCAGGCGCGGTACATGTAGGGTAGGAAGGGATCATTCACTTCATATAGGTAGCCCAACTCCTCCAATCTCACTATCCCGCATTTACAAGGGCTTGTGATGCTCGTGATGCGTGTAGGTGGCATGTGTGGGGGGTGGAGGGCATTGTTCGTGAATGTCTGTCTGACAGCATGTGAAAGCGCCCAATACTAGTAGCTATCACATGCCCAATCCCAAGATCGGTGACGGTGACGCCAGGGCGGAGTTCCGAAGTCCTGGACCCTGCAGATGCGCCCGTGTAACGGTGCCGGTATGACGACAGATCTCGGACGGAGCTGGCTGTAAGCGGCCTGGCGCGATCAGGTGGCGGGGCGCGTTTCCGCCCCACACTCCACGCTTCGGCTGCCACTGTGCCGGCCGGCCGGATCCGCGGGGATTTGGGGCTTGCGCACGGCCTGATCACTGGTTTTCACTCGTTCGGTCCGATATTTCCTGCCGAGGACGGAACTTGCAACGAACTGGCTCGGTCAACGGTGTACGTGTTCGCCACGATCTAGGTATTCAGGTCGAATGCAATTATGAGTAAACAAAACAAGAAAAGAATTGACCCGGTCAGCAGAAGATGCTGTGAACATCACTATGGTCTAGGTGGATAGGCTACATGCGATTTCGGAAGAAACTTTAAAGAAAGGAAAGGAAGGGGGAAAAGCACGGAACTCTAGTTACTATAATTTACAGAACCGGCGACCACTACTGTCCATTTATATCACATACATAGCACTCTTGATCGAATGTCTGAGCTCGCATTTGTGCGGCTTTCTCAGTGATAAAACTGGAACCGAACCGGAGCACCCATGCTCTGTGCCTTCCACTGGAGATGTATATCCCAGCAAGAGAATGGCCAGAGCCCCTCTGAATGGATCAAGCTGGAGTAGTCCGGGGCGAGACTCGGCTCTTGGGATCCGCTTCACTAGACGGCTAGACGCCGAGTGATGGGGGAGTGTGGGCGATGTACCTGAATATGTATCTAGGCGTATCGGGAGATGCACCCGTTTGGCAGTAATGGATACATATATCTTACTGTAGCAAACGTTACTTGTTTTGAATATGAGAAAAATTGATTCGGTGACGAGTACTATCTAGACGTGCGAGGCCACGGCGACCGCGATGGTAGCCACCACTACCAGTACAGCTGCAGTCAGATCAATCGAGACAGTGAGTTCATTTTCTGCAACACATACAGATGAATTTATCACCTGCATGTCCGACTACTCGAGACGAGATCAATTGAGTCCATTATTCATCACAAGCCTCTTCAAAATGTATGAATATTAGAGTGAGGCCTAGTAGACCCACAACGTCGAAGTTTAACCTTGTTTTTGAGTTGAAAAACACAGTTGTGAGTATTTTAGATTGCTATGGTGAGTAATTCGAAATCTGCTAGGGTTCGCGGGCTCACACGCGTTCTAGCGCGCGTCGCGTCTTCCTGGTCTGTTCTGCACTTTCTCTCCGTCCTTCAACGTCCAATAGCCGAACACCGAACATCCCCCACGACGTTGTGGAATGACGACCTGGAAAGAACGCGGTTACGTTCCTGCTTCGGACGGAGAGGACTCGGAAGAAGAATTGGAGACGCAGGAAGAAGTGCGATTGCCTACGCAGCAAGAAAATCCCGTCGCGTCACCCGAACCCGGACGACCCGAAGTTCTGCGCGAATGTGGCGACATACAGAAACTCGACGGAAAACCGACCTCGGATGCTCTGCCAGCCTTACCAGTGCCGGACGATGAGATTGTGGACCCTGGTGTTGCACAGGAGAAGGATGTTGGGACGGACCGACCCATTGGGCTTGCCAAGCGCGGGGAGGAGAAGAGGGGTTATGTCCCGGATGATGAATCAATGGATATGGACGAGGTCATGTTGGTTGCCGAAAAGCCCAGTGGTGCCGCCCAGGGGATTCCTACAGAAAATCCTGCAGTTACACATACGGATAATGCGGCTACAAATCAACGGATCGATGAAGACGGCGACGGTAGAGTTGCGGGGTTACAGGTATGCGTGCAGCCTGCGTAGGCCTCCTAGGTGTGGAATTAATTGTGATAGAATTTCAATGTTGGTCAACGAACTCGAACTCGAACTCCGAACCGAACGGCTGACGACAGCAACCGGTTCAGCTCTCCGGACCCTATTACCGGTGAACCGCAACTGCGATCTCAAAGTACTCCTCCACGAGTGCCCAAGCCTTCGCATGTAGCCCGACATACTACTCCTCCCCAGATCCCTCACGCCACTCCGGTAGAACCATCGTCGGCTACATCCTCCCCTCTGTCGTCGGTTCCTCCATCACCCATCCGAACCGTTACTCCACCTTCATCTATACACCCAGCATCCCGGTTGGGTCCTCCTCCACCGATAAATGGCTTCCAGGTGGTCGTAAACAATGGGACGCTGTTACCAAGCTCTCCGATCCTCTCTACGGCGCCCGCGATAGAAGAGACGTCACCGTTTTTCCAGCGGAGTTTACGCCAGAGGAAGCCGATCCAGGTACATCCATACATACTGGAAGATGCCAGATACAAGCAGCAGATGAAAGCAAAGGGGGTACAGCCGATTCGGATACGACAGGAAGAATCGCCGCGGGGGACTACTGGGGGGGACAAGGATTCGCAAGACACGGAATATGTTGCACCTCCATCGCCAGAGGCCCGCCCTCCGAAGGAACCACGTACAAAAGGGTCTTCGGTCGATGGTGGAGTACGAAATGAGTTTGCAGATGCTGTACGCCGCCCAGAACCTCAACATATCAGGCAGGTTTCCAAGGATGGCTCTAAGAGGCGTAAAATTCAACATACGTATGGACGGAAGCCCTCTAATTTGAATTCCTCGGCCTCAGGCCCGTCAAGGACAAATCAGGGCCGCCCGTCGCTCACACGAACTTCGGAAGCTGAAATATATGATCTCCCCAATTTCCGTGATTCCCCGTCCCCACCAAGTAGACCGCCACTGCGACGGCGTACCTCAAATACTGCGCTTCCATCACCCGCTGTAATATCAGAACCGAGAATGACCAAGGACGAGATGGCCGCGTTGCTTCGCTATGATTTTTCTTCAGATTCAGACCTGGATGCAACACCGAAGCCCCCGGCAGCTGTGGGGAATCCCAGGAGCCGAGCCATTTCGATATCCTCCAATGAATCTTCTCGGCGTCGCAGAGACTCACTTGGCAGTCAGAACACTGGCGGCTCGGAGAGTGATTTAGCTGCTGAGGACTCTAGCCAGGAGAAGGGGGGCGGTGGGAAGACGGTGAAATGGTTCAAGAAACGAGGGACGCGTGGGGTCCTACCGGCCTCTTATATTAGGTTCACCGAAGGATCGAAGCCCGAATCTCGAAGGCCCGAGAAAACAGTGATTTCTCTACCGCCAGATGAACGGCGTCCTGGTATTGCAAGAGCGAAAATATCCAGTAGACCTCGGGAGCCAATACAGGATTCGTTTCTGGACGATGCCGGCGGCAGCGATTCCAGTGACGATATGGTACTGTTTGCATCTGGGCCTGTGAAGAAGCGGCAAGCCAAACAGCCGACTTCATCGGGTCATCAAAGGCAGATCGTTCTTATTGACGACGACGGCGATATTCCTGAGGATAATCGGATAGATTATGGCTTGCCCGCAAGGAGACGCGAAGCGACTGCTACCAAGTCGAGACGCAAAGCAGGCACCACCGGACATGGTCGAACCGCTACTGGCCAAGGTCCGAGACGTCAAGGTTCTACGGCCCTAAGAAAGCGGAACCCAAGAAACCCATCTGGACCTAAACTCAGTGTTGTTGACGCTGCCGCTCACCTCCGACAATCCGGGAATGGATCGACACCAAGGTTTCTCAAAGTGGCTGCGAGAAGCGCCCTCGCTCGGAAGGACAAGGGGAGACAGAGTCCAGCGAGAAAGCTCTTCGTTTTGGATACCGCGGAAGATACGAGGGAAGTCCAAGCTGTCCTGAGGAACTGGTGGGAAGGCACATTGCCTTTCGGAAGGCGCGATCCACCGCCTCGGCATGACAGTCCACCACTTCCTACTCAAGGGAGACTTGCCTCTCCTCCGAGGTTTGAAGACGAACAACAGCCGAAACCCAAACGTCGGGTTCCGACATTTTCTCGCGCAGCCAAACCCCGACAAACATCTCTTCTTCATCACGATTTCCAAAAGCAGCCGCAGTCAGGACGGGCACAACCAAACAAGCCTCGATCAGTGCGACCTCTTGCAGTTGTTTCTTCACAAAAAGGCTATGTCACTCATCGCCCGGCGTTCGCACCGCAGTTTGCTCAGTTTGAGCGGGATGTACCTTCAACACGGCAACCGTCTAGACAACACCCTACATCGCTGGCAATTGAGAATGTTATCCAGAACATCCATCAGCAACGGACCCAACAACGGGCGTCTCGTGACTTACAGGCATCTAGTGTCCGCAAGGCCGGCCAGTCGCTTGCGAAGGCAAATGCCCTGGCACTACAGACCCCGCCGCCATCCTCCGCGCCCACGGCTCAACCAAGTCCAGCTCCTCGCAGACCAGCACCACGGCGCAAGAAGATCACCCCTCGACGGATCGATGCAGATACCATTGAGCGTCGACAGCCGCCGTCGCAAGACCTGATTGTGGATGACGGTGATCTGTTTGAACCAATGATTGTTGAGGACCAGGTTGTAAAAGATTGCCTCTCTGGTCTGCTGCCTTTTGGTTCGAAATATTCGTTGAATTTCGATACTGCATCTCTGAAGGATGGAACAATATTTAATTCGTCAACCTTCATTGGGAAAGGGTGTTTGACGCTGGCGCTGCACACACAATGCCCTCGGACATCCGCTCCTCGTGAACGAGAATGCTGCTTTTTTGGAGATACGACACTTTACTGGGGCATTTACGATGATACAGTCGCAACGGAATTCGAGAAGGTGCTTGGAATGATCGGCGATGCTGCTGAGAAGCAATTGGGTAGGTCCGATGCCGACGTGATGGTTGAGACTGAAGCAGGCGTAATGTCTATGCCTCAAGCATACGAATTTTACTGCTACGTCGTCAAGTACATCAACAAAACGTTGTCCTTCCATGATCCACTCGATGCAGTGTCATTCGCTCAACGCTTCCTACAATCCATCAAAAATTGCTGTTCCAGACTTTCATTGCCAGTCTCGGGTCCATCCGATACGACTGCGAGTTCTCATGACCATACGCGACTAGTTCTCCAGGCCAATACATTCCTCCTTGTGATTGCATTCCAGATCTTTCGGCTCTTTTCACACGACGTGGACACGCAAGAGCAGTTGGAGCTAGCCAACACTCTTCGGAAGATTGGACGAGAGTTATTGAGCAGATTGCTTCGATGCGGGATTGATCGCATTCGGGCGTGCTATGAGGACCAGCGGCGACGAATCCAGTTCGAGCGAGGCATCACGAGCGATCACTATATCGTTGAGCTGTGGGTACTGGTAATTCATATTCTGGACAATGTCAGCGTCGCGGGCATATCGTTCTGGAACATTTTGAATGAAGAATTGCATATGCAAAGAGTCGAGAGCTCAGTCGACGTTAGATACTTCGAACGACTCTGGCGAAGTTTGTTCACTCTGCTGCCCCTTCACCAGTTCGACGAGTTTGGAGTTAGTCGGCGTATCGATGATCACCATCCTGGCAAAGACAACTGGGCGTTGGTAAAGGTTCTTGCGGGTCGGCCGTTGAGGATATATGATTCCAACAAAGCAGGCCATTCTACGATGATCAACGATTACCTCCGGGTGATCTACGCTCGGTGTTATCATTTGATCACCAAGTGGAGTTGGATCAATCCCGATTCTATCATTCCGGTGCTCTTCGAGTTTTTCGCTAGCAATGGTCTTGCAAATCTCTCTAACGAGCAGGACAAGGGATCTCCCGATTTCTTGCTCAACCTGGACAAGAATCCTACCATCACAGTGAACGATTCTGACTGCTGCTTCCACTTACTACTGAAGACGATAGTAGTTGGGTTACAGAGGATGAGAACCACTTCGACTTCTCGGAAAATCAATGGTTTGGTGTACCGCCTCATGCCGAATCACCGAAGACAATATCCGAAAGACGAGGCCTTGCATTTGGAGCACCTGGATGCACTCAAGAATCACCATTATCTTCTGGAAGCGCTCCATTGGGCAGCACCCCCGGATTGCAGACCGCCGCTTGATGCCATTCGATTGCTTGTGGATCCAGAGACATCTCATAGACAAGCATGCAACGTGGCGGTCAGGGCATGGACGAATCTCATAAGGTTTCAACTCCATAGCGAAGAGAGCCTTAAGCCTTTGAAACAACTAATGGAGTGGTTTGATGACCTCACGATCAAAACGCTTGGACAGCATCAGCTCGTTAGAAGCGAGGCAGAGAGGCAGTTCCGAGTTGCGCGAGAAAATCAGGATAGTAACCTATCAGAAGAAGATATGGAAGAGAATATCAGGCGAAATCAAAAGCAACTGGAGGAAATCCTCAATGATTTAGTCAAGTCACTTTGTATCGAACTGGCTACCATTCCTGGAAATATCCCTGGTGCAGTGGCTCTCTTGACTTCAGGTATGTCGTGCTACACCGTCTCTTTTAACCGAAAACTAATATCTTCTAGCGGCAACTGCCAGTATCCTCAACTCCTACACTCGTCTATCGAATAGGTTGTTACTCGAGGTTTTGGGCCTCTTGCAGCATTTCTTGAAGACGTGTAAACCTACAGATAAAGCCGAGTCATCGCATGCTCCCGTGACAGTGGTGGCGAGTGGCGACGAGGACAGTCAAGATTATGGGGATTGGTCAGGTTTCGAAGAAGTTGTCTTGCAAGATGAAACAAAGCAAGCAGCCGAGGTGAGATTCGTCTACAGAATCCCATCTACTGTACTCATGCTAATGATTGTAGCACTTCTTGACCGTTGCATACGATCCCCTTCACCGCATGCTTTCGAATTGCTTTGGTGCAGACATTCAGCCCGAGGAGACTCTACTCATGAAGATCGTGGATACATGGGCTCTCACCGCAGGTTTCTTGGTACAGTATGGCCTTAAGACCTGGGATGGCTACTTGGAGTACAGTCGCGAATCATGGTCTTCGCTGCGCGATACAGCACAGACGCGGAAATTCACTGCTTATTTCCTACCGAAGATCATACGCTCGGAGAGCGACATATATCACAGCAACAAGTCCAGCATCCTTAGCTCCTGGATGCGGTCGTTAGTCGAGCGGGAATCAATGTTGAAATTCCAGAATGAGTTCACTGCTACTTTGCTGGACTGTGACTCCGAAAACCCTCTGCTGTCGAATCCTCCCTTTGAAAAGGACTCAACTACTGGGTTGTTCAAGATATCTCCAACCGAATTTCGATCACGCCGGCTGGCACTGATATCAAGTGGGTTATCATCTCTGCCTGACGGATGAGGATGTCTCTGACTTTAATAGGTGTTCTTGAACATATGCGAGAAACTTACAAGGCAGCCTCTGGTCGGGCAGCCACAGCCCTGAAGCAGGAATATGCAGAGATGTTGCGAGCAATGATGAAGGCAATGAGGGATAACTTCGAGGTACGTTATTTACATCATAGCGGCATCGAACTCTTATTGACAAAGACAGGCGCTTCAATCATCTACAGTGGCAGGGAAATACGTCGATTTCGTTCACAAAGTAGTCGAACTCCTGTTACAATATGCTCCCGATATCGTCGAGATCGACAGGTTCTTCACCGACTCCACTGCGTTCCCTCTGCCGGCTATGGATCCGAATTACGTCGTTGGCCAGTTGAAGAAATATGTGTTCGGGCTTTCTTTTCCCGGCACACAAAAGCAGCTCAATGCTTTCTTTCAAACACTGGGAGAAAGGGCGGCACTTGGCCACGAACAAAACAACCTTGTTACTCAGCTGTCGACAGCACTTTCGGAAGATTTTGAACTGGGTGATACGGCGAAGCCAACAATGCGGGCATACTTTTTGCATGCTATATTCCCCGCATATATTGAAACCGCGTTGGAACATCCGGCCGGCTGGATCCTCGGTGTGCCAGTTCTAAGGGCCCTCTGCCAGGTGATCCAAAACCTCAAGGTTAACATAGATTCCACCAGCTACGGCAGCATACAATCCGTAATATCGATGTTCGCCACAGTTCTCGACTCCATGCGCCGCGCCGCAAGCCAGTCAATGACGACCAATGATGCTTTTTCAACTCGGCACATCATCGGGACATTATTTCTACTCCTCAAAGCGCTCACACATGCGCTCCCACTGGTTTCATGGTTCTATGAAGACGCCGACGAATCTCTTCGGGCTACAGTTAAGGACTGCAGCGACTTCTTAATCCGCTTTGCAGCGTACGCGAGGAAAATGGTGACGCGTCGACATGACGATGAAGCGCAGAGGCCGCTGGATGTCCTCGCTATGAGTGATCGCCCCCACTCTGCCTTCGAGGCGGGGAGGAAACATGCCAAGGATACGCTTCGCGCCTACCTAGCAGCAAGGTGGGTGTCCGGGGGCAATGGCACATGGTCAATCAATGACCCGGGTACCTCTGGCGGAAGACGGCCTGTGTCGTTACCGGAGTATCCCGGGGAGATGGGGACAGAGGAACAAGCGAGAGAGGAGTTTGTAAAAATGGTTGAGGAGCTCACTTGTGTGGCTGCCAGAACGCATGTTTTCGGGAGGGTGGTTAAGGAGCTTGATGTTGACGTTTGGTCTATTGAGGGTAGGGGATTGCCGTGGCGGGAGAGGGCGCACGGGAAGAGTTTGAAGTTTTTGGGAAGGCTTTTCGTTTAAATACCTCTGTACATTGCGTTTGTTTTTTGGAGTTGTGCGCTTCAGGTTACATATGGCATTTCAATAGGCGTATCGTACATTTTATACCGACTTTATACTGATGGTCTTTGATGGAAGTGAGAGATATCTTCCTGTTTTATTTCGCATGCAGCCTATCTAGACTATGGCGAACCCACGACCTCCGTTTCCTGTCCGCCCTGGCCAGTCGAGGTAAAAACCCCGGTACCGACCAGTCCGACGCGGCGCCCCTTTGATGGAAGTCCATGTACATACTCACATGTGAGCACTCGTTCGCGCACGGGCTACTGGATGATTTTAAATGAAAGGCCGCGAATCCAACGTCCATATCCCCCAAGACGAACAAAGAAAGAAATCCATAGTTCCCATAACAAACATAAGACTCTAGAGTCCTCTTGACCCATCAACATGAGCGGTTAACCATCGTGTAAAACTGTCTCCTACCTTTCATTTTTGTACCTTCGCAGTAAGCTTCAGTTTCGGTCACCATGGATCCCAAACCCCCATCTGAAAGATCGTCTCGGTCTTCCGGAAGCTCCAATTTGTCCACTTGGTCATCTCGTGGGAGTCATCATGAGAACACACCGGCCAAGCCTGCAAACGGCTTTGAATGGTATACCTCTTCGCCTCCGACTCCCACTCCTCTACGTCCACATGATGAGCGTCGTCCAACCTTTTTGACCGGTGATTCGATGGCGTCTTCACGCTCTGAGAGGATATTTCCATCACCTACCCCCAGGCCGGGCAGTGGCCACTTCCCACTTGTTCCTATTTTTGACGCCCCTCTCAACTCTGCACCCTTACGCACGGCAAATCGGTGGCCAAGTCGGGTGTATATTCCGCCTACCCCTTCGCCTGCGTCACGTTTTCCTTCTGAAAGGAGGCCCTCGGCTCCTTCTCCTACCCCTCCGCCCATACGTTCTCTTCCAAGCCCGACCAGTCGGTGGTCAAGTCTGGTGTGTTTTCCGCAGACCCCTTCGCCTGCGTCTCATATTTCTTCTGGCAGGAGGCTCTTGCCTCCTCCTTCCACTTCTCCGTCCATACATTCTTCTCCACACTCGACCAGTCGGTGGTCACGTCCGGCGTCTTTTCCGCCTACCCCTACGCCTGCGTCTCATTTTTCTTCTGGCAGGAGGCCCTCGCCTCCTCCATCTGATTCTCCGTCTATAAGTTCTCGGTGGTCAAGTCCGGTGTGTTATCCGCAGACCCCTTCGTCTGCGTCTCATTTTTCTTCTGGCAGGAGGCCCTCGCCTCCTCCATCTGATTCTCCGTCCATACCTTCTCACTATCGTTCGAGCACTACCTCCTCGAGCTCCAGCCAAACCTCCCTAACCCGTCCCCCTACAGTCTATGGCCAGACACTCCAAGATTACCGTCCGCGGCGAGGGGCAACTTTTGGTCCTTCCTCGCCACCACCTTCACCTGAACCTCCATCATTACCCACTCGCACTCGCCCGACCACTTCCTCATGTAGTCAGACTTCACCTTCACCCATTTCAACGGACACTCGTCCTTCCACACTTCCGTCTGGCGGGACTACTCTGCAGTCGAATCGATCACCCCGTCCAACATCATGGTCCCCCGGGCAGAGATACGAGGATTCCCGTCATTCTCCCCCTCCACCCTCAGGAAGAGCATCCTGGCCCCTCATCCCCCTCCCCCCTACCACCTCTCCGCAAGCCGCCCCCCTCGTTTCTCCCCGCTACCCACAGTTCGAACCCATTCCCATTCCTGTCCGCGCCTCTATCTCCAAATCCACCAGCAAAGCCTCCACTATCAGCAGCAATCCGTCAATTGCGGACGTCGCCGTCGTCGACCAGCGGAAGAAGCTAGAGACGTGGGAGCTTTACGAAGGAGTGATGAAGCTGCAACCACGGATATATGCCCTATTATTACGGCTTTCACGACGCAGGCCGCAGCGAAGGAAGAAGGGAAACCGGCACCGTTCAATCGTCCCGCCGATGCCGTGGAGTCCGCTGGACGCTTACATTCCACCGAGGCTTGGGGAAGTGGAGGACGTCTGGGGGGAAGTGCGAGAATTAGAACAAGAAGAAGAGGTGAGAACCTTGCAGAAAGAGCTATGGGCGCTGAATGGCGATCGGGTTATGGGGGTCAGTCGGGCGTGGGACTGTGAGTATAAACTTGGTGCGCTTAGGATTGTCCAAGCACGTTTGGAGGAGTGTGAAGAGCTTCTGGATGAGTGCTGGAAAAGGGTCGGGAGAGTAAGCGGGGGTGGTGCATCCTCGAAACGCTCGTAGTGGACATGAACGGGACAAAATGAAAAAAGAAATCGTCAACGACAAGATTCGAACTTGCGCGCCCGAAGGCATCCGCTGAGCTTTCCAGGTTCGGAATAGCAGGCGAACGTGTTAACCACTCCACCACGTTGACTGGTTATGTTGCAGTTTCCTTCTTAGTCTTTAGTATGGAAATTTAAAATTGGAACGTCCTAATTTGCGGACGCCCCACCAAATACCGTCACCGCCTCAGCGAACAATTCTCCAATTCATACCAAACTTGGAAAATCCGAATCTTCATCTCACAAAACACGACTTATATACCAGTTCAACAGATTATCATCAAGAGCTTGCGTAGGTAGATGTAGAATCCGGAGCGCAGTTGTCAATCGGCGCCGGCGGCCTTTGCCCAGGGTGATCAGCTACGCGATTGCGATTGCGCACCGGCTCTGGAGAACTCTCTTATATGAGGCGATAGCGGCGGCAGTAGCGGCACTACTTAGCTCGCCATCAATACCTATCATTGCCGTCACAGCAGTTGTCGCTTACCAGATCCTCATCACTACTCGCGATCAGCGCTGCGAACTGTTAAGACACGGCACGGCTGGGGTGGGGCAAAGGCAACAAGCACGGTCTATTATATATTGGCTAGAATATAGATATCGAATGGACGGTGAATCCCCCGAATACAGGGATACGGACATATCTACATATGGAGAATTCAGAGAATTGGATACTAACTACATGTCATCCGCGAGAAAGAAGAAAAAAATCTGGCAAATACTGTAAAAACACATCAAGAATCACGATGCACGATACGATATTTCTGGGGATGATATCCATTGGTGATAGCTACCTACTTCTATGGGGAAATTTCAAATTTCCCCAAAAACGCAACACGCAACCGGACACCCATCACCCCTCCCACCCCCCCACCCCCGAAAGGCAACCCTCACCTAAGCGAGGGCGCTCTACCGAGGGCGACCCCCGAGTTTACGGCCCCTCTTGGTGCTGGACGGATCTGGCGCCCGCTCCTCCCAAAGATGGATGTCCTTCCACATCCCGATCCTCGCCAGGGCCGAAGCCTCTGGGTAGAGGACCTTGAAGTGGTGGCGGAGCTCCATCTTCGAGCGCCAGATCCCACGGCACGCGTGCAAGGTGTTCACCTTGTTGAACGCGGCCGTGATCCGGTCCCAGTCGAAGGGAGCGGCCGGATATAACACCAGGTGCAGCTTGAGCAGGCCGCGGAGGAAAATTTCCTCCGACGGCCAGTACCCAGCGAACTTGTGATTCTTGGGAATCTCCTGGGCTGCGCCGTCGCGCTCGTCCTCCGAGTCTGGGTGGATGTCCAGCACCGGGTCCGCGAACACCCCCTTGTCCGCGACCCTCCGACGCACGTAGGTGTCCTCCGGCTTCTTGGGCTTGAAGGGAGACTGGCGCCAGTGGTAGGGGGAGCACCAGAATGGCTCCAGCCGCCGCGCACTTGCCTTGTAGCACCTGTTGATGGCTTTGAACAAGACCAGCATCGGGCGCCCCTCCTCGTCAAGTTCCCTCCGGAGATCCGGGTGTTGGGCGATATTGATGACCGCGTCGGTCCAGAGCAGGGAGTTGTAGATCTCCCAGTCACGAGCAGCCTCGTGACTCTTCGACAACAACCGTCGCTGGTTCTTCTGGATGGTATCCGGGAGATGGCCCATGACCTTCTCGTAGTAGGCCTCGTATTCCAGGGACAGAACGGTATGGTTGTCTGAGATCTCGGCAAGGTAAAGGACGAACAGTTCCGCGTTCGACCGATCCGGCCCCTCTGTGAGGTGGTGATTGGCCCTCAGGTGACGGTAGGCTTTGAAGAGATGCGACATGTTTACTTCGCGGATCGGGGTAGAGTACGCCGCCATGTAAGCATCGATGAGCTCGGTGAAGTACAATCTCTCCTCATCGCTGAACATGAGGTTGGTTTCGGGAGCCTCGTAGAGGTGCATCAGTTCTCCGTCATCGCCAAGGATGTCTCCCTTCTCCGCCGGGTGTTCGTAGCTCTCCGAATCCGAAGACTCTGAGGCGGCCCGGGCTTTGCCTTTGCCCCTCTTTGCGGTCTTTCTGGCCCTCTTCCTCATCTTCTGTTCCTTGTATTCATTTAGGATATCGCCGAAGGTCATCTCCTCCTCGCTGATTGGATCCTTCTTTATCACAGCCAGCTTTCGCGTCTTCGTCTGAATTTGCTCAGTAACAGGCATGGCTTGCTGCTTCTGGTCCTTCTGCGGAAGTATGTTCTCCGAGTGACGGTTCATCAGGTCGTGAGAATCATTGTTGACCTTGTAGGCGTCGTCGTGACTAGCATAGGTCTTCTCGACAAGCTCATGAGTCCCGGCATTGACCTTGAGAAGTGTTCGTTAGCACATGGAACCCCAATCATCAATGAGCGGAGAGAAAAGATTCTTACATCCATGTCGCCCATACCCATAGTCTGGAAGTTCTCCTGGTGTCCGTCGGTAAAGGTGGCATCGGTAAAATTGGCGAGCTGATCATGAGTAGAGGAAGCAATGTTGGTGTAGCCATTGCCGTACTGCTCTTGCGGGAAGGAACCAGTATAGGGAGGCAAATTCAGTTTGTAGATCTGACCCATTGGGTCGTAGTAGACCGTTTCGTTCCTCGGGAGCTGGTTGTCGAGGTAGACCGGAGCACCGTCGGGGGAAGTACCGACCGCCCTGAGTCCCATACCGTACGAATTCGCCATGTTGATATCCATTGGAAGCTCGGAACCGTACGAATTCGCCATGTTGATATCCATTGGAAGCTCGTTCTGCGCGGCGTACATTTGGCTCGAGTAGTTGTATGCCTGTGGGTAGTACACTCCGGTTTGCTCAAGACCACCCTGCTGGGAGAGGACGTCCCTCGACCACTCATAATACGCAGGATCGTTATTCTCTAAATATGCCCAGTAATTAGCATCATCTCAAACTACACGTCAATCATAAAAATCTTACCTAGGGTAGCAGGAATTAAAGCGTTGCCGTAGGGCTGGTTGCCATCAGCATAAACCTGGTCTAGGATCATCAGCACATCACTCGGCGATGTGGGATAGGTCACGGAAATCTTACTATCGTAGTATCCAACATGCTGCTGTTGTTCTTGTGAGAGCCCACCACTAGGCACATAATTGGGGCCAGCGGGGTTCGAATAATTCGGCGAAACACCTCCCGGAACGAAGGGACGAGCAGTCGGGTTGAAACGACCGGACGAACCACCAGTCGAGCGACGATCGGGCGAATCACCTTTCATAGCGGAAGGAGAAGCCGCAGCGTTAAGAGGACTGGAAGAACCGCTCTTCGGAACGAAGGGAGCAGCAGCAGGGTTGAGACCACTGGGCGATCCGGTGGAAGACTTCATCGTGATGATCTACTGAGACCGTGTAACTTGCAGAGAGTAAATGTGAGGAGTGTGTAGAAGGGTCGTAGTTGGGATCGGTCAGTGTGAGTGGTAAAAGAGGAAGAGTGTGAAGAGCGAGAAGAGTGTGAAGAGCGAGAAGAGTGTGAAGCACGAGAAGAGTGTGTCAAAGGGTCGAAGTTTGGATCGATCACAGTGTGAGTGGGGAAGGAAGAAGAGGGAGAAGAGGGAGAAGAGGGAGAAGAGTGAGAAGTGGAGAAGGTAGAGGTTGGAGGAACGAAGTTGTTGTCTCGTTGAGGAAATGAAGCTAGTGGAGGAGGAAGATCAAAGCTGGGGAAGACGAGAAACAATGGCTTCGTGGAAGTTGTCGATGTTTGTGATTATACCTCACTTCGCCGACCCCAAGAAACTAGCCAGCGAGCCATAAGTGGCAAACAATCTTCACCACGCTAGCGGAAGTGGCATAACGATTCAGAGACGTGTGAGCAGCAAACTCGGGCAAGAGGCGAGACAGCGATTGATGACGGCTTGGGGCGATGAGGCGATGGGGCGATGGGGCGATGGGGGCAGCGTAATTACATGGTGAATTATATGGTGACGATGGCTTTTCCTCGGCCATAGGAAGACCGAATTTGAAGCTTGATCTGCTCGGATCTTCACTGCTAGGTCATCCCAAAATCAAAGAAAAAGATGCTGCGAGAATGTCAAGCTCGTCCAAAAGCTGGAACAGTCAACCTCCAGTGGCAGCCGGCGACGCCTCAGCGTTGAGCTCTCTGAAGCATCACATCCATTGGGCTTCGTCTAGAGAATTGGATCTTCAGGCTGCTATCGAGCGTGGTTTTGATCTCCAATGACGGGACAGATACCAGGTGACATTACATGATCGAATGATGCATTGAACAACACTCGATGCTTCTCCAATCCCGGAAGTATCCGTCTGCTCATCTATCCGAGCTTTCACCATAGTCTGTACAGGCTGTATGCAAAATAGATTAGTATTTCCTCTCTATCTATCCTAGCCACATGCTGCTCATTGTGCTATCACCTATCCATAAGTCTTGGGATGGTGGATACTCTGGAGAGGACCCGTCATAACATCAACCAATTTGGAGGGCTTTCCTGTGTGTAATTCCCTTGGGGGGGGGGGGGGGGGGGGGATCGATGTCTCGTACTAACCAGTATGTAACCAATGCCCCTGCCACAAAAATAGCCTTACGATGTTGTTTACCCTTGATTATATGGGACTCCCGGGGTGGGAGGCACACAACAACCTAACTGGCTCGAAACAAGGGTATAACGACGGAAGCGATTTTAGGTGTCTACTTAATTTCGACATCGCTGTACCTGTAGGCTGTCAGGCGCAATATGGCGAAGCAAACAAAGACATTCAACACATAATTCATATTAAATGCCTATAAAAATTTCCGGTACCCTCTCTCCCTCTCTCTCCCTCTACCTCGCGCCTAAAATAATCTTCACCGCGTGCTCCGCAATCGCATAAACCGTCACCTGCGTATGGGTTGACAACTGTAGGGGGATAACACTAGCATCCACGACTCTCAGCCCCTTGACGCCCTTGACCCTCAATTTTCCATCCACAACGGTACCAATAGCACACGTGCCGACAGGGTGCTTCACGGTCTCGGCGGAGGTTTTAATCGCCTCCCAAAGCTGATCGTCTGGGACTTCATCGGTGCGGCCGAGGAGTTGGCTCTTGAGTGGTTCTGCCGCGGCGACTTTGGCTGCGAACCGGACGCCCGCGAGCAGGACTTCGCGGTCGACGAGCTCGCTGAAGAAGCGAGGATCGATTACTGGCGGGGAAAAGGCTGAGGCGGACGAGATGTGAACGCTCCCTCGGGAGAGAGGGTGCATCAGTGCAATAAGAATGGTGAAATACGTCTTCCCCGGGGATGGCGCTGGGGAGCTGCTCTTGAATGGGGCGAAAATGTACTCTATTTGGGCGACCTTGCTCTCGCTGTTGTTCCGCGGGAGGACAAAGGTGTCATATAGATCGATGGTGGAGTTTGTGGTGAGGGCTTGCGAGGTGATGGTTGCTAGTTCCCCGGGCGCAAGGAAGGTATCGAGTGGGAGCATGGCAAAAGTCATGGTTGTACCTGTTAGGATTCCGCTGCGATTGACGTTGTATTCTTCCTGTGCGGCGGCAAGGAACGCGGGAGAGGTTCTGAGAAGGTCTCTCGTAGGCGTGTTGTCGGCCGTGAATTCCCATGTTATAGGTGAGACTACTCCGTCAGCTGTGAATCACCATACGTAGCGGGGGGTAGAAATACAAATATGATCCTGCAAATTCTCTCCGACTTGATCGTTCTGGACTATTGCAAGCACTCCTGCAGCTTCCAGAACACTCTTCTTCCCGATCCCCGAGAGCTCCAGAATCTGCGGGCTCTGAAGGGATCCAGCAGACAGGATCACTTCACTCTTCCCACCCTTCTTCAGGAAGGCCTGATGCGTAGTTCCCGCTTCGTCGACAAACTCCACACCCACCGCCACTTTGTTCTTCAGCAATACCTTCGCCACTGTGGCCCCGGTGAGCACGATCAAATTCTCCCTGTCAATATTCGGCGCGAGATACGCGGACGCAGAATAACTCCTCTCCCCATCCTTAGTCACCGAGCCGAGTGAATAATACCCGCCCAGGTTATCTCCGCTCATAGCATCGGGATTAATCCCGATCCCAAAGCTCTGCAGGGACTTCAGCAACATCCCGGTGGGCTTCGGGAACCACTTGGCCCATCCCGCTTGCACCGGACCCTTCGTCCCATGCACTCCCTCCACCACCGGCGGTTTCGGCAGCAACTCGAATTGCGCCTCCAATTCCGGCGGATAGTATCCCTCAATAGCCCTCACAGCCTTCGAGATGACACCCCAACCCCAGCCGTGGCCCCACGAATCGTACTCCTCTGCCGAGGCGAGGTTCCAGTTCATGTAGTTCAGCCCGGACGAGCCGCCGAGCATCTTGCCGCGCGCCATGCCGATTTTGCGGTTGTTGACGTGCGTCTGCGGGGTGGTCGTGAAGTTGTAGTCGAGTTCGGTGCCCAAGCCAAAGCCATAATAGCCCGGGACTGACACGAGGGGGTTGTCGAGCTGCGAGTGGCCGGCTTCAAGAACTCCGATCTTGAGGGAGGGAGAGGAGAGGGCGAGACGGGTAGCGACTGTGAGCCCGGCTGTTCCACCGCCGAGGATGAGGTAGTCGTAGCTGTGAGCCAGGAAGGCGAGGGCTTGGTTGGAAGGGAGCAGCATGCTTACAGATGTCGAAGTGAAGATGGTGAACGAAGATACTGGGCCTGCCGCGGGCTTAAATGCTTCATGTATATATCCATGCTCTACATAGATACAATGACAGCCCGGAGGTGGTCCGAAAGGGCTCTGCATAGATACAACGACAGCCCGGAGGAGGTCCGAAGGGGAGCATTCGGATGTATCTACGGTAGAAAGTAATCATCTGCAGGGCTCAGGGAATAGCCATTGAGACACCTAGCAGGACATAGGGAATAACCATTGAGAGCCCCCAGATATTCGGCAAATTTGACAATCTAGACCTTAACTTACCGAGCGGTTTTCTTCAAAAAAGCCTTTATTCGTGTGACCGGACAAAATTATCTGCAGGCGGAGTAACGCATCACCATGCAGCGCATGTGCAGCTCAATGGCTAAATTGTGGGGCTTGGCCGCCCGGATGCAGATTGATGTCCTGCCGCCGGACGAGATATCGGCGAGCACTTGCCCTAGTAGGGTGTACCTGCGCGCCTATTAAGAACCAGACTAAAAAAAAGGTATATCCGAACTCCGCCAAAATCCTCCATGCATTGCATTGATCGCCACGGTTGAGTAGTGGCACGGGACTATATTCCAGAGGATGATAGGCCATACAAAATTCAGTACAATCACAAACCAACTTTTCAACATCTAAGCCGGTAGGCATGTCATCACGAAGGAAAGGGTAAAAACACAAAAAAAAACGAGAAAAAAAACCCGGGAATCCCAAAACAGAACACCGATTGTAAACCCAGAACCGAAAAGACAGAAAAGAAAGAACCCCAGAAGCTCCACCCCGTGAGGTTTTCAAGAGCACTACTCCGAAAATTCCGTTGAGCCTCTCGGGAACACTCTCTTGTACAAGCTGATGGCGACAGCATCTTGCGGATTGATGCGGCCATCGAACGTCGCCTTGAAGTAACCGTGTGTACCTAAGCTCTCCTTGATGAATCCACTCCTGCCGCGACGGGTGTACAGCGGTATCGCCTTGAACCATGCAATGTCCTCTGTTGATGCGTTAGCCTTTGTCCAATACGATCTTCGGAATACTTCCGACTTACCCTGGTTAAAGAACATGTACCGCACAGTCACAAGCCTCTTGTGGATCTTGTAAGGGTGACCGGTGAGGACGATTCTCTTGGCGACCACACGCTCGCGGTCCACGTTGAGGAAGCTTCCCATTCCGACAAGCTCCCAGTCAGTTTCTCCGTCTCCACGTTTCCAGGCTGTCACTGGAACATTCCCCCATGTCACTGGTCCGACAAATGTCGCAACACTGGCTTGGCCTGGAGAAAGAAAGCGCTCGAACTTGCTGACGTTATTCTTACCAGTTCCGCCGGCGGTAGAGAATAGTGGATTAACGTGCAATCTGCGCGGGCCGATCTGAAGTATCAGCTCGTCCTTCGACTTGACGGGCTCGCCCTCGTAATCAGTGGACGCCATGATAGAAACATTGACAACAGCTTGCTTGTGTTCATGTCGCAACAGTCCCCAGAGAACAATTGGTCGCTCTGGATGGGATTTGAACAATTCCGCAACCTCTGGGGGACCATTGCGGATGTAGACCATAACTCTGGTCCCTGGTGCCACACCGCCTGCCAAAGCCTCATTGATGGCTCTATTCTTTGATCCCCGGTAGTCCTGAATCCTTGCGAGCCGGTCCCAGTCCTCAGGCTGCCATGGTCGGTCCTCCTCAGTTTCCCACTTGCTGGTCCGTAAGCTCTTAAGACCTCTGTATCTGGCAAGACGCTCGCGCGCAAGAACATTGGGCGCCAACTCGATCTCGTCTGGAAACTCCCTCTCTTCCGCAAGCTCTACGTCGCGGTCCTTTCGGAAAGCCTGGATCTGCTCGTATTCCTGTTCCGGGGAAGGATCCAAAAACATTTCGCTCTTGGCGTCATCTCCCCAGACAGAGCCAGCAACCGTGGTTCCCGATGGGCCAGCCAGTCCCTCCAATCCATCCTCAGGTCGAGCCTCGTCGTCGTCCTCATCCATATCTGTGTCGGAGCCCTCGGTCGCTTCGCCGTCCGAGCCGTAATCCTCTCCTTCGATGAACCAGGCGGCTTGGTACTTTGATGTTCCCGACGGAACATTCTTAGGCATCTCGTAAGCGCGGTTCGCACTGCTCTCCTCGTCGTCAAAATAATGGTGGTCGTCGAGAAGGACTCCTCTCCTGGATTCCGACATGTTGGACGGGACTTCCGAAATGTTGTCTGATATGTCCCGCATCGTCTCTTCTACTTCGGGGGCCAACTCCTTGAGGTCGTCCTGGTCTTCGGTTGGCAGTTCGAGGATCCGTAGTCCGGCACCGTTCACCGCGCCATCAACCGCCATTTCGTCGGCGGACGCTTCTTGCACGCGGCTCGGCTGTGCGCAGATCTGACGTTTTCCCCACCAATCAACTTTCCGCAACCCACAAATAGGAATGGCTAGGCTGGCATACCTTTTCAATCTGGAAATCACCAAAACCCTGGAGGTGAACCAGTCTATCCGCCTTCAACCCTCTCCCTCTCACCACACCTTCAATCACCAAATCGTCACCCTCGATCCGGATATCATCCGCTACCAGATACGACCGATCATCCCTCCAGTGCACACCCTTCGGCATCGAGGTACACAGCGTGCGCATGAGATTCGGTCCCTCCTGCAAAGATTCGCACTCGTGGACCTTGGTGATCGTTGGGAAGAAGTGCGAGATGAAGGTGGTGAGGGATCTCTTAATGTCGGGTCTTCTCTTGGCGGGTTCAACCTTCTCTAGGTGTTGAACAACCGTATGTGTATTGGAGACTCCCTGGCCCTCAATCCCACGGATGATCCGTGTGCCAAAGGTATCCACCTCCTCGTTCGCTGACAACACCATCAGCACAAAGTCCGCCGCCTTGCATCCATCGAGAATCGGCAGCATCTCCCGCTTCAATACAATCCACTGAACCCGTTGCTTAAACCGGTCCACCCTACGGCACCCACATCAGCAACTTCGTCCAACGCCACCATCGCCAGTACCACCACCCCTGCCACCCGCCGACATACCATGTAGTGAACACACCCGCCTCCGGTACCTCTACCCAAACATCCAAACTCTTCAACAACGCCCTGACGGTGGTAGCAGCGGTGACATCGGCGCACAGCGGCACGACCGCCACGACCCTGGGGGCGGCATCCTTGCCCTTGAATATCCGCGCATCGATGTCATTGTCCTTCTTCTTGATGATCTGGAGCTGGCGCGCCTTGTTCCTCCGCTCGATCTTGGTCGTGACCTGTTGGTGGTGATTCTTGCGCGCGAGCGCCGAGGCGTCGTCTACCTTTCCTACGGGGGTCGCCACCACAAGTCAACACATACGCGGACACGACGGGAATGCGGGCGGAACAAACCCTTGCTCTTGGCCTTGAGGGAGGATTTGGTCGCATGGCGGGACTTGAAGGGTTTATTTGAGGCCTTGGTAGTCGAGCGATGATGATGTCCGGAAGACGACACCATTTTTCCGAGGGTGACAGTAGGGTACGGTACGGTGCGGGCGGGGGGGGGGTGGGGGAGGCGAACGAGCGGGTGCGGGTGGTAGGATTTCGACGACTCGGACAGAACAGACAGGATAGTGGCAAAGAAGGTTGGAGGTAGTTGAGCACTGACTTCTTCTTCCTGCTACGCGCACATTCAATGTGCGAAAACCGTGGTGGTGGTGGTGGTGGAGCGAAGCTCACACATTCTAGGAAGCAGTCGCTAAATGTGCGTGTGTGCGTGCGTGTGGTGTGTGGTGGGGCGAAACCGTAAACTTTTTCTTCGAGCCTAGCTTTGTGCCACAAGCCACCCTGGAAGAACTCCAACAAGTGCCGCTAGGCGAGATGGTGATATCATGTGAAGAGCTCAAAGCCTTCACGTTTTGGGGTTTTGGCGATGAAATCAGATATAGATCAGTTTATTGCCCAGCAAGCAACGCAAAGCATATCACTACCCCCCAACAGAACGCAATGCAATACAAAAGAAAACCAAACACCCCTGGCCATAGCCAAAAGAACCGTACTCGCAAGACGCAAAAGAAAGCCCCGAAAACAAGCCCCAACGACCAAAGAGATACTAATCCCAAGGAAAAAGACAACAGCAAAGTGAGGTAGTAATAATACAAAAGAAAACCCGCGCAGTCGGTGCGAAAATCGTGTCCCCAGAGCAACAGAAGTAACAAGAACGGAACAAAGAAAAACTATTGTACAATAAAATGGGTCCCTTGCTCATCTGAAGCAACATCGAAAAGAATCGCGCGCCGAATCCCCAAACTCCAATCCAGCCAGCCTGTTCAAGCAAACACCGAAACCCAACATTTACAACACGCCAAACGAGCCACCATCGCCCACTCCCACCGGCCTCATCTTGGTACCCACAAAGCCCTTCCTATTGCGCCCTGTGCGTCCGCGAGAAAGCCAATTCCACTTGAGCCGTTTGCCCAGTTCATCCACCATTCCCTGTGCCTCGTCGCCGGTGCCTGCCGCCGCAAGCACACTGACGCACTGCAGCATGCGGCCGACAACCTCCATTCCATCTTCGTGATTCCCCGAAAGGTCCAACTGTAGCCGTGAGAACAACACCCTAAGTCGTTCGTAGACCGGTAGAACGATGCAGTCGCGCATGGCAATCATGATCAGTCGGCGCACATCGAGGCCCATGGGACTGCCGGCGGTGGCAGCAACATCGACGCCGAAGAACTCGCGACTTTCGCGGGGGGTAAGTAACGAGCCCGAGCCTTTGAACTCCTGCTGGAGCGGCAGCAGGACCGCTTCGAGGTAGGGGGTCGTGTACCGGAATACAAGGCTCCAGATCTCAACCAGTCGTGAAAGCAATCGCTCATCCGGCAGCTCGTTCAGATGAGGTTCAATCGAGCTCATGCCTGTTTCCAGTAGCATGCGGACATCATTGATGAGGAGCACCGGCTCGCGGCGGTCAACGCAGCGCTTGATGTGTAGAGCGACAAGTCTGTTGAGGTCTTCGACGGTGTTACGGAGGAGGTCGCCGTCGAACAGGGGGAGCACACGCGCGCATAGTGTGGACCACGCGTTTTCCGAAGGTCCAAGGTCTAGCGCGAGAAAGGAGTCTTCGTAGGATGACATGCCGCCGCCACCGAGAGCTGCTTTGAATGTTTTCGATGTTTTCGACGCCGAGGTGATGTCAATGCCGGATATGGTCTTCTGGAGGTCCTTCGACGAAGCAAAGACGGTGGATGACGGGGACGACGGGGTAAAGGAGTATAGGCTTCCCGCAGCATCGGCCATTTTCGAGTTGGAGTTGGACGACGAGAACGCGCCGTGATCTTTGTCGCGACGGGTGCGCAGGAAATGTGTTCGGTGGTGATCTTTTTCCTTCTTTACCTCGTCTTTAGTCTCCCTGAAGCCACGTTCAATGATTGTAGTTGGCGGCGAAACCGAAAACGCGATTTCCGAACCAGCAACAAGCGTGCTGGAAGTGTACGCGCTCGAATAGCTCGGCCTGCGACTGCTCTCGTCATTCCCAGGGGCGAGCCGGGGGATTGGCGACGAGATCTGGGGTAACTTGTTAGGGCTAGGCGGAGGTCGCAGCGTCTTCTCGATTCCGGGAGTGCCGATCCTGCCAGGCTTAGAAAAGATCTTCTTCATTCCCTCCTTCTTGGTCGCGGCGGGGGCGCTGGTGGACGGTGATGGGAGCGTGCGCTCCGACGGCGGGGGAGGCGGGGGGTGTGGAATCGCGTGCGGGATGTTCATTGCGGCGGTGGCATGAAAGATGGCTGAAGCAGCAGCGCCAGACATGATCGAGCCCAAGAGCGGCGGCGAGGTAGGAGATGGCTCGGTGGCGGAACGTTTGCGCATCGACGACTGCATCGCGTACGCAGCGACGGCTTGCTGCTGCGGCGGCTGTTGTTCCTGCTGTTGTCGCTGTTGCGTTGGTACGGAAGGATGCATCAGTGTGGGCCCGAAGTTTCCAGGGCCTTGCTGCGATCGCTGCTGCTGTTGTTGCTGCTGCTGCGCCATTGCGGCCCGTGGAGAGGTATGGATGCCTGCGGAGAGCGGGGGCGCGACTGTGTTTGCAGAGGATCGTGAAGGGGAACGTGGTGTCGTAGGTGGAACTAGCTTGATCGTCGACGTAGAAGAGTTCTTGAAATTCGTGAACCCCTGACGAGAGCCCGAAGCGATGGATGATGTAGAGGAGGTTGACGAGGCCGAAGGAGAGCGGCCATGGGAAGCAGCTGCGGGGATGGGAGGCGGAGGCGCAAAGCCGGGCGACGAGCGGGGTTGAGGGCGGCGAGACATGCCACGGCAAGTATTGTACTGTGAGGTTCTTTCCGCCGAGTTGGGGGTGTTTTGTCGAGTTATGAAGATGTTTCCTTTTTGTTTCCTCTGGCTTTGGACGACAACTGCGGGAGTGAGTGTGGTTGCTCTGGATGGTGTTTCGCGTGCCTGCTATGCTAACCTAAATTAGTGCGGCGTAGTTGGCGTCGTCTCTTCCAGCCTCGATTTGATCGTCCACATGTGTGACGCAGAATTTCTCCACGCCGCGTTGTAGGAGCAACCGGGTAAATGACGAATGCCAGATCATACAAAAATTATGCAGGAACAGGACATACAGAGGTGTCTGCAGGCTGCATGGCTCCGCATGAGACATCACTCTGTTACGCCCTGCGTATGCTCAGGCCTGCTGTAACGGATGGCGTATGTTTGTAACTGCCATGAACTATAGAATAAGGTCGAATGCAACGAGTAAACAAAGAAAGAAAGAAACAAGGGTGGCGTATGGGCGGAGTTTCCATCTCGACCCTTTTAGAGCGGGCAGGAAGAGTTGGTTGTTTTGGTTCGCCATAGTCTACGGTAATAAGGCTGTATGCGAAATAAATTGCGGTTCTCTCTGTCTCTCACGGGTGGCATATTGTCGGTATGAATAGTAGCGGAACCCGTGTACCCATTACCTCTATCCGTTCCCCTCCGAGAATTATGGTCTAAGTACTGAGATACACCCAAATGCGACGCCCAAACCTCCATTCTATTTCTTCACAAACCTCCATTCTATTTCTTCACAAACGCCGCCAATGCCTCGTCGAGAATCTGCATACCCTCCTCTATGACACTTTCCTCAATCACCAACGGCGGGACAAACCTCACCACATTGGTACCAGCCGTGATGAGGAGCAGGCCCCTCTCCCGGCACTCCTTAATAAGCGCCGTAGGATCCCGGTCCAACTGCGCTCCGAGGATCAAACCCTTGCCTCGAATCTCCGTTATGACCTCTGGGTATTTCGCCTTGAGGACATTGAGGTGTTTCACGAACACCTTGCTCTTCTCCTCGACAGCAGCAAGAAACTCGGGCTTGGCGATACGCTCAAAGACGTAGTGACCCACACGCGAGGCGAGCGGGTTACCTCCAAAGGTGGTTCCGTGGTCACCGGTAACGATCTTCTCTGCCACCCACTCGTTCACCATGGTGGCGCCGATGGGGAAACCGTTGCCAAGGGCCTTGGCCATCGTAAGGATGTCGGGATGCGCTTCCTTAGGAAGGAACTGGTGGGCCCACAGCTTTCCGGTGCGTCCGACTCCGCACTGCCCCACCGATCAGTATGAGGATATATTTAGGTTAAAGACTAGCGAGGCCATACCTGAATCTCATCGTAGATCAACACCGCACCAACTTCGGTACACCTCTTCCTCAGTTTGGTCAAGAACACTTCGCTACCAGTCCACACACCTCCCTCACCCTGGATAGGCTCGACAATAACACCACAAGTCTCTTCAGTGACCAACGCATTGATGCCCTCAACATCATTGTACTTGCCGTAGGAGAACCCGGGCACCATGGGTCCGAAGGGTGCTTGGTACTTCTTGTTCGGGGTGGCACTCAAACTTCCCATTGTACGTCCGTGGAAGGAGTTCTCGAAACTGACGATGCCCACCTTCTTCTCACCACCGACAGCCTTTCCAACTTTCCTCGCAAACTTGATAGCCGCCTCATTCGCCTCCGATCCAGAGTTACAAATGAACGCCCTGCTAGCGTTGTGGAACCCTCCCATTTCCTTCGTGCGCTCCACCAACAACTGCGACAGCGCGCCGGTCCAAGGGTTGTGGTAGAGGTTACTGACGTGAATCAGCTGCTTTGCCTGATCGTAGATAAGGTTGCACAGGTGCGCATCGTTGTGGCCGAGAGCGTTGACGGCGATACCAGCGTTGAAGTCGATGTATCGTCGATTCTCGATATCGTAGAGGTAGCATCCATCGCCCTTGACGAAGACCTGCGGGGGCCGCGCGTAGGTTGCGACCATGTACGGCAGGTGTTGGCTCACGAGCGCAGCGCTCTGAGAGTCGGCGGGGGGATCGAAGCTGGGAAGGCGGGCCTCTTTCTGGTGTCGGGCGTCATTATTCGGGGCAACTTCAATTGTAGCATTGTAGGCCGGGGGAAGAATGAACGCACGACGAATTCGGCTCGTGCTTCGGCAGGGAGACTGCTGGTCGATGCGGCGCGGGCAACGAAGAGGGAGCTGTTAGTGGCCGCTACCGAGCGAAGCTGGAGCTTCGCCGCTGAGGTTAGAACCCGTTTGGATGCGAGGCGGAGGGCGGCCATCGTGGACTATTGCGATAAAGTTTAAGAACTCTGACCAGCAGCTCGTAACGAAAACTTATGCGGAGGCAAAGAAGAGAGGCGGATGCGGAGGAGAGGAAAGTGGGTCAACGGGAATATGTAATGGCGCGGAGATGAGACGGTGAGTCGGCGAGAACTTTTTCTGTGTAACCCAGATTAATTAAGGCACTCGAAATTGCATCATCAATCAGATCTTGCTGTGCTGAGTGGGTACTAGATATAACAAATGTACCACACCATATGTAGACATGACTCAGTAGTGTAGGGGTATCATGGGCGCTTGCCACCTAGCATTCTGCGCCCGACCCGGGTTCAAATCCCGGCTGAATCATTCATTCTTTTGCCTGTTGAGGCCTCTTTTTTCGCAAGTGACCCATACAATTTGCTCCACAGCGTGTTACTTGTACTCGTGAGGGTATGAGATAATGAGGCTATGAGATGGTGATGTTCTGGGCGTACATCACGTCTTCAAACTGCATGTCCTCCAAGCTGTCCGCCTGCCCTATGCTTCCTGGCATGACCACGTTCCTAAACTCCACCTGATCAATAACCCTTCCCTGCTGCCCCGCCAAAACTGCATGCTTCCGTCCACCCATCCGTACTCGCACATTCTTCACCACCACATCTTGAATCGGATAATCCTCCTCGCCAGCATCACCTCCCGTAACCATAAAAGCGCACCAAGTCGAGATATCCATGTTTGTCCATGTGGCGTTCTCCACGTCGATATCCTCAAACAGGACACCCTTGACACGCGAGGATCCGGACTGGAAATGTATCCCAATGGCAATACTCGTATCGTAGACCACCGCATTCCGAAAGACAATATCCTCGTGCGGCGACCACATCCCGGCGCCCACCTTGACACCAAAGCAGATAGTCCAGCTCAGGGTATCGTCGAAAGTGACGCCCCTCAGCCCCGGCAGTCCATCGTCCGGGAGCGGCCAGGATTCGGCGATATCGCTCTCCCTACCCCATGTCTTTGTCGAGAACGGATCATCCAGGCCGATTCCAATCGCGTGGCGGACGACAATGTTCTCCGAGTGCATCACATCAATCCCATCATTCTCGCCCGTCTCAGTGAATCGGTTGATAAACTTGCAGTCCTGGAATGTACCGTTGGTGACCATGATTGGCGTGCACGCCCACGACGCGGAGTTCAGGAATAGGATTCCCTCGCATGAGAAATTTTCGGTTTGGATGGGAACGAGGAGGTTGTTCCCGATACCGGCCGCGGCTGCGGCAACACCGTTGCCGTCGAGAACTCCGTGGCCGAACACCCGGATGTTGCGGGACCCAAAGGCGGTCGAGATCCACCATGTTATCGGCCGCCGTCCTTGCGAGTTCTTGTACCAATGTATTTTATACTGGTCTTTTTCCTCGGGACTGAATCGAAGTATTGCGCCGGGAGAGAGGTAAAATGACGAGTTGGATTTCAGCACGATGTTTCCGACTGCGTAGAGACCCGGAGGGACAAATACGAGGGCGTTGGGGTCGGAGGAATCGGACGCGGCGTCAAGACATGACTGGAATGCGGCGGTGGTGTCGGAAATCGAGGTGCCGTTGGACGCGGCACCGTGGTCTTGAACATTCCAGATCCCCGTACCGCCTGATGCCGGTGACTGATGGTGAGAGTCGGCGAGGATGACGAGCTGGCGGGAAGCGCCGATCTTGATGATGTAGTATCCCGGCCCTGGCAGAGTGGCTGAGACTTTGCCATCCGCGATCGTTGGTATGATGTTGAGTTTCAACGGAGAGACGAGTGCTTCATCGATAGGGGAAAGGCCCGAAATCTCGAGATGGAGAGGGTCACAGCCGGCGGAGAAGTAGGAGAAGTCATAATCTTTGTTTGAATACGTGGCTACCGGAGCACCATTTATGCATATAGTAAAGAGGCCCGGTTCAAAAGAAGGAATATAGTGAGGAGTTACGGCATCTGGGGAGGACGCGTTCCAGGAAGCAAAGAACTGTTGAATTCGGGCGAACATAGTGGTTGAACGCACAGAGATGAAGGGAGAGGTTTCAAGGTAGTCGAGCTTGCTAGGTATTCGAGCTTGCCAGGTAGTCGAGCTTGCCAGATAGTCTAATCTGCCAGGTAGTCGAGCGCCGAGGTGCTAGGTGCTTTTAGGCGGTTATTTAAATACAGTTTCCATTTTTCGAGGCTTTTGTTTTTTTTCTTAAGGAGCAAGAAGCTTCACTGCAAAACAGGGCTTACAACTACGATGGACCCTACTTGGAGTGTAGAATAAACTCAAGTCTTTGCTTGGCTCATTTGGATAACATGTGACTATGAACAATGAATTTATATTGCCCAGATCAGCGGATGCTCACAGTTTTCAAGCCTCCAACCACCTTCCTCCATTTCAATCGACTTCATGGACTGGAATTGCTTCAGGTGTCATACCGAGCCTAGAGAAGTGTACCAGGAACAGCCGATAGGTCATACCTCACGGCCATTAGGAATTATAAGCGCAAGGTGAGGCACCACTTACTCTTTCACCGAGTACTACTGCGTAGTCTTCCATGTCACATGAGTATAATAACCGCCGATGTTGTTCCAAAATCAAATGAACTTGCCAGTTTAAGCTTGAAATCCGATATAGCACTCTCAATCCTAGTTCTAATCCCCCAGACTTCATGTTCATATGATCTCCGAAACCCTTTTCCAAGGCTAGGTTACCAAAGCTGCAGCTGCAAACTCTCATCTCCCCCGAAGACCCATTCAGCAACCCAGATATTCAACAGCACGCCACACTTTTTGTTTGTATTGTGGCTCAGTCGACAATAGGTATTGAATAACCGAGAGCCGGAGGGGCCCTCAGCCGACTTTGATAGAGATATGTTGTGACGAGGGTGAAGAAAGTCAAGTACAAGTCACGAAGAGAGAAATGATTCGTGAAAGAAGAAAGACCTCCTGTAAAATTCAGGAGACCCAATAGCAAGAGAGCACACTAAAGAAACGACCAGACAACCCCTTAGACAAATCAAGTACCTAACCGGCAAAGAAAACAGACGATGAAAGCAATGATGAAAACAATGATGATGGACGATGAGACAGACAGACAGACCGCCGGCAAAATAAACAAGAGCACTCTGAACGTTTGACCCCACCAAATCTGGTCTAGCTAGGTCGGCGAAATTTCACCGCTCGTGCATCTACCATGCCCGCCGTTTCCGCTGTGTCCCACAGTACGCAATTTCTCAAATTGTTAACTTGGGGTGGTGTGCCCGGAACCTTTCCGGTCCAACCACTGCGTCCGGATCATTCCCCAGAATACTGCGTATTTACCGCGATCTACTGCGGGCGCTCCGCGTTCCTTGAGGGTTCGGAAAGATATTTATATCCGATGACCGGTGGCTAGCTAGAGTTGCCGGTCAGATATCTATGCGGGGAACCCTAGTTGCTTAGCCGTACACATACATGCATGCGGGGGAGCTCGTCTGACGTTGGCTTCGGCCCGGCCCGTGCATTCGGCGCAAGCGGGCGAAAAAAAGTTCCGGAATGTGGGAGGGCCTCGACCAGCGCCCGCCCCGTCCGGGACGATCAAACAACCTCCTCCTGATCGGCACTGCGGGAGTCAAGGTGAATCGTAAGTATTCCACCTGGAAAAAGAGACTGGAATAATTCGCCCGAGAAATGCTGTTTGATCAGAAGCCCTAGGTAGGATCTTCCTAACTCGGATCGCGCTTCAATAAACCGCGAGAAACTTACCTCCCACACCATCCACACTGTGCACGCGTTGATCTTCATCATGTGTACCTTCGAGGGTTCTCAGCATGCCTACATACCACGAGACTCGCTCATAGGACGCCCCTTCGGTATCGCGGTAGGGCCAGGGCATATACTGCTGTCGCTCCATCAGGCGTCTAGTTGAGGACATCCTCTGTATTTGGCGGATGATGGAATCGATTCGGAAAGTCTGTATTTGAACTTGAACTTGCTGTGTACGACCGCCGCAAAGGCCTCCGCTGGCGTATTAGATGACTTCGGAAGTGTCGGATCCAAGGGTATCAGAAGGTGAATGTTGGAGGAAAGATGTCATCAGGGCTGAGATGTGGAGGTGTTGGGTGGAGTGCTGTAGCAGGAGTACCTGCTGTGGGCTCGTCAAGTTGGAACTTCGACGAAGGTCACGGCATACATCAACCCTGTTCTATGAACGACGTCACACCACTGCTTAGAGTAGGTAGTGCGGCGTGTCCGGCCACTTTTGAAGTCATCTGAAAGCTCGTTGGAATACAATTAATGACAGAAAACAAGGTCCTCATGACACCGCGCCTCCCAGACACCCTCAGACACGCAACCCTATATCCCCGAGCATCGCGCACACCGTGTAGTCGCCGCAACATCTGGTATTATCACCCCGGTACTTGCCAAATCACTCCACGCCGCCCGACCCAAGCTCCGCACCCACTTCTGCCAACCAGTCAGTCAGTCCTTTCTCCTGTGGTTAGTTACCACTGCTCTTCCCGGAAGCAAACGTACCCCAGAAAAGACCCCAAACTCCCTTATCGACTGACCGACACCGTGAAACTCAGTCCCGCCCATGATGCTTTTCAACTCCTCCAAGGCCTGCTCTTCTTCGGCCGTTCCTCTTTCCTCTGGTGAAACATCCTCCCAGCCGCTGCTGATGAGGCCCAGAGGTAGGTCCGCGAATACGTAGCCATCTGTCAGGGAGCCTGTTCGTGCCGTCATGTCGCCGATGCTCGGAGTGTATGCGATGGTATGCGATGGAGGCGGGGCAGGAGGGAACTGACCTGCGTTTATGTTGAGCTTTAAATTTGACTCTCTGTGGGAAAGCTTCGCTCGAGCCTGGAACTTACGGAGCGTAAGGTGAATCTTCGGTTACATGGGTTCCCCCGGATGGAACTTCCACTTTTCAGAACGGCTGAGATCCTCACACAGCCGTTGAAGATGGATTCAAGTTGAAGGTGATGGTAGATGGTGGAATGTTGGTCCTTCAGGCGGAGTTCGAGGGACATGGTTTCATTGGGGAATCAAACATTGCGTTTGGATGATGTGTAAACTTTCAAACTTTATCCGCCGCATGGCTGGGCTGGCCGCAACGGAACGGCTTGGGCCACAGAGAATCACTGCCGTTGGGCACGGAACGATGGGCGGTCATCCACTGGATACAAGGTTTACTAAAACCCCAAGCCCTGATCGACTAGTAAAATGGGGAGGTGGTGATGTCTGAAGTTGAAGGGCTTTGAAGATTTCTACCAGCAGGCGGGACCAAAGGAAGTTGCGTATATTATATCCACATGATATCGCTACTGCTGGACAGGTAAGTATCGCATCTGGATGGAGCCATTTTTCAGCCTGAGTCGGGGAATCTGTTTGCAACAATGTCCACTTCCCCGAGTCCCAGTCCATTACTGGTTTTCCTATACATAATACAGCCACCAACCTCTATATATGCAACTCCAGAAGCACCACGAACGCCAGCAAATCCCCATCAGACGGCTATGGTACATCATCCAGCCTACCCTGCTGCGCTATCTCACACCACCCAGGCCCTCAGCGGACATCGCACCATTCTCGTACCTAGGAGGTGCACCAAACTGCAGCCCAGGAGAAGCGGAATCTCTCACTGCACCCGCCGCCATTTCACCCTCCACCCTTCTTCCCTTTACGGCCTCCAGATAAGACGGCGGTGACGCCGCCGAACCATCCTCTGAACCCACTCTAACAAGCATCATTCTCGAGTCCGTCGATCCGGCCCTTCCGTTACCACCCAGTAGTAGTGCCTTTTGCTTCTTTCTCCTCCTCCCAAAAAGGCAAGCCACAATGATGAGCATTATCACCAAGCCGACCAAGCCAACGATCGCACCAACGGTGTGTCGGATCCCTATCCCATTGTCATTGGGCTGATCCCGATAGCCCGGCATAGGCACGAAGGTGCTGGTTCCAACACCAGGTGCAGGCCCAATCGGTGCTTGGAATGTGGTTGTTGTTGCGGTGGGCTGACGTTCATCGCCGGGTTCGAGGAGAGGGGCGGCGATTGGGATTGCCGGATCGATGGTGGGGTTGAGAAAGATCTCCGAAGTTGGAATTGTGGGGGTTGCCGTGACCGTGCCGCCGGTTTGCTGTGGTACCGGTGCCGGAACTGCTATAACGGACGATGGTCGCGGAACATCTTCACAGTAGGTATGTAGGCAGCAATTATCGCGATCCGGTTAAAGACCATAATTCCAGCCAGAACAGTATTCGCACACTCGCAGTTACATGACACGAACGTGGCGTAACTACCGCCGGCCTAGCTATGCCTCACTTCTAGTCGAGCACGGAACGATGGAATCTCCAGGTACTCATGGCACCCGTGGTGAGTACTCGGGCTGTGCCACTGATACCACTCGTGTCTGCCTTGAGGTACCGTACCTTGCCTTGGCCTCTGGGCGAACTAGAGGGCTGATTGTTCGGCCACAGCCCCGCAATACGCATGTTCTAACTATATCTGTAGCATACGAGTATTGGCGCGCTCAAGACGCCGTTACATCCCGATTCACTTCAAGTCGTCAATCACGTCCGCAGTAGCGAGTAAACGGTTATCCCCGATCGTGTGCCGCTGACCACCAGCCACAAAGTTCGTCACGAATTATCTACCGCCGTCAACATTGGACCACCAGGTGGGTACGTCACGATCCCATGGCAAGGCTACACCGAGCGTTACGCTGTAGCCACTACATGTGGTGGCTCCAGATGGAATCGGCTAGGTACCATCTGCAATACATCCGGAAAACGAACGAGATTTTGTGATACGACACGCATCCGTGGTGACACACATACCAGCAAGTTGCTATCGAACTATCTGCCCGGTGCGGCCGGAAGGCTTAGTATTCACCGGCAACTGGCGGTTCGAAGGAAGCCGCCATCGTGTACAGCGTAGGTAGGTACATTCACGATAACAGTCGCTATACCGTATCCTGTGTGGGGAAATACTCTAGACACAGGCAGTTGCGAACATCCAGTCTTGCCGTACGTGGATCGCCACTAAACTCGGACATTTATCCAGCTTCATTCAACGGTAGGCTGCCGCGGCACGTCAACGTTGCCAGCCAGGCTCATTCTCGTCCATCCGTATCGATTGATCCTTCAGACGAATTTCAATGCCCAACCCGAGTCCTCGCCCATTGCCATTGCCGGAGACCCTCCGGGCACTATAATAGGTGTGCACCGGAGATCGACGTCGGGCCGCTGGCAATTCACGCAGGCTAGGATGAGACGCTACTACATAGACATATCCCGCCGACGAAAACGACATACTGGTAGTTACGGGCTCGGTGCGCATTCGGTCAGTAGAGACATGGGAATGAAAGCGCGGGCCTGGCGGGGATCTCGAAACGAAGGAAGATATCGGATCGAGGTTTTGCCGGCGGAGCAGTGCGGCTATGTACATACCTAGAAGCGTCTCACGGAGGAGTCCGGGCAGCAGAAAGAGGGGAAATATTCTTCGAGCCATCACATACAAAGCGAGACCCTAGTCCTGCTCATCTCCGCCCCCCAATACTGATCATTTACCAGCGCCCCCGGAGGCTGGAGCGTTGCATGTCGAAAACCGGCACATAACCATAGCAATGCAAGCCGCAGCTTCCTACCATCCAAACTCGCCATCGCAGTCCTCGGCGGCATGCGCCATGGCCGAGACAGGGCGTTGGCGGCGATGGTTAGACTATACAGCTTGCTATTTCCTTTCCTATCTATCGTCCTTGACGACAACGGATACGATGACGAAGGTCAGCCCTTCTGATCCCTTCTTTCTTCGATATTAGCCATGGGACTGTTGTGGAGTGTATCTTGATGTTTAAACAAAAAAAAAGCCGGCAGCGCAAGGCATGTCACTTGGTACTACCGAGTGATATCTCGAATATGTATCTAAGTAGTTCTTCAGCGTGTGTGAGCGCAGGGATGCGGCCTCAGTACCGGCCGCACCGACCGCACCGACCGCACCCAGCCGCACCCACCCTTCTTATAAAAGGCTCCTCTCTCTCCCCTCTCCGCTCTCTCTCCACCCTCTCTCCTCAACACAGACATCAACATCAACATCAACATCAACCACCCTCAACTCACCCGGCGGCCACTGGCCAGCCCGATTAGCCCCATGAGGGCAGTTATCCGCCACCGCAGCCGCAGCAGCGGCACGACGACATTCCCCGGCAACAACTGGGAGCCGCTAATACATCGACCCAGCGCTTTTGGAACCACCAAACCCCGATATACCCAACCACAAGGCTGTCTATGTCCCCCCGACGCGCCCAGGCTATGGCTCTCCAGGCGGCAATTACTTCAGACCGGAAGGGGATCCTGTGGATGGTAACCCCGCTTTTGACCCTGCCCTGGACCAGCAGGGCGGCATGCCAGGCAACGTATTTGATTTCAATGACCTCTTCGAGGGGTTAGATATTCCTATGCCAGACGGAAACATGGCGGGCGTCGCACTGATATCGGGGGGAATGATTCCCCCCCCTCCCCTTCGGGGACGTAAGTTACCACTTAATGAGTATCACTGCCGGGGCTTATGTAGCTAACCAATCATCAGGTACTCGCTGTCCTGAAGAAAATCACGGCTCAACGTGATACGGCACACATAGAGGTATAGGATCTTCTATGGCATGCCGATCGCTTGATGAGAATCCTGGCAGACCTCAGCTGGAGGAGTGTGACGTTTCTACGTCACATCAACGACCGAGTATTAGTCGTTGGCTGAGACGAAAAGCAAACCAGACGACCGCCCACCGGCGATGCGGGTATGTCCTGTCTCTTTGTTTCAACTTTTTGGATTATGAAAGAATGTACCTAACTTCGAACATTCAGACCGTACGAGGGTATCTAGACGATCACGAAACATTGCAAACGAGTTTGTCGAACGAGTCCGTTAGGGAAAACGCGGTGAGGAATTGGATCGGACGAACATTGGTGATGGACTTGGATTTTGTTTTTGCTGAGTTAGTAATTGCTTGCGACCTAAATAAATCATGGCAATATATGTACACACTCCGGTTCCACGCCACTGTGACCTGTCCAACCCGCCTAACTGTCCTGCCCTGCCATAGTGCTCTTGAATATGTACCTATGTATGTGCCTACTGTTTGTTGAAATATATAGAAGAACGACAGAGATAATTGAATTGATACTGAAAAAACCTATCATGAGCGGCGAGGGCTCTCTAAGTTATATACAAAACTAAGGGTGTTGGAATATCTAAGGACGACGAAGGTGGGGAAGAAACGGCAGAAGAGGAGGCCGAAGAGGGGAGCGATGCCTCCGGAGCCGAACAGGAGTGTCTGGTAAGGTACTGTGTCTTTGGTTGGTGCGGATAATGAGCGTGGTCGTGGCAGATAGCGGAGTAGGCGGACAACGAGCGTGGTGGTGTTTTGTTTTGGTAGCCAGTGGTGTAGCATCGAGCCGAGGCGATAGAGCTTTCTCTCTACCCCGTGGAACTGGCAGGAAAAGTCGGGAAGGTGGTGGTCGCCATACGATAGTAAAGGCCGCATGCGAGAAAAAATTGATGTTCTCTCTCTCACCTTATTCGTGCCGACATCTCCGAGCGAATAACGTTTGACACTGTTGGCTAGTTCCGCGGCGTGTGCGGGGGATGGGGGGGTGCGGTGATGCGGCCTCAGTACCGGCCGCACCGGCCGCACCCACCAAGCCGCACCCACCTTCCTTATAAAAGGCTCTGCTCTCTCTGCTCTCTCCGCTGCTCTCTATCTCTCCCAAACACAGACATTGACATTGACATCAACATCAACCACCATCAACTCACCCAGCGGCCACTGGTCAGCCCCATCAGCCCCCTGAAGGCCATTATTCACTGCCGCGGCACGAAGATACTTCCCTGAAACAAGTCGGGGATCTTACCCACAGCGGGGGGAATAATTTTCCCCCTCCCTTCGGGGACGTAAGTTGCCACATAATCTCACTGCCCCGGCTTATTTAGCTAACCAACCAGAGGGTTTGCACCCTCGGATTCCAGTGACCGTGGAGACACTCGAGTATGCGTTTTCGAATCGCTTGCCAAGTCTCGCATGGTCTGTCGCAACGAGCAGTACAAGTGCAAGGCAATCGTTCACGAGTCCTTGCGCGAGTACCCTCGTGTTCTGAGCGGAGGGTCATCTGACATTACCATGAGCCAGTCGCAGATGGAGAGTGACTTTGTTTAGCTCTTCCGACTGTTCGATCAGATGATGTTGTCCGAGTGCTTCTCGGCGACATCGGGGGAAATAATTTCCCCCATCCCTTCCGGGACCTTACCCACAGTGGGGGGAATGTTTTCCCCCCTCCCTTCGGGAACGTAAGTTGCCCCTTAACGAGTATCACTGCCGCGGCTTATGTAGCTAACCAACCGGTTCGATTAGCTGATGTTGTCGGAGTGCTTCGCGGCAACCAACCCCCCGACCGTGGAACTGTTCGAAACGGAGGACGCCAGCGTGACTTGCTCATTCTGTCGCTCCGACATTTGGAGCAGTTTCCTCACGTCAGGGTTGGTTGCCGAGCATGAAGAATTCCGGCTGGTCGGAATCCAGAATGCCGCGGATTTTTACGGCCTACGGCCGCTTGCCTGCTGCAACTGTGAGAAGACGATGTTTCCCGGCAAAAAGCCGGGGACCGCACCCACATCAGGGGGGGGGGGGAATTATTTCCCTCATCCCTTCGGGGACGTAAGTTGCCACTTCTTATCACTGCCCCGGCTTATGTAACTAACCAATCATCAGGTGCTTGCGGTGCCGCAGGAGGAGGGAGATACGAAGCCATACCAGCAGATTGGCACGTAATATCCGCTTTAATCAAACCATATCAATTCACAATAATGGCTCTACGAGGTCACCGTCCCTTTCGAGAAAGGGAACATTGTCTGGAGGGAGGGGAACGCAAAGCGTATGGGAGTCGCGAAGGCTGAGGAGACTCCGGTGGATCCCGCGCTGGGTGGTAACTCCTTTCCAGCAGCAGATTCACCAGGAAGATCACTAGGCAGGTCACCGACTACCACCGAACGCGATGAGGGACATGCAGCTAATACATTGGGCTCTATAGACAACGGAACTGGGACTAGGAAGCCTCGGGAAGGAGGCAAGGGAGGGAAAACGAGGATGTGAAGGAGGGCTTAGTGATAATCTTCATGTGCGGAGTCCGAAGTCGGCGTTTCTTAAAAATTAATCCTTGAGTTCTACGTTTGTTCTTTTAAATCAGTCTCCACGTTGGCGGGGTAGTGGTGGTGCCGCCCATTCGTCGGCCTTCTCATTCCCGGGGACGTCTTTGTGTGCCCACTGCTGGGCACCATCTGATCACAATGGTGATCCATCTGTGTACATCGATAGCCCTGGGCGTTGTGGGCCTGCTGCGCGCGTTTTGGCTACGCTCGCCTCGTCTTTGGTGACCGTGAAATCCAGTGCTTCAGCCTCAGCTTCGTCTAATAGCACTGTCTCCTCTGTCTGTCCGGGGTTTCCAAGGAGGATAACCAGTCGTTGTCCGAAGGCGCTGTCCGCTCCTACTAGGTCTCTGGCCTGTTTTCCCTTTGAGGCTCCGGATGGAATCGGCTACCTATGCAAAAGGTACATCTGAAAACGAACGAGTTTTCGTGATACGACACGCGCCAGGAAGTTGCTGTCTATCTGCCCGGCATGGTGTGGCCGGAAGGATTGGTATTCACCGGTAACGGGCGGCTCGAAGGGATCCCGCCATCGTGTACGGCATAGGTAGGTAGGTACATTCACGATAACAGTCGCTGAGTACTTAGGTAGGTATATCTCGTGCGGGGATATATTTACCCAAAGGCAGTTCCTCACATCCATTCTTGCCGTACGTGGATCGCAACCAAATCGGACATTCATCCAGTGAATTCTACTCGGTAGGCTGGCCGCCGCACGTCAACGTTTCCAGCAAAGCTCATTCCCGTCATCCAGATCGATTAATCGCTACTCGGATACTGCTGCTCGGATACCGTTGCTCGAATAACGTTGCTCAAATAACGTTGCTCGAATAACTCTTGTGTATGTGCGTCGCATACCATGGAATCGCAAGATGGGGGTCTTTGTGCAGTACAATGTATATTGTGCATACCTTATGTCAAACTTTAGTCGCCCGGGCCGGGAGACGTCGGCACGAATAAGATTTCGCAGTAGAAGGTCAAGATTGGGTCTCGACTGCCGCAACGGATTGTCGACGAACATATGGGTACGCGGCGGCGAACCTTAGGCGGCGCCTCATATATGTATAAAAAGAGAGGCCTCGCCGCCGATGATAGGTTTTATCCGTATCGAATCAATTATCTTTGTCATTCTATCTATACATTTGAAATTTCAACACCTTATATCTTGAACTTCCGCGAAGTTCAACGGAAGCTCCTCTAACAGAAAGTACGAGCCCGGAGCGAGATATCAAAATCCGTTCCTACACTCCCGGTACATAGGACGTTAAAAACAAGCAACCGGTAACTTACGAGGTGAATAAGGTAGGTAGGCGTCCTCAGCTACCTTAGGTATCTATCTACCTACCTACGTTCGGTGATTCCCGTCTTCTCGTGGCGCCGCCGCCGCCAACCAGGTGGTGTTATATATCTTTGCGAGTGACCACCCATGGGACGATGTAGGAATGCGGCAAGTCCACGTATCGTGGCCGAGCTGCGTTTGAGTTGCCTCCCCCCCTCCCCCACTTTAAACTCACCAGACGTATCACTTTAAAAATAGTCATCAATGACTGGACAACAGTACTCACCATTCAACTGCTCGACATTCAATACGCGGCGATCGAACAGCTTGAATGGACGGCCACTGTAAGTCTGTAACCAGTCACATTCCATGTCCCCGCCGAGGCTCGAGCTATATATTTCCACGACAGGACCTTCGAGAAACTGCCAAACCTCGAAACCTCGAAACCTCAATGACTACACAGACTGCACATCCATCCGCCCCAAAGCCATCAGCATCATCAGTTTACGCTCACGAAACGTTCTCGGATAAACCACCACCAGAAGCAGCACCACCACCACCACCACCACCACCACATCTTGCTTCAGAAATTAGATCTCACCATCATGTCCTCCTCACCTCCCTCAAACCCACACCTCCGCCTCCGCCAGCGCCAGCGCCACCACTACCACTACCACTACCACCACCAGCAGTCACCGGAAAATCCCACATCCGCCACATCCGCAGCATCCACAACAGACACATCAGACGCACCAGACGGCATCAGCGACTTCCTGCACGAGCTTTCGGACCTCGAAGCGCAGTCCACGCACGGGGTCTTTGAAGTCGATCAGGAGGAGCGCTGGGATGTGGTGAATGGCTTTCTTCGCATCGCGAGGGAGTGGCTGCTGGCGTTCGAGCGGTGGGTGGCTGCGGATGACTACGGGTAATGGGTGGCTGTGTGTGATGGGTGAGCACGCGTGGACTGTGGTAGGGGATAGGACTGGCTTGGGAGGTGACAGCCTGACGGGTACTGGCGTACCATGCATAGAGTATTGTACATAGGTAGTAGTGTTTCCGTCGCGGCCTCAGACTATCGGAATTCCATCCTGTCTTCCCCATTCCGTCCAGTCCTGTCCAGTGTCCGGTGATCTCACGCAGAGCTCAGAGCTGTGGCGTTACTGCTCTGCCCCGCTGCGGAATTCTCTGTATGTAGAGCGATCGAGCACCTGAGCACCTACCTGGTAGGTAACTACCAGTACCGGTAGCTACCAGTAGACACCAGTAGATACCAGTGTACAGCACATCGCCGTGCACGCAGTACGCAATACTCACTCTGACGCGCCGACGTCAGAGCACGGCGAACTGCACCACGCCGTCCTCAGCCACCCAGCGTACATCTATACATACCGACGCATCACCCACGAGTGATGCGCACGCCGCACAACTCATAAGTGAAGCAACTTGCAAGCAACTTGCAAGCACCCGTGCCGATTGCGGCTGAAGACTGAAGTGCTGCACCCAAGTACTGGGTACATACTATGTAGTACGTAAAACCGTCAGCTTCGCATGCACATTGCAGGGGAGGGGAGATGGATAGATGGGTACCGTCATGGGCATCTGGGAAGGAAGTCACTCTAGGTACTTGGTAATATATGCTCTTCTCCATAGTATCATACGTGTGCCCGCCGCCGCCGCACTCCGCCGCACTCCGCCGCCCGCGCGCGTGCGCGTTTCACCCCGGGGGGGGGGGGGGGGGAGGCGCGAGGGAGAGGGCGGGAAACATCGTCTCGACTCTTGACAGCATCCGTTATGGCATGACACGGTGCCTGGAAGGAAGGAAGGAAGGAAGCAAGCAAGCATGCAAGCAAGCATACAAGCAAGCATAGTTACAGCTGCACAACGCACAATGTACATGCGTTAGTCCGATTGCCTGATTACATAGAGTACTCTAGACAACTGACTGGGTCGCAAGGTTGCAAGGTCGTCGCAACAGCAGCAACAGTAGCACCGGCCCGAATGTCCGTGCCCCCCCCCGTTGTTGATACCCCTATCTTATGTCGCTATGTTTCCAGGAACGCGACCGCTTTTGCGGGGACGGGGATGGGTATGGGGGAGCGGGGGATAGTCGATGCTGCTTCCAGAGCGGCAGATGCCTGGAGTACATATATTTATCGATAGGAAGCAAGCAGGACGGCCGCCCACCGCCTGCCGCCCCACGTATGTATGCATGGAGTACGTACGTAAGTGAGCAGTGCGTGTACACGATGAAATCGGTGCATATATGACGAGTACCTACGTTGCTTGGCTATCGTGCTTGGCTGTTGTGTTTTCTGTTTGCTGCTCTCTGCTTGCTGCTTTCTGTGGGGTGGCTTCGTTCGCGATGCACACAATGAAACAATGAAACGAATGTCGCGGCCCTCTGGATATGTAGATATTTAGACTACGGTATATTCTTCGTATGATACCCAAGTAATCATGGTACATACGGTACATACGGTACATACGGTACATACGGTATATGATACGATATGCACGACAACACGGCGACACGGCGACACGGCAACACGGCGACACGGCGACACGGATCGCAACGGTGCATAAGGATATGCAGGTACCTGTCCAGCCCCCCTTCCAACACACGAGCTCATTTCAGCTACATACGGTACGGGAGGTACGGGAGTTACCGGTATGATGTGAATGTATGTAGTACTCTACCTATCATGTATCAGCGCGGCCATGCGTCGTTGCTCTCCCTCCCCAAAAGCCACCAACCCAGAAGCCACCAACCCAGAAGCCACCAACTCATTCCCTCTCGTATACGGATCCAGTGCCTACCGGTACTTACTCATGTAGAATTCAACATTTGCTTCCTTTTGCGCACCGCTCAGCATAAGTATCGTACTGCATACCAAGGAATACTCTAGAGTCTAGAGCAACCAAGTAAGAAGTAAGTCATAAGAATGTATGCATGGTGCATCTACCGCTCCAATCACCACCAATCACCTCGTCGATCATCCGATCATCATCCACACCAATCCACACGGCCCTACAACAAAAGCAAAACCGCAAAGTGCAGCGGCGAGACAGACAGAAAGCGAGAGAGAGAGAGAAAAAGAGAGAGAAGAGAGATGACGATGTCTTACGGCTCGGTAATGACTTCCTCACACACACACACATCACGCACACCACACACACCACTCAAGTCTCACACACCCACAGTGCACACCCACCAGCACCACCCACCAGCACAAGCCAAACACCACAGGCCCCCTCGACAGGGGATGGAAAAGAAGGAAGAAGGGAGAAGGGGGTGCCTGAATTCAGAAGCAAGGCTGCAGCCCTTCCACCCTCCATTCCGTACCTGCAGCAGGAAGGAGCAAGCTGCGACCGCCGAAATGACGTGAAAATTGAATTCAGCACAGCCTCAATTAACAATTATCGCTTAGCCTCCCCTCCTCCCCTCCTCGACTCCCAGTCCCAGTCCCGGCCCCAGTCGCAGTCCCAGGCTACTCAAATATCTGATGTGCAAGTGCAGACCCTTCTTTCCTTCTTTATTTCTTAGTTAAGGGGGTGCTCTCCATCCTCGCTTCGCTTGCGAGTTGCAACGCTTGCTCGGTTTGGTGCCTGAACCACCCCGGCCCCTGCACCGGTCCTGGCCCTGGCCCCTGAAGGGAAATAGGGGGAAATCATATGGCTCGCTCAACGCAACTCAACTCAAACGTCACCGGAAAAAATCAAAAACAAAATATAAAACAGAAGTGGAAGCGGAAAGAAAGTCGCAGATGAGCGTGATATGGTCTACAGTTAGTGGTATGTAAGGTGTAAGATGCAAGTATGCACAAAGATGCAAGAGATGCAGTGCAATGCAGTGCGATGATGATATGCGACGATGAAGGGACAAAACAGACATAATGGAATTTCAATAGATACTTGGAAGAGAACCAAAACCACATCCCCCTCACCTCCACACTCAACCATTTCCCCCCCCCTCTTCCCGTCTCCATAGACATCATACCTAGATCATCCCCTTTTGTCCAAAAAAACGTGGATGAAATAAAACTCACACACACACCTCCGATAAATGAATGACTGAACAAGAAAGGAAAAGGCGAAAAGATATGAAAAGAAAAAGAAAATAAACGATTCCAAAATGCGGCGGCGATTAGGTATTACTGTTAAGTCCCCATTTCCCCCTCTCTGCTTGCTTTATCCCTTCTAAAAAAAAGCCTTTTTCGTTTCGTGAGACAGACGCGCGGAGACATTTAGTACACACTGTAGGTGGGCAGGGGCTCATCGGGGTAGATGGAGGTGAAGGCCGTGGTGACGGGCATTTCACACGTGGCCGGGCAGACAGTGGTGTAGCTCTTGACGACGACGGTGGTCACGCCGTTGTAGACCTTGGTCGACGTAGGGACCGGGACCGGCGCGTAGGTGGTCGCGGGCTCGCCGTAGACGGGGACGCCGACTGTGGCGGACGTCTTGGGCTCCTCGTACACGGGAACGCTGGGCGCGGGCGCCTCGTACACCGGGACGGAAGTCGGCTCCTCGTAGGTCGGGACGGAGGTGGGCGCCTCGTACGCCGGGACGGAAGTCGGCTCGTCGTAGGTCGGGACGGAGGTGGGCGCCTCGTACACCGGGACGGAAGTGGCCTCCTCGTAGGTAGGAACGGAAGTAGGCACCTCGTAGACGGGAGCGGAAGTGGGCTCCTCGTAGGTCGGGACGGAAGTGGGCTCCTCGTAGGTCGGGACGGAAGTGGGCTCCTCGACGGGCTCCTCAGGCGCGTAGGTGGGCTCGGGAGTGTAGATGGGGTAGGTCGGGACCTCAGGCACGAACGTAGGCTTGGGGCGGATGTAGGTGGGGAGGAGCGAGACGACGGCATCGGCGATGGGCTTGGCCGGGGTCGAGTCGACGAGGTCCTCGTCTGCAAGGGTGAAACCGCACTTCTTGTGCTCGGTGACATCGTAATGGGTCAAGAACTCTCCGACGGTGGGGAGCATGGTCTCGTCCTCGGGGTACTCAACCTCGGCGGACGAGATACCTACCTTGAGCGAGGGCAGCTCCTTGAGGGGAACCTCGGTGTGGCCTCCAATAGAGACAACCCACCTCAGCCTCTCCTTGAGGAAAGGAACGACATCCTCGGGGCTCAGCGACTTGCATCCGGCCTCGAGCAGGGCATCGCTCAGGTAGACGGCACCGGCGGTGTTCATGGTCATGGTGTGCTTGGGGTCCTTGAGCGAGGCGGTGGAACCGACGAAGTGGGCATCGTGGCTGATGGGGCCCTCGTAGGTGCTGTTGCCGTACGAGCCGGGGGTGCCAGTCGACTTAGGAGGCATGGCGGTGCCAACTGGCGAAACGTAGGTGCCGTTGGTGGACGGGGGCTTGTCGAAGTAAACCTTGATCATGGAAGAGTCCTTGAGCTCGCCGATATCGTACGTCATGTGGCAGATCCACTCGCGGCGGGTGTGCTCGTTGGCACGCTTGGCGCTGGTGGAGCCGGAGCTGTAGAGACGGTTGATCTCGGAGCTGGTGAACGAACGCAGACCGGTGGGGTTACCACGGAAGGAGTCGGGGACCTCGCTGTACGAGTATCCGAAGTTCCAGATCGAGTCGGCGGACGAGACATCACGGGAGGTGTAGTAGGTACCGGTGGTCTTGCGGAAAGGCGCGAGGGGAGTGTCAATGGTATCCATGAGGGTGCTACCGTCGGCGACACGTCTGTGGAAAGTGCCAGCAGCAGGGCGGGACTCGACGACTCTACCGGGGTTGACAGCCTGGTACATGGCGATCAGACGATCGACGTTGCAGTGGTGCAGCCAGAAGATGGGGTCAAACTACACAAATCCGTTAATATAAAAAATCCGTTCCTCCCGGAAAAAGGGACTTACGGCAGAGTAAGCAACGGCCGTCATGTGACCGCGCTGGCCACCAATGTGAACGTGGATGCTGTTGTGGATGGACTCGACCGAGTTCCAGGCGTTGGGGCTTCCGTTGGTGTTCAACTGGGTTCCGGAGAAGTCGCTGAAGCTGGGGATGGTGAACAGGGCGAAGACGGCGTTCCTGCGCGAGGTGAAACCCTCGTTCATGGCGACGTCGACGGCGGCATTGTTGCTGGATGCCATGTTCACGGGAGGCTGACGGCGGGTGCGGTCGGTCAGACCGAAGTCACCGTCGCCCATCCACTCGGCGCGGAGGTTGGCGTTGGTAAATCGGTACTCGCGGAGCGGGTTGGCAATGCTGACGGTCTGGGGGACACCACCGGTACCGGGGCGGACGACGGTCACACTGGTGGCGGTGAGCTGCGGCGGCATGCGCGACTGGAGGTCGGCGGCGGCCCAGTCCCAGTACGGCAGACGGACGTTCCTGGCCGCGGCCTGGTACCGTGCAGCGGAGCTACCGGTGAACTTGGACGCAACGTAGATGGCATGCTTGAGGAGACGCTCCTCGAACAGGGCAAGGAAAGGTCTGTGCCAAGTGGCGAAAAGCACTGAAGTGTGCGTGCAGTATCCAGTGGAATCGTCCTGCGTGGCCACGGAAGTCTCCTGCCAAGGAACAAAAGGCACACCGTGAATACCAGAGATCTGGTAGTAGGAGAGGGGATCGGTCTCCTGCTTATTGCTCTGCATATCTGTCTATATTCCGCAGGGTAATTAGTACGGTTCGATGGAGCGCGCCCGACACCCGATTCCGAGTCCAATTCCGAAACCGAGATCGAGACCGGGATGGGGAGGGAATATCCTTACCAATGCCAACACAAACATGTTGTAGATATCCGGCCGGTCGCTGGCCATGTACTGCAGCGGCAATCGCCGCACAACGCGGTTGTCGTAGACGATGGGTCCACGGACGGGGTAGAAGCCGCTGACTGGTTGCTGAGCTTCGGCACCGGCTGAAAAAAGCGTGACCGCGGCCGAGGTGGCCACTGCCACGAAAGTTGAGAACTTCATGACCGCTAAACGCCTCGAAGGGAAGGAATGACTATCGAAGTAAAAAGGTCGTGACAAAAAACGAAAGGGCTCGAAAGTTGAATTAGTTTTTTAGTTGGTAAGAAAGAACTCGGAGGATCTTGGGGATAACGAGTGAACCCAGGAATCCGATGAAGCTGCGGTGTTGAATATTCAGGAAGAGGGGGAGGGCGCGGCCCACTTATATTTGCAGCAGGGTGGTAGGATCGCTTCAGCGAAACCGCGCTCCCCAGGGCCTTTACGCTCGTTCCCGAAAAAGCATCCCTCCATCCCTCCCTCCCTCCCTCTCACCCACCTTCCCTCGCTCCCTCGCTCCTTCAGGGTGCATGGCCCAATCACGCTACGCCGGAAGAGATATCCTCACAACCGCCGTCATCCGCCCTGGGTGGGGGAGGGGGGGATGGTTGCCTTGATTATTGGCTGGGTGGCACGAATGCTAAGCTTTCAATCACCACCAGGGACCAACAGCTGCGCCTGGCCTGTCGCCGCCAGCTCAATGGGCATCATGGATCACCCGATCAGAGGGAGGCCTTGCCTGGGGAGCGGCAATACGGATGTGAAGCAACGTCGGCACCGGAGCCATGGCAGCGCGCGTGCGAGGGTGCGAGGGTGCGTGTGGGCGGGAATCCGCAGGAGGACGAGCGTGGCTGGAGGCCGGAGGCCGGAGATGTCGACGCTCAGCGTTCGTGATGTCCCTGGCGACTCCGCTCGTTCGCCCGTTTGCGAGCATCACGGGCATCCGAGTCCCGCGTGGCCCTTCGCGGAGAACACACAGCCCGAGACACATCTGGGGGTCACTCGTGTGGTGCTGAGATCTCTGTGGTCCTCTGTTCGGCTCTTCTGGTCTGGTCTCGTTTGCGGGCTTGGGCTTGGCCCTTGCAACAACAACACGAGCAACACGAGCAACAACATCAACAACATCATCAACATCAACATCAACAACAATAACAACAACAGGCTGATTCTCTTTCTCTCTCTCTCTCTCTGTCTGTCTCTCTCTCTCTCTGCCTCTCTGCCTCGCTCACTGGCTTGGCCTTGTCCCCGAACCTCGCTCAGGAGTAGGCCTGAGCGAAAAGCAATGTCAAAGTCTTGTTCGTTTCTCGATGCGGTAAGCCTGGCGCCGCCCCCCCTCCTCTCCCTGGATTGGACATTTCGAAACGTGGAACGAACGGCAAGCCCTCGTCCCGCCCCAATCAGGCGTGGTTGGGCGCACCAAAGGAGGGAAGGTGACGGCGCTACACACGACGCGGATTGGCGCAGAGACTTCAGCCCTCCCACGCTACCCATTTGAGGCCGCAGTCACCAGTGTGCCAGCTGCCAGTAGGCACCATGATGGAGGATGTACCGAGAGCTCTATGCTACTAGTAGCTATGACCAGGAGGTGCTCTATATGGGAGAAGCGTTTGGATCTATCGACTCCTTCGAGACGACGGCTGCACGCGATATAGTGATGTATGGAGTCATCGGCTCTAGGTTAGTCGATTAGACCAGCATGTGGGAACAGCGCTGCACAGAATAGGAAGCATATCTAGTCACCTATTACCCGGAGGCCGGAGATCTCGTTCCTGTCTTCTTCCAGCGTCGCCCCGACTCCATCTCGGCGGAAGTAGCAATAGTAGAGTACGGTTCCCAGTCCATCCAGCGATACCCTACCAACCCACCCACCCACTCACCAACCCACGGGTGTCTATGTGGAGTAGGTAGCATATGATGGGAACTTGGAGCCTCCGCACGGTCGGGGCATATCCAGGTAAGCCCAACTTCCCCGGATCCCTTTTCGCTCTCCCTCCCTCCCTCCCTCCCTCTCCATCCGTTCCGTTAGTTAGTTAGGGTGTATAGCCAAGCACGCCCAGACACTGGGCAGAACTCGGAACCGACACGGTGACACCCCAACTGTAACTAACCACAGTCCATCGCAATCTCCATCCTGCGAAACGCGCCACTCCGTTCCGGACGGACGTGAATGTTCGACACATAGATATGTAGAGTACAGCGAGTGCTGCTGCTGCCAAGGTGGTCGATGCCGATGCCAATGCGGATGCGGATGCTGAGCTGGCACGATGTCGGCGTAAGTTGGCGTCTTCTTGACGACGTTGATGATAATGGTGACGACGATGGTGAAGGTACATAAAAGTTGAACGCAAAGCTACCCCCCGTTTGAAGCGATTGGACTAGGTTTATGGATCGAGAAACTCTGCCATCTACCATCTAACAGAATAGTAGTAGAGTGCTTCCAGATTCGAGTCGAATCGTTACATACTCTCCATGCGAGCCCATGGAAGCAGGATGATGGCTGCACCCTTCGACCTTCGACCTACCTTCGACCTTAGCTAGAGCACTCTGCTCACTCTACTAGCACCACGATGGTTACGAGGGGGATCGGGTGACATTCTATTTCCGTCCCTCCGTTTAATACGTTTGATACGGGCGGCCTCAGCCTCATTTATGCTTTCGTTGCTGATTGGTCGTTTCCGTGTTTCGACGATCTTACCCCAGGATTCAGGTATTCTACATACTCCCAGGCCTCCGCCAATAACTACATAGAGGATGTGTTTTTTTTTGCCGCACACTTGCGCATGTCGCATTGAAGGAGGAGAAGGACGAAGAATGAAGAAAGTAAGGCCTTGATCGGAGGCTCAGCCTCGCGGCGTAACGTTGTCAGATCTTGGAGCACATACGTTCCACGAGAAGAGACGAGGCGAGGCGAGACGAACCGAAGCTGAACTGCGGTACGTTCAGCGTCCCCGCAAGGGCTGAGGATTGACTCCGTCACGGTCCGCGAGGTCGGCCGTGCGATCAGATCGATTCGCTGGTGATCGACGCGGTCAACGTCTTCAATTTCGCCATACCTAAATATGTATATCCGTGTAGATACCGTACCGTAGGTTACGTACGTATTCAACTAGTGACTCCGCTGCATGGAGATTACTATGTGTGGTCGATTATGCTCGATTATACTCGAACCCTCCGCCATCATCACGGTCCGTCCATCACGGTCCACGACCACAATAACGGCAACGGCAACGGCAACGGCAACGACAACGACAACGACAACAGCGACAATAGCGACAACCACCGCCACCATACCGTGCATTGCACTAACTAATTATGTAACTACAAAGCTCCCTTAGGCGAGCCCAACTCCCAAGTCAACATACCATGTGCAAGTGCAAGTTGGGAAATCTTACGCCCTTTGCTCTTCACGCTTCACCCCCGGCGCCGGCGTCGACCGGATACAGACATTCAATTTCGATGAATCCAACTCGTCCAACTCGCTGGAGCACGCCACCTCCTCTACCACCTCCTCAAACTCCCACGAACCACTCGTCCGGTACTTACTCGAAGCGGCCGCCGGTGAGTCAACATGCGCCTCCAAACCTTCATGTAAGACCAAGCCTTTAAGACCAAGCCTTAAGACCAAGCCTTTGAGGATGGGGATGGGGATGTGGATGTGGGGTAGGATTTGGGATTTGGGATTAGCATTGTATGAAGGCACTCTATCTATGCTACATATGTACATACTCGGAGTGGCTCACCTCGCCTTACATCGTCTCACCGCGCCGCGCCGCAGCGTTGACAGCGGATGTCACGGGGGACGGGGGGTGATATCGCAGACTGCATACAAGTGGTCCCGAACTCCAGCTTCGAACTCCGTCCCTCCGTCCCTACCGGTCCCACAATCCTGCAGTCCCGCGGATCCGATCCATCATCCGAGCGAAGCGGGTGGATTCAGGATTCAGGATTCATCATATCCGGTGAGGACAGAGGTGAGGCGAAAGAAAACCAAAAAAAAAAAAACAACCAAACGAGAGAAAAAAAAGTGATTAGTTAGTGCTGATATGAGCATCCAAGTTGAGCGCGCGTGAGCACTGGACAAGCTGCGAGCGAGTAGGCAGGGCAGGAGTTGATCGGATCCTGCCAGCTGCCAGCTGCGAGCCGAGACGTGCCGAAGCTGCGAGTAGAGTAGAGTATGTAAGAATAGAACGTCCATCGACCAACGAACGAAATAAATCCTCGTGAGCTCCTTTGCTCCTGTGCTGGTGGGATACACTCTCATTTACATATCTATCCGTTCTATCCGGACAACGAAGATTCTTCAGAACCTCGTATCTACTCTAGATACAAAGGGTATAAGGATGCACATGGTGGCATATGATATTGGGATTTGGGACTAGTAATCCGGCCTTATCCGCATCGCATACCTGGGTACCCAGAATCCCAGAATCCCAGAATCCCAGATGGTGTGTGGCTGTGTGTGGGTGTGTGAACCAAGGAGTTACATAACTAGAGTTTCGAACAACAAACACCCATCCATCCATCCATCCCGTATGTAGAGTACTGAGTGTCGATAGTAGATACATAGATACCTAGTCCACTTATGTTAACCTATGCAGCCCAGCTGCAGCCTCCAGTCCAGTCACCAAAACTCCCGTCGGAACTCCCGTCGGAACTTCTGGCGTCTGGGAGTCTAGGAATCAGTCTGGGAGTCAGAAGTCTGGGTCGATTCCCTCCGATCGGGCATAACTGCCAAGTGTGACGCACGCGCGCAGCGGCGCAGGATAGGGATCAAGTGGCCATTACCAAGATGCAAGGGAGGGGAAGGGGGAGCGTTTCGAGAGCCGGAAGGAAGCTGAGACGCCGTCACGCCGCCGCCGGCGCTCGTCAATAATTCGCCGAAAAGGTTTGTTGCGGGGAGAATGCGGTACTTGGGTGGTCATTCAAGCGACGGTGCGTTTTTTTTTCTCCGTTCCGCGACCGCCCGGCAGAACAGAAAAGAAGCCTGCAGCTGCAGCTGCAGGCAGGCAGGAGAAACGCGAAAGTTGAAAGACAAAACGGCTGAGCGGCGGCGATGGAGATCTTGCCGATATTTCGATGATGAGATAGCTACTATCCCGCCATAGCCCGCTATCGAGTGGGACTGGGACATGCGGGGGACGGGAGGGGCGGGACTTTGAGAGAATGGGTGAGAGAGCGTGAGAATGGGTGAGAGAGCGTGAGAAAGCGTGAGAGCGAGCGTGCCGTGTCGCCGAGCGCGAGATCGACCAATCCAGAAGGTCTCGAGTATGACCGTCAGCGAGAGCGAGGAACAGGTGCCAGGGAGAGGAAAAGGGAGAAAAGAAAAGAAAAAAGAGTAAGGGTTCCCTCCCACACACACATCTGCCTCTCCGTGGTTCACAGAGTAGCGCCTTCACACCTGCGCGTGCTCGTATTCAATTCGCATAACCATAACCATAACCATCGTCCGGTCAGTCTTTCACACCTGCCTCCTGCGAATCAGATACAACTGGTGCCTGATCGACACCAACCAGGGGAACCGTAACGCAACACCGCCGAGCACTCGGAGATCTCACGGCTGCATGGCATCCTCAGGCTCTCAGGCGGCTCTCTCTCTCCTGAACTGCGCATCGTATCGCACCGTATCAGGCTCCCCGCCCCCAACCACAGGGTATGAACATACTCGTACTATGTACCGCTTCTCTATTGGGCCTTGCCTGCCTAGCCGCCTCTGTGGCTGCTAGAGAGAAAGAAAAGCCCATTCGACCACGGAGAGGAGTGGCCCCATCTCTCTCGTCATCAGATAGCCACCACCACCACAACCATCAGCCTTGTTGACGCCCCCCCTCCCGACCCCGTCTCGACGTGTGGTGGCATATGTACTCTACTCTACTTTACGTCGGTCCTCACCGGGGAGTGGGGTGCACCGTACTCCATGCACGTACCTGCATGGAATACGCGAGAATCTGTTCCCCAAGAGGCTTTCTGACATTCCAGCACAACACATTCGCTATGTGTGGTGCTCTACCCGCGCGCATATCCTGTAGTAGTAGTAGTAGTAGTAGTAGTAGTAGTAGTAGTAGTAGCAGTGAGCACTGAGCAGTGAGCAGTGAGCACTGAGCAGTGAGCACTGAGCAGTGAGCACTGAGCAGTGAGCACTTGGCAGGCAGTCAGCACCTCTCTCTGCTTCTCTCTCTGCTTCTCTCTCCTCTTCTCTGCTCTTCTCTTCTCTCCTCTGGCGTGCCTCGAGCGGGCAAAACGCAGTGTACTCACGCTGCATACTTACATCACGCCACAACACCCCCCTCCCCCTTCCTCCCCCCGTGCGTATGTCAAGCACCGCTTGCTTACATGCGGTACCGTACCGTATCATACCTGCTCATTTAAACCCAACCCATGATCTTTGGCCGGTCCGACCTCGCTTCGCCAAATTCAGACGTGCAGTGCAGTGCAGCCAGTCACGAATCACGACGGACGCCTCGTCGCCTCGTTTCTCAAAGCTCCATTTCGCATGTGCTCCACTCTAGTTACGCTAGGCAGTAAGCTATGGATTCCGACTATCTACAGTACGTACCCGGTAACAACAAGAATCGCTTCCCAACAGACGCCGTCGACTGTCCGCCGTTCCGGCTTCATGGCATATACATACAATCTATGCAGGTACGCAGGTGCTCTAAATAACTCGTGCCATGCGGCCTAGCTGGGCTCGGTAAACCGGCTCGGAACTCGATGTGCGGCCATCCATCCACCACAGACTACAGTCAAGCTTTTGATCGGACAACTAGCATGTCTAGGGGGATGGTTATGCAGTTACTATAGTATCATACTATAATCTGGCGCGTCTTTTGCCCCATTTCCACGGCGAAGGGCCGTTCCGGATATCAAAGTGCGAAGTATAATCACGGATAACTGGGCAATATTCCCCAGAGGGGAGTAGAGTCGAGTGGGTAGAGTCTATTCTCACCGGCCCGTCAGTGTCCCCTATATACCGGCACTAGGTGGTAGACTGTAGAGATGCAGGGACAGCGTGATAATTCATATTGCCGATCTACCTAGGTACATACCACTAGCACATATCATAGGTGCCCACTTCACTATTCTACACTACTCAATCTACACACATCTACACACATCTACATACCATCACCCTAGGTACCTAGCAGAAGATAGAACCCCCACCCAAACCCCCCAAACCCCCAAACCCTATGAGAACATCGATCAAGGCCCGCACACCCACTACATACTCAACCGGCCCCCGGATCCCGGCTCCACACCGCGTGCCAAAATTGCTACGACTCGGATAACTACTAGTAACTACCAGTTCACCGTATAGCTGGTTATACATAGCAGAAAGTAAAGTAGGTATTTCGCCAACAGTCGGAGCCTGAACGCAGCACCACGCGGCTTCCCCACAGACGTCTTCGTCTTCGTCTTCGTCTTCGTCTTCGTCTTCGTCGTGGAGCTTCGAACTTTGGACGTCAAGCCGGCAATGGGGGCTACTAACTGCTATAGGTATTAGGGGCTGGAGGCTATATAGTAGCGCTCCCGGCGGCCGTACGTGGGCGTCTAGCGAGTCAGCGATGAAGCTTGAAAGGAGGCTGACGGTATGGTATTCTGCCCATCTGGGTAGATAGAGTACTGGTACTTTACTTGCTTCAACACGGGTACTCTATGTAGACTCTGGACTCTGGGTATGTAGAGTACGGATACGTTGGTATCGGCTATATACTACTATACCTACTACCTACTACCCAGTATCTATATGGATCTAGGTATATGGTACGGCGTAGTCTGAGCTCGATGTCTGCATACCTACCTTTGCGTATGAACTTGTATCTTGATATGTACAGGATTTAGCCGGCCACGGATTGAATCTTGATAGATTCATGCTACGGCATATATACCACCTATATATAGAGGTATGTATGCCCCAGGTATATGAGCCTGCCTGGCTGGTGGTTATTTATCTACCACCTAGGTACTATGGAGTAGAGTAGATAGAGTAGAGTAGATGTTTCATAGAGTAATAGCCGTTATATGTATATCTACTACATATAGTATTGCTGCCTCGCCTGCCTGTTCCGCGGCCACAGACCACAGACCACAGACCACCGGCTCTTCGGCGCACAGTGAGGCCCGGCCCGAGTGAGGCCATGTGCGGTGGCGGCGAAGATGCGCGGCGGCCTGGGTGCTGTAGTGTTGTGCAGTATAGTGCAGTGCAGTGTAGTGTATTGTAGTGTATGTAGCAAGGCTCTCACTAGGGTCGGCAATCTGCATCTCTCGAGCATACGCCGTCGCGCTGGATACCGGCTGGCGTCTCGACGGTGAACTTCGCAGTCAGGTCGCTGCTTTCGTGCGTTCTTCATGTGCGGTCACTCGATGAGTCGTGGTGGTGGGATAGCATCCCCCACCCACCTGCTGCTGCAAACGCCGGTCCGGGTGTGGATTGGGATTCAACAGACACCACCAATTCCGCTACGTCTGTGAAACTCTTGGTGCACAAGGGCTTAGGGGATATTCTCTTCTTTCAACAATGAGGAAATTCTCTGACATATGCGAGGATTTCGGAAGCGTTAATGGTTGGTTGGGACAATTGGTGCAGTATCATTACAGGGCACCCTCCAATGCTTGAAAATATTGGTGGAGCAGGTATTCGCGGGTTTTCCCAATCTGTGGGTACTTTGATAAGTGGCTGAGCGAGTGAGTGTCATGCACTAACCTCTGGTCTCAGGAGAAGTTGCATCATGGTCAGTCACACGGCAGTATCACGTGGAAGGGCTTGTGCTCGCCCAATTACTAGGCGTGAGTAGGGCTTGACAAGCAAACTTTCGCCGACTCCGACATTTACATATAACCCCCCCTCTCCCCATCTCTTGGACGGTATGTCGACTTTACTTCATAGTTCGTACCCCCTACCTGCGCCTCCTACCCCCAACCTCCGCCTCCTACCTCCGCCTCCCTTCTCCCGCCCCTATATACCACAATACTAACACTATCTATCCATCCAGGGATAATTTCTATAGTAAACCGTCCCATCTGAACTCTTTACAAGAGCCACAGATCAATCTCCAACCTGGACGATGATCTGTATCCTCGCCGCCCCAGAGTGAAGCCTGTTTTTTGTTGCCCGTCCTTCGGAATGAGTGGGTGATGATCTCGACTTGAGTTTCCGTATACCTAGCGGTGGGAACGAGGGTGGGCGGCCATGGTGGTAGGTATCTTGTCTGCTGGGCGTGGCGGTGGACGAGAGCAGACAACACGCATGTACATAGATCTGGGTACTATAGTGATACCGGGAGCGAATGACTGCAGCAAAAGTTACCGCGGCGAAATGCTCACGTTGTATTTCCTATGCACCGGTTCGGCGACTATTCCGAGTGACGGATCGTGCAGGAGTGTTGGTCCGCTGTGCGGCAGGGACTGATCGGACGTTTGTGTAGGATGCCATTCATCCTTGAAGCTCGGTGGGCGGCCGTTCGTCAATAGCCCGCGGCTGCTACTGAGCGCCAGAAGTGCAACATGCGGCTGGACCAGTGGTTTGTTTACGGTCACGTACTTGGATGGTCCACGATAATGTCCGAATTCAAACCAATATATTGCTATGCATAAAGACCGTACATAATGATCGCAGCTCCGAACCGAGGAACTCTACACCAACTCCATCTAGCGCCCAGAAGATAAATGAAAGTGAACGAATGCAAAGGATATCACACCAGCACCACAAGCCTACATCACACTCCTCTTGCCCGCCAGTGCCCTGCCGACTCTACTTCCATTGCGCCTTCCCAGCACTTTGCTCACCCACTCGCCGACGCTCGCCAGCTGCTCCAGGTCCACGCCGGTGTGCACGCCCGTGCCCTCCAAGAAGTACACCAGGTCCTCAGTTGCGACGTTTCCGGTGGCGCCCGCAGCATACGGACAACCACCCAGCCCGCCCACACTAGAATCGAACGTCCTGATGCCGTGCTCGAGGGCGACCAGCGAATTGACGATCGCCTGGCCGTAGGTATCATGGAAGTGTGCGGCCAGCTTCTCGGCGGGAATGCACCTCTCATTGATCAGACAGCGCAGCAGCTTCGCGACGGTGCCAGGGGTGCCGACGCCATTCGTATCGCCGAGCGAGACCTCATAGCAGCCCATATCCAGCAGCTTCTGGGTGACGCCGGCGACGGCCTCTGGCGGCGTATGACCGGAGTACGGACACGCAATGACCATGCTGACGTAGCCGCGCACGCGGAAGCCGCTCTTCAGCGCCTTTTCAACGACGGGGACGAAGCGCTGCAGCGACTCGGCGATGGAGCAGTTGAGGTTCTTCTGCGAGAAGCCCTCGGACGCAGACGCGAACACGGCGATCTCGTTGCCGGTGCCGGGCGTGGGCTTTTCGTGCAGGAAGCCGGCGAGGCCCTTCTCGTTCGGGACGAGGTACGAGTACGTGATGTCGTGGTGCCGCGGCTCCGCGTCCTTCGTGGCCTCGAGGTGCGACAGGATCGCGGACGTGTTCGCCATCTGCGGTACCCATTTGGGAGAGACGAAACTGCCCGCTTCGATGTGCCGTAGCCCGGTCTTGCTCAGGCGCGAGAGCAGCTCGAGCTTGGTTTCGAGTGGGACAGTGGTTTTTTCGTTTTGCAGCCCGTCGCGCGCGCCGACTTCGACGATGCGGACTGAGGTGCCAGAGAACCGTGGCAGCGATGTGAACGATCGTAGGTGTCGTCGTGGGCGCGACAGACGGGACGGCGCGGGGTACGAGAGCGTTCGAACGAGGGGCAGTGGGCGCGTCATGGTTGGGCTGGTGGTGGAGCAGATAACCATAGGAAATGAAGCTTTGACGACGACGGTGGGGGTTGGTGGCGGGGTAGCTTCGAGGAAAAAGCTATGCCGAGGCCGCGGGGAGCCGTGCAACCGAGTTTGCCGGCGTGTGTTACATCATCTATTTGCGCTCACGAGGAAATACTCGGTGACTCGGTGTGCTTACTCAAGTGCTGGAGCTTATGATCTACCGAACATGTGAATGAATTCCTGTCTTGTCTCTATCGAAGTCTGGCACGGTACGATTTTAGCAGGCTCGAGGCCGTCTGAAGCCAGTTGAAGCGGGCATTTGCGTTGGGTGGCCAACTCGAAAATATCCAGATAGCTGAAGGCTCTTCGCAAAATTATGTACGCACTCTACTGCTGAACATCCAGGCAGACTCCATGCTCCTATAGTAGGGGTGCGGGGAAGCCTTGTTCGAAAACTTTAGCCGTCCCTCAAACGAGGCTGCGAGCTGCAAGCTGGGACACTTGAAAGTTGGAGCTGGCAGCTTAGCGCAACTAGGCCGCTCGACTATTTCCAGTACACTAGTTACGTAACTTACGTTCCCGCCATGTGCGAAAACCTGGGTTCGAACTTTCGCGCGCGGTATATAGATGCAAATCTTATGATCGGATCTTATCGCCGAGCGGACGTTTGCTGTGGTGAGTTTGGTGACTGTACTGTACTCCAGTTCCTGGCCACAGACAACAGGACAGTTAGACGAGTCCAAGAATACCGGTATCGGTGGCAGACAGGATACTTTACTCCAGAGTACCGTTCGCGACTCTGATCCCGCACGTGCCAGAGTTTGGCTCATCCGTCGCAATCTCGCTAAACCAACTTTCGAAAATCATCGGAGCCAGGAACTCGGTGCTGCAGCCTGCGGCAAGCGTGAGACGTCGTGAAGTGGCCTTGCCGCGTACTCTCCCGTGTTGAGATCCGGGTTGCTGCAAATCCTCTGGGCCGTCTGAGGGAAATCCCTGATCTTGGCCGTTCGATATTTTCTTGCACCGAACGGCTACTCCGTCACCATGATGTAGAGTTGGTCGCACTCAATTTAGAGTAGAGGAGCGTCCTGGCTTGGCCTACGTCACGCTCGCCGAGAGCAACTTCCATACAACAATTCAAACAACAAAACTCCTTCGTTTTTCCTCGGACGCAGTAGGTGTTCACTTACTGATCTTTGCGAAGATAACTGCGCCGCAATGTCGAAGAATACGCATCCATATTCCGGTAACACTCCGATCCCCAAAGTCGCCGACTTCTTGCGGGACCAACGTGAGCGCTTCCCGGATCCACAATCACGACCGGCGCCAGGAGAGCCGCAGTACGAGCAACCGCAGCATGAGCAAGAGGGAGGAGGAGGAGGAGGAGGAGAAGAGGGGGACAGTGGAGGAAAGACCAAAAAGGCGGATGCACATCCGTCTGCGCGCGACCAGACGAAGGCGTTGAAGAAAGGCCAGGGTTCGAAGGAGGGAAACAGGAGGACCGTGAAGGATCCCACCACGGGAAAGGAGGTCGTTATCGAGGATGTAACTTCGGACTTTCAGGATGTGGCCGGAAAGCCAAGTGTCGTTGTGCCGAAGACGGCGATACCAGGACAACCGGGGGTGGTTTCTGTAGGTTCTTTTTTGCCGAGGTGATTGTACTGGGAGGAAGGTGCTGATTTACTGGCAGGAAAATGATTTCGCAAGTCCGACCCAACCGATGGACGAATACAAAGAGAAACAGGATGTTACTGCGCCGCCGGCGCCAGTGAAGCCCGGAACTACAGTCGATGTACCGATCCGTGGCGAGAAAACGAATGTAAGCTGTTGGTGTAGAGACTCGGGAAGCTGTGATCTGACTGCGGAATCAGGTGCTTTTCCACGCCACACCGACCCTGAGTTTGAGTGATACTGTTTTCGCGTCTTTCGAACAGAAGGCAACCTTTCTGTGCGGGGGCATCTTTGCAACTATCCTGGTGCTTGGGAAACTCCTCGGCGGAGGCTCTCTTTGGGCCCTGATTCTCATCGCCGGTTCGGTCTCGGGAGGCGTGTGGTACTGGTGCAGAGGTGTCATGGACGAAGCTAGGTGAGTTGTGCCTTTGGAATTGGAGTTATCTCGCACGCACTAACGGGCTTAGAAACGTGGACTGGGCGTCTGAGAAGAAGCGCGGCGAGACGGCAGTCAGCAACTTGATTCGTACGTCGAATATTCCCGGTGCAATTTTAATGTGTTCTGACAGTGTATAGCTGAATCCGTCGAATGGATGAACAGCCTCGTTGGACTCGTATGGTCACTCGTCAACCCAGATATGTTTGTCTCGATCGCGGATACCATCGAAGACGTGATGCAAGCATCACTACCAGGCTTCATCGAGAACGTCCGTGTCGCAGACATTTCCCAGGGAGAGAATCCGATCCGGATTCTGTCTTTGAGAGCGCTGCCAGATTCCGAAGTTCCAGAATTGAAGAAAGCGGCTACAGTTGCCAGGGATGGCAAAGATGAATCACAGAGAAAGGCCGAAGAGGACGGCGGTGAAGTGTACAATCTTGAGGTTGCCTTTGCTTATAATGCTGCTCCCTCGGAGTCCAAGGGTGTCTCTGGGAAAACGCGCAACATGCACATGCAGATTGTCTTCTATGCTGGTATCAAGGGGCTGTTTGGAGTGCCATTACGTATGTGTCAAATCTATGGACGATTTCATATGTCCGCAGTCGCTGACCGCTGAAAACAGCAATCTGGGTGGAGCTAAAGGGCCTGATCGGCACCGTTCGCCTCCGTCTCCAGCTATCTCCGGACTCGCCATTCTTGAAGACCCTCACTTTCACCCTTATGGGTATCCCGAAAGTTTCCGTGGCCTGCATCCCGATGATGGAGAAAGGAATCAATATCTTGGACCTCCCGATGATCTCCAATTTTGTTAATGCATCAATTGCAACAGCAGCGAATGAAGTGAGTCCTTCGGCTCCTCCCGACTCGGGCCAATGCTGACCAATGGATAGTACGTTGCACCAAAGAGTATGAGCTTGGAATTGGGCAAGATGCTCATGGGCGATGATGTCAAGAAGGAAACCGAAGCACTTGGCATCCTCTGGATCAACATCGACAAGGCTATCGGGCTCAGCAAGCAGGATAGACGTGGAAGCAGTGATGCATATGCAAGTTTTCCGTTGGTGACGTGATCATGCCTATACTAACGTTGTGCGATAGATCACCATTGCATTCTCGAAGTACGGGAAGCCCATGTACTCTACACGTGTCATCGTCGATGATCTCAATCCTCAATGGCACGAGTCTTCCGGCATTCTAATTCGCAGCGAGCACATTAAGGCGGGAGAGTCACTGTCGATCGAGCTTTGGGATAGCGACAGATTCACGGCCGACGACATGGTCGGAAAGATCGAAGTCCCCATTCAGGACCTCATGCTGGAGCCAGGAAAGATGCACCAACAAGTTTCAAAGCTCACTGGACAGGAGTCGGGTTCAGCAATGCCCGGCGAGCTGTACTGGTCAGTTGGATTCTTCGGCAGGACGAGGTTCAGACCAGCACTGCGTACGAGTGGAAAGGATGTCAACCTTCCTCCTCAGCTCAAAGACCATCCCGAGCTGCAGGACGACAAGGGCAGTATCGATACTCCTCTTGAGGATGCAGTCATGCACACACCTCCAGACCCTCTCTTCCCATCCGGAATCGTCAGTGTAATTGTCCACCAGATTGTGAACCTGGAGGTCAAAGACATGACGGGAACGTATGGCAACCGCAAGGATGGCAAGGAGTATTCCCCCGGCATGAAGACTGGCGAGAATAAGCAGGAAGAGGGTGGAAAGCTGCCTAGCGCCTACTGCACTGTCACGCTCAATGACCAGTTGATCTACCGAACAAGAACAAAGGCTCTGAGCAGCAAGCCTCAATTCTCCGCTGGAACGGAGCGTTTTGTGCGCGATTGGCGCTCGGCTATCGTCACCGTTTCGGTACGGGATCAACGTCAACGGGAGCACGACCCGCTCCTGGGGGTGGTACCATTGAAGCTTTCCGATATCCTCCAAACCAGCAGTGAAGTCACTCGATGGTTCCCTCTTGACGGCGGCCTCGGTTTCGGTCAGATCCGCTTATCTGTGCTTTTCCGCAGCTTGGAGATATCACTCCCTCCTCAGCTTCTCGGTTGGGATGTCGGCACGTTTGAGTTTGTGGGTGAAACGATCACGTCGACACTCGATAAGCCTGCCAAGCTGAAGTTCAGGACGGGCGGCTCGACGGGCAAGATCCCACGCAAGAGCTGCACATCGTCCGAGTCCGGCATGACATGGAGCACTTCCGTGGGCACCAAGCAGCCGCGAAAGCTGCGCCTGCCAGTGAAGCATCGGTATATGAGTCCCGTCGTGATCGACATCTACACATCCTCGAACTCGCGCAAGCCCAACTGCCACGCGATGGTCTGGCTCGACAAGCTGGTGGACAACGAGCGCACGACCATCACAATTCCCATCTGGAGCACGAACAACCCGCAGCGGCTGACGCAGAACTACATTGAGCGGCCCGATGAGCACCCGGAACTCGACGTCAAGGAGATCGGCACCATGACCTTCGAGGCGCGCTTCCAGCCGGGAATGGACCGCGACCACGACCGCTTCGCTACCGACAACGACTCCCGCGAGACGTTTGAGACCTGGGCTGCCTGCCGCGGAGAGGGCATCCGCGGCGACACCGTCTACACAGAGACGAACCCCGTGGTCGACGAGCTGCACAAGAAGAGTGTGCGCGAGATGCGCAAGGATCTGGCAAAGACCGAAAAGGGCTTGCTCGAAGAGGGCGACGAGAAGTTGTACACCGACAAGTACGGCATGAACTGGCGGCAGGTGTTTGAACGAGCACGCGAGGAGCTCACGGAGGGCGGAGGAGGAGGATCTCAGCCTCAGAACAAGCCTCAACACTCTCTAGGACCCATCGAGGAGAACCACCACAACTACCGGTATAGCTACGACTCCGACGACAGCGATACCTCGACGTCGCCCAGCGACCAGGAGGATTCAGACGACTCGTACCACCACGTGACGAGCTCGCAGTACCACGACCCGACCTCGCCTACATCAACCGCGTTAGAAACGCACGCGGGCGGCAGCGGCAGTGGCAGGAAGGAATCCTCCGGCCCCATCGCCGCGATCAAGAACTACCGCGCAAACCAGAAGGACATGCACCGGCGCCACCGCGGGCTCATGCAGTGGAAGCCGATGCGCGCAATCGCGTTCGCAAAGGACGAGGCGAAGTTCGGCGCGAGGAAATTGAAGGGAAAGGTCTCGCTCAAAGGAAGGGAGCCCGATGTCGAGACTGAGGTTTAGTGGCGTGGAGAGGGGGATGGGGGACAGGGGACGGAGTTTCATACTTCTCCGGTACGAACATGTAGTGTAATATCGCCTGAGGCTTTCTTCTTCTGGTTTTTCTTCTTCTGGTTTTTCTTCTTCTGGTTTTTCTTTCTAGCTATGCGATGATACGGGGAATGAAAAGCGCATTCTTGGTTGGGAGTTGAGTTTGGACTTCTCCGGTGAACGACGCCGCAGACTGGAGGTCATGGATTATACGCCCCGTAGGCCAACGCGAGGCAGATAGGCGCGGCTTCCTCTGCCGAAATCCGTTCGCTTCAGCCCTGCGAGTAAGCTGTCACGCAGAATTGCAGAAGAGATATTTCCACGGATGGAGAAGTGTGGACTGTGAAGACATTAGATACTGCCGGAAATGTATCTCCAACGGGCACTACTACCCACATAGCGCAAGTTGAAACACCGAGCTGTAGAGTAGGTAGATGGTGTTCACGCTCAATACCACCCATACGGTAATACGGTATCTTTGCCGTCCGTCCGTCCGTATCACAGCCCCGCCGGCAGAAAATATGCACGCCGGCCGGGAATGAGGGGGTGTGGGTGTGGGTATGGACGTGGGAACAGTTCATGGCCTACCTACCTGTGATGGTAGAGCTTGGATCCACGGTACCGTGGAGAATCGAGATTTCTGCGATGAAATGGAATGGAAGCGTGGGTTTCAGGGTTCGGTTCGGGGTTCTCAAGACTCAATGGCGCAGCGTAGGTATGATACCTTTTCTAGCTTGGAATTGCGGAGGCGGGAGCGAATGTCAATGAAGCTGGGCTCAGTGGGCTGGACTTTGTGGATAGACCTGAGCGGTGAGTATCGAGCTGCGCTGGTGACTCAATGACTGGTGGCTCAATCCAGCGTGGTTCATTGAGCTCAACTACGCCGGAAAAGCACTCTGGTTGAGAGTGATATTTTATGATTATCTGTGCTTCAAGGACTGGATTGGATTGGATTGGCGTTCCAGCACTGCGGCAGTGGGCTGCCAGCCTGCTACAAACGAAGGTAAAGCAAGACATCTTTGTACACCGAGCTAACTATACCCGACCGTGTACATAAGGGCAGCCGGACGGACGGACGGTAGAGTGTGCTGTAACTTTACACACCGGTATTCGGAATCTGGAGATTCGAAGCGAGCCGGGCAGGCTGTGTTTATTACTATAGATATTGGCCTTATTGGAAGCAGCCGGGCTGGAAGCCTGGAAGGGGAGTAAGGCTACAATGTCGCTGAGGAGGAGCGTTGCTATAGTGTGGGTAAGGGCGGGAGTCGATACCAGTATTGCGCATAGGAACGTTGGACTGGATTGGGAGCATGAGGCTCTCCGGGGCCTCGTTGGAAACAGGTCTATCGGGATGTGCGATATCTATTCTACTCCAGTGTCCACGCCGTATCATACCTTCGAAGTTCACGCTTCTGAAGACTGAAAAGGAGTGAGCCTTGAGGAGTGCACCGCGGGGTGGAGTACGTGTGCGAAAAGACATTTCCGTCGTCACTCACTGAGCAATGCAAGGGGATCACGTTGCATCATGGTACTCTACCTATCGGATCAAGATCCAAGAGGATGACGGAGAAGATTTGGAAGTCATCGCATCACCTGCACCTGAGTCTCTCGGACGGTACATGCACGCACTTCGGACTCCAGAGTTGACAAGCCCACTGCTTGGAGACGGACAAATGCAATACGATGAAGATGAATCTCGAGTAAAGCTTTGGAGAAGACTCCGAGTGGTCACGGTTCACGATTGATGCCTAGGCGGCTCCATTCCTGCGAGCAGTGGTCACGATTACACGGCAGCCTCGATGCTCATCCCTTACTGACCACCCTCACCCAATGTCCAGCGCTGCGCTCTCATCCCCGCGAGTATATGTACGATGTAGCGGTCACGATTTCACGGCTACCTAAATGCTCATCCCTTAACTGCCGACCACTCTCGAGTCGCGAGTATTTCCCACAACGTACCGGTAGTGTACTAGTACCGTGTACGTCCACCGAGATCAGCAGACAACCACAACTCCAGATTTCAGAATACAGATTCGAGACAATGTAAAACATCGTGGTAGATGATGCGACGTGCGGCCATCGAGCGCTAACTACCTACCCGCCAACCCTGTCAGTCAGAGTAGGATCGCGCAGAGAAGAGAGCAGAAGAGAAGCGGGAGAAAAGCCGGCATCGATTCCACGATGAATGATCTAAACGTCGCTCGCTCTGATCTGCGGAAACATCAGTAGCCTGGGTATACCGCAGTATGGTGTTGCAAACATGGGAACGCGGGCGGCAGGTACCTAGCGCTACTGGGTACTTGGCTAGTACCTTTGCAGTCCAGGTATGATACCATCAGGCAGACATGAGGGGAATGGAGCAGGAATACGGTGGGGGCCGGGGACCTGAGCGTGGGGGAGGGCCTGTGTAACAGCACCAATGGAATTGCGGGGAACGGACGCTACAGCGATTGGCGTACGAATTCGGCAGCGGGACAGCCCTATGTAGAGTACCAAACTCAAAGGCGAGCGCCGACGAGGCGTTCCTTCGAAGTTCAACCCCGCGGGCCGCCTGAGGTCCCGCAGAGTCGCAGGCGCTGTCATGACAACACGAAACCAGTCTCTGCTCGGCGCTCGCGCTCGGCGTTCGTTCGCCCTGTTATCGCATCACATCACCACGCCTGTCGTGCCACGGTGCCACCGGGGTACATCTGCTCTCATGTACCGGTATGTAGTACACGGGTACAAGGGCAGGTGGTGCACCTCCTCAGGCCCCATTTTGCGGTGGTGGTGGTGCATCACTTTCCCTCACACCCGAGTACTATACTCTGCGCCGTACTTACATGATGTACGGAAGCAGCCCAGGTGCGAAGATGAGAGAACTACCGTATACCTGCCGTATCCGCTCGTCCGCCTTGCGGAACGGAACCGCTGACCAGTCCGTCTTGACTCTTGACTCTTGCCATTGTGTTCGGCCGGGCCCAATCACGGCAGTGCGTAGAGTGCCAAGGCGCAGCCTCGGGTAAGGTGGGCTGGCTGGCTGGCTGTCCACCGACAGCACGTGCTATGCTGAAGCCCGCTGTGCCTCTGTGATTCTTGGGGCTGAGAGGAGAGGTTCGTGGATTCCTTCCCACCGCCTCCTCCACCACCTCCACCACCATCCCGCATGGATCTGTACGCGCGATGTTGCCTAAGTTCCGCACAAGGCTCATGATTGGGTTGGTTAGCCCTTGGGCGCTGTTTGGCTGGGTGGGCGAGTACTTACTCGTAGAGTACTCTGCGTAAGTATGGGATTACGACGCCATTGTCTGCATCCGGCTGGCTGCAAATCCTACAGCAACACGTCGTTTCAACTTTCAACTTCCAGCGGCAGCAGCGCCCAGTGCCTTCTCATCCTGCTGTTCCTCATCATACTGTACGCAGCAGAGCGGTACAATACATCTCCGCCCTCGCGAACCGGACCTGGGTAGAGTAGAGTACGGCAGAGTAGTAAGATGTGGTAAGATGTAAGTACCCGAGCGAGCGTCGAGCGAGGTCTCACTTGGCTGCGACGCTGCGCCGCTGGGCGCACTTTATAAATCACGCGATGCCCCCCCCCCCCCCCCCCCCCCTCCCCCACCCCCCCTTCCGTTCCCACCCCCTCCGACCCCTCGCGAGTTTTGGGCGGTTCATCTACATATTCTACGTTTTTGTGTTTCGAGAATCTTCAACTCCGCTTGCTCGCTCGCCCGAGAAAGAAAGAAAAGAAAAGAAAATAACAAGCTGCTGCTGCTGCTGCTGCTGCTGCTGCTGCTGTGTACTCTACCTTGGTACTCTGTCCACGATCACCTTACGGTACCTATTGCTTCCGCTTGCAGACTTGCAGTGCGCGGGTCGAGACGATTGCTTTTTGTGGCATCATCCCTGTGTGTGTGTGAACTTGAGTGTGAGTGTGAGTGTGAGTGTGAGTGTGAGTGTGAGTGTGAGTGTTGTAATCCGCAGACTTTTCGCGCGTGCACTTGTTCCTCCACCTATCATACGTCTACTCCCGTTACTCCCGTTACTGTTACTCCTCCTCCTCCTACTTCTCTTAACTCATATCCCCCCTCCCGAATCTCCCCCAGGCTGATCCTGGGGTCCTTGAATTTCTCTAAGCAGAAGCAGAAGAAGAGAAAAAAATATAGGACTTTATCTATCCCATTCCCAACTACTACGAACGCCGGTAAAACAGAGTATCCATGGCGGTCCCGCCGTCACAATCGCCGGCGTCAATGAGGAATTCCATGAACGGCTACGCCAACAGCAACGATAGCGAGCCGTCGATGACGCCCCGCGAGTACATGGCCGGGCTAAAGAAGCAGTTTGATTATACTTTTGCGATGATGGAGGTATGTGCTGTGAGGAAGGGGCTGGGGCTGGGACAGGGGGGAGGTGGAGGGGGAGGTGGAGCGGGAGCGGGAAAGGGAGGAGGAAGGGGGGTGAGAGCTGGAGGGGCAGGAGGAGAAGGGTGGACGCAGGGAGGTGGAGGGAGGCAATGCGCGGAGAGCTGGAGCTCACGTTTTTTGCCCGACAGTACTTGTTTGAACAGAAGGAACACCTCACGAGGGAATACGACAACTCTCAGTTGGACTTGGTCAACATGAATGAGCAAAATCGAGATCTGCGGAAGCAAGTTGGTGAATTGAAGAGAATGGTGGAAGTGCGGGAGAGGGAGTTGGTGAGTTGCGCGTTATCCCAGCCGGCGGGTGGGTGGAGCAGTTGGGATACTGATGCTCTCCCGTTAGGCTTGTAATCATTACACTCTGGTTCTGGTCGATGGGGATGGAATGACAGTAAGGCCTCGGATGCTCTCCCCATCTCTGGTGGAGATCGATTCCTGTGTTGACGGGGAGGGGGGGGTTGCGGCGAACAGTTCAGAAGGGACCTCATCAAAGAAGGTCGTGCCGGCGGAGAAAAGGCGGCCAATCGTCTCAGTAAACGGGTTCTCGAAGACACAAAGCTCAAACCGATTATTCGTGTCTTTGCAAACGTCGAGGGGCTTTCCAGAGCTATGAAGACCCAGCAGTTGACGACGAATGTCACTGCCTTCCGTGAGTTTGCTCAGGGATTCTCCGATCCGAGGCACGAGCAGATCGATTTCATCGATGTAGGAGAGGGCAAAGAGATGGCGGATTGGAAGTTAAAGAGTATATCTGCTCCACTGCACCCCCCTCCCCGAGTGACCGGTTGTAAAAAACAAAATATCAACAAAAAAAACCCTTGCTGACAGGTGCAATTCGAAGGTGAGCTCGAGTGGCATCTGAAGAATTATAATTGTCGCCGCATCATCCTCGGAGCGAGCCACGATAACGGCTATGCCAGAGTGCTGAAGAAGGTCGACGGCAAGGAGGCACTCGAGAAGATCCACCTGCTCGAGGGACCGCCGTTCGGGAAGGAGTTCGACGGACTGCTCTACAAGCGACTTAAATACGAAGAAGTTTTCAGCCCCGAGAAATTCGATGTCTACATGCAGCCACGGAGCCCAGTGCTCAGCATGGCGTCACCCACTCCAGCCGGTGCCGCTGCCAGTGCCAGTGCCGCAACAAAGGTCAATGCTCCGATCAACAGCTACGCAGCGGCCGCCAACGCTGCCCCCGCCATTACCCCTCCCACGTCGGTGGCTCATAATTCCCCTCGGCTCACTAAAGCTGCGCCGCAGATTTCTGAGAGCCAGATCCTGGAGGCCACCAGGAAGGTCAAGCAGCTGCGACCCAAGCCGTGCAATAACCACTACCTGAAGGGGGACTGCAATTACGGCGATGATGAATGCACCTTTGGACACAAATACCCATTGAAGCCGGATGAGCTGGCTGCCATGAGGAGGCTTGCAGCCCAGAAGCAGTGTAATTTTGGACAGGAATGTATCAACGAGAGGTGCTACTACAGCCACGATTAGGCAAGAAAAGAGCATCGGGGGAGGTCACGTGTCCGGTCATGTAGCTATTGACTTCCGCCACCTGACGGAGCCCTCTTCGGTTGAATCGACGTTGTTCTGTTGGTTATTTTTTTTTGTTATCTTGTTATCGAGCAATGGGCCGGCTGGTTGGCCTTTGATCATCATCATCATCATCATCATCATCATCATCATCATCATCATCATCATCATCATCATGTTTGCCGATTTGTTTATACTTGCGGCGGGCTCAAATGTAAAGTCTGTCCGTTCACGGTTGTCGTTGACGGGCGAACGGAGAGAAGGAATGGGAATCCGAGGAGCGGAAGGGGACGGCATTGGCCTCGACCATCATGTTTTGCTATGTTTCTGCAATGTTTGCTTTCTCCTCTCTACTTTTGTACTTTTTTTTTTCCACTCTTTGCATTTGGCTTTCACTTGCTTGATTTTTTTGTTTTCATTTCCGTCTGCTGATTTTAAAAGTTCTTCCAATTCCAGTGAGCAGCCCATGGTAGTAGCACGGATCTTGATATTGCAGACTGCAGGATTTAAAGAGTCCTCTATGTGCGCTGTCATTTACGATAAAGCCCAGAACGGAAAAACATCCCACCCGGACCAATGTTTGGGGAGAAAAACGAATGAGAACACGGAAAGAAACACAGATATGTTGCCGAATTCGGATAACTGGATGAGATTCTATGATTTGGCGCGATTGATCGATTACTTGGCATCTGCGGGCCGACGTAACGTCTGGCGCACAGTGAGTTGTTGGCCCGTTTCTGGTCTGTGCGACCCTGCCGTCCCCATATCCAACCTCTCCATCAAAGCAAGCCCGACTTACATATCGATCACCGAACGAAAGTGACTGCTCCAGCAAGCAAGCAAGCATTTTTCTCCCATGCTCTTCCTCCAATCACCGAGCCGACCTACTTGATATCCAATCGCGCGGCATTCCCCCTAGAGCAGCAGTCAGCCTCTCCGCCGAGAGGAGCTGGCTCGTAGCTACCTACCAGTCATGCTCAACGCCTTCAGCGCCCACTCCATCTTCGAGCTCCCGCCGAAGGACCGCACCCGGATCGACTCGCTTCTTGCCTACGGTACCTCCTCACCCCTCCCCCTCATCCCCGCCCCCTCAATTTCGTGCGCGCGCACGCCCTCAAGTCTGAGCTGACACCGTCTCTTGCTTCATCACAGGCGACAAGCTGATCCTGGGGCTATCGACGGGGGCGCTACGAGTGTACCGGGTGATCTCGCCCGACACGCCGGAGGTCTCACTGGAGCTGCTACGGACCGTCGATAACTTCTCGCGGCGCAAGATCGAGGTGCTAGCATGCATCAAGGAGGCGGCGATCCTCGTGTCGCTCGCCGACACGAACGTGCACATCCACGACCTGAACGACTTTACGCTCACGGAGACGCTGGCGAAGGCGCGCGGCGCGTCGACGCTCGCTATCACGAGTAATGTTGAGCGCGATCCTGATACGCAGATCCCAAGTATCGTCTCGAAACTCGCGATTGGCGTTAGGAGGAAGCTCCTGATGTATTCGTGGGCTGATGGCGGGTTTCAGGAGGGGAAGGAGGTCACGCTCGGAGGCAATGTGCGCAGCTTGACGTGGGCGAGTGGTCATAAGATCGTCGTCGGGTTGACGAGTGGGTTCGTCATTGTCGATGTGGACACCGCAAACGTGGAGGAGATTGTGCCTTCGGATGCGACGAATGGGGCGTCGAAAGCGGGCGATGACAAGGCGGCCGCGGCAGGCTGGGCCAGCTATGTGGGAATGGGAGGATGGGGTTCGAAATCGCTTAGTACCCGATTGGCCGGGGAGGAGCTGTTGCTGGTGAAAGACTGTAAGTTCACCCACCGCTCAATCCGTCCCCGTCGCTCATGGGGGAGGGGTTTCGTGGCTAAACGGATCGTCGTAGCATCTACGCTTTTCATCGACACGGACGGCAAACCGCTCAAACGCCCGCCCATACGATGGTCGACGCCGCCAGACGCCATCGCATATTCGTATCCCTACCTAATATCCCTCAACGCGGCGAAGCACCAGATTGGCGTCCGTAATCCGGCAACTCGGACGTTGCTGCAGACGATAAATCTACCTACTGTCACGACGCTGCATGTACCGCCGCCGAATGTCGCTCTCCAGCACGCTGGCAAGCTGTTTTTCGTGGCTTCGCCTACACAGGTGTGGAGGATGGAATCGACGAATTACGAAACACAGATCGACAACCTGGTGGAGGCCGAGCAGTTGGACGAAGCAATCCAGCTCATCGAGACGTTGGAAAGCGTGCTGCTCAAGGAGAACAAGGACGAAAAGCTGCGGGAGGTGCAGATGCTTAAGGCCGAGAAGCTGTTTCGACGGAAGAGATACGAGGAGAGTATGGCACTGTTTGGTACATGCTCGGCGCCACCCGAAAGGGTTATCAAGCTCTTTCCACCCGCTATCGCGGGTGAACTCTCGATCTGGCCCGATCAGGAGGAGGGCGGATCGGATGGGGAGGATCATGGGGACGAAGAGGAGCAGCCCCCGGAAAATGGAGATGCCAACAAGAACGGTGAAACCGATACCGCTCCGGAAGATGGGGATGCTCCCAAGTCGAATGGGGAAAGCGATCCGAAGAAGGAGAACGGAGAAAGCGGCGAGGCGCCTGGCACCAAAGCGGACACGAAGACGGATTCGTCGGGAGATGCAACGCCAGAAAAGGAACGCTCTGTGACGCCCGAGATCAAACGAAGTCCGACAGTCGACTCCTATGGCTCGATGAGGAACATTGCGTTCAACAGAAAATACGGAGAAACCGCTTCCATCTTTTCTTTCGGCAGCCGAAGAGTCGCCGCCGACGACGCCTCCATCCTCGATAGCGCTAGTCTCGCTGCTAAGAAGGATGCTGATGTTGATGAGACACCGAAGCCACTTGAGGGTGACGAGTTGAAGAAGGCGGCCCAAGACTTGATCGGCACCTTCCTCAACGATGTGCGGAGAAAGTTGACCAAGTACTTCAATTCGGAAGGTCAACCGCTTGATCCGTTAGCCGTCTTGGCCCCTGGATCTGCCCACGAAGCATCGAAGAAGGATCCTTTGGAGGCTACCTTCCTGGTACTGGATGGCCACCCTGGTGAGGGTCAGGACCCGGCTCAGGCACGCATCGAGAAACTTATGGAGACTTGCCAATTGGTCGACACCACTCTATTCAGAGCGTACATGCTCGTGCGGCCGGCATTGATCGGCTCGTTGGTCAGGATCCAGAACCACTGCGACCCGGATGTCGTGAGCGAAAAGCTGCGCGAGCAAGGGAAGTTCGAAGAGCTGGTCGACTTTCTGGAGCGGAAGAAGCTTCATCGAGATGCATTGGAGTTGTTGAGGTTTTTTGGACAAGCAGATGAGGATAGTAAAGCGCCTAGTCTCCGTGGACCCCAAAGGACAGTCACCTATCTCGAGAGACTGAAGGCGGAGCATACCGACCTTATTCTCGAGTTTGCGATGTGGCCTCTGAAGGTCGATCCGGTATTGGGTATGGAGATCTTCGTGGGCGATACCGGTAATTCGGAATCACTGCCGCGGGCTCGAGTGCTGGATTACTTGGAGCAGCAGGATCAAAGTTTCGCTATCCAGTATCTTGAGCACATCATCACCGAGTTACACGATCAGACCCCGGAATTCCACACACGACTCGCCGGGCTATATCTCACGGCGCTCGCCCGCGATATGACGAAAGATGAGAAGGACAAGTGGCATGCCCGATTCCTTATGTTCCTTGAGACGTCGGATCAGTACCGTGCCGAGAAGGTTCTCGGTTCGTTGCCACGGGACGTTCCAGAATACTACGAGTGCAGGGCTGTCGTGCTGTCGAAGATGGGCCGTCACAAGTCCGCACTGGAGATCTACGTCTTCAAGCTTCACGACCACGACAAGGCCGAGGCGTATTGCATGAGAGTGCACCAGAATGCCAACATTGCCCCGGCAGAGGTCGACCAGGTCTACCACATTCTCATCTCGCTTTACTTACGGCCTCCAGCGCCTTACAGTCAGCAATTGGGCCCTGCCCTTGCGATCCTCTCTCGTCACGGCGCTCGGCTGGAAGCGAGTGAGGCGTTGAAGCTCATCCCGGAGAATGTTAGGATTCGCGATCTGGAGACGTACTTCGAGAGCCGCATCCGCGCTGCAAATGCGAAGGTCACCGAGAACAGGATCATCGCCGCGCTCAGGAAGAGCCACCTCGTCGATGTGCAGGAGCGGCTGTTGGGTTCGAGAAACAGCCATGCCACTGTGGCTGAGGAGAGCGTGTGTCCTGTCTGCCATAAGCGCTTGGGCCTGAGTGTTATCTGGAGGTTGCCGAAGTCAGTTGTCCCGGCCACTCGATACATTCGCGTGCGTGCTGACATAAGAATAGTGGACAGGTGGTGCACTACGGATGTGCGAAGAAGAGGGCGAGTTGACGCGGGGTGTAATATAGGAGTCTCGTCTTATGTGGAGGTGCTACAGCATTTTGTCTTTACCGTACTTTGCGTGCTTGTTATATCATGCATGTTTACGATTGCTTATGCCGGATTGCTTTTGCGGGTTTGTTTTTTTATCGATGATACATGATTACTTTACGGGCGAGTACAGCTTCTTTTCCTTGTTTGTTTTCGTTCGCATGCGGGGTTGATGGGACATTGCTGGTGGATATGATTACGATGTAACTGTATATACTGGGGAATCGATGACGGTGCAGGTGTGGGGATGGATGGATGGTTTCGAATCTCGAATCTCGACCGCGCAAGGCTCAAGGCTCAAGGCTCAAGCACGCGTGGTGACTCGTGCCAAGCCCTCATTTTTACACTACCTAACTATTAGTACCCCCCCCCACCGACCCAGCATCGTCATTCCACCACACCCCCACCACACCCAACCAAGCGCACTGCCTACGATGTCGTCTCCCATCAAGATCGAAGCTGTGTACGCATCGCCGCTCCCGGCGCCCTCGGACAGCAAGACGTTCACGATCGCGACGGAGCCCGCCGACGGCACGGACACGAAGCATTTGGCCGCAGTGCGCGAGGCCGTCGCCCAGCTGCAGGATAGGGTCAATGCTTACCTGACTGAGCGCATGGAGGAGGAGAAGAATTTGGGAAAGGCGACGGAGGAGGATGATATCGAGGCGAGCTATGGCGAGGAAGTGGTTGAGGAGGAGTAGGATAGTGGTTGTGGCGGCGGTGGTGTTGGTGACGGTGGTGGGAGGGGGTAATGGATGCGGGAGGGGTAATGGAAGTGAGATTGGGGGTGTCATTCGTGTTCAGTGTGTGCACGTCGGAATAATTGGGGGCGGCAAGATGAATGACTCCCGCATATTCGAGTTGAGGATGGGGAGGATTACTTATACGTACATGCCTGGCCCCGAGTCGAGCGGAAAGACTAAAAAAAATGGATGAGGACTTCGATACTGATGTCGAGGCGTTAATCTCCGATCTCTTCGGCAGAGATGGAGGGGACGTGGGGGACGTATGTGTCTTCGGGGGTGAAGCGAGCACGGACCCGGCGCCGAAGCTCCACCTCCCAGTTCCCCCGTCGCCGACTACCAGTACCGCTACCACCGCCCACGCCAATCCCGATACCTTCGGCGGTTTATGCCTCCCCGCCCCCGCTACACCTAAATATTGCAACTGCCAACTCATTCCGCAGTCCCTATCAGACCTGCTGAACCTCAATAGCCGCTTCATCATAGATAGCACCACCGGCACCACTGCAGCCACATGCCTCGCCTGTGGTCGGCCGGCGAATCTCATAGCCATCCTCACCAGCAAAGTCACGCCCGCCGAGCCAATCCCCGCCCGTAGTCAGCCAGCGACCATTCCCGCGCTCCTTTCCCGCACCCTCACGCCCGCCAAGCAGACGCGGCAGCTATCACCCCGCTCCGCGCGGCGGGCAGCCGTAGCCGCCGAATCAGCAGCACTGCTAGGCCACCTGCCAGAATTCCAACGTCTGCAAGCTGGTTCGGCCTCGCGGAGCGAGCGCGGGAAGGGTCGTCGTTCCGGGCGTAATTCGCAACACCGGGTGGCGAAGCCAGCGTCTTCTTCCACACCCAAACGGGGCAAAACAGTGCCGGAATTGTCGCCCCGCTCAGTCCGCCGCATTATTGCTGCGCAGGAGTTGATAGAAAACGCTGCCGTAACGGCGGCGTCGGCGAGCGCGGCGCCGGGAGTAGTCCGCTCCCCGGCCTCGGCATCGGCCGCAGCCGAAACCATCTTCCCCCGCAACCCCCCCTTCACATTCGATCCCTCGTCGCCTCGGGGGAGGTCCGGCCGGGCCTTCGGTGCGGACGGCGTCGGCGGCGGCCCGGAATTTTTCAAGGAATGCTTTCCGCCCCGATGGTTGAGTGCGCTGCATACTGTGCGCAGTCGCCGGTGGAAGGAATTGGATGAGCGGGATTTTGAGACGCTGCTTGATGCGCTGGAGCTTAAAGAGGAGGATGCCGAGTTAGGAATGGGGAGGAGTGCAAGTGCGAGGTGGGATGGGGCTATGGGGGATGTGGTAAGGGATAAGGGGAAGGGATAAGGGGATGGGTTCGGGTTGAGTGGTAGGCCGGTTGGTCGGCTGGATAGATGGTTAGATGTGTGTGTTCCGCTTGGCAATGGCATTTGATGGATGGATGGATGGATGGAATTGGGTGTCAAGACGCAAGAGCGGTATGGAGATGGGATACTCGGAGTGCGGTTGCCATGATGTAAATACCTGGGTCGGATGCTTATACAGCAAGTATAACAGAGCGCACAGTGATCACGAAAAGCTAGTATAGTGCACCAGTAGTGATAGCTACGATCTATTTGAACCATAAAGTGAGAAGAGTCATACGATCCACGCCGAAAGCCAACCCAAGTTCCAACCCATTACAGAAGTCAAATCCCAAACGCCATCCACATCTGCTCCCCTTCTACGTCTGCCACAACACGGCGGGTCCCAGAACATGCATCAATCCCGCCCCCGCGGCGACCAGCCCTATCGCCACAGCCGCCAGCGCGACCCTATCACGCCCCATAATCTTCTTGGCCTCTGCCTCCTCCGCCGCGTCGGCATCAGCGACGTAGTGCCGCGCGAAGAGATCATTCTGGATCCAGAGGAGCTGCACTGCATTAGCTGCCAAGATCGGGAAGGCACAAGGGAAGAAGAGGGGGAGGGGGAGGGACGAACCTTGTTGACAGCGCGCAACAGGACCGTTTTCGTATCGTTGTCCAAGTCCGGATGCCCCATCACCGCGCCCACAAGGATGTCCTCGACGTAGCCCAGCAGCAGCGCGCAGTGGACGAGTTCTACTCTCAGAGCGGGTTTTTTGGCGCTGTAGTCACTCATCAGTCTCCGAGCTTATTTCTGGGGGTGGGGGGTGGGGGGTGGGGGGTGGGAGACAAACCGATGCGCGAACCCGGCCCTGCCGGTATGCATAACGCCGACCTTATCGAGGTACTCCCAGCTCTCGATCTTATCATAATCCATTGTGACCAGCTTTCTCAGGTACCCGGCGAGGAAATCCTTTCGGAAGCGAATCTGTGGGTGCTCCGGCGTGAGCTCGTCCAGCGACGTGGGGGCTTCGCCGGAGTATCCTGTCTGCCGCGGCACGAATGACTGCGCTGTGATGTCAAATGATAACAGCTTCTCGTAGACCGTGTCGACGATCACGGGGATCAAGGGTGCGACTACGGAGGCGCTAGAGTGCAGGACGGAGGCGTCGCTGGCGCTGAAGGAGATGAAGCTGCGCAGGTACGAGATTCGCGTGGAGAGGGAACTGAGCGATGAGGCCGGGACGTGCGTTATCGGGTTGCCCATTGTGAGGTGTGTATGTGTATGTGTCTGTAGTAATGGAGTATATACCACTGGCGGTAGTGAGGTATCGTGGGATTTTTATATCTCCTCATCCCCTCCTCTTGAACTCCCCCCAGCCGCTGCTCCCGGCACCGGCACCACCACCACCACTGGCTGGCCAAATGCCATCGAAAGGTTTTTTTGGATCAGTAACCCTCATCCTCCGCCGTCCTCCGCTCCCGTCCGTAGAGTAAGCATAGTAGCGTGCAAGCTCCCGAAATCGCCCATGCCGAGTCCTCTTCTCCGCGGAGCAGGAGCGGGACAGGAGCGATGCGGCCTCCCGACGTCCGGCCGTGGTCCGATTCCGGAGCTTCCTGGCGTGATGTGATTACTTCGCTTCCTCTAGACGAAGTCTCTTCTCGGTTGTGGGCCCTGGGATGAGAAGGATGGATGAGAAGATGGCATGGGACGAGGTGGTCCGATGGCGGGACTTTTTTGTCATGGACAATGGATCGGAGAAGTTCTCCGGTGCGTCATCGGTGGTGGTGGCGTCGGGCCGAATGTGACGGACGGGCTTTAGTTGGTTGATTGGTTGATGCAGGGGCGCGGATCGGACCGGACTGCACCCATGATGGTAGGTTGGCTAGAATGTTCCGTCGCAGGCTCGCAGCCTTCTGGAACCGAAGCTTCTTCTTCTTCTCGATCTTTGCAGATTTGTATGTACAGAACACCAACCAACACATCCAACACAACCAACACCTGCCTCCCGTCCGAATATGTACCCAGATAACCCAAAATGATGATCTAAAATGATGACCCAAAATGATTCCCAACGCCCACGCTTGCCAGTCCTGTCCGACCACTGTACAGTAAAAGAAAAGAAAAGAAAAGAAACATATGACTTAGTCCCCGTCCGTTCATCAAAACAGATCATCATTCAACAGATCGCTCCTGCCCTCGACAATCTTCAGTAGCAGAACTCTATACGTGCCCTTCGAGTGTTTCCACACCTTTTCGGAAAGCCTCTTTCCGTACCGCTGCTGATAGATCTCCTTTACGAACAGCATGTGTCGTGGGTCGGGATCGTAGTGTATGCGGATTAATCGTGCGATCAGCCGTGCGTCGTTCGTGCACAGCCCTTTCATCGCGTCCGCCAAAAGCTTCGCGTCCCTCTGCGGCTTGTTCATCGCGCCTTTGAGCACGTGCGCTACTGCGTAGCCCTGGGAGCGGTGTTAGTGGGGGTTCGATATATCATAGACAATAGACAGAGAATGGGGGGAATGGACGTACCAGGCTGACGGGGTAGTACGACGCCGAGTTCATTCTGGTCCTATCCTTTGCCAGCGCCAGCTCCGCGAGCTGGATCCCATGTCGTTCCTGAAACATCCTGCACAGCTCGCCCAGATACAGATCGCTCCTGCGCATGACCAGCTCCAGCAGCAAGTCTTGGTTGAGGTACTTGTTCGATCCGCGGCGCTGTGGGTCCGCCCTGTAGAGATTCTCAACGTCCGAGGTCAACCTCTGCTCGCGCTTCATCATCCGCTCCTCGCTCAGCCCCGCCAGCGACTCCAGCGTCTCGACCTGTCTATCCGCGCGCAGCGCCCGGATACACGCCCTGCCAAACGACGACGACGGCCCCGCGGTGTCGAAGACGCTGCCGGATGGCTCGGTGTTGGAGAGGTAGAGGTCCTGCAGGGCCTTCTGTAGGGGGATTCCATGAAGCGCTTCGAAATGGTATTTGATGCCGCGAATTTCCTCCGGGGTTTTTCCAAACAGGGCTTCGGCGACCATCTTGTCGTCCATGAAGAACGTGCTCTCGTTCTGCTTGAGGGCCTGCGCCTCCGCCTCGTGCGGGCCCGCGATCAGCCGCGTCAAAGTTGTGCGGTAGTGCAGTGTCGTCTCTGCGCGCACGTCCACCGACATCGCTTCCCCGAACAGCTGCTGGTACGCCTTCTTGCAACGCGGGAGCTTCGCGCGCGATCCGCGGGTGAGCGACACTAGTGTCGACGACAGCGCGTCCTCGTCGATCTTGCGGTCGCTGTACAGCGCGTCCCAAATCGCCTTTGCGTCTTTGGTTGCGTCGTAGGGGATCGCGGTGCGCGAGGCTGCGAGCAGCGGCTGCTGCTGCGGCGGCTTGGTCGCCGTGGGCGCCGACGGCGTCCGCGTCACCGTGTTGTACTTCTGCAGCGAGACGGGCGGGAAGTGGGGCGCGGACGCGGACCGCGTGCGGTGCGAGTTGTAGCGGTCCGGGAGCTCGGCGATGAAGCCGGACGAGGGCGCTGATACGCGGTTCGCGATTATGCGCGAGGACGGGTCGATCCCGAGCATCTTGGCCGCCTTGATGCTGACCGGGGCGCCGGCGCTGGGGATGCACGGGCTCGGGGCCACGGATGAGGCCGGCGAGTTGTAGGCTCCCGAAGAGCCCGAGAATGTGGTCGAGGTCGGGGATACGGACTCCTCGGACTCGTTCGTGCGTGGGGATGTCGGGGCGTGCTCGAACGGCGGGTATCCGTAGAAGTCGAAGTCCGCGGCCAAAACTGGGTCCACTTTGTGGACGGTCGACTTGCGCCGCGGGCCCCACGAGACGGTGGTCGGCATCGCTGGCAGCGGCGTCCGGGGCCGGTGGAAATTCCACAGCTCGTCCGGTGTGAACGGCAGCTTTTCCGACGGCGTTGCATCCTCCCTCCTCTCTGGCTTCGCCAGCTCAAGCACCGAAGCGTCGGGATCCGCGCCGAATACCGACGCGTAGGTATTGTTCGCGGCGAATATCGACGCGTGAGTGACGCTTTGTGGTGTTGCGGGCTGCGAACTGTCCGACTGGGCGTTGGCTTCGGCGGGATGTGCACTTTCCGGCTCGACACATAGCCCCGTTGTCTTCCAACCCGTGACCTGCACCATGCCCTCCGCCTTCCCACCTCCCCTCGGTGTTTGGTGTCCAAACGTTTCGGTGCGATGTAGCCGAGGGCCCTTCCTGCGGAGTGTCGGCATAGCGAGCTTCTGGAATTCCTTCGGCTTCGGCGGCGGAGTCGGCGGACGGTCTCGGTTTTCGTCTCGGTCTCGGTCTCGGTCTTGGACCTGGTCTTTATCTTGGTCGTCGTTGTCTCGATAGCGTCCGATCGGCACGCTCTCCCACAGATCGATGTAGGGCTGTATGAGATCGGAGTGCGGGGGCTGATTCGGCATGATGGTGAAGATATATTCTGCAGTGTTGATGGACGGAATGGGCGCGAACCGTTCGAATCCATTCCATTCCCCAGAAGAGAAGAGAAGACAAAGCCGAGCTGCGGGGGGTCGACCGAGAGATATACTATGTATTGTACACTACATACATCGACTTTTGCTTTTGCTTTTCTTACTCTGCTTCCCTCCCTCCTTACACAGCCTCGTGCGTGAGCCATGCGAGGAAGCGAGCAAAGCAAAGCAAGCAGAGAAGAATACATATCGGATTCGTGAGGTTGCGGTTCGACGGACGGACATGGATGCGCCACCACGGCCGGCCAGGGTCCACATCTGCGCTGGCTGCGGATCGGTTGGTAGCACTCATGTACACGCAACCGCACCTCTTTTTAGCATAAGCATAAGCGTAGGCTGTAGCAAGGTGTGGCTATCATAGGTACACTACGCATACCGGTACTCTACTTGGTAGGCAGAGCACCAGAGGCAGTGCTCACTGCAACCTGCGCCGGCGGTTTGTTTTCTCGTACCCATAGTGTAGATCAGTGCAAATCCTGCGCGAGTATATAGCAGTGTACTGGACTGTACTGCACGGTACTGCACAGTACTGGACCGGGCTCGTATGGCGCCCGTCTTCCGCAGTCCTGACGCATCATCAGCATCATCCTCAGTCAGAGTGAGCCTGTATCGCTGGTTAGCCTTCTGCGGGGTACTCTATGCCAGCCCTGTGGCAGTGTGTGGCTGCGACCCCAGCCACGCAAGATACGTGCCGTTACCGTACTGCTGTATGCCATGCTATACATGGACCACCGACAGCCTACAGTCCCGTCCGGCGTCCGTCAAGCGTCAGACTGTCAGTCGAGGTCAAGGTAATGTACGGTATGTACCCTATCTACAAGTACCTACATGGTGTCGAAATATCTACATTCATGGACATTGACAGCTATATATAGCCGGGCGAAGCGAAGAATACTAGCACCGTAACAGACCAACAGTGTAACTAAACCTTCGCTACGCCAGCCCTACCCACACTCCAGTGACTCCAGTGACTCCATGGAATCCACACAACTGAACGCCAGACCTGGTCTCAACCTCGACCTGAGGCTCGAGCTTGCACAGACAACACAGAGGGGGGGTGAGTCCGGATGATTACCACCGTTCACCGCTGCACCGCAGCCCCGAGCGGTCCCTCTCAGTTCATACCGTCGCCTTCAAACTTCGATCGGCCCAGGACCCCAAGACCCAGTCGTGCGAAAAAAAACCCCCATCGAATACGCACCGCGCCGCTGCACCGGATCATGGATGTGCGACTACGACGTGCGACGTGCAGCGAGCAGGAACGACGCGTGTGCTGCGAATCCGCGATAGGTACGGTAATACGTACGGTACTATGGGCACGGTAGCGTACTATGAGCATCCCTCCAGGCCAGGCCAGGCCTCACATCATGTCAGCCTCCAACCCTCCGGCCCTCCGACGCTCCGCGCGAATGGGAAATGGAGATTATAAAAAGGAAGGGGAAGGGAGGGGATGTGATGGGGATGGGGAGGGGATGGGGAGGGGATGGGGAGAGTGGTTATCGGCCGGGCGGCGGGGGCGACTATATAAGTGGTAGGTATGGAGGTATGTACCGACTGTGGAACTTGGTGCCGGTGTCGGGTAGTTACCCAGTTACCTGGGAAGGACTCTGGAGATGTGGAGGTTCTTGCTGGCAGTCAACACCGTGCCATAAGAGCAGAGCGGAGCGGGTACGCACGATTGGCAGGGCACCCTGAGTGACTGAGTCCGAACCACTTACTTCGGCAGATACCAACCCATCACTCCTCCGCACCCAACACAGCGATCCTGACAACCTACGTGGGCACTGGGGAGGGGGTCTAGGTGACGCATAAGCTCCTATCGGCCACCGGCCCACCGGTGGGTGTGGCCGCCGGATGCAGGATAAGCCTGGGAATCCGGGAATCCGGGATTCTGGGATTGACGAGACGAAAGTAGGTAGGTAGTGACGAGGCGAGGCGAGACGAAACGGGAGCGCCACCGGGTGTAAACATAGCACAGAGTAGGTGCCGTACCGTATATACATAGTACCGGTAGTAGATGTCGACTGAGACTCTCGAGAGCTTGGGATGGTTCTGACCTCTGGCGGTGGATTGGATACGTGCCTACGGTAGGTACTCTAGTACATAGCACCTATACGAATAGTAGTAGATAGGCCTGCACTGGTAAATCATAGGATTCATACCGTAGAATAGTAGAGTACCGTAGAGTAGGTACTAGGTATTCCGCCTCCGCGAACCAGTCTCCAGTCTTTCGAAGATCTTCTCCAGTTCAGTCCGCTCCAGTCCGCTCCCAGTCCTCTCCAGTCCGGTTCTGGGCGCCTCGAGTCTCGGCCGGAAGGGTTTGAACTCTGCACCACTCTAGGTACTCTACTCTCCATGGCAGCCGGCGGTCTTTCGCCGTCCACCACCACACCACAGTCCACTCGCCCATCGTTCAATTTCGAATCCTTGGCGACAGAGCTTGTTCGGTGCCGCGCTCGCAATGTCGGCATACCTAACTACTCTAGCCACAACATCACTGCGCCACAGATACAGAAGGTGCGTAATGCGGCTGACGACTACTACAAATTGACATGCATGCATCGAGATCTTGGGAGCACGTACCATATGTACATATACATGGGAAAAGCTTCGAGGGGAACAGCTACGTATGATGTATGTATGATATGTATTGTACTCATAGTAGGTACTTACTTCGAATGATTGCGCACGTGTCTCACCGGCGGTACCCATCAGACCGAGCACTTGGCGGGGAGCCCATGACACCACCACCGTCACCACCATCACCACCACTGTTCAAGGCAGTCGTTCTCGAGCTGGCACTCGAAGCTCGCAATTCAGCAAACCACATGAGCGGTCCACCCTAATTCCTCTCATGCAAAGCGCAAGGAAAGCGGTAAAGCGCGACGCATTTCGTCCGCCCGCCCGTTGTAAGGCTGGAAGCCTGGAACCATCCGATCCGTGCTCATCTGAAGCCGTAGGTACTCTATGGTGTGGATGACTGGCTCGCTCTTGCTTGGTGGTCGAGTTTCTATGGGTTACGGGTACTCTATCGAGTTCTCATCGAGTGACTGCCAGACCAATCGGGGACTTGCAACCCGCCCCCGCCCACCACCCCCGTGACTTTCTACATCCACGCGAGCGGGGAGCGCACTGATGATGGGCTGGGCTACTGACAGGAAGCAGGCGAAGCGCTCGGTATCGGATCTCATGCGTGTACTATACCACCGACCACCGTGAACTCGGTTTCAGAGTCGTTTCGGCGTCCCTCGCTCCGAACCCGAAGCGTCACAAGGAGGAATCGAGTGATTGTGGGTGCTCAGAACGATAACCATAGGCTTCAACCGACGGCCAGGCTGATGCGGCTCGCGGATGCCGTGGATACGGTACTCAAGTGTATATTACCAGGCTCTGTGGGTGCTCACTTCCCCGCGCAGACAAAACATGTTCACGATGGGTCTGGATACTACTAGTTCGGTAGATATGGTAACTAACGATACAAGGTGCTTAATCGCAACTGGTCTCCGATGCCGCCCCACCCCGCCCCGGGCCCATCACGCGTGAGTCGTCGCTAGGCGGACGCTATCCTAACAACGGGCTCGCTCTCTTTTACCAAAGAGTCAGTCAGCGTTCTGTTCTCGTTTCGCGATCCGTATTTATTGGTGTGCGCACTCACTACCCTGCCAGCCTCATGGGCCGCCAAATGTTGACTCCTGGTCAGTGCGCAGTGTGCTCAGTCTCAGGCAGCATCATTTAGCACAGCATTAAGACACGTAACTACCACCCGCCTGCCCCCTCCCCGCTGTTGAGCTTGGATTTCTCAAAGATATTATTCCCCCTCTCCCCCTCACCCTCCGTGCGCTCACTACGGTCCCGAGAAATCCGGCATCGCCCCTTCGCAACTCCCAACAGCACTCACTCGCCCAGGAACGAAAGCAGCGCGAAGCAACGGAGCAAAAAGGTACGCTCCCCAATGGAATCAATTAACGAATACAAGCGTCGATACCGCCAGATCGTGAGATGGAAGCAAACGGGCAACATGACTAAACAGGAAATAGGTATGTACGTGGGGGGTTAAGCCTATTGGGCTCAAAGAAAATAAGGTTGTGGGGGGTCCTCCGGAGGGAAATTGCCAGAATCAAAAAAGCAAGAAAGAAAAAAAAACCCAATAAGTTTACTACCGCCTTCTCCGCAAAAAAGAAATGGGGGACAATGGAACAATGAAAGGAAAAAAAACGTCAGCGGTGATCCGTGGCGAGGTTTTTAACAAGCGCTTCCGGCCCGATTCGAAACAGACACCATCCGGGATAGATATTGACGTCTGAGGATGCGTATTTATACGTCGTCTGTCGTTATTTCAATGCTGCAATTCCCTTCCTTCCCCTCCCCACGTCAGTTATAGTAACTCGGACTGTCAGAAATTGATCACCATACCGAGTATGTTGTCCTCGTCCGATGTTCCCTGAGCCGGCCGCTCTGATTGAAATCTTGACGCCCACTGGCCGACATGTTCGAGATCGTGCTGAGACCTGGGGATCGCGCCTGCCATTCTTGCGTTCCTTCTGATGGACCGGTGCCGGTTGAAAACAGTCAGCATGTGGGACTGTTGTTTCTCGGCATCTTCCTCCCTGATGATGTTTTTGGCCTTCAGTCTATTCAGGAGGGATGTGCCGCAGGCGCCATCCCTTACTTCCAGAGAGGAACTCGAGAAGAAGTGCCGGAATTGGGACTGCCAGCTGTTTTCGAAGGTGCCACCGCAGTTGCAGAAGAGGCGGCTGGTTTCCTCGGAATCATCGAGCGGGCCACTGCAGTGACTTGCACAGTGGACTGCCCAGTGGTTAATGTTGAGCTCATTATTGCAGTTTTTGAAGAAACACGAGATGGTATTAATGACCTCCGAGCCGTGGCTGTAGTTGCTTTGGTTGTAGTTTGTGTGGTTGCCAGCCTGCATCTGAGAAGTGTATAACGAGCTACAAGCATTCGAAGAACCGTACGTCATGGCCTGCATATCGGATTCCGTACGACACCCCACTTGACTTCCATTATCCGCTCCTACTCCAATGTAAGTTTTTGTTTTCACTTTCTTTTCTTCCTCCACAGGGAAACGCCCACTGCGCAAGGCAGATTCGGAAAGGTGCCCAACTGAATAGATGTTACGTACCGCAAGACGATGGCGCGGAAGGATAATGCTTAGGATAAGCTATTGCCACATCGCTGGAGCACGACATGTCTGTTCCTAGGGACTTTCTTTTTTGGTAATTTCCGGAATTGCGATTGACTCGAGAAGGCGGCAGGGCAAACTGTGCAACGGATGATGTTAGGAGGGGCGTTTGATGACTGCTGGAATGAGGCTTGATTCGGGAAGGCGGTAGGCAACTTGGATGATTTGGATCGTTCGTTCGGTATGTTGAATCCTCTTCGATTCTTGGGTACTATGCTGCCGACTTTATCGTCTCCACAATCTGATGCGGCTATGTACCAGACCTCGAGTTTCCAGAGCCGTAAGGGCCATCATCATCTTCTTCTTCACTCATGCTGCCGGCAGGGTGGAAGGAGGGGGATCAATCGAGCCCCTCGTCACCTAGGATAGGGAGCGGTATCGGTCGACACTGCGGCAAACACAGCTGCATGGTTATCTGGAAAAGCGTGGTTGGGGGGGCATATCGGGCTGGCTGACTGGCTGGCTCACACGAACCTCTGCCATCATGGTGGTGAGTATGTACGTGGACCACCCACGTCTCCGGAATTCAGATATGGGAGTATCGCGGCCCTCCGCTGTTGCCGACTTCCTGCGCCTGCGCCTGACACGAACCATATCCTCACAATCGTGTAATATCCGTGTAGGAAGTGTTATATTAATCCTGTGACATAGCACGCGGAATACACTTTTCGGATGCAGGCTTCGGGGTGCTGGACCAAAAGAAACTAGGCAGACATAATCTGAGAATCCTCTGGGGCATTCGGGGACCGGGAAGAGATGGCAATCCGTTGCAGCAGGCCCGCACCGCTGCTTGGTGACGTGCGATCCCACCCCTGGGGGACCATTCTTGGGAATGTTTTTTTCTTCTTTCTTTCTTTTTCTTTCTCTCTCTCTTCGGACGAACCATCACTGCAGGGAGTCATGCCTTCTAATGATGCACAGCTGGATATGCGGCGCGGAACGTGCCAGGTTGCACGCAAATCGGTATCGATCGGCCTAAGGGCAGCTTCGCTAGAAACACGATGCCGTAGCCAAACGATGTGGCCTCGAGGATGACGATGATAACCACGCTATCGACGTGCGTCAACACACGCACACGGATCCACAGTTTCTTTCGGATAATGCGAATTACAGAGTCCAGCCGCGCGTGGATTCGCTGAAGTCGTCTATGCTTGCAGTGCTCGATGGTGGGCCAGCAAACGGGGCTTGACGGGCGTCAAGCAACTCAAGCCACTGCCCCACCTCCACCTTCACCTCCACCTCTACATACCACATCACATCACACCATATTACTACATATGGGCGGCTGGGATGAATCATGAATTCCCAGGGGAGGGACGACCATCGGAAGTTTAGTCCGGCAGATTGTTCCTCGGTACGAGAAAAGCAAACCAATATACTCTAGAGCCCCATTCCGTACTTTGGGGAAATCGTGGAGCCCCGCCAACAGGCAACAGCTGCGCATGACAGGCTTGAGACAAGGTGAATTCTGGTCTGCAACACACCCCCGCTTTTCCCCCACGCCCCCCTCCTCCTGTCGTCTCTACCGCACGGTTCCCAGACCGACCGACTCCCATACTGTACCTACATCGCCAATCTTTATCCGTCGACGGGCCCTCTCCGTTTCACCGAGAGAGAGAACAATATGCGTATGTAGGAGTAGCGAACGGTGACTATGGGTGGTGGCCGGCTGTGCGAGGGCTGAGGCGAACGGGCCGAGCCGGTGCATACATACGAGGGAACCGGAGAGTCCGCTTCGAACTCTCGTGTCCGGGAGATGGAGGGGGGGTGAGTGTCGGCTGTTGGGCACACTCACAGCCGCATTGCGTTTTTTTGCTGAGTATGAACCTCGCCAGGGTGAGCAATGGCCTTCTGCAGGGCTCGGAAGAAAGACCCACCCTGCACCATGCCGCTGTCGCCGTCCGAGAATGGGCCAGGACAGCTCACACAGGGCAAACCTTCTTACCGAGAAACTATGCTCGTGCTTGGTGCAATGGGCAAGAACAGCTCACACAGGGAATAGTTTCTCACCGAGAAACTCTACTCTTGCTTGGTGGAATGTCCAAGAAACAACTTGGGCTGCATAGCCAGCCTATTCGTCGATGCCTCGTTTTCCACCTCTAGACGGCGTATTGGAAAGCTTCTCTGCATCGCATCTTACAGCCGCAGGAGCCTCCGAACATGTTTCGGATTATGCAATAGATAGTTCGGAAGGGGTGGGCTGGCTGCGGCTACAGTTGCCTTGCATAGTAGTATCGGCCCGTTTGCTGGTCCCACTATCGCTTGCCAGCAGATGCCATACGGAGGTCGCATAGCGATCGTCCCCGTGAGTGAATCGGCTTTAGTCAAGGCGGCTGCGTAGCGTATCCTGGAGAGTAAGTGGCTTACTGATGTCGAAAGTGATAGGTGGGTCGGACTTCCAGTGCGCATCCGCTTCCCATCCATCAGTCGTCACTTTTGCTTCTTCCCAGAGCTACAGCTGCATCGACGCATGGCCCTACCGTGAGGCATGCAAATCCCGTTCCTCGGCCTGCGGAAAACACACAACCGAGCATCGATTCGTACCGAAGACCCTCGATCGCCTATAGATTCACACGTTTAAGTGCACATGGCGGCTCTCGGAGAACAGCCCTACCAGCATGGGCACGGGCCATCAAGGGTCTTGATTGGATGCGAGCAACGCGGATCGGAGTAAGCTGTGTTCATCCACTTCGACTGCTGCCAGCGCAGGGTGAAATGGTTTCCGAACATGAAATATGATCCTCTCCTGTAGAGAATCCGGAGGCATGGGCAGATACGAGCAGTTCACCCCTTTCCCTCCCCCTCCCCCTCCCCATCCCTTTTAGAGAACACGTTTGCAGCTTGGCCGTGAACGACTCCTATGGGCGGGCTGAATACGAGTCCGACCTCCGACGATGATTTCTACCACACCTTCAGATGCACTCGCATCCCTCAGAAAGGATACGTAAAAGCAGCGGCAACCAAACCTATTGTTGCGTGGCCGCCTCGAACGATAAGGAAATAGCCAGAGCTTCATCGTAGTGGTCTCCACCGTAAGCAGCACATACAGGCACATACCGAGGAGATTCCAAAAGCACAGATGACGTCTTTGATCACTAGGACCGTGATAGCCACTCACACGTTGCATCTTCCGTGCGCACGCGCAGTCCCCGCAGCCAATCACATCCACGTTTTCTGTTGCGGACGTGTGTACTTACTCGTTATACACCATGTCCAAACCCCTCGACGACCGAGCATCGGAGGCGAACCAGCATTGGGCAGTTCGCCCTCGGATCCCTCCTCTGAGAGGATGGTGTGGGGATTCCTGCTCCAACCAACCAGCAGCACAGCACAGCGCAGTTCGTCTGGTCGGATTCCTGCTAGTAGTGAGTGGGCGTTTGTTTGAACGGTAAAGGAGCCGATCCACCTGGTTGCATGCGCTTTTCACACTTTGTACACTTCACACACTCTGCGCGCTCTGCGCGCTCTGCACACTTCACACACTTCGCACACACGTTCGGCGCTATGGATCAGTATCCATAATGGTATGTGGTCCTAGACAGTGGACACCCCACCTACCTAGTACCCGTTCTCCCGTTTGCTACGAAGTGGGGGGGAAGATGGATGTCATGCACTGCACATACCCAATGCACTTTCCACCGGCCTCCACCTACCATGCGGGGATCCAAGCTGCCCCTCATCCATTCCTGTCTTCATTTCAACCCGTTAGTACTCCAATACTTGCTTCTTCTTCTGCTTCTCTGTCTTCATTTCAACCCGTTAGTACTCCATTACTTGCTTCTTCTTCTGCTTATTCTTCTTCTTCTTCCGCCGCCTTCTGGAGTCGAGGCCCCTTCCCCTCAACCACGAGCCACGAATCCCGACGTGCCGCCGATCCGATATCGATGGTTGACATGTACCACACTGCATGAGACATTCCACGGGTCATTGCGCCCTGTCACTCAATCCATCCTATCCACTGGATGATTCTTACTTTCATATCTTTTTTCCTTTCCTCGTAGTGAACGCTTCCCTCCGTCTTCTGGAGCCGTCGGCTCAGCTCACCGAGCAGCAAGCACTGCATGCAGCCATGCCTTCTTCCCTCAGACGATGCGCTGGGCAGGAATCGAATGGATCGACATGGCGCGTGAAAACAGCGTCCGGACCACAGTTGGGATGCCAGACAGTTAAAGATCGCGCCGCTCTGGTCGAGCCACGCAGGCATAACTAGATGGTTGGTTGCGGCGGTCGGTGGCTCACGCTCGACATCGAGCTACACATGTATGTATGTACGAAATATTTTCTCGCCATCGAACTACGAAAGATTCTTGTTGGCTCACATCCCTGGCGTTGCTCCAGTCGAGCTGTCCTGCTGCACCCCCCTAGTAGAGTTTAGGCCACCGCCCCCCTCTCGATGAACATTCGAAGCCGCTGTCCCTCCACCTTCCTCCACACCAACTCCTTGCGACTGGACTGGACTCTCCAGAAATTTCTCCTGTGCATACATCCTGGCTCCGTTCTAGGCGAGCCGCCCGGGGGTCTTCATCGATGGCCGCTGGCCAGCGATCAACACGCTAGTATACAGGTGCCCAATTCCTACATAACTACCGATGCAGGCACGGAAGCACGATCGCGGTGCTCCTAGGGCTCCCAGCTTCCCAGCTTCGCAGCTTCCCAAGCCTGCAGAATGCATATGCGCTGGGGGTGGAGGGGGAGGGAGAGGAAGAGGAGGAGGGCGGTTTTAACTGGGTGGAAAAAGTACCTGTGCTGGGTCACACGCTACCATTATCTTCTGGGATTCCAGGGACATACGTAAGGCTGGGTCTTGCGATGGTATGTAGGTAAATTTGCTGGTATGCTATGCTTGTACATATGCTAGGTATTCCTCCCGATTGCCGGTAGGTGCGAAGATGCGCACTCGCGCTACGTACCCGCTCGGTACATACCAATGGCGCACGTGGATTTGATGTCCTCTCCCCGCCGCCGCCGCCGCGGGAAGTAGAGTAGACCAACTACATAGCAGAGCAGAGCATAGAAGAATCTGATCAAGCCTCGAAAGTAGTGTACTTTGATACAACCGACGCCACACCGACCACTCCCGTCGAGTATGTAGGTACCTATTGTGCTAACTACCGCAGTATTCTGCCCTGCAAAATACCACCGCCATGATCCATCTGCGCACCGATGATTACTTATACAAGGTAACTAAACCGTACATGCATGTGTCCCGGCCAGCTAGCTAGCCGTCCAACCGTCTCGGCCCTTTCAAGCGCCCAGAGTCTATGTAGATAGCCGGACAAACCCCGGAAAATAAGAATACCCAGGATGAGGAAGGAAGAGGAAGAAAAGAACAGAGAAGAAAAATATAGATGCCGTAGATTTGTATCGTCGTAAGTAAAGCCAAAGCCAAAGCAGTTCCAGAACGCCTTCCCGTAACCCCCCCTCTCCGCCGGCCCCGCCGCCCCAAATCACAACCCTTAACCCCTAACCCCTAGGTCCACACCACACACCCTCTAGTTTATGACGTTAAAGTGAAAGAAAGAAAGAAAGAAAGAAAGCGTCTACATAAGCCTCCTGGGCACCACCTGCTGGTGCATCAGCTGCTGGTTGTGCATCTGCTGTTGGCTGTGCTGGTGGTGCTGGCTGTGCTGCTGCGACCCACCCCAATCACTCCCATTATCGCCGACCTCTCTGCGGAGCGCGCGATACGCGATCCGCATCTCGACCTGCGTGTCGTGGCCGTGGCGCGCGGCTGAGCCGCGGGAGCGCTCGGAGATGGCCGAGAGCGAGGAGTTGCGCGTGAGCGTGGGCGCGGGAGCGGGTGTGGCGTGGCCGGATCGGGGCGCGGGAGCAGGTGTGCCACGCCCGGATCCGCCGCCCCCGCTGCTGCTGGGCGGCGGTGGGAACGAGAATGTCTGCTGAGTCGTTATCGGGTCGCGGAATGGGTCGTCGGTGCCGGTGCCGGTGCCAGCGCTGGGGTAGCCGGGGTAGGCGAGGGCTGGGTTTTCGTAGGCGGGGATGCCCGCCGTGGTGGGGCTGCGGTTGGCCGCAGTGGAGCCCGGCGCGAGTGAGGCCGCAATTCGCCGCTCGTACCCCGCTGCGGCCGCCGTCGATCCGCTCCGTGTTACCGTGGGTGGGCCAAGGGTCTCGGGGTTCTCGTAGCCGGAGATGCCGGCAGGAGTGGCGCTCCTGTAGCCCACCGAAGGGTCACGAGTGTGGTTAGTCGTGTGCTGGGGGGAAGTCGGAACTCGGCGCTCATATCCCATTGGCTGCACGATCCCCATCCCCATTCCCGCCGTCGGAGGACCCAGTGTTTCCGGATTCTCATAAGCGGGGATCCTCTGGCCGCGCGAGCCGTTCTCCGGCTGCCTCAATATGTCGTTCAGGAAATCCGGCAGCTTCTCGTGGCGCACGTCGAGCGGCCCGCCGATCTGCGGCGAGTGCGGCCCGGATTGGTCCATGAATGTGTTGATCGACGCGCGCTTCAGCTGCTTTTGCCGCCGTCGCCGGAATAGGAATACGCCTAGGCCGAGGAGTCCGAGGAACGCGATCGGTGAGATCACCGCTGCCGCGATGAGCCCGGGCGGCCGCGCGGGGACTGAGAAGTGCGTTGCCGCGGTGGTGCTGGTGCTGGTGCTGGTGCTGTCAACGGCGGCAGCGGAGGCGCCGGCGGCGGAAGGCGGGAGGAGCTCGGTCGCTGCCCCTCCGGAAGGCACTAAAGTCGTGTCGGCTGCCGTACTCGCCGCGGCTGCAGACGAAGTCGTTGCTGATGCACTGGTCAGTCCGGTCGTCAACGGTCGTTCCACACGGGGGTAACATACCAACACTCCCGTCCCCTTCGCCCGCAAAGACGACTCCCAGATCTGCACTCCTCGACACACACTCCTCCCTCAGGGCGTCGAACGCAGTGGTGGGACAATTCTTCTCGGCACACGCCTTCGCTGCCGTCTCGTCGTTCGCCAGTGTCGAGCACACGCATGCCGGATCGATATCGCTGCACGTGCCGATGTAGCACTGCTGCAGGCAGCTCTGGCTCACCAGCGTGCGCAGGACGCCGTATTTCCCGTCAGCCACTGGCGGTGCGGCCGTTGTCTGCGCGGCTGCCAACGAGGCCAAGCTCAAGGCTGCGGATATTATTACTGTCAATGCAAGCATTGTGGATGGTTTTATGGTGGTGAGGACGAAGGAAATTCCGAAAGGGCCCAAGAGCAAATGAAAGAAAGAAAAAAATAAGAACAACAACAACCTATCAAAGGTGGTTGAGCTTATGGCGGGGGGTGCTAAAATATGCAGTGGTAAGAAGGTAAGAAGACACTCGTCCGTCGGGTCTGTCTGTTTCGATTATGTAGAAATATGCATCGTTATATGTGATGTTCAAAAAGGGCAAGAAACCCCAAGGAACAAGGGAGAAGAAGAAGGAGAATGAGAAGGATAGCTAGAAAATTACTCTGGGAAAGCAGGAGGTGAGGGGAGAGGAGAGGGGTATACGATCCTATATACATACCAACGTCCACTGGCCACTGGCCGGGCGTGGGTGGGTGGGGGTGGTATGTGGCAGTCTAGGACGTTTTAGGGTCATCACTGCACAGAGAACGGATATCTACCCTTGCACGATGTCTTCAGACTCGTTTGACGCTTGAATGTACCGCATGTACCGTATGTACATCTTGGCTCACCACCGCCGCCTTCGAAGAGCCAACCGAGAACTCACGGGCCGCAGAACTACATATGTGCAGTACATTCTCCTTCCCTTCTCCTTCACCTTCTCCGTGTCTGTGTCCTCCGCCCACTCCTTCTTGCCTAAACGAAACAACATTCTCGAGCATATATACCTCCTCCCGAGTCCCTCCTCCTCCTCGCCTCTCCAATCGTCTCCAACGAAACCGAACCCCACCAATGGCAATGGCACTCCCACTGCACCGAAACAAAAGAAAGGAAAAGGAAAAAACCGCCCACAGGTAGGTTTACATAGCACACGAAACCCATGGACGACCGTGGCTCATACACACGCCGTCGCAGAACTGTGTTCGTACATAAACGGTTTCAGAGGCGCCCTCCCCCCTCGCCCGCAGCACCGGTCTTGGATCAGCCAGGCTAAACGTACCGGCGGCGGACCTCTAGGTAACTTACTAGGTACCTATATAATCTGCAAATATAAGCATAACTGCAACCGCGCGCGCGCGAGCACCGTACTCTATGTACATACCCCCGCGGCGTCGAAGAGTGAAAATCAAAAACAGGAAGAGAAAGAGAAAGCGAAAAGAAGACAGAAACCCTTTTAGCAAACCCGCATTCGTTCCGGGTCGATTCACATCATCACCCGCCGAATCCAGCCCCGGGCTGGGCTGTTTTCCCCCGCGACCTGAAGGAAAAAGAGGCAAAAATTGAAGGGAAAGGAATGGAGCGCCGCTGCGCCCTGCCCTGTTGCCCCTCTCTCGCGCGGGGAGACTGACGGGGATGCTGAAGCGATCGTATGTAACGGAGCCGAGTTTCATGCATGCTTGACGCTGGCATGGATCCGGGCGTGGCTTTACATAACGTGGGCGGCTAGGTAAATACCGTATGTACCGTATGTACCCACGCATGTGCCGGGTATGTATGAAGGTATGTCGATATGATAACAACATGCCTATGATAGTTACCTAGAAGAGTAGTGCGCTCAATGTAACTATGTTGGTACATAGAGGAGAGTAGCATACCCTGGACTGCGTGGGCGATAGTCATGTATATTGTAGGTACATACCTGGTGCGCTGACAGCAACCTTAAACCGAGACGGTGCGGATCTGGTGTTGTGGTTTCGTCGCTGGTTTCCGCGGTCGAGATCTACGACCTACATGAGTACATACCCACTTGGTGCCTGGACTCATATTTAGCGTGTCGTTACCATGTTTGTACTGGTACTAGGTAATAATAGTAGTAGTACTCTACGATGCCGTGGAGGTCACGTGCGCAGTGATATTCATAATCGAACAGACCGTTCAGTGTCGCCAGTAAATACCGTGAAATAATAGGTAGTTACGAGCGACTGTGCTAGCCGGGGCAAGGGGGAGGAGGAGATGGGAGGGACCGCGCGGCTATGTGTGTAGAGGATTACCCGCGATGCCAAATCGATGTTGGAGTACTCTAGAAATGGCTTTGCGGAGGCCAGATCGGTGGACCGTGTAAGCGGTTCGTCTGGTTGGTAGATTGGAAATATAAATTCTTGTGGCACAGCTGCCGCACCGGTATGTAAGCAGGTAAGTATGTCACCAATGTCCTGCCAGCAGCATGATACCGGTAACTGTAAACAACTTGCTTGTGGCATGACATCTTGCCTCACCTGGCCGCCAATGGAGAGGTCGGGCCACCACTTGTACGCCATGGCAAAGTAGAAACTACGTTAGTTACCAGGGATTCCCACATGGTCACCCATTGCAGTACTCGGTACTACAGCCTGGCGATACCTTGCTTAACATGTAGGTATGCACCTAGGGCTGAACGGACGGGAATCCGTGTATTCAAGGTTCTGTGACCGTAGCTGGTGAAAATCTCATCAACGTCCTACCTATGAATAGACCTGGAGAATGATTTGTTTTGGCAATCGTGAATGCTGATTTGGTATGCACGTATACTGCCCAAGAAGGGAGGAACTCCCGGAATTTCCAGGAGAGTGCTTCGAGCAGGTGCGCCACGGCTTATCACTCACGACATGCAACCTTACTCGTGCAAACAATGTATTTAGGCGGTCGAGAACGGGCAGCAGCACAGCTTGACCGGGATAGGCGCCTCGCCCTCGGACTTCTCAGCCTCCTGAAGGGAAACTAGGCGAGAGACCTCGTAGGAGCGGACAGCGCCTTCGGACAACGGATGGTTACCTTCCTAGGGAATCCCGGACGGACAGCGGAGACAGTGCTATTGGACGAAGCTGAAGCTGAGCACCGGATTGCACAGTCACCATGGACGACGAGATCACAGACAGAACGCGCGCAGCAGACCCACTCGGATGATGCCCGGCACACAAAGGCGTCTCCGGGAATGAGAAGGCCGATGAATGGGTGGCACCACCGCCACCCCGCAAACTTGGAGACTGATTTAAAAGACCAAAAGCAGAACTCAAGTAATTATTTTCAAAAAACGCCGACTTCGGACCCCGAACATGGAGATTATCCAGAAGACAGTACCCCACCCCACGGTCCAAGACCATTGTATTCCTCATCATCAATCCAGCAAATATCCAGTGTCCACCCAGCTTTTTACCAGACGCCGAAGCGCTCCAACAAAGCAAGATATTCTATGGCCGCCCGCCCACGAAGCTAAAGGTCGCCTGCGAAGCGGGCGCAGACGCGGACCTTGCCAGGCAAACTGGCAGGTCCACTGCTCAGCTGCGAGAACCTGATGGTTTATTAGCTACATACGCCGTGGCAGTGATACTAAGTGGCAACTTACCTCCCCGAAGGGATGGGGGAAATCATTCCCCCCAAGCACCCTGACATCGGACGACATCACTGTTGCCGCGGGGATGGGGCCAACTCCAGGAGGTCGAACAATTCTCAGGCGGTACGCATCGAGTCCTCGGACGGCAGATGCGAAGAGCGAAAGGCGGAGCTCGGGATCGTTTCCCCGGAGACGAGGGAGTAGTTGGCGTAATCATTCTAATTTTTCTCCGGAGTGGGGATTGTGCAGGAGCTGATCGGAATGGTTGGCTAGCTATATAAGCCGCGCGGCAGTGATACTAGTTAAGTGGCAACTTACGTCCCCGAAGGGAGGGGGGAAATTATTCCCCAGCTGTGGGTAAGATCCCCACATTATTGCGAGGAAGTATCTTCCTGTCGCGGCTGCGTATAACGACCCTCATGGGGCTGATGGGGCTGACCAGTGGCCGCTGGGTTTGCTGATGGTGGTTGATGTTGATGATGATGTCTGTGTTGAGGAGAGAGATAGGGGAGAGCGGAGAGAGCGGAGAGGGCGGAGCCTTTTATAAAAAAGCGGGGCGGCTTGGCTCCGACGTGGTGCGGCCGGTGCGGCCGGTTCGACTTGGTGCGGCCTGTGACACTTACTGCGGCCAGTGCCACTTGCTGCGGCCGGTGCTGAGTGCGCATCCATCCCCGCACGCGCTGAAGAGCAAAGTAACAGTGTCAAACTTTAGTCGGCCAGAGATGTCTACACGAATATGGTTTCGCAGTGGAATGTCGAGACCGAGTATGGTTACGCGGCGGCGAACTTTAGGCGGCACCTCAGTCTCGTATGTAAAGTCAGGCCTCGCCACTAATAATAGGTTTTTTCTGTATCAAATTAATTATCTCTGTCGTTCTATCCATATATTTCAACAAACAGTAGGTACATATTCAAGAGCACTGTGGCAGGGCAGGACTGGTAGGCGGGTTCTATTTTAGATACATACATGGTGGTGAATCGCAGACGATATGCGGAGGGATTAACCAGCGGGTACCTACTTACTTGATTACGTAGAAGTGTCTTCGTAGCTAGGACAGGCCGAGCCGGAGGGCGTGAAATTCACATTGGGCCGCTTGATGACTATCGGGTTGGGCAATGACGTGGAACCGGAGTGTGTAAATATCTTGTCATGATCTACATACTTACATAGGTCGCAAGCAATCACTGATTAAACAAAAAAAGTTTTGCTCAAGTGAGAAGTATTATGGAGGTGTGTATGTAGGTACTTACCTGATCGTGAGGTGTTAATCGGACAAAACGTACAATGCAGGTATGAAGGTATCGACTCTCGACTGTCCTCCACCCACCATTGTCGAGATCAGATGGTGCCCAACACACAAAGACATCCCAGGGAACGAGAAGGCAGATGAATGAGCGGCACCATCACTACCCCGCTAACTTGGAGACTGATTCAAATGAACAAACACAGAAATCAAGATATTATTTTCAAGATGACTCCCGTCATCCATTGTGTGCACTCGGCGGTCTTGTTGGTCAACAAATTCACCTGGATGTTACCCGCGGTGTTGTAGTCTTTGGCAGCAAGAGCCTTGGCAAGGGTGGCCATACTCTCTAGAGTCTCCGCCGACTTCGGACCCCGCACATGATGATTATCACTAAGCCCTCCTTCACATCCTCGTTTAACCTCCCTTGCCTCCTCCCCGACGCTTCCTAGTCCCAGTCCCGTTGTCTGTGTAGAACCCAATGTATTAGCTGCATATTGATGGGACAGGCAGAGATTTCGAAGCAATTGTTGTGGGTTGGATACCAACTGGCAACTTACGTCCCCGAAGGGAGGGGGGGAAACTATTCCCCCCACTGTGGTACGTTCCCCGAAGGGAGGGGGGAAATCATTCGCCCCGATGCCGGCGCGAACCCCGGTTGGTTATCGGCAGCGACGACGGGCCGCGGCTGCGTATAACGGCCCTCATGGGGCTGGTCAGTGGCCGCTGAGACGCACTCAGACAACATCTGGTCGAACTGGTTGGTTAGCTACATAAGCCGCGGTAGTGATACGAAGTGGCAACTTACCTCCCCGAAGGGTTGGGGGAAATCATACCCCCAAAGCACCCCGATAGCAAAGTCGAAACGATTCGGTCGATCAAGAAGTAGAATTTCTAATCCGGGTGTCGTCTACTTCTTGTTGCGGACCCAGCAGGTCATGATCGGCGGGCGCTGCGGGCCATCTCCCATGAGTGAGTCGGCCTGGTCCGCGGGGGTAGCATCACTAGTGGCCCTGCCCTTGCCACGCATCTTGGGGGTCTGCTTCTTGAGGAGGCGGTGGATCGTGTCCATCTATTCAAGAATAAGGTTAGTCAATATTGAGAGGAAAGAAGAAGAGAATTATCACCTTCTCCTCTTCCAGTTTCTGGTCGGTGAGGTTCTTGCGGCGGCGAGCCATTTCAGCCCTCCTGAGCTCCTGCCCTTGGGCAGAGAGCGTCACCGCCTTATTGGCGCGCGGCTTTTCTGTCCAGAAGTCAGTAGAGAAAGTCGAACCAGAAACCGGATTCATACCGAAAGTACTCGGGAGCTCCAGCAGTTCTGCGGTGATGTCTCCCATTCTGGTGAGCTGACGGTTGGTCAAGCGGCTCATGTCTGGCGTACCAGTCCTGCTCAAAAGTTGGGGGTGGTTCCATCGTCATCGGAATCCATCAGCTCATCGTCGGTCTCCCCTTCGGCATCGTCGTCTCCGTTATCATCGTCGTCGGATTCTTCCTGGATGATCTTTCTGCCACGGGGGAAACAATTCCCCCCACTGTGGTAAGGTCCCCCGAAGGGAGGGGGGAAATCATTCCCCCCGATGCCGGTGCGATCCCCGGCTAGTTACTGGCAGCGTCGACGGGCCGCGGCTGCGTAAAACTGCCCTCATGGGGCTGATGCTGGCCACTGGCCGTTTGGTGAAATTGTTGATGGTGGTTAATGTCGATGTTGATGTATGTGTTGAGGATAGCGAGAGGAGAGAGAGCGGAGAGGGGGAGGAGAGGAGCCTTTTATAAGAAAGTGGGTGCGGCTTGGTGCGGACTGTGTCGCCGGTGCGGCTGGTGCGAGTTGGTGTGGCCGGTGCGGAGCCCGCATCCCCGCACACGCTGAAGAACTAGTCACGCGGCCGGAAATTTAGGGCTTCCCCGCCCCCGCCCCCCGCCCCCCCGCCCTCACCTCTACCCTCCTGCAGGTTATTATCTGAGATTGGATAAGTGGCTGAGGATGAACAGTTACCCTATGTGACGACACTGAGGAAAACTTGTTCATCAGCAACTATTCCAAGGGCGAGATTTCCGCAGTTGTGAGGAGATAGATAAAAGTGTCAATACAAAATTCAATGCGCTCGTTTGAGCACGTTTTCTTTTCTTCCGCTGTCTGTCAGGG